AGTAAGCCAGCTACATCTTCAGCCATCCCACAACTACACATCCCCAGAATCATAGGCATCACCACTTCAATTAACAGGGCTAATTAACAGGGCTAACTAACAGGGCCAATTAACAGGTTCAACAGATCGCCAGTAACAGAGGCAATCAAGCAAACTACAAAGTAGGTAAGCCAGCCACATCTCCAGCCAACCCACAACCAGAACCACAGGCATCACCACTTCAATTAACAGGGCTAACTAACAGGGCCGATTAACAAAGCCAAGCCAAGCGTTCTTCAATCCCAAGTTTACAACCCCAGTCCCCGGACCGGAACCACACCCACAGCACCGGAACCACACCCACAGCACCGGAACCACACCCACAGCACCGGAACCACACCCACGGCACCGGAATCACACCCACAGCACCGGAACCACACCCACAGCACCAGGACCACATCCATCTACAACACCACAACCACAACACCACAACCACAGCACCACAACCACAGCACCACAACCATCACCACACATCAACTAACAGAGTCAGCCAGGAGAGTCGGGTAGGTACATAGATACGTAGATGCCACTAGCGATATAAGCTTATTCACCAGCCAATTGAAGCCCTATAGCTAGCGTAATAGACCAATCAGAACCTGCTTCCCTGAACCTTAATTCGTTAACGGTTATCTCTGTGACGACGGTTATCTCAGGAGAAGCTGAATTTATTTTTACAACGGTTGCGTATATACAACAGTTAACTGGGCTGGGTCCTGCCAGTAAGGTGCCTTTCACTGGGAGGGAGAAACACCGTCACCGCCTATACATGTATATATATAGGTAATCACAACCTCCAATCTTAGCTTACGTGGCCCCATCGTCTTCTTCCCACAACGAGACCAACAACTGAACTACTGCACCCTATATATATGTCAAGTCTTAGCAGCCTATCTCTCTTCGTCTCTTTCTTATATTGTCTTCTCCTCCCCTCCGACAGACCTTATTACTTGACGCGAGAATTCATAAGGTTCTCCCATATACTATGGAGTCAGACGCATGGCCAATATACCAGCTTGAAAGCACAAAGATGTCTTAGCAATGGACTGTCGACCTCATACATGCATCTATCGGACCGCTTCCAAGTTCCAGGTTACACATTGCACATTATCGCCCCAAAATCTGCAAGTTCTCATGAGCATTACTTCCGACTTAATTCTCTGCATCACTTCAGGTTGTGTCAACACAGCGCCTGATTCCCTTGACACGGGAGACTCGGAAGATGCTAGCACCTACCGGTGACTACTACTAGTAGTACTACGCGTACTCACCCCGACCTCGCCAGCCTGAGCCAATGCCCCAACAGTGGGACGCTCCTCCCCAGGAGGGCTGCTCAGCATTTATCTCCCTTCGGATATTAGCCACGATCCTCTCGCGTATCAGCTTCCCCACCCCAACCATATGTGCGGCCTCCTCCATCAGGTCGATCCCCATATCGCGAAACTTGCGCATGATCACCTCGTGGAACTCGTCCTCGCACATCACGGCCAGCCGATGCGCACGCTCCAGCCGGCACTGGTTGCACAGGTGCGGCTGGATGCCGCCCTCAAGGAGCGTCAGCGGGCAAGCCCGCGCGAGGCGATTCAGTGGCAGACTGTCTAGTTCAAGACCGGCTTGAACATCCTCGACATACGGTGCCGGATCGGCGGGACCATTCACAACCCCTTCCGGCGGGGCATTGGGCTGCGGGCTATCAATGGCAACATGAAACGGCGATGAACGCGGCGCGCGATAGCTCGGGATGACGTGGTTGCATCCCCTAAAATGGAGCCCGTGCCGGCAGACGGGGCACGACAGCTGCTTACCTTGACCTTGACCTTCCTGCCTCCTGAGGAGCGTGTGCCACCATGCCTTCAGGCACTCTGCGCCAACCATGTGGCCGCAGATCAGTACCTGAGCCGCTTCGCAGTTGTGCTCGCTGCTTGTGCTTGAGCAGGAGGGTGCCAGCCCCTGGATGTCAAGCTCGTTCTCGAGGCATATTGGGCACCTTGCGAGAGGGAGTGGTGACCGTGACTCCGTGCGGGTTTGAGATCCATGGCGGAGGTAGTAGTTGCGGATGTCTTTCCATACGCTCACTTCCGGACGGGCCGGTTCTGCCTGTGGAGAGGGTCCCGGGACAGGTGATGAGACCCGTGACGAGGACGGCGATGACGGGGGTGTTACTACGGCTTCAAGCCCGCAATGGGCTGTGCCGTTCACATCCATCTTTTTCTTGCCCTCCTACTCTACCAGCTTACCTACACGTATGAGCTGGGCAGTTCAGCCTCTCTCCTGCTGGCGCTTGATGCAACCTAGTAGCTTGACGTCGTGGCTTGCCCAGGGCCTCAGATATGTAGCTGCACGCCGTAGAGCGGAAAGGGATAAGTGGTTAGTGGGGGAATGTACCGGGAGGCGGATGTGTATCGCGGGGGTTGGGACCCTAACGATCACTCTAGCGCCAACGGGAAGTCGAATGAACTTGGGCGTGTTGTAATAGACCGTATAGCGTTAGAATCTCTTTGGGGTACGAAGTACGCTTGTTAACAGTTTGCTGGGGATTGGGTGGGTAATCCAGCCTTCCTTAAAGCTGCATTTCCAGCCTTCATGTTTTATAGGCCCAACCCATTTCCAGGAGGTTGGATATGTGGCTAGATACCGCACAATGCCTTTCTGGCAGCGTTAACAGCTTGGCCTTTCCGCTTTCTTTTGCCGGCCTGACCGCAGGTTCCGGACTGAACAGGCTCCCGAGTCTTGCAGCGCCATGGCGGATCGGCTCGCATTAGTTGACAGTAGCTATAGATTAGTAGGGATGGTAGGGAAGAAAGAATGCCGTCAAGTCCTGTCATCGAGACACAGCATAAATGGTTCGCTGTGGGTAGTGGTTGCACCACAAGCAGGTAGTGCATATGTCAGGCGTTTCGGTTCAAGTTAAGTTGCCCGCGGCATGGCAGGGCGAGGGCTGTTCTGGAAAGAGCAAAGACAGGGCGAGCATCGTGTATCTGAGTGGCTGCGGCCCAACCCGCTCGGAGAAAAAAGCATCTGACCAACCACCGATCTCGAGGCGGAGAGGCGGGATCGGTTCTGACGGACGTCCGACGATACGGCGCTGGCTGGTCCAGCTTTTGCGCCCTCGAACGCTCCCCGCAGTCTGCTATGCCTGATCAGGGCAAGTCCTCCAGCCACCAAGCCAGGGGTTGCGTCATGCTCTGGCCAACGTGGCAGCGTAGTCTGCTTTGCTCCAATGCCAATCGATATCCAAGCGTGAAACAGGTGGTTAAAGGGCCATTGCATGACGTGGATTTGACCGTCTTGAAGCCTGAGCGTTCAGCTTGACCGCCTACAAAAAGGAAGCCGTCATGCTCCGGCTGTCAGGTCCGAGAACAAACGACATTCCCTCCCGTCTGCGAGTCCCTCTGTCGACCCAACTCTTTGAGTGAACCAACTGATTCGGCCAGTACTGCGACCAATCAGTTACGGACTCATACAACACCTCGGCCCGCACTCCCAGAAAGCACACCGCTCCTGCAGGCCTTCCTCTGTCATACGCCAAACAGATCAAAATGCTTGCCAAGCTTCCCCTGTTCACCCTTCTCCTCGCTACCGCTGTCACCGCGGCCCCGGCGCTCATCTCCCGACAAGATTCGGGACAACCGCCATGCGAGTCTGTTCCAGAGGAGTTTTGGCAATGCGTCTCGGACTGCCTCTACGTGTATTGTCCGGCCGGAGATGATGCATGTGTCGATGCATGCGATGCCGATTGCAGTGAGTTCGTCCTTCAGGCTCGGTCATACTTGAAAGGTTGCTGACAATTCATCTCCCCGTCGTTAGAAGAGACATATGTGCCGAATTGTGAGCCAGGCACGCATTGATGGCAACACGACGGTGGTCGGAATGCCGACATGAGTCAACGATAATGAGACTAAGCGTCTGGAGTTGGGATTTCAGGGTCGGAACGACTGGCTTGCAGTATCATATAGGGGCGGATCAACTCGTATTCCTGAACTGCTTGATCACTGGTGATCAGGGAGCAGGACTAATGTTAGCCGACGGTATTTTGTTTGTACATGGTCTTGGTGCTGGGCAATTGATGTCCAGCGTACAAAATGAAGTTGGTATAGAAAGCAAAAGGGCACTCACAGCTTACAATGCTGTGCTGTGAGGAGGGCGAAGCAGCGCTTAGATAGGTGCCATGCAAAAGCCAAGAAGTTTCTCCTCACTTTCCAATGTGAATGACCAGCTTCCCGGCATTTTTCCCCGTCTTCAACTTTTCAAAGGCCTTGGGCAAGTCTTCCATCTCGAACGTTTCCTCAATCACCACCCTGACCCTTTTCTCAGCAATCCACTGGCCTAGCTGTTTCAAGTCCTCTGAACCGTGTTTGATGTTGTAGATTTCATACTTGCGCTTGCCGCCGCCGAGGAACGAGGGGACGAGCATCCTCGTCATGACCGACTTCGCGGCATTCAGTGAGACCGGGGCGCCGACCTGCACAAACTTGCCATGCGGTAACAGATAGTCGTCGGCAGCCTTGTACAGACCCTCTGGGGATCCCACATTGTCGACGACCAAGGAGAAAACCTGGCCCTTGGCCTTGAGGGCCTGGCACACGTCAGTTGAGGTATAGTCGATGATCTCGTCGGCCCCAAGCGAGCGACACAGATCGGCCTTGGCGGGAGAGCATGTCACCGTCACATGACAACCCCGAGCTTTGGCGATTTGGATGCCGAAGGTGCCGGTGCCACCCGATCCGCCGTTGATGAAGACCTTGTCCCCCGACTTGACGTTGGGTACTATCGCGTCTGCGCATTCACTGTCAGTTTCAAAATGTTTGCTCTTCGCTTTCATTTGGCTCAGGGCGACACAAACCGAAGAAACGTACGATATTCAGTCATGCCTGCCACGCCCACCGCCGCCGCCTCGTCGACCGACACCCCGTCGGGAAGGTGAGCGCATGCGCGGGTCGGCGCGACGATGTACTCGGCGCAAGTCCCATGCTGCTGTGCGTCGATGCGGCCAAAGACCAGGTCGCCGATGGCAAAGTCGTCAACGGTACGGGTAGTCTGCACAACACGGCCGCAAAAGTCCATGCCCGGCGTCGCAGGGGTGCGGATCACGAGGCGCGTAACGGCGCCCAGCTCGGGCACCTTGTAGTCGGCCGGGTTGATGGACGCCGAGAGGACCTGGATCAGGAGCTCGGCATCGCCGAGCCGTGGGGATAGTGCGGGCAAGGGGCCCGACTCGTTGAGCACCAGATTCTTCTCGAGGCCGCCTGTAGCCGTCGAGTATTGCCAGGCTCGCATTGTTTTGGGCACCATTGTCGCCATTTTTTTTCTTCTTTAAACTCGTATTGTTTGTTTGCCTTTGTCTGAACTTGGATCAGACAAAGCTCACAGAGCGGTGCTTGTTTGCGTGGATATTCATATTCAGCTGAGAAGGGTGACGCAAGCCGGAACGACGGGTGGCTAGACGATTCATCAAGTCTGGCAGCTGTCAATTCTCTAGCGCCTGCTAGAGCACATCATGAGCTCATCGTCAGGGGTGCATTTTTAACCCCATTAGGGTTAGGGGTGTGGTGCACACGAACACAACCCGAGAACAATCCATTGAGGTCCGTCAACCTCAGTTGAAGCTCTAGGAAAGTCAAAAACATGGAAATAAAATAAAAGACGTCCGCGGACAGAGTTACCCGAGAGTAGTCGTTGAAGGAAGGCCCATGCAGGACAACAAGTGCTGAGGCAGCGACTGCCCGGTTCCCTCGCTTCCTTCCCGGGCACCCAACAGTAACAGATCCCATGCTGCTGTACCCGGCCTCGGGCCGGCAAACGTGAAATTGCTTGACCAAAAGAATTGCACGGACACTCCAGGTGCCGAACAAACGTGCACTGCCAACGCTAGTGTGGATTGTGGAGAGTATGGAGACACTTGCTCCTGAGATATCCACTTTGCCATGTGCCTGGCCAAAATGCCATCCAAGCTTGCATCTGAGCAATTCCCCTTTACGGAGTACAAGAACGACTTGGCTTCTTGGCCTGCAAATGCCGCCGAGAGGCAATTCCCGGATTCAATGCTGCTTCCCCTTGATTCGATATGGTGATGGACACAGTTTCTCACAAAATCGATTTCCAGAATCAGATCTTTTCCCGTGTTTCCATAGACCTAACGTTACGTACCTTTCCGGGCCAACGCCTTGCAATTTTCACCGTCGCTACCGGTCAACTCTACCGTCGGACAAATTGCGCCTGGCCCACCGGAACACTACGGAGTAGTAAGTACGGCTGGCGACGTTGAAAGGAAACTGCAGATGTCAGCTCGCATGCATGCAAATCGGCGGCGCGGGGCGAGGTAAGCAACTGAGTTAAATTCCCGAAGTCAGTACCTACACTTACAGGCCATCGCGCCTACTAATCTTTCGCTTTTCTATGCCATTTGTGGCCAGACCAGTGAGTTCAGTGAACTTTCTGTTTGTTCATTACGTACATAGTTGCGCTGAAGAGACTAACAAATTCTGGCCCCGATATCTCCACATCATACCTAGGATGCCCATCGACTTGAAACATAACGTTGTGGTCCTCCCGGCGGTTGCCGTTCTTGACCGCCCCCAAGAACAACATATGCAAGTAATGTACCGTGCCGCCTTGGTGCTCTTTCAACGGTCCTTCAGGTCCTTCCTCTGTTAGTACACTTTTCGGACCAAATCTAGAGCTAACTCTTGCGAGTAGAAGCATGTCCCTACAAGAAAGAGCCAATCACCACCTACATACGTACCCAGGCTCCGATGCCCCGTCCTATCGTCATGCTCCATATGCCCAGAATTTAGTGTAACCTTGGTGTTGGGTCTCGGTGGGCCCGGGCCAAGAACCGACTCGGGAGTTGAGCCCTGCTTGCGTTAGCACCAGTGGGCTTCTTGTTCGGGTAAATCAGAGGCACAGGGTCTGGCGCAGGTTCCGGCACAGGGTGGCACAGGGTAGCAATAACCGTGGAAACGGCAGAACCCCCCCTATTCGAGAACACTGAACTTATTTCTAACGGCACGCTGCCTTTTCTTCAAAATGCTCCATGCATTTCCCTTGTCGACGGCACGCCCCCAAAATCTTCACACGACTCCAGGCTGCTCCTCAAGCCGCGCCTCGAGGCCCTATGACACTCCACCGAGCCTTGATTCGGAGCCGTGCCTGTAGGCAATCCGGTTGAAGGGGTGCCTCTCTCCGTCCACTCCGAAGAGCGACCTTTCCAAGTACATACCTAGTGTTTCCCCGATCATTTCGACAACATGTCGTCTTCTGATGACGGACATGCGCGCGAAAATCGCGGGCCCCAACTCCTTGGCGTCAACAGCGCAGCCATCGTAATCGCCACCATCACGATGGCGCTTCGGTGTTATGTACGCATCCACCTTGTCAAGGGGTTCGGCCTCGATGATTGGTTGATGATGACAGCTCTGGTATGTCCGGCCGTTCACGTTGTGGAGACTAGGTACCTAGGGATGCGCATATCGAGATGGGCTTGTGAACAGAGAAGCGGGTGATCAAGTTACTAAAGCTTTGCCACTAGGTGACTTTTATACTCTACATTACCTTCTCCCAGACAGGCGTCACGTACGGGACGGGCCAGCATGTGTGGGATCTCTCCCCTGAAAATAATGCAACGGCGAAGAAGGTACGTCTGAGAGCGGCCAAGTCTGCTGAAAGGAAAGCATCTGACAGAGGAACAGTGGTGGTACGGCTGCTACCTGACCTATGCTCTCACGGCTATATTCGCCAAGTCGTCGATTGCCTTATTCCTGCTTCGCGTGGCTGTCAACCGAGTGCACAGGTGGATCATCTACGCCGTGTGGCTCACGACCATTGTCAGCTGCATCATCTTCTTCTTTGCTTGCGCCTTCCAGTGCTCGCCCGCCAGCTACTTCTGGGACAAGTACACACAGGATGGCACATGCCTCAACGACACGCTCGTCCTCGCCTTGGCCTACCTTTTTAGCGCCATCAACGTCATCACCGACTTCACCTTTGCCCTGCTCCCCGCCTGGATTGTGTCGCATCTCCATATGAAGCTCAAGACCAAGTTTGCCCTGATCGGCCTGATGGGTGTTGGCTGCATGTAAGCATGTCTTGCTTGTTCATGGTTCTGCTTCATCCCTTTCTCAGCCGCAGGGCTCTCAAGTCAACATTAGCTGAGTATACAGGAACTAACAAGTTTCATGACAAAAACAGCGCCAGCGCAGCGGTTGTAGTCCGCCTGCCCTTTCTGCCCAAAATTCACGACGAGGACTTTCTGTACGAGACGGTCGACGTAGCGATTTGGTCGACAATCGAGCTGTGCCTGGGCATCACGGCAGCGAGCGCCGCCACGCTGCAGCCGCTCGCGAAGCAGGTGGGATACAAGTTCGGGCTGACGAGCAAGCCCGGGTTGGCGGGCAGCTCCCGGCTCACCGACAACTTCCAGATGGGCAACTCTATCTCGGTGAGGAGAGAGATCACGCACAAGACCGAGGTGGTGTACCCGCCCGTCCGGGAGCAGCACGAGGATGAACACGGCCTGAAACTGGAGCCGGGCACGTCTGGCTACTCGGCCATGTGTTACAACACCAGCCGCGAGGAGCTGACATGGCAGCAAAGTACTCCCGGGTCGAATCATGATGGGCACACGACGTCCAAGGAGTCGGATGGGGAGACGATCAATTTCTTACCCGTGCAAGGGGGGTATCCGGGAGCGGTTGGGGGGAGGTTCATGGACGGCTCAGAAAAAAGATAGGCTGGGAGACTTGTACCAACAACATAGAGCTCTTTAATCGCAATTTGCCTCAACCAGCTGTTCCTCAAATAAACCCCTCATCAGATAACTGGTTCCTCAAGGACTTGAACAAGTATATGACGCTTTACATCCATCTATCTAGAGGGAGCATATCGGCCAGGCGGACGACTGGACTGCATCTCACGTTTCTCAACTCACCAAAAATGTGCTACTGAGACACTGTTCGAAGCGGACCACATCATTCTAGTAACATGACCTCGCACTCCGGTGTCCCAGCTGCCGAAACCCCCATTACACGGGCAAGAGGCGACGACAAGGCCACGCCGTTGGCAACACGGGCACACGAGTCTACGCTCGCCACCTATCTTGTAGTGTATTATACACCATGTTATTAAATCCAGGCCTAGATCTCAGGCAATGGTGTACCTCTGATAAGCTTCAGGAGTCAGGACTGAAAACAAAACGAGACCAAGAATTTTCTTTACCAGCCTTGACGCTGATCATCATTACACTGCTTCGTACATCCAACAGCGTAGTATCCGTTTCGGGCCGTTAGACACAGCGTTCTGTCATCCATCTATATCCCTGCTATCCAACTAGGGGGGACCGAGGCGGGAATTGGCCAGGGATTTGGTAATGTCACCATCCACATTAACATGTCAGAGGCATCGTTCATGTTGTGTCACAACAATGTATTACTACTATTAATTCCAATGTACGGAGTATACGAAGTACACCCACGTCCTGATCAACAATTCACAATGTACAAAGTAAGAATCCAAACAAGAGCAAATCCCTCCCCTAAACCTCACTCAAAATATCCTCAGCCGCCTTCTCAGCAACCATGTATGTCGACACAGCCGTAAACGTGCCCGGGATGCGCGGATAGACCGACGCATCCACCACCCTCAACCCCTTCACCTTCCTCACCCGAAACTTGCTATCCAACACCGCCATTGGATCCCCATCCACCCCAATCGGGCAGCTCGAGCTAGCATGATGCCCCCAGCTGCCATCCCTCACATACTGCTTGACCTTCTCCTCCGTGTCCACTCTATCCCCAGGCAACTCCTCAGTCGTCTCAACCGGCTGCCGTCTCAGCGCGCGCCGCGCCAACTCAACCGCCTCATACATAGCTTGCAGGTCCTGGTCTGAGTCCTGGGCCTCAAAATAATTATACACCACCTCAGGCGGATCCAACGGATCCCCCGACCGCAACCTCACCGTCCCCGCCCTGTTGCGCGGATGCGCCTTCAACACGGCCCACGTCCACCAATCATGCTCTCCCGTTGCGTCGCGCGCATAGCCGGGGTAGTACCCGGCGAACCGCGCCGGACCGCCAAACACAAACGAGTCAAACCCTTCCCCCTTCTCTCTCGCAACGGTAGACTTGTGCAACATGGCCACCGACAATCCCGAGGTGACATACGTCCCCCGATCGCCCAACAAACCCGGGTTCTGCCATTTGTCAAGACACGGGTCGGAGGTGGTGTTGAACTGGAAGGTGCACCCGCGGAACACGGCCCAGTCGAGCGGGGCTTTGGCGGTGACCGAGGTTTCGTAGTGGTCTTGCAGGTTGGAACCGACGCCGGGGAGGTCGGCGATGAGCGGGATGTTGAAGTGTGCTAGTTCGGAGGCAGGGCCGACGCCGGAGAGTTTGAGGATCTGGGGGGTGTTGTACGCCCCGCCGGAGATGATTACCTCGCGCGAGGCGGTGGCTGAGCCCGGCGTGCCCCTGGACTTGGACGAGCCGGGGAGCGGACCCGACTTCCCGGACTGGTACAGTTTGTGCTCGGGGCTGAGCGGGCTGGCGCGGTAGAGGTGGGCGCCGTCGAGGAATTCCACCCCAGTAGCACGCGGCGGGGAAACGGTCTGATCGAACACGACGCGCGTGACGTGGCAGTTCAGACGCACATCAAGCGGGTACTTTTTGCTCCCGTCCGGGTTGCGGGCGTCGCGGACGGAGAGGATGAACTCGCGCGCGCCGGTGCGGGCGCCGTGGTTGGTGCTGATGGGGATCTGGTAGTAGTTGGGGCTGTGGTCGCGAAGCGAGGTGGCGGCGTTGAGGTCGCCGGCCAGCAGCGTGCCGACATTCAGGATCTGGTTGGTGATGTCCCCGAGGGCCAGGGCGCCGCCGGTGATCAAGGCCAGGAGCTGCGGGTCCTGGAGCGGGAGGGTGAGAGGGGTTAGCTCCGTGGTGAGCCAACCGTCATGGCCGTGGCCGATTGGTAAGCCCGGGAGGTACTGCTTCTTCTCGAGGCGGGTGAAATATTTGCGCATGTTAGACGGGGACCATGAGCTGTCGCCGGTCAGGTTTGCGAGATACTCAAAGTCGGATTGGTGTGGGTAAACGGCGATCAGGGCGTTGTGCGCGGTGCAGCCGCCAAGGGTGCCGGTTCGGGGATACAGCACGCCCATCATGCGGGAGCCTGGCGGGGGGTTGAGGCCCGTGTAGATGCTCCCGTCGGGGGTTTGGTAACTCGTCTTCCAGTCGCGCGCCTGTCGCTCGTCGTCGGCATAGTGGCGAACGAAGAAGTTCCATGCGAGCTTCTCGTCTTCGGATACCTTGGCATTATAAGCGGGCACCGTGTAGTTGACGTTGGAGCCCTGGTCGTCGCCGGCTTCAATCAGGAGTGTTTTATGGCCGGCCAGGGCCAGGCGAGCGGCAAGTGGCCCACCACCGGCGCCGGAGCCAACAACGATATACTCATAGCCCGTTAACTCAACCGCAAAAACCGTGGTGCAGAGGGCAGCAAGGCCCAGAAGCCGCTCGAGAAACAACATGACTGTGAATGGGGCCGGGCCGCACACTGTCGAATTCCGGTTCGATCAGAGAAAACTGCACGGTTGATTGGCAGTTATGTACCAATTGCAATGTCGTGATTGAATCGAGGCATGTTCCCTGCTTGGGCCGCAGGCGATCCAGAAATCCGGTAAGCTAACGCGCAGTCTGAAGGACGCCGAAATTGCGGCCGCTGCGCTCCATGACCCCCCTCCCTGATCAACAAGAACAATATTGGCAATGTCCCACCGGCCAAGACCACCAAAGGCGTCGTGAAACCATCGTTGGATTGTTTTAGTTGGCTCATGGATGCCAGTGCAACCTCATTTCCTTGTCAGGTGTTGATTTGGTGAATCCTATCCACAGAGGGGGGAACGGGTTGGAGTCTTGGAGATTGCGGCCAAGTCCTGCCAATTTTCCCAAGAAAGGGTAAGATCGTCCGCCTGGGCGGGGACGCGGGGTAACTACCACACCTTATGTAAGTTACGGAGTACAGGCACACGTACGGAGTATTGCGGGCAATCCCGGGATATCGGGCATATGGCCCGGGAGTGGGTCCCCGGACCAAAACACTCGGCTCGGATAACATAGAGTGGGGTATCGGCACGGAGGAGGCCGGAGAGCTGCCGCCGTCCCCACTTCCCGGATTCCGGTGGGCCGGATATTACTTATACTCCGCAGGCGTTGCAAGCAGCTGCTCCCCTCCATTGTGATTGTTCGCCATTTTCCTCAAGCAGTTTACTTTGCTGAAGACTCCCTGTATTACCCCGGGGCCTCTCGCTCGATCGATTTATGCTGGCTACCTGGCCCACATATACTTACCGAACTACAACTCGTAACAGTACAGGCAGCCACCATAGGCTTGGAGATATATCTAGCTCTCCGCTCTCATAAGGGTATTCCACGAGAGGTCACGCCAATCCACATCCTAGCTCTGGTTAGCAAGGAAGATATATATTAGATCCAGAAGACACCATCGTCTCACCGCTAACTCCGGTCAGCCATCCTTCCATCTAACACCGATTTTCCTATACAGGAGACTCGGGCTTGGATACTCTTTGTATAACCCGCCTCCCAAGGTTTGTAAACAGCAAAAGACATCCAATCGCCGCAACCGGAACGGCAACCACCCAATACACCCAAAAGCGACTCGAGCCTGCAGAGAAGTCCCCTCCCATCGAGAAGATGGCTGCCACAAAAGACAATGGGATAAAGATGGTCCCAAGAGCCGTCAGATACCCTACCTGCCTCGCCTGTTTATTCGCAGCGCTGGTTTCCCGTACCGATATCGATTGCATGTACGCTTGGAGCATGATATCGAGCCGGATCTTGAGGCTCCTCATAACCTCTGTGAGACTCTGCCATGCGTCTGCCTCCCACGCCTCAACCGTCCTCATGCTTTCCGAGCCAATACCCAACGCGTCCATATTCGGCCGGAGTTCCCAGTCAGTCGATTCCAGTGCTGACTTGGCGCGAACAAGACGGCCAAAGTCTCGCGGGTGCCAGGGGCGTTGCCACGACTTTTCAAAGACCTCGGCTGCTCGAGCGTCGGCGGGGATGTCGCCAATGCTGAGCATGAGTTGTTCTTTGATGAGTTGGGTTTCTACGATACGAATCCTCGCAGTCCATGCCGATAGGACCAACCTCCGGCAGTAGTCCATGCAAGAATTCGGATCCGATGTCCTAGTGCGCTGACTGGAGGGGTAGACGGTAAGAAGAATGTCGAATGTCGAGCTGGCGCTCTGCGGCGGTTTCTCAGACGGGACTATCGGCGGATACCATGACCCACTGTGATTGAGAGCTGCCATGGCTGAGCCAGTTGCCTGAATTGAGTCGATGCGCTGGACCTGGCGAGGAGTTGGCGAGGTTCGCCACCGTACAAAGTCCCCGAGAGCTGGATCGACTAGGAGAACGCCTATTAGGGGGGAAATATAAATAATTGCTAGGCTAGCCTGAGCAGAGAGGTCTATCGTGAAGAGGCTCACAGCTAGGTAGAGTCGTAAAGATTAAGGTAGTGTTTACATACCATCCCAATTATCGCCATCTGATGAGCTCCAAAAGGATACCTGCTCGGAGCTATGTATTGGGCCGTCTATATCCTCAAACACTGTTACGCGCGAGAGACTAGTAATACGTTGGAGGGATAAGTCCATGTAATAGAACGGATAGTCGCCGTCTCCCGGATGCGCCGCAACCGTTGCTTGGTTGCTTGATGGATCTTTGGAAACCTACTAAGGTAAGTATGAAACGATTCTTGCTGTCGTAGCCTCGCGGAGTTCGATTGAACAGGTTCCCCGAGAAAGCTGCCGAAACCCAGTGAGCTGCAAAAAAAGTCAGGCGGGACCCGCAGCTTTGCCCCGATGACCTTGATGTAGTTTCTGGGCAGACCTTCAAGAACGATGATGCGCCGTCGAGGCCCATTCGAACCTGGCGATTCGGCTGTAGTGCAAGTACTACCTTAGGTAGGCAGGCAGGACGCCGCTGATCGGATGGCGATTCTCGTACTACAGTTACCTATTTATGTGGCAGTCGCTACTCTTGCTGGGCATTGGGAATTCACTTTTCAACTCACATCACTCAATCTGTCAGCTGCGCAGATCAACCAGACCCTCGTCCTGTTCTTTTTTACCTCACTTGCATTGCCCGACTCATCATGGAAACAACCGACACAGACACCTCGAAAACCACCCCACAAAACACCGCGTCACCTAGAGACGTGGCTTGTTTAAGCCCAGCTGCTCTGCCCACCACACGCGCAACTGACGCCACTGATGTCGAGGAAGGTCGAGCTGCCTACGGGCCGGGCGGATTCCACCCGGTATACGTTGGCGATGTATTCTCCGAGAAATACCAGGTGCTGAGCAAAATTGGCTACGGCGTCCATTCCACCATGTGGCTCGTGAAAGACCTGTCCAAACCGTGAGCAAGCTTTGCTCCCGGGCTTCCATGCGTCCTTGGCTGACGGGCTGACTGTCTACCTACAGGGAAGACGATCCACAGAGATTCCGAGCCTTGAAAGTGCTCAGCGCCATGTGCTACGGCACCGACAAGCCGATTTTCGAGCGGGAGATCTTGCGACACCTGGGGGATGGGAACCGCGGACTGGCGGGGCGCAGGTACATCTGCCATCTCGTCGACGACTTTGAGCACCAGGGCCCAAACGGAACACATGTCTGCCTTGTATTCGAGATCATGGGCGAGACTCTGCGGAGCTTCGGTGCCTGGCTCAAAGACGACATGATCCCGTACTCCATCATGCGCCGCTTCGCCATCCAGCTAATCCTAGCACTCGACTACGCCCACGAGGAGAAGGTGATCCATACAGACATTCAACCCGCCAACATATTTGTCAGGTTTCGGGATACATCCCTTATCGAATCGGATTACCTCGCCAAAGCTCCGCTTCCGAGCTTCCGAAGCAAGACCGATCCGAGGAGCAGTACACCCCAATACCCTCTTATCCCCTGCGCGCGTATTACTTTTCCGGGGACGACTGGAAGAACTTCCACGAGTTCGACATCGCCCTCGGTGACTGGGGCGTAGCCAGCTGGGCCGACAAGCACTTGTGCGAAGTAATCCAGCCCGTCGCGCTCCGCGCACCCGAGGTTCTTATCCGAGCGCCGTGGGATGCAAAGACAGACTGGTGGAACTTGGGCGCCGTCATATACGAAGTGTACCGCTGCTTCCGCATGTTCGACGGCAGGTGCCCCCCGGACGGGCACTACGAGCTGAAACAGCACCTCGCGGAGATTGTGGACATCTTTGGACCGTTTCCTAAGGCACTGTTGGAAAAGGGCGACCCGGTGCTTGTGAAGGAGATGTTTGATGACGAGGGCAAGGTCAGAGAGCCGATCCCGGTGCCTTTGGATCGGCCGGCGCTGTCGTCAGAAGACTGCATGCCGGGCCTAAGCGAGGAGCATCGGAACCGGTTTGATATCTTCCTAAGGCTCATGATGAGCCTCAACCCGGATGAACGGCCGACGCCGGAAGAGTTGCTGAGACATCCGTGGTTGGACGCCTTGAAATAGTCCAGCATGTCGCGGGCAAAGGAAATTAGGGTTAGGTCACGTCATGTGCGATGCATTCCTCCTATGCCGAGCTGGGTTTCATGATGGAATCCAGTGGATCTCTCCTAGACTCTAGCTAGAGATTGGCAATGTGAAGTCCCAGGGGCATTGATGCTAGTGTCTCCTTCTCACCCGGGCCCGCTTCTACCTAGTAGTAGTAGAGACCTTCCAATCCCGCAAATGCTCAAAGCCGAAGGCGGTTAAGCAACGTGGCCAATGCCGCCGAAGCACTATCAAGGTCCTCGACAGCTCTCTGCAAGTCGTCCTTCGGTTCCGTGGTTAGGTCACCCTTGCTCTTCTGTCCCCCAGACTGGACGTCACGATGCTCCTTTTCAACGGCCTTTCCGCCCTTGTTCTGCCCTTGGGGACTATTGGAGGGGTAGGAATAGGCCTTTGAGTCTGCGCAAGATGGATCACGACAGTCCACCTTGGTGGTGAAGCACCACTCGAAGGGACCATTGACGTTCTTCGTGCTGGAGCTGTTACACCTGGAGCAGCTCGCCTGTTAGCAAAACTGTCTTCATAACTAGATAGGGTAATTATGAGAAGTAGCAATGCTATGTGTGTACATTGTTGCTATAAATCTGAGGTTCAAGCGTGGTTGGTTGGAATAGCGCCTCTGTTTCTTGTTGCGATCTGGTGTCAAAACTGAGGTAGTTAGGCACATGTAAGTACTGGTTGAGCAAGAGGAAGGCAGGTTATCTCTTTTTGTGGCCAGCAAGCTGGCTTGGGCGGTTCTTTGGACAAAGCTACACCACAGATAACTCGGTATTCTCATTGCCTGAATCACCTGTGAGACCAGTCCCGTTTTATTAAGTTCCTGTTGAGACATGTTTTTCATTTTAGCGTAAACCAGACAACCAACGGGACAGTGAGCGTCATACAAAGCAATTCATTTCCAGCCCTGCTGCCTACTTCCATCAAGTTGCTTAGTGGCCACGCGGCGAATAAAGAAGTAGCATCCAGGAAGCTTGAGGTGAACCCTCTGACTCACGTTTTCCCTCTGAGAACTGAGATCGGCTGTCAACTAGGTAGGAATAGGGCCACCGACGGCGAGTTAGCACCTCACCTTCATGTTTTGAACGGGATGAAAAGAGTACATCAAGTCTCGGTCAAAGTAAGGCAACGTTCAAATCTGGGACAGAGAGGGGCCCTCTTAAGGTGATGAATTAGTCGAGCAAGAGGCCGCGACTTCTGCAAGCTCATGGGCATCTACGGATCAGGTCCACGGTCCTGAGAGTGGAATGCTGTCTTTCTTTAAACCCGTTAAAGTAAATGCTGTTCAAGCCAGCCAGTGTATACGCTAGTCCAGGCATCCATGTCCTTGTCGTTCGACACAAGCCCAAGTACTAGGATGTAGCGCCCAAAAGAACTTTCTATGGGCATCGGAATGGACGAGATTGATGGTTGAGGCCTGTATGAGCAAGCTCAAGGTTGCAATATTCAATAGTTCAAACAAGAAGTGATCCTAACCGCTCTTCGCTTACGACACGCCACATTAAGTAAGGCCAACCTTGTACTGTACAAACAACATTGGTGTTTCAGCATAGAGACATTTAATTCATTTATTGACTCCTGCTGATGGCAGGTTAGACGGATGGCCAACATCCCCACCGAGAACAGCCTATAAGTTTACAGACTGAGATGTCCAAGGAGAAAACGGGGGAAGAGGCAAAGATAAACATTATAAATATTGAATAAAGTAGAAGCGTGCTAGTAATAAGGGTATACGCCGTGATAAATCTTCCCGTGCTAACACACCAGTATGTTCCCAAAGGTATCTGAGGTCCAAAAATGGAATATGAGCCACCAACTCCAAGTAGAAGAGAAAGGTTGACAAGCAAAACCAGCAGTCCAACTCCATCAGCAAACCGTGAATGTCCCAAAATGCAAGTTCCAGGCATCCTGCCATGGAACAGCTTCAAAACCAGCGTAATACGCTCAGCAAACATCAACACCAGCATGCCGTTGTGTTAGCAGATGTGTTCAGTCTAGGTAGCCTTCCCCCCCCCCCCCCCCTTGCACGGAATAGCATAAGAATAGCATAAAATCAAACGAGACTCCAAACAGGCCAAACCAAGAGGATGGACTGATGACGAAAAGAGAAGAGGTGGATGGTTTGTCAAAGGAATCGCCCGTTGTTATCAACTGGGGGTCGAATTGCGCCACTCTCGCGATCATACGGGCAGCTGCCGTCGTCATCTGGCACTGCGAGCTGTCCCGAGCGGGATCTACCGCTAAAGTAGTACTAGTAGGAGTACTAGTCTAGGTCAAAAGGTGAAGCGCAAGCTTGTGCGGGTTGTGCCTTGTATCGGTTTGGATGGCTCGTAGTCGGCTGCCGCTTGACCAAGGCAGTCATCCGCCGAACAACTCTCGAGGCCGCTATGCTGGACTCGGACATGGTGTTGACGCCATCAAGGACAGATCATAGGTCCAAGACGACCGCAAGCGAGTGCAAATGCCAAGGCCGGCAGTTGGATGGCTCAAGCTTCACGCGGAGGGAAGGTGGGATTGGAGGTGAGGGCTCCCTGGTCACGGTTTGCTGTACACGATGGGTCGAAAAGGCGCGGGTTGCACAGCGAGAGGGGTGCGATGCCGGCCTTGTCAGTATCAACGGGTCTCAGAATCGAGTTTGAGGTCATGACCAGGGAGGCCAGGGTTGCGACCGTTGGGGAGAGCGCACGGCCAAGAGCGGCAGTGGGACGTCTGACGCAGATTCCATGCAGCATGCATTATCCGACTCGACGATTCCCATATGGACACCACCGACATGCAGCAGGATCTCCAATGTGCAGTGAATCTGTTTCTCGTTCCCGCCGCCGCCCGTGTCTCGGTAAGTCGGTATCAGTGGGCGGTTCTAGGGTACGGGTATGATAGTGGGGTGCCTCCTTCCGGTGTGCTCCGGTCCTCTCGTTGGGCACAATGCCGTGGTGTGAGATGGCCGCCGTTCTGGCCAAATGAATGCATCCACGCCCTGGAGTACGCTCAAGAAAATGCGAGGGGACGTTCCGGTGCGACGTATTTGTGGCATGAGCGTCTGATGGATATCCAAGATTGCGCCCCATGAGCCGCTCATCTCGACATGGGAGATAAATGGGCGTACAGGGATCTGCTGGATAATGCCGGTCGGAGACTTTGAGATGGCGGGCGTTGGGAGCCCTCGGGATGTGCCTCGTGGGCGGAAAGAGGGGGCAGGTCCGACCCTGATTGGTCGTCCCAAAAACCAGCTGATCACTCCCTCCAACCGTCCTACTCCATCAACGACCACCCAAGAAGCCCGTGTCATTGCCTACTTCGCAGCGCGTGGCTGGCTTGCTTGAGTATTCCCAAATGCGGGCTAGAAATGGTTGGCGTAATATTCGGCTGGTCCGCGCGGCTCTCTTGCTCCGAACTGCCCACCTTCATGATCGCTCGCGGCGCCCATGACGGGCTCACGCGTCGGCCGCGTCTCATGCACACCCCCTGGGCCGCCGGCACTGCTTATCACTAGCGTGCGCAAGTATGGTAGGTAACATTCCGCGATGACTTGCCCCCATGAGCTTGGGCGATGCTACCCTAGCCTGGGATTGGTCACCTGCTCAAGCACGCTGGCTTCCGTCCCCGTATGCTGCACCTCCGTATCCTTGGCTGTGAGCGCTGCCGGCCTGCGTGGAATAGCTATCCGCGGGATAGGTTTCCCAGCTCCGCGTTTGGCTCTGCGAAACGGGGATGGCCTGGTGACTGTAGGATCCGTGCCCGTGGTGTTGGCTGTGGTGAGACGGCCCGGACAAGCCGTATGGCGATGTAAGGCTGTGTATTGTGCTCCTCGGTTCGTAGATTACTGGCAGGTTCAAAGTAGGGATGCGAACGGCCGTAGTAGCGACAGGGGAATTGTTCTTCAACGCTGGGGACATCCCTTTTCGCGCTGCCCTGTAAGTAGACAATGACGATGATCTCGTCACTCGCCCCCGTGGGCTTGTTAGAGGATCCGCATAGTGATGGCCTGCGCTCACGTAACTCGCGGCCGCTAATGTATCTGTCACGACAGCCGAAGGCGTGGAGACTGGGGTCGGCGGCAGCGCGGCATACCCGCCAGTGAGGCCTGCGGTGGTGACAACTTGAGGTGAGCTGGTCGGAGTCACGACGCTTGCTGTCGAGGCGCTGTACTTGGAGATGATCTTGAAAAGGGCCGGAGCCAAGTCCTTCCACTGAAAAACTTTGACATCCTTCTCGATATTGCGCGGCTTTGGGTTCCCAAACCCCATGATAACCTTGAAGAACTCCTCGCTCTCGGCCTTGGCTTTGCTGACGGTGGTTGGCTGAAACCCCTCTAGGTTTCTGCGGATGCGGTTCTTTTCCTCGACGCCGAAGCGGTTCGGGGCTGCAAGAAGTTGTTCAAGCAGGTGAATGGTGTCCACCGACGTGACGTAGCATGCATGCTTCTCCTCCCACCATATACAGCTGATGCAGATGCTATGCGGTGGCCGTTCTGCCGGGCTTACAGCTTTGAATGTCACTGTCAGCACGCTGCCGTGTTGCTGTTTCCTGAACAAAACAAGCCTGCGCTTGCTTTCCCACTCCTCCTGTGTCCAGCCCTCTGCCATGGAGGTAAGATTGCCCATGAGCTTTAGCGTGACCTTCTCTTGGTAGACCCCATAACCTGGAAACCCGTTGCTTGCGGGCTGAGTCAGTGTGCTTGTTCTGACGAGCTGTGGCATTACGGCATTCAAATGTTGAAGCGGCGTCGAGCTCGATCGGGCGACGGAAGCGTGTGTCGTGTGGGAGAGGGCGGTGGACGAAGCCCGAATGGGCTCGATTGGATCTCCAAACATCCATGGGGCGCCTTGAGGGGACCGGAGCATTGGGGGTGGGCGCGGGTAACGGTCCCAGTGGTCCGCGAAAGACGGCCCGCGGTATCCAGGCATTATATTGCCGGCTCCTTGGCCGTAGGCTCCGGTGGCGGCAACGGTGTAATCGTGGTGGACGGGAGCCTGTGCATGCATCTGCGCGGCGCCGACTGCCGAGACGCTCGGAGGGAAATTATAAGCATTTGTAGTTGAACTTTCTGGGAGCGCATGGTCAACAACCGGGCTGACTGGTTTTGTCCGCGCCTGCAAGTCTTGGTGTGGTGGGCTGCCGAGTGGGACAGCTGATCCGGTCTTGGGTGACCCCGGACCCGGCTGCCTGCTGTCACCAGGGGCTCCATCTTCCACATCACCTCTCCCAGTGACGGACCGGACATCGCAATACGTGAACACGCCGACGCTGACTCGTGCCACTTCCTCGCCGCCCGCGCTTTTCACAAGAAGTGTCAGAGGCACGTTGCCGAGAGACGGACGATCATCTGGGAAATGCGGCGCTTCAGCAGTGATGGTGTAAGTGCCGCCACCTTCGCCGTGCTGCAAGTCTCTAGCAACCTGTCCTGTGCATTTCCGTGAGCCAAACAAGATGGAAACAAAGGGAGCTGCCGTCGTCATTGCGTGGCCAAGTAAATCGTAGTGGCTGATCACTTTCAACGACACCCTGGTCCCGGGCGAACCCGTAGTTGGCTGGCATGATAGGACGTCGATGTTGTCGCCCGGCGCTCCCTGCGTCTCCAGGTAATGGCTCGACGTGGCATTGTTGGCGGCAAAAGCAATCTGGTTGAGGTGCGAGGCAGAACATTCCGTCTCCTGGGTCGGAAAGGGCTGGGCAGAATACTGTGAGTAGGTGGTATCCGCATACCCTGGTTTGCCCATGCGGCCGCGGTCAGTCGGGTCGCCCGCTGTGGCCTACACAGCCACTCTGGGGCCTACGGCGCAAATGCCACTGGAGTAGCTGACGTACCGTGCAGTTGGGGAGGTTGCGTCTTGTATGCAGACATGGGCAGGAGACCAGGAGGGCAGGGCCCAAGGTCCCCTCCGTTTCGAGCGGCTTCTTCTAGCCGGATTGTCAGTGTCTCCGGTGAACCTAATTCGTCGTCGACAATGATGGTCCGCTGCGGGTAATAATCGGGCTGGTTCTGGACGTCAGCCAGAGATTTTCCAACATCCATTTTCGGAGTCAAGTTTCAACAAAATGCCTTGAGGTGCTGGCGATCGCTGGATCCAGCTAGCGTGTTGCCGAACTTGAAGGTCGGGCCTCCCGGAGCTGGTCCAAAGCCCAGACGGCCCTCGTTCAGAGATTGTTGCTTACCTCAAACACCTTGTAGATCGGCTGACGGATCTTTGTCGCAGACATTCAAGCTGGTGTTTTCTGAGTCTGGAGGTGAGAATCCCGTCGGTGAGTGTAGGAGGAGTGGCCCTGTACAGATGGGCGGTTTAAGGGTCACTGGATTGTCTGTTGATGCCGTTGCGAACCCGACCCTGATTTGCGCCTGTTAGCAAAACACAGCCAAAGTTCCTGGTTGCCGTTCTTCAGGGGTCAACCCAACGGCTGGGCACATAGAAGGCCCGTTTTGGACATACCGTCGCCCTGAGAGCGCAGCTACGTCTGGAGTACAGCGACGTGTAGAAGCTGAGATCTAGAATGGCGGAAGGTTTGGTTGTCGCTGAAAGAGAGCTTATGACGGCACACTTGATCCTTCGACACACGTCGCCACCAAAGAGTCACAATGTCAGCCCGACCTTTAAACAAGCAGTGAGAGCAGATTGAACCCTCTCTCAAGCTGCTTATGGACGCCGATATCCAGCCTTCCGAGCTGGGTCCTGCACAAAGAAATCCAGGAAAGCCGAGCTGGTCAAAATGTCGGTCAGCATGGCTTGGATCAGTCGGGAGGGCGGTTGGGTGGCCCAAGAACTTCCACCAGCGAAGCTCAAGGGTTTCTGGGCGGCACCACCAGTCATCATAAGGTGGAAAGCCCGGGGTCATGGTCGTCAGCGGGCAAGAATGGTTCTTACCCAATTGCTGATTGGCACAAAAGGCGTGATAGTCAAGTCGCAACGGTGGTTCTCGGGAAGCTGGAACCGGAACTGTGGAGACAAGGTTTGATTGTATGCAGCTATCCCGAACCTGTTCGCATGGTCAAAGGTCAGGACTCCGGTAATCAGAACAGCTGAAAGCATGCATCCGTGAACGGTTCGTCCGGTATGGGGGTCTGACGGCGAAGGGTAAAGGGAAGGGAGTGAAGAGGACGAAGACTGAGAGCGCAAGACAGGAGTTGAGACACAAATCGCTTGTCAAGCAGGGCTAGAGAGTAAAGGACAATGATGCTGGGAAGGTAAGATTGAAAGATGTGGGGGGACAATACGGACCAGCAACAGGCTTCATTTCTAGAGAGCGTTGGAGGGCAGGCAAAGTAAAGTGGGCGTCAAATGCTGCTAAGGAATGCGGGATGAGATCTGTCAAGGCGCATTGACACGGGCAGGCAGTGAGTCCCGCCCCGAGCTTGCAAGTCGATGCCCTGGTCGCCCTCCGGCCCGGACTGTCGTCGGCAGGATAACTGGGGCCTGCTGCCAAGCAGGAGTGGAGAGCAGCTCTTCTCTTCCCAGCCCGTCCACCTCGGTCCCGGCTCTTGCCCCAGTGCCCCTCCTCAGAAGCGCAGCAGGCGATGGCAATGAACTGGCAGGATGTATGGCGCGCGGGTGGGCAGGGGTTGGAACTGGCCTGGCCGTTGAATGCAGATTTCCATGGTCTTTTTGGAAGAGATGCGAATCATGCAAGGGTGATGGGGGATTTGGGGGTGTGGAGAACAGCGCCGAGTTCAAGTTGTGTGTCTGGATTTTGAGAGAGCAGCAGGCCAAAGTTTGCATGGCAAGCAGGAGCCGGGACGCAACTGCTGCCAGTGGGCACTGGGAGGGACAGGCTGTCGTCTGTCGACACTGGCAGGCGCGAGAGATGGAGCCTGACAAAATAAGGCAAGTCCCCCCCTCATCGGTCTCGAGGAACATGCTGGGCCTGGATTGAGCACGGCCCATGACAAAGTGAAAATATCGACGAGACGCGACATGAACGAAAGCTCCAAATGTCGGGACAGGGCAGAAGCCAGGAAAAGCAAGCAAAGACCGGGATGGCAGGGGCAGGGGTGACGGCTTGTAGTGTACTGTACACTACGAAGGTACTGTACTTCGTACACGGCTGGACGGAGGTACTTCGTTACTTCCTAACTGGGTCTCTGGTGAGGGCTTGGGATATGGCCGCTGGCTTAACCCCAAGGGGTGGACCCAAGATGCTCGGCGAACAGACCAGGGCGTTGCCGGCCGAATTGGGATTTGTTGAGATGGGGCAGAAATGGGTTAGGCGCATCTGCAAGGCTGGTCAGCGAGGTGGTTACTATTGGATGAAAGGTGGAGCAGCACTTGGGATCTGCACCCGGGAGCAAAGAGATCGTCTTTTCGCGGATTTTGGGAGTTCAGATCACCTGCGCGTCGATGCGCGCCAGACACTGATCCCTGTGATCGAAAATACGACGCTCGGCCATCGCCTGCCATTATCACGGTCCGGATGACGATCCATCGGAAACGAGATGCAAATGACGCCGGCCCTAGCAGCAAACTACCGCTGTCACCATGCTGCTCTCTATCACTCTGCCCAAGACGCCGCGGGCACTCGCGGAGCATCGATTGCAATCCGAGCCACGGATAACGTAAGGTGGTCGGTCAACTTTAGCATTCAAGGAGGGGCGGGAACTAGCCGGGCATAGGGGCATATTGCCGGCTTCATTCGCTGCTCAATACGGACTATTTATTAGGGTACATCCATGATCGACTGCAGCAGCCTGCAGTCGATAAGGTTAACCCTTTGACTGGCAAAACCATCGGGAATTCACAACAAGACGGCAGCAGCCGCGGTAGGACGGACCAACGGGCGAGTTCACCAGTTCAGATGGAAACTCTAGGCGGGAGCAACGTACTTACAGCCGATAGCCTAGCGGACTCTCGGCGGCTGAAACAGCCGCTGCGAGGCGCTGGAGAGGAAGCTTTGACCCTGAGCCAGCTGATTTTAGGGCAGCAACATGCTGAAGGAGAGGAAGGGTGCGTTGTAACAGACGTCTTGGCAAAGCTTGGCAGCGGACTCGTCCCCCATGAATCCTCAAAACTGAAGAGGACGGCATGTTCAAAGTTAAACTCAGGAGCCCTATTATAGGTTAGACAAGCCTTGTGATCCATCTGGTGACGTTGGAGTGTCACTATGAAAGCGTTGGTTAATGTCACTTTTGGAAGTCTGTCTGGTCATCCTCTTGAGCAAGATTGTAACATGACTGGGAAGTTGACGGAGTTACATCTATTAGTAACTTTTCAAGCACTCAAGCCAGCATAGCAACTGAAGGGAGTCAATCGTATATTACTAAATCTTCCTCCCCATTACCGTAACCCCGAACCTCCAAGCGAAGTCGTATTTGGGTTGTTCTAGCAGAAGCAAAGCAAGCTTACAACGCATTGTGAGAGAAAAGAGAGGGAGAGAGGAAGAGAGAGAGATCATAACAACTGGCGTAATACCGTGACAGAGACATATGGAGGTCTCGTGGGGAAGAGGATTCAGCACATGCATAGAAAGGACAGTAAGAAAAGTAATAGGGGCATCGAACATGTTAGAGGAGGACAGAGGTAGATTGAACTTTATCTCTTTATAAAGTAAGTTATACTGATTCTGTCCACAAACTTACACAGTTTGACAATCTCGAATTCTCTCGAAATTCACGTTAATGAATCTCAAAAGGGACATGACGCTCTCCCGAGTCGTTCACATAGCTATGGAATGATGCCTTGCCGTTGCCACAAATCCTTAAGGTAATCTACCTCATGTTGACGAATGGTCACGGTGTTCTGGAATCCGGAGTCTGCACTTGATAAGTTGAATTTAGTACTATCAGTCACAATCTTGAGCCCGAGCAGATTGATAACCTCATACTGCGAGACAGCATACCTCGAATCTCCTACAATACCTATCTAAGGTACCTATTTAGCTACTTAAGTATAGCAAATCCGGTGAACATTATAGATCTGGGTAAGATTCGTACCACCAGGCCCCCTACCGGTATTAACGATAATTCAAGGTACTACTCATCTTCGGGTCAAATATCATCAGGTAGGCATCTAAATCGGCAACTCGGCATACAAATTCAAGTTTTTTCGTTGAGCCCTTTTGGCTGCTAACATGTCGTTGCGCAGCTGTGAGAGCACAAACCCAGCCCAGATAATATCCAACCTGCAGTGGTGGCAGATGCCTCACCACCAGCATGAATTCAACACTTCTTCCGACAAATTGTTAGTAGTCACTTTGCTCCAGGCTCTTTTGATCCTCGATTCAAGCAAACTGAAGAATGCTTGTAAGGCAGCGCAGTACCTGAACTTGGCCTATATTTCAGTCCAGTCTTGCTTTACTGATCCATCTGCAACCGGCCGTGTCCTCGCGCCATCTCCGGATTTAGCATCAATGCGATCCTGCACCAATGCGAGCGCCACGTATACGAATTTAGGACTGCCGCCGCCCGCACAATACGACAATATGTGTCGCTTCGGCCGTAGTACCCGCCCGCTTGACAGATGGGAGAACTTGAACTCGGCCGGATTTGGTAATCGACGCGCTGTACTCTAGTCTTTCGCTAATAGTTCCAGCTCGTCGTCGCGGTAGCGAATTTAATGGAAGGCAGCCTGTCGTTATAGAAATTTGGATCTTGACTAGCAACCTGGCGCATTCTTAACTAATCGTGGATACGGAGTAGAAAGGTACCAGATGTCAGACGGCTTGCGATCTGAACAAGCCACTGCTGACATGGGTTCAGAATTAGCGGCGGGCAGATTCTGTGGCAACTCATGGCGTTCAGGCCGCCTAGCTAACGTTTTCTTCAGTACGGATATCGATCGGGTCCAACACCTAGGCACTTGCTTTCAAACTATTGACAGCGGTACCGCTTCTAGGCGGAATGTACTGCTCCCAGCTCTTATAAGGGATACCGGAGACATGAATATTTTAGCAGCTCATGACTGACACTGCCGGTCTCCGTCCGTCTATGTTCTTTTGGATGCAGGTATCCGCTTCTCATGCGCTCAAGGCCAACAAGAAGCCTTGTAATTCGGCCAGACGCAGACGTATGCAAACACCCGTGGCCCGTCAGCATCAGCAGGACCACAAAATCCCCAATAATCAACATTCGCCTTGCAAGGCGGAACCTTGGAAGCACAACCTCGCCGACCACGTCCCTGGTGTGCGATTCTCATTGTGAACATAAAGACCTCTGTCTGATTTGCTCAGTATCAGTATTTTGGGGAGTAGGCTACTAGGCTGTAGCTAGAGAAGGAGTGGTACATGTATTCTACGGTGTTTCCAGTCTTCTCCGCCCCTCAACTCAGGCCTTTTAGGCAGAATTTCACTTCAAGAGTAGGCCGGGCCAAAGATCTACAGCTCTGTTAGGACTGCTTTGGTTAAAGTTGTGACCTGATCGCATACGGCTTTCTTCCAAGTTGCCATTTCCGAAATCCCAACATCATATCAACATTCAGGAAGACTTAAGGTAACTACCATACTTTTCAGCTACGGGCTTTCCCAAGTTCCACGGGTATCGATGTTTTCAGACAAGACTGACCATCCCTCGGTTGTTGTTGCTCTCGCATGTCCCAATTCAATTACACACCCCTGTTGTGTCCCTAGATGAGGCCGACGAGGGTGTCCTGCAGTGATCGCCGACCAGGAATATGACGGTTAAGCCTATTCAGGCAGGATCCCTGGTGCTCCGATCTTAGCGCCGGATCTTCCCAACCTCTCCTGATTCCTGAATGCCGAGCTGGACAACCGACAACAAAAACTGTGTTTTTCCCACCGTGACCGCCTGCTGAGAAAAGAAAGCCATCATCAGCCATGTCGTTCAATATCGGCTAGATGGTTTGCGCTAGAAAAACCTGAAGGCTTGGGCGCAAAGCGAATCGGCCGATTGGAGGCTCGGGCCTGCCGATCTAGGCTTGCGAGGCGGCCTGACGGTCTGAGACGATCTCAACGGCCCGCGTCGAGACATTTTGCCAGGTGTAGCGTAAAGACAGTGAAGTATCTCCGTACTGCGTACCTACCTGAGTGAGTTAAGGTTACCCTGTTACTAATCAAGCAGCTTCATTCATTCCCCGCATCGTGACACAGAAAATGTCAACAAAAATCACACATCGCTCGCGCTGGCTTCAATTATCCCCACATAGGCTGCCATCAGGCTCCATGGCCCCCGCATTGCGGATGGGATGTTTACGGTTTGATGGCAAAGTTTCAGCTCAGCAGGGCCCTCCTCCCCCAGCTGCCAGCAGAAAAAAAGAGGGAAATGTCGGCGAATCTCAACCTCTGACAGGGGGAGGAAAAAGGCCGGCACCAACGACAATCGGGCAAGCGCTGGCTTGGCGATCGTCTGCAGATCCCGCTTGCAACCCCAATCCAACCCCAATCCGGGCTCCCTGTCAATGATCTGCCGGGCGATTTGCGTCGTCGCACATTGCTCCAGGCTTTCTCACCTCCCTCTTTCGGATTGTTGTTTCCCAGGTTTCCCTGTGCGCCTATCGCGAGTTTCCCATTCCTGTCGCCTCATTTTGTGTCGACCGCCTCGACGACATGGACATGGACCTGCCCTTCAAGTTATGCACATGTATGTGCGTACATAACTGAACACTACCGAACTGGGAGATGACGAGATGTAGGTACACATGTATATGATTAGCTCGAGCCTGGCCCTGCCAGCACGTCACAGCGGTGCCAAACCTCGCAAAACTGCTCAGTTCGGCCCTACTGCTAATGATGATCTGTCTGCGCTGGCAGCCAGTCTTCCGGGCTCAAGCCAAGCGGCCGAGAACGGTGATTGCCAAAACTGCTTTTGGTGCAGCTGCCTGCCGCAGGACAGCTCGAGCCGGTTGGCGTGATGACGGCAAGTGCTCTTGTTCGAGTGGGATCATCGTCTTTGAGGCGGGCTGAACGGACTGTAGACACTGAAGCCATCATCGATCAACACAAGTCTACAAAACTTTACAAGACATTCCCCGGCCCGGCAACATGAAGTTGACATGCGGTGTAGGGGGACATTCAGTGCTCTAGTCACGGTCTGGTTCCTGCCCAACGGATCCTCCAACGTTACACTACACTGCATGTTTCTGTTGGAAGTGCAACGTTATGCCACTGAGCTAAAAACTTGGGCGCCCACTATTTCTTGCGGACTTGGTTCTGCACTTCAGCTTTTCTAACAGTTCCTCTAGGTTTAACCTTAAGTTTAACTGAAACCAATCCACCGGTCTGGAGCAGGGCCGTAGTGTACCGCGTAGTTGGGTAGGTATGTGCTAGGCGCCAAACCCGCGGCATCACCCCGTAGGCCGCCGGCGATACTACGGAGGCATCACACAGTCGGTCGTATGAGGTAGTAAGGTGTTCTCCACCGCTCTGCCGGCACTGTCTTTCATGCACAGCATACTAGACACTAGACAGACCGCAATGGTCCACCCGGTTTCACGTCCTCTGGCCCCATACCTTGCTCAATACGGAGTAGTCATACACTTCAAGGGGGCTAAATGTGGGAAGACACCATCCCTCTTGCAGGGCGTTGTCGTTGATGGTTGGCCGGTCTCCTTACCTTTCCAGTAGGTATGCAGATATGGATGACACACCTTCCAGACACCTCAAGCTTCAAGGTCATAACTGAACCAGAGCAGTGGGCAAAGAGACCGAACTATCCCTATCCTTGCACAGGAATCCAGTCTCAAGTGTCACCAAGGGCGACTTTTGCCTCCTCTAATGCCATCAAGGAGGTATGTATGTATGAACGTGTAGTTGCCACCACTCCAGCCTTCATGTTCAGTTGTCAACATGAAACTACACCCGCTTTCGGACCCGGCACACGCCGGACGAATCACAAAAGAAGATGCTTGATCAGGAAGCCTGTTTGTGCTCCCCGCTCCAGTCCTTAGGACAAGAGCGTGTGGACGTCACCGGTCCCGGTCCGTCCTACCGGACAGGACGGTCGTCCGGTGGTCACGTCACCAGGTGCCCTACATCGACTTACATCACTGCATCACAAACACCAGACAGACCAGACCAGACCGGGCCATGGTCGACCCCCTGCCCCTCACAACAAGCCAACCCAGCGTTCATGTCCCGAGTCTCGACTCCACTGGCAGGGCTCAGGCTGCTATGGGTGGTACAGTTCTTCGGAACCTCTCCGAGCGGCCCACCGTCTTGCCCAGGACCAGTAAGGTAAGGTAGTTCTTGCTAACCACTGGATGGATGTGAATCTCACATCCTGGATCGTAGGACATGACCCCCCCCTTACCCACTCGCCCCCTCCTTTTACCATCTTCCGCCAATTGCATTTGCCTGTGCTCTCCTGGTCCTTGGAACTCCATCACGTCTCAGCCAATGATAGCAATCCAGCCAGGCGTGGACAAGTTTAGTTGCACCTCCTCCTCACACCACAAAGACAGGAGGTAGGTAAGGTAAGGTATGTACGATCCTCGTAGAATGGATGTCCAATCCTCGGGCTTCCACACCGCGCGGTGATATCAGGTTCAAGTCTGAAACGATCCAGATCATAGTAGTATTTCATTGATGGTTTGAACTTTTTAGAAGGCTCTACTAGTAGCCGTCTCTCTCTCTATATGCTAGATGCTCCCAATCTACTACTCGCCATCTAAAATGGGTGAGTAAGCCACCTCACCGTCAGGGGCTCGGTGCTGTGCAGCATCACGTTAACCCCTCCAACAGCCCAACCAACCTCTCCCACTCCGCACTCCCCTCCCACGCCTCCTTCGCCTTACCCATCACACTCCTGACCGCACTCCTCGCCTTGCCTTTCCACCTACCAGGCCCGCCAATAGCCGCAACCTCATCACCATAATTCTCCAGCATCGCCACTAGCTCGTCCGTCCGCTCCACCACCGTCCGCCACGCCTCCTCGTCCTCCAACCAGTTCTTACCAGCACCACCAGAAGAAGAAGAAGAAGAAGCAGATGAAGGCAGCAACCCACCCCCGGCGCCCGCAGACCCAACCGCAGCGCGCCACGCCCGTTCAGCAGCATCCACCGCGCCAGCATAATCCCTCCTCCAAACCCTCTCTCTGGCCACAATCTCCCACAGCTCCGACCGCGCCGTAATAAGCGGCACCACACTCGTCTCCAAAAAATCACATACACTCCGCTCGGTTGAGCCACGCGGGGGTTCGTAAACCCCTACAGATCCCTCAGCCTTGTCTTGGGAGAGGACGGTCTCGTTGAGCAGCAGACGGAGCACGTCAGTGTCGAGCGCGTCCTCGGTGGCACGGATGCGCACGACGTGCCGCAGCGCCAGGAGCAGATCGGATATGGCCGGGGGACGGAGGCGTGAGGCCAGCGTGATGACGTTGTCCCAGATGCGCCAGTTGTCGTGGGCGATGGCCGCGCCGCGCTTGTAGGCGGCTAGTGATTGCGAGAGGAGGGTTGAGGGGTCCCGGTTTTGCTGGGTAGTTGTTGCCGTTGTGGTAGTGTTTTCTGCGATGGTTTTGTCCTCGTCTTGGTCTCCGTCCGTCTCGTCCTGCTTCCCTTCTTCTTTTCCTTTCCTCAGTTCTTGTACCCGTTCAACGTAGAGGCTGTAGAGAGCGCTGCCGAGGTTGCTCCACGTTCGGGCATCTTCGCCTCCGACGGCGTTGTCCGCAGAGGCAATTGCCTTCCCAAACGCCTCGGCAGCCTCGGAAAAGTCACCCAGGCGCAAACTGATGTCGCCTAGCCGATTCCATAGCTCGGAGCTCAGCCGGTTCACGGCGACGGCCTTTTTGTAGGCATCCCTTGCGCGTACGAGATCCTTCTGCTGGATGTAATGCTCGCCCAGCGACTTCTGCGCTCGCGCAAACCGGTGTTTGGATATCTCCCATGCACGCTCGTAGTGGGCGGGGTTGTCCTCGATGTCGCCCAGGATGCACCACAGCCGGGGCGCGTTAGGAGGCGGCGGTTGGCGCTCTGGGCCGTGATGGTCTGCTTCTTTCAAGTCATCAATGTCCACGTCCTCGTCTGCGTCGACTGAATCCCTCTGCAGCTCCACAGTTGACCCCGTCCTCTGGAACAACCGCCACCTCAGAACTGCTTTCGCTTTTGCCTCTCCACTGGCACCCCTTCCATCCTCGTCCTCCTTGGCCGCATTGCTGGCGAAGCAAAGTGCTACCTCGGCCCATAAGCGGAGACGCTTGAAGATCTCGAGCGCCGAGACCAGTGATCCGACGCCCACCCACGCGTACGCGAGCTCAGACTCAAGGTGCCATCTCGGTGGCGAGCTCAGTGCATGGATATACTCCAAGCGGACCGGCGCCGGGGCAGTCTCGCTCGACTTAGGGGCGGGAAAGAAGGATGTAGGTTTGCTTGGTGCCTGTTGGTCTGCTGCCTCCCCATCCGATGTGACGCGGATCTTCGGGACAGCGGTCTCAGCCGGTTCCCCGTTCTTGGTTTCGGTCGCGCTCGCGCTCTCGGCCGCGGTTTGGGTAGTGTCGACAATGACCTGATCCACCACAGCTTGCATCTGTAGCACACCCCTTTCTATGGTCCTGCTGCGATGAACCTCGATTCTCGATCGGACCAGAAGCGCGTGAGTGTAGATCTGCCAGTTGGTGGACTTGTCAGAGATGACGCGGACCGCAAAGGGGAGAACTTCTTCCGATGTAAGGGTGTCGACGGGTGAGAATGTGTCCTTTAGTGTCGCTTCGGCGAGTAGGATGATCTGATCCAAGGGCGACAGCTGCGGCTGCTCGTCTGGAACAAGATCTTTCAGCGCTTCAGGGAGTTCCGACGGCCCCTTGTCGGCGCCACTCTCCGGTGTCTCCTTGGTGAACTCCACGTCCTCCAGCAACGTGTCGTCGTTGAGTGCCAGAGCCTGTGGTTTCGCCGCGGCTAGCTTCCCAGCCTCTGCCGGTACAGTCTGCCCACTCTTTGCTAGCACGACAAGCTGGCTGGTACTTTTCTCCTGGAACCGCGTCCTCTTTCCCAGCGCGCCGGACAAAGCATACACAAACCCACTCAGCTTGGTCGCCTGGCGCAGCGCTTCCCTGGCTTTCGCGTCGTGGCCGAGGAGGATGCACACGTTAGCTTTCTCCACCAGGAAGCGTACCTTGTCGACCGTGCTCCACGCATTTTCGCCTGACAGAACCTCATCCCCCACCACAATCAGCCCTTGTTCAATCATCTCCCTCAAACTCGGCACATCACTCCACTGCGAGCTTTTCGTGAAGACAGATCCCGGACCCAGACTCGGTTGAGTAAGAAGCTTGTAATGCCAGACATTGACGCGCAGCGCAAGCCACTGCGGCGACCGGATTGCTCCGTCATGGCCACCCCCAGCTTGACCCTCCCCGCTCCCAAGCTTCAGCCCATTGTTCCGTCCCTTGCCCGTCAAGATGTGCCTGGCCAGACAAAACAGCTCGATATGCGGAATGTGCGAGTACACCGACACGCCGTCGACATCAAGGGACTGCAAACAGGCCTTGCGCAGGGCCCCTTTTCCCTCGATGCCAGGTACCTTCAACCTCAAGAAGCGTCCCTCGACTTTCCGCACAGCTGTCTCATCCAGCACTGGGCCGGTGACGTTGGCTTGCAAGAAGGCGTTGAACGCGGCAAGCCCAACGACTAGTCTGTCCTGCGATTCGGAGATCTCGTTGATCACGTTGTTGATACCTGGATGAAGCGAGCTGACAAACTCGTTAATGAGAGCTTCCGCGGGAGCTGTGAGCAAGACATCCATGTACCGACCAGCGCGGTACAAATTGAATGTCTCGGGGGATTCCATTGTGATATGACTGGCTACGCCGGCTACCCCTATTCTCATGCAGATGGGGGTTTGCGAGGCCTTGCTCAACGATGGAGGGGCAGATGGAGGGGCAGACCAAAATGGAATTTATTTCATGGGAGAATATGTTAGTAACTTAGTGAACGCCTTGAAGTTTGGGCTGCCAAGCTTTTTTAGCTGTTAGGTAACAGTTGACAACACCGGATAAGTACATCATGGATACAGACCTAATTCTATGCACCAACCGGGGCGGATGTGCTGCCATAACCCGAATCGACAGAACATTGAACGACGACGCTCTCGCACATAGGTAGCATACAGCAATGCAAGAGCTCAGCCTCCATGACACCCTTCCTACCGTCACTATTCAGTTCGCTCGACTCCAGGGCGAACGCGCATTCAGTGCAAGCGGCGCGGGTTTCAGGGATGCTCAACGAGTGAACGATGTCAGGAGCGATTAGATAAGAGAACCAATGCCAGTAAAGCCAACGACCACAAACAAGAGATGGACACAAGAGACGCCAGTGATGTCGTTCACCCTACAAGTTGCTTTGTCACATACAACTATATAGCCGTCACTAGACTACAAGCTCAAGTTTCAAGTACACACTCTCCATACAGACCCATATCTCTACCGCGTTGATTGACGGCTGTTGAGCCGCCTCTCGCTTGGCAGTCTCACTACTCTCCAACAGCTGCCAATCCACAACCATGATCTCACGCTCCCAATCCATCATCAGAAGCTGGTCAGAAGCCGGGACAAACCAACACTCCACTCCATCAGAGCGCTTATTTCTTGCCCTTATTCTTCTTACTCGGCACAACACGGAAGCCAGGAACGCTCGTGTCCTCCTTAGCAGCATTATTGCTGCCCTTCTTAGCCACCTCGTTCCAGCCCCCGTTGCTGCTGTTTTTGGGGTCGTTGGCGGACGCGCTAATCGGCTCCTTCTCAATGACACCTTTATCGGCAAGCTTCTTGCGGCGCACAAACTCATCCGCAAAATGGCGGCAATCCATGGTCGTGCTGTAGCTATACACAGCCTCAGACAGGATCGACGGGTCCAAAGGCATCTCCAGCAAGGTGGCGGCAAATTGATCGACTGGAAACATCACCTTGTCAGTACGTGTGCAACCAGCGTGCTTGAGTGGAAGCAACTCACTGTCATTGACCCCAATAAGGCCCCGCGAGAGCTCGCGGTGGAGCCACTTCTTGAACTCCTCCATTGCCTGGTTCTTGGCATCTTTAAGAGATGTGGTTGCCACCTTTGGTGCGGGCTTAGCCACCGCGGGTGCGGGCGTGGGCTTCATATTGCTCGCGCTAGCAGAGCGGTTTTGCACCGCGGGCCCCGTTGGAATCTTCACCTTGCCGCCCGCTCCAACCGTCGACCATCCGCCACCCTGGCCGGCTTGGGACACAGCGGAAACCGTTGGAAGCCCAGGAGGCGCTGAGCCTTTGCCTGCCAGGTCCGCATAGCGCTTGCCCACAGCAGACGCGGACGGCGTGCTGGCCTGCGCTGCTTCTCTGGCCTTCTGCTTACGCAATTCTTCCTCTCTTTGGATGTCGGCCAGCGTCTTCTTGGAACCAGCAGGGCCAGCAGCAACCCCAGTTTTTACGGCAATGGGTTGCTTCCACGGGCTGCCAGCGGGTGCGCCAACAGGCGAACCAGTGCCCCAAGTGCTGGTAGGTGGAAGGCCAGTAATGGCAGCAGCGGCCGCCTTCTCGCGCTCGCGGATGGCTGCAGCTTCCTGCTCCAAAGCAGCCCTTCTGGCTGCCGCGGCCGCCTCCTCCTTCTCAGCGGCTTTCTTTGCCTCCATCTCCTGGATTTCCTTGAGGCTCGGGCCCTTTTGCGTCTCTGTACCAGCCCAAGGTGCCGTCGGGGGCGGGGCCAGCGCAGCCGCATCTGAGGTGGTATCCGGCGTGCCGGATGCGGAGCGCTCGCCATACCTCGCCGGCAGATTCGACGCAGGACGCTGGGCAGTAGGGGCCGCAAGTGGCGTGGCCTGCGGAGGAGGGAAGGGCATGGGGAGGTCAGAAGCAGACGACTGCGACGACTTTGCATTGTCGGCCTGCGTTTTGCGCACCTTATCACTAAGAGAGAGCTCCGACTGGGCCTGAGCTTGCGCAGCCGTCTTCTTCGCGAAACCAGACTCAGGAGCAGGTGCCTGAGCCTTTGCTGTGGCAATTCCCGTCGTTGTGGGGGCCGAGAGGCCACCAGTTTGCGAGCCCTCAGCAGATTGCTGCACGTCGGAATGGCCGGGAACCTTTTGGTCGGCATTCAAAGCGGCCTCTTCGGCATCGAACTGGGCGCGCAGCTCCTGAAACTCCTTGAGTCTCTCGCTGAAGCCCTGCGGGTCCTTTTGTAGTTGATCGACTCCGGGAAGCTGACTGCGCAACCCGCCGTCACCTGCGGGGCCCCCGACGGCTTGTGAACCGGGAAAAATTGCCGGTAGACTACCAGTCGCTTGCATGCTTGCAAGCATCTGGCGCTCGCTGAAGTTCAGATCGGGGGCAAAGAGGTCCGTTGGAGCCCCGATGGGCGCCTGAGTAGGCCCGTGCGGGATGCTCGCCGCCACATCAAAGAATCCCGCAGCGGGTCCGATCGGCGCGATGGGATGCTGAGCAGCCATCCCAATTGGAGATGTGATGTTTCCAAAGCTAGGCTGGCTTTGGAGACTGTGCGCGCTGGAGTGGTGATGCAGGGCGCCTGGTACGCCCGGCTGAATCGGCGCGGGGCGGCCGAAAGCCTGGTGGTGATGTTGTGCAAGCTCGCGCTGCCTGGCGTGGAACATCTGCTCCTCTTGCTTCCTACGTTCCAGGTCATTCTGCTGCTGAGCGGTAAGGGTCCGTCCAAAAGACGGAAATGCGTTCTGCAGCGGTGGGACAGCTTCGGACGAGCTCCCAGCGAAAGGGCCCGTGGCGGGAGGCGGGCCATGCGGAATACCCATCTGAGGTACGAGAAAGGGTTCCCTAGAATTGCCGATGCGCCTGATGAGCTGGCCGAGGGGCTCGAAGTCGGGGTCCTCAAGACGTTTCACGCGGAGGTCGGCAGTAAAGAACTGTGCCTTATACCAATCGTTCATCTCCAATCCGCTGAATGGTCCCTGCACTGTACCTTGAGGATCCAGATAAACCCACCGCATTCTATCGGGCATCACCATGGTCCTAACGGGTGGATCTGCGGCAGACTGTGCGGATGGAAACGACGAAACGCCAGCGGTTGCTGGGAAAGATTGAGCCTGGGCCGTCGTCGTTAGACCAGGCTGAGTTTGCTCGGCGGTCGAGAAAGGAGATCGGGTGGATTCGGTGGCCGGGAAGAGATCTTCAAAACCGCCCCTGCCGGACCTTATCGGGCTGCCCGTGTCGCGCGGCTGCAAGCCAATCGCGCTACGACCGATAGCGCCCAGGGGGTTGGCCTGTCGGAGATCAGGCATCGAGTCGTGGAGGCTGTCTTGGTCGTGCCCATGCATCTGAGCCTGCATGGCCGGAGGGAAAAGAGACTCAAGCTTGCTGCCACGGCCCAACCTAGACCCACTAGGAGCCCCAAACATACCGCCCAATCCAGTGAGGCTTGGCGACGGGAGATCGGTCAAAGGGCTAAAGATGCTGCCTCCAAAGGCGTTCTGAAATGCGGCCCGTTCGCGATCCGGCGTACCGACCGACGGACCAGCTGGCCAGCCCGACAGGGGGTTCACTGAAGAAAAGCCCTTGGCTCCGACGCTAGATGTCTGGCTCCGATCACTGCCATCAAACGCTGTGGCGCCGAACGACCGGGGGAGCGTGTTGAAATTCGATTGCTGCTCAGTACCCGGACCAGGGTGACCTAGCCGATCTGGTTCAGGGTCGTCATGGCCCTCCTCGCCGCGCTCAGCCAGGGGGCTGCGATAAGGGTTGGTCTCAGATGGGCTCGTCGGACCGTTGGCATCACCTTGGCCGCCTAGGTTTAGACCGGCCATCCCAAAGTCACCGGCACTACCCTTGATCGGGGTATCGAACACGCCCCCGCGCTGATGCTGCGCAGAAGCAGACGGCGGGCTATTGTCGTGGGCCCCGCCCAGGACGGCGCTTCCTGAAGGACCGTCGTCAGTGGCAAAAGGGTCTGTATCGGTCCGCTGACGAGGACGCCAGCTAGGAGCATCGCTAGGTTTGGCGCCCGCGTTGTCAGTCGAATCCTTCGGGATCAAGTGGGCGAGGCGGCTTCCGGTACCGAACCGCTTGTCACCAATTGGTGGAGTGGGCAACGCAAAATTTCCAAAGCCGCCAATACCACTCGACACGGCGGTGGGACCAGTGCCCCAAAGCGAGCTTTGACTTCCAAACCCAGAGGTGCCAGTGGTGTTGCTGCGCGGCAATGTAAAGGGCTGGGTGCGGGAAGGCGTATCACGGGCCTGAGTGTCCTCCTCCGGCTCGTCGGATATGGACTCCTTAAGCTCAGTGCTCTTGCGAGGAACCCAAGGCTCGTCGCGGGCAAACCTAGTTGCTGTCGGAGAGGACATGGCGGCGCCCGAAAACGGGTTCGTGTCTGTAGTCTCCCGCCGGCGAGTGCCCGGACGGGAGGTAGTCGACGGCGATGAGGCGGGATAATTGGCGGTACTACCAATGCTAATGGAAGTCTTCCGTCCGTTAACCCCGCCGCCCCCAGGATGATTCCCTTCCTTGTTCTGCTGAGGCGGTTTCAGAGTGGAGTTGACATCGGTAGCGAACATCTCGCGCTCCTCCGGCGACATATCCTCCAAGCTAATCGGTTTCACCGTGCCATTCGCATCCCAACAAACGCTCGGGTCCTGTGGCACATGAGGAGAGTCCGTACTTTTGCCCCATGCTCGGGGGTGACTCCCATTTACGTGCGCCGGGTTCCAGTTCGGCATAAAGAGGCCGGATGTGCTGACTTCAGATGACTCAACATGGTTCTTGTATATGTCCAACAACTCCTCCCTGGTGTAGCGCAGATCCCCAGGGGAGTCGAGACTAGCTGTCTGAGGCATTGCGGACGAGGAAGGGATGTCGGTGCTCGTACTCTGTGGCGCGTCGGCTGGACTAGCTGTGGCAGATGGATTGAAAGGCGTGGTTGATGCTCGGCGAAACGTTCTGGTGCCGTTGGAACGCGGCCTGGTACACGGATTAGACAAAAGCTGCGCTCTGAATAGTAAAGCACAGGTGGCTGCATTTCATATACGGAATCGATCGAAAAATTGTTACGACCAGGGATACGAGGTTTGAGGTTTTGCGGGTTTGAGTACCAGCAACGTTTCGCGTCGATGCGAAACGTCCTCGCCAAGCAGGCAAGTGACTGAAGCGACGACAGGATTGAGATGCCAACGAGATAAGAAACCATATAAAAGCTATCAAGACAAAACTCACCATTCATTGCTTCCAGATCCACGGCCAGAGTCACTTCGACCGATGGTTCTCGAGTCTCGATTTTGGCCGGCGGCGGCAGAGGCAAAGCTCGATGGTAAGTGAGCCATGTTAAAGACTGCAGTCAAGACTGACAAAATCAAAGGGCTGTGAGAGGTGAGTCGTGGCGTAGTAACTGGTGAATACTAGTCGGGATTTCAATCGTTCGCGGTCGTGAGGCAAGGTTCCAAACTACAAAGTAGCAGAGCTTCCCTTTTTTGCAAAGTTTCGTCGAGTGTCGTGGAAGGTGAGAGCCGAGCCCGACCCACTTGGGCTCAAAACGTGACCTTGCCCGTGACTTTTTAGACAAATGTGGCTTGCCACACAGTGGGACTCAGCACATTTGTATGTAGATTGTGGCGCGAGACACTGTACGCGTTTCGGCTGTGGACTCGGGGTGGGGTGATTGACTTGTCGGATTTCCCATGGCGACGGAACGTTCGCTCACCGATGACGTGTTCTTTCATTCATGGCCTTTCGCTCACAAAGGAGAGACTGCCTGTATTCACAACAAACCTGACTCACGCATCATCAACGGATGCACGAATGGATAGCAACTCAGTAGCCCAGTAGCCCAGTAACCAGTGAACCGTCCCCACCGTCCAGCGTTGCTACACAGTAGTAGCTTTCGGTTAGCTTTTGGTGGATGTTTCCCTGACTGAAAACTCGAGCATTGCGTTGGACGGGCACGCGCTTTCGTCAACCAATTTCCTGGCCGACTCAACACCCGCAACAGGCACTCGGTATTCGAAATGACTTCCGTTTTGTGGCTCTTTGCCTCCCGGGAGTGGGTACGGAAAGGGGAGGTACTCTGGGAGCAATCCCAGCTGCCGGAGAACCGTCCCTTGGTCCCAGGCAATGTGCTCGTGGTAGAGACGGTCACCACGGATGTTGACAATGCCTGTGAACGGGATGCTCAGCGGTTTGAAGGTCGGCGGGATGCCGGGGAGTCTGGTACGGCCGGTTTCGTCAGCATTTGCTAATCCAGGAACAAGTCAAGTGAGCCGTACAGCCAGTCGATCACCCGGTCATGAGTGCAATTGAACAGAAACTCATCCACGATGCGGTCGATGCCCACCGTCCGGCTGACCAGCTCGAGCGCCGCATCGTCCGGGTTGCTGAAGATGAAATGGTCCCGGTAAAAGCGTGTCAGGCTCGCCCGGCCAATGCCTCCGGTCAGGGTCGGCACGTGGTTTACATAGGGCTCGTCGACCATGGTCGCCATGGTGGCTTCGACGCTGCGGTCGGCGAACTCGTAGCGCGTGTGCTCATCCCATATCGCTTCCAGGTCGAAGTAGGGCCCTCCCATCAGCGGCTTCAGGAACGACAGCGACCGCGTGTGCGACACCGCCGTGGCACTCGCCCGGTAGTTCGCATGCGCTGGAGTGGTGAAGCAATCGGCTGCACCTGGGTAAGAGTAGACCTTGGCACCGTTCCCTCCCCTCGCTGCGTTACTCCCAGGCAGATGCGCAAGCACTGGAACAGGCGCCTCCCCTGAGGGGCAGCATCCATAAAAGACTGACGCTACGATCTTTCGATGAGCCTTGATGGCGTTCAGGAGCTCTTCACTGTTCACAGCTGCTTCGTCCTGTATCACTAAGTTGACCAGCTGTCAGTGATGGTGATTACGGAAATCCAAGTTGAGGGAACCATAAATAAGCTGTTAACCCACCAATCAACCCAAGTTTGTCTCCGGTACACGCTGGCAACTTTTCAAGCTCGGCAATGGCGATGCCAACCTGCTCGACCATGCTGGCTGTGCCGGGCCCGGTGAGCAATTGGGCGACTGCGTAGCCCTCTTCGGCCCATTTCTGCTGGGGCGGAGGGTCGAGGGTCTTGTCGTGCCGATTTAGGTCCAGAGTGGCAGGCACGACGAGCACCAGGCCCGGGCCGTGGCCGCGCCGCGAGAGCGGGGGTTGAATGGAGATCTCTGGTGTGACCTGAACACAGGCGGCCGATGGAAGCTGGTTGGTCATCGTTGGCTTATTACCCTAGACTGAATCGGTGGTTGGTCCTTGTTTGGCAAGATGAAAGGTTCAGCTTGCAAGTCGAAGATGGATTCGGCACAACTTCACAAGTTTATGACCCGGAGGCGTGGAACTGTGGATCGACCTCGGATCTACGACCTCTGCCATGCTAACGGTACCATACATGTGGATGGTAACACGGCCGCTCCCGCTACCCTCTCATCTGCAGGCGGGGTTACACTCCAGCTAGATAACAAGGTGGGACTCCGGAATAAAGTAGGTATGTCACTCTATTCGCAAACTGGTGGCTCCCAAATTCACATGAATATTCCCATATATCGATTTCGTAGGCCTTGGATACATGTGTATGGCTGGATACCTCCCTCCCTCGTTATAGTCTCACCTCCCGGGCTGTTGATTTTGATAATGAGCTCCTTAGATAATAAGGAACTCCCTAGGGCAATGGGGCAAAAGAAAATGGCATAAAGCTCGGGCGGGAAAGCCACCAAGTTCTGGAAGGAACTGTTCGAGGGGCGCCTCCCCTCTAGAATCTTCAAGCTGCAGATTGAAGAATCCTAGAAAGGGCCTCGAAACAGAACTCGAACCCATGACCTCCCGCCCTACGAAACCGTGCAGAACGATTTCATAGTTAGCTGAGATATCCACTCGGCCACAGGACCACGCCCTGTGGTGAGTCTAACTTGCTTTACCTCGCGCAGGACCTTGAATATATACCCTTTCCCGCTTCGCTCCCTCGCTGGCCTAATCCATGGGCCATGTTATCGAGTCGTACATGTACGCGGCAACGTCAGACTTCAGCGTGGCTAGCTATAGACTGCTCCGAGTCTCGGACGGCAGAACTGAGAAGACTCGGAGCCACAGATGGGAAACTTGAACTCAGTGTCTGTTTTCAAACCCCTTACGCACCTTAACTGCCATCTTCAACCAACTGAAGAGTGAGAACATGGACCAACGTGACATATCACTGGCAGCTTTGAAGATCCATAATCGTCAACCTACCTTAAGTCAGGATGGAACATGTCACAGTCAAATACCAACAGCAACTTGGAACTGGAGTTTCATTGTAAGGGCCTTCCGTCGCTTTTCTCTTCCCTTGGTCCGTCCAGACATCAAGCAGTGCCAGTGACCATCTTAATCCTGCCTTCCACGCGAGGCGCAACCGCTCTAGTCCACGAGACCTCGAATTCGCCCTCGGCCAGGTCATCGCACAGCTTGCCCTCCACCCCGGCCAGACGGCACCATTTGCGGAAGACGCGGCGCATGATGGAAAGCTCCCTGTCGAGGTTGCGGACGTCTGCGCGGGCGGCCGCTTCTGCCTCTGCTTCACCTTCAGGTTCCCCCGGTTCTGACTCATCGCTGTCCTCGGCACGTCCGGCCAGCGGGGTGAGGTGAGATTTTCTGTCTCTTAGCTTTGCCGCCGTCCACTCCGACCATCCGCCTTCTGATCTGGTTGACTTTTCCTTAACTGGGCTGGCGGGCGGTGACCCTGAGGGTTCTCCGACAATGGGATGGCACTTGGCCACATCCTTTGCGACTTGGGCCCTGTTCAATGCCGTATGTTAGTTATGGTGTTTTCTTTCACGGCATGATCAAGAGTGAGTGACGAAAACATACCAGTGCCGCTCCATCGATGGTGCCCAACCCGCCCACTTGTCCATTACGGTCAGGGACATGAAGTACTGCCGCAAAATGGTCGAGATGAGCACGCCGTTCTCTTCCGACACTACCTCCTCACACTCGCCGCCTTCGGGCTGCACCAGCAGGCTCCGATACCCGTCCTTTCCGCGCGCCATGTAGCCGCGCGTAGCCATGACGTAGATTCGCTTGGAGTCTATAGGCGTTCCGCCGACGCTGGCCGAGATGATTCGCGACCCTACGGGACGGGCCGGGTCAAACTCGAATCCGATATTGGACACCTGAGGGAATCGGCCTAGAAAGACAGCGTTAGGACTCAGAATCGCCCATATCCAGTCGAGGAGGAGGCTTACCTTCTAGCGAGGGATACAGCGAGACGCCGTTTTCAAGCGCATCCCACAGAGCCTTGCCAGAGAGCTTAATCACCACAACGGGGTCTTCAAACGGAAAACAATTCGTCACATCCTTAACCCTGATCGGGCCCGGCGCATATACCTGATCGCCGCGAATCGTGCCGGACGCCATGAGCGCACACTCAGCACCGTAATGATGCCGCATAATATCACACACAAAATTCCCCAGATTACTCTCCTTCAGCCTCACAGTGGTAAACCGCGCGTCAAGCGGTGCAGCGGTCCAGCCGATGGGCATTTCGAGACTCTTCTTCAGCTTGGCAGTGAGCTTGTCGACCAGGGCGAGCGTCTCAGCATCCTCGGGCACGGCGCGCACAATGTCGCGGCGCCAGATATCGACGTCCCATCTCCTGCCACTGGCACTCCCCGGCTCCGCCCGCCGCACCTCCAGGTAGCTCAACTGCTTGAAGTCGGACCCGGACCGCAGCACGTGCGTGCCATTGATAAGGCTGTGGGCGTAGAAATGGTCGTGCCCGCCGAGGATGATGTCGATCCCGCCGCCGTCAAATCCGCCAAGCTGCGCGGCCAGCTTGTTGTCGTTGGGCTGCCGCATGTGCGTGATGGCGATGACGATGTCGGCGCCCTCCGCGCGCAGCTGCGGCACCAGCTCCCGCGCCACCTCGCTGGCGGACCGGTAGATGATGTCTGGCGGTAAGGAATTGACCGTGTCGAGCCACTCGCGCTCGCCGAGGCCGAGCAGGCCGATCTTGATCCCGTTCGAGGTCGTGATCATGTGCGTCTTCTTGGCGTTGCCCAGCGGCACGCCCTCCCCGAGAGCCGGGTCTAGCACGTTGGCCAGCAGCCAGGGGAAGTGGCACTTGGAGGTCAGGTGTTGGTACTGCAGCACTCCAAAGTCGAGGTCATGGTTCTGTGGCAGTGGCCCGGAGTTGTCAGTGTGCCGTACCACCCTGCTTGGTGAGTGGTAACCCGAAGACTCAACGTACCCCAACACAGGCGCAATCGGTTCCAATCATGTTCAGCAGAGGGACCATGTGGCTACCTGCGCAACAGGACGACAAGACGACGGTGTAAGCGGATGTCGGTCAAGGCACGTGCGCAACTTACCCACCCTTTGTAATGGAGCTCTCAAGGCTTGGATTAAAGACGTCGCCGGAGAAAAGCGTGACTAATTCTGGCTGGCCCCGGAACCGCTCAGCCTCGCGGTACTCCTTGCAGACCGTCATGAACCGAGCGATGCCGCCAACGGGCTCAGCCGACGACGGGTCGAGATGATAGACATCGTTGTAATGAAGCAATCGCAGGTCCGGCGGAGAGGTCACATCTCGGCCGGAACTGAAGGTGACGGTGGGTTCGGCTGTTGGGGGATTTTCTGAATGGGTCATGTTATTATCGGCCAAGGGGATTCTCTATCAAGGTAACTTTGTTTGACGCTTCGAGCTGGAGCTGTGTCGGTGTGAAACGACAGCTGAGCATGAGGCGGGGCTGCCATGGCGATGGATGTGGAAATGTGGATGCCACGCCGATCTGCAGCCATGGCGGCAATCCGTCCAATATGGTGGGGCTGGTTTTCTTTTGTCCGCCAGAAAGAAAAGTTTCAAGATGCTAATGATGTGAGTTGCGGGCCACAGACTGCCAAATTTTCCATCGAGATATGCCATAGACATTCTCTCCTTCGTACTCCATGCCCTACCGGGCAATTAGGGCCTCATGACATGCACGCCCTTCCGAACTGGAGCTCGTTTTGACCCCGCCACAAGGCTTCTGTGGGGTAAGGCCCCCCTGGCCTCCACTGCAAGTGGTGACTATAAAAGACTGTCCATACATGGCCGCTTTCGGAGAAAGCTTCAAGATGTAGCCGACTCAGAACGGTCAACCATGGCATCCAGCGTTCCCACCATCCGGCATGCCCGGCGAGAAGGTCTTGTGCTCCGCCCTCCCTTCACAACCTCACCTCAGGCTGACAATTGCCCCTGAAACTAGACGTCCCCGCCATCCTGGAGCTGATCCGCGAGCTGGCCGACTACGAGCACGAGCTACACAGCGTCGAGGCGACCGAGGCGAAGCTGCTGGAGACGATCGCGTTCGCCCCGTCTGACTCGCCCCTTGTGGACGTCTCAGCGACGGGGGGCATCCCGCAGACGGAGCCCACCTCCCCTTCCAGGCCGGCGCGGTGTCTGATCCTGATCACGCCTGCGGGCGTCCCCGCCGGCATCGCGCTGTACTTTTACAACTACAGCACCTGGCGCGCCAAGCCGGGCATCTACCTCGAGGACCTATACGTCAAGCAGAGCGAGCGCAAGAACGGCTACGGCAAGCGGCTGCTGGTCGCGCTCGCCAAGGAGGTCGTGGCAATGCAGGGCGGCCGCCTCGAATGGAGCGTGCTCAAGTGGAACGAGCCGTCCATCAAGTTTTATGAGAGTATTGGCGCCAGGATGATGAGCGAATGGGTCGGCATGCGCGTCGATGGGGATGGGTTGACCAAGCTAGCGACGCTGCTGGACTGAGCCATGTAGATGCAAAGTATACAAACTAGGCTTCTCTGTGAATATCTCGGGGTCCGGGGTCCGTATCGTTGTCTGATATTGCGCCATACCTCAGCCCTCACTGCGCTTGGTATTGCATCGCTCGAACAGTCCTGCCGCGCTCTCTTCAGCGTTTCCCTATGGCTCCTTGGGCTGTGGACTCCGGACCGGTAGGAAGATGCTCAAAGAACTCATCCATCGCAGCCGAGGCCGGCGGTGCTTGAAATTTTGGTTTTCCCCACGTTATATTCCAGCGCTTACCGTCGGGCTTCTTCTCCATGGTCGAAGTTAGCTGCCAGACGTTCGCAAACAGTCGCCGCCACGACCGAGGTGTGTATCTCTGCCCATTGATTGGCGTAGGGTCTCCAGTCGGCGTATTGTCGTCCACGTCCCCGCTCAGCAACTTGTTCCGTCTGTTTGATGGTTTGTCGACGACGGAGACGGGTCTCGTGGCGTATGAGCGCCAATCCCACGTGCGAACAACATCCTCTGTGCTGCCATCAGCGCTCTGTGCTACCGGCCGCCGAGGCGGGGGCAGCCATCCCGAGCCCGGCTCCTTGCCGTTTGCAATTCGGCCCAAGCGCTCCCATTCCTCCTTGGGAAGGGGTGGCAGACACTTCTCGGCGACCTGCTTCCACATCTTCTTCAGTTTCGTCCGGGCCAGCTTGGGGGTGAGCGGCCGCCCCCAAGAATTCTCTGCCGGTATTATCCTCTCCGGAACTGTCTGACTATAGGTAATGTGGGACCTAGGGGGATTGTTTAAACTAGCCTGCACTTGAGACCGTGCAAAGGTGCAGAGTTTGTCCAGGTCCCAGCGATCCAGCCAGTCCAGCTCACGGTGCTCGGACGCGATGGCAGACGTCTCGTCGGCATACCGCTCTAGCTCCTCCGTGTTTGCGGGCAGCTCACGATGCACTAGGTCGGCCAGGAGCTCGCGGCGTCGGCGGCCGAGGCGGCCGAATGCCATAAGCATGAGCCGGCGCATTCGCGCGGCATCGCCAGCATTGGCCGCCCGGAGGTAGCGGAGATTGCGGTGGGCCTGCTGGACACGTCGTTTGGTAAACTCGTCGTCATTGCTTCGCCTGTGGTTTTGAAACTGTCGCTTGATCTGGCTATCGACGTAGGGCCGGGCAATCGGCGGGAGATATGAGGCCTCGCGCAGGAGGTGCCTGTACAAATGCAACGGAGTCTGGGGGTGAGGGAGTCGTAAGGGGCGCGACATGATGTATGTATTCTTAGCCAACGTCTCCAGCGTCACAAAGCATTGTTGAGAGAGCCGATGGAAATTGGCACGTCTGCACTCTGGCGGGTTGCATGCATTCGCCGATGTATAGTGCAGATCAAGAGCAGCAGGTACGATCTTGAAAACGCAGACCAGATTCCTCGCTGTGCGGGTCCGCACATCGGCTCGAGGTGCTCCGTGCGGACACACACAGTCCATGTCAAGAAATCATACTGTACCAATCACCGCGGCGTCAGCAGCAAAGGCGGGGCTTTTAAGGGCGCGTCGCCAGACTCGCAAGAGACACGACCACGAGAACACGAAAATTACACGTCTTCACCCCGTGCCTTTAATTGACCTTCTCAACCGAGACGCTCTGTCGCTGGCACACTGCTGCGAGTCTTGCGACGCTCTGCTCCGTCATTGAGAGTTGTATCCTCCTTTTTGACGATTGTCCACGTCACTGTCGCCAGCAATACACCATTAGCGGTGACTCGGTGCTTTAAAGCGATAAAGAGCGACAAGCGCCTCGACTAACCGCATTTTTGTCGGCCCACTGCGACGCACCGGTTTCCATTTTGTCTTTCGTGGTTCCTACAACAAGGCCGCATGGATGCTTATTAGCGAAGTCCGCCGCTCAATTCCTCAATCTTAGGCTTCTCAGCAGAACGTTTCCACTCCATCGGTTTCTACGCCCAGCATCCGGCTTTGATCTGGATTGTTCTTGTCCCGCTTCTTAGTCCTATGATATTGTACATACGGCTCCATTTTGGAACCTCGGTGGGCCGCTGCTGAATGGCATCTCACGCTGTTTCTACCAACTCCGATACGGCTCCTCACCGCATTCGCACGTCCTTTTCGGGGAGTGGTTCAACTTCGCTGCTTCCGAGGACAACGTCTGCGCAATCCGCTGCAAACCCTAATCCTTCGTCCAGGGCGGGAGATCCCCCCAAAATGCAACCTCCACAATTAAGCGCCGGTTCCCAGCAGCAGCAACCGTCGCAGTCCTCTCAGACGTCCTTCTCCATGAGCCAACCGTCGTCCCAGACGGCAGGCATGCCCTCTTCTAGCTCCTACCGGCAGTACACTGACATGCCACCGAGGCCATCCAGCGATCCTGTCATGCCAATCTACTCGGTACGTGTGCAAGCATGTAACTGAGCTGTATCCCTAACCTTCTCTTAGGCTGTCTACTCTGGTGTGAATGTGTACGAGATGGAGGTCAATAATGTAGCTGTCATGCGTCGCCAGAATGACAGCTGGCTCAATGCTACGCAGATCCTCAAGGTCGCCGGCGTGGATAAGGGTCGCCGGACCAAGATTCTCGAAAAGGAGATCCAGACGGGTGAGCACGAGAAGGTGCAAGGCGGATACGGCAAGTACCAAGGCACGTGGATCCCATTTGAGCGCGGCCTCGAGGTCTGCCGCCAGTACGGCGTCGAGGAGGTCCTGAACAAGCTCCTCACCCACAACCGTGGCCAGGACGGAGGCGGGGACGTCGAAACCCCGACCAAGGAGCAGGCCATGGCCGCACAGAGAAAGCGCATGTACAACGCAAGCTCGCAGGAAAACCGCGCCAACGGGCTTGCCGGGACGTTCTTCAAAAACATATCCAACACGGCATCTCAGGCAATCAATGCTATCAGCAAGGCCCGGTTTGACTCGCCTGGGCCGAGAAACCGCAGCGGCCCCTCGCGGGCCCCCAGCTTCAACCGTCAATCCTCCATGCAGGATGGAAACGATTTCCCGCCAAACTCGCAACAGAGCTTTGCCTCCGACTACGGTCATGCCGAGTCTGCCTTTGGGTCCCAGACCACCCAACCAGCTGCGGGCGATGCCTTGGAGCAGCCCCCGCGAAAACGGCAAAGAGTACTCACCCCAGCCAACAGTTTTGGCGGCTTGACCCCGACCTATCCAAACATCGACTCGTACGGGGCCGAATTTCCCGGCTCGCCCACAGAACCCAACGAGTCATTCATCTATTCCCAGGCAGGCATCAACGTCGATAACGAGGCCAACTACGCCCCGGGGCCGCTCCGGCCGCTCCCATACGAGATGTCGCCCGAGGCGGAGGCGAAGCGGGGCATGCTCATGGCACTCTTTATGGAGCCCACCCCCTCAGAGGAATCAAAAAAGACCGTGTTCCGTACCATGACGTCCCAGGAGCTCGATGCGCCAATCGACACGCAGAGTCACACGGCTCTCCATTGGGCGGCAACGCTCTCCCGTATGCCGCTCCTCCGGTCACTGATCGAAGCGGGTGCAAGCCCTTTCCGGGTGAACGCGTCCGGGGAAACGGCTCTGATGCGGGCTTGCGTGGTGACTAACTCTATGGACCTGAACTCGTTCCCCGAGCTGCTCGACGTGTTGGGCGGCACGATCGACGTGCGCGACGACAAGGGCCGGACAGTCTTGCATCACATTGCTGTGACCAGTGCCGTGAAGGGGCGGAATAGTGCGAGCCGGTACTATCTCGAGAGCTTGCTCGAATGGGTTGTGCGGCAGGGCAGTGCCCCCAGCAGCCAGAACATCCCCAGCAGCAACGGCACACCGGCACCGGCCAGGATGGGGATTGGTCGGTTCATGAGCGAGATTGTCAACGCACAGGACAACAGCGGCGACACGGCTCTTAACATTGCGGCGAGGATTGGAAATCGCAGCATTATCTCGCAGCTCCTCGAGGTCGGCGCGGACCCCAACATTGCCAACCGCGCAGGTCTTCGGCCTCTTGACTTTGGCATTGGTGTTGAAGCCGAGGGGCTTAATGCTGACGCTGTAGAGAGGAACGGGGCTACGCAGGGATCGAGCCAACGAAGCAGCGCTAACAGCGACGAAGTCGTGAACTGTAAGTGCAGCAAATGGATTTACCTGAACCGAAGCTGACATTCTGCAGCGATTACCCACCTCATTGGGGAGTCATCCTCACTCTTCCAGGGCGAACTGAAGAAGAAGCAAGAGTCGATCGACTCGCTACACAACTCGCTTCGGACGACGTCGGCGCAGGTCGGGGAGGCCCGCCGCGCCCTCGAAGGGCTGCAAGAAAAGCTCAAGGCGCAACAGCTCGCCCGCCAGAAGGTGGTCAATCTCACCAGGGCCTGCGGCGAGGAGGAATACGAGCTTCTTCGGCTCGAGCAGCGACATGGGCGTCTCGACGTAGCCAGCGCCAACGCCTGGGAGGTGGAGCTGGAGACGGTGCTGAAGACGGTTGCAGCCCTCAAGGCGCAATCCGGCGCACCCAATGACCAGGAGCAGCCAGATGCTAAGGTGGCAGGGAGATTGCCGCATAGGCCCGTCCTACGAGCGCGTCTCAATGCCCTTCGCGAGCGCTCCTCCCAGACGCGCCAGGCTGTGGGAGCGCTGCGCGCACGCAGCAAGGAGAGAGAGCTCAAGTACCGCCGGCTGGTGGCGCTCTGCACGCGCAGGCCTGAGTCGGAGCTTGACTCGTTGCTCGACACGCTCACAAGGGCGGTCGAGTCTGAGAAGGGCGAGTTGGAGATAGCGAGGGTTAGGAGGTTCCTTGGTGGTGTGGAGGATGTTGCCCTGGGGTGAATGACCCCGGCAACTACTGTTGCAGTAATTATTTGGTGATTCTTTTCTTGTCCATAGGGCGGCAGGAGTATTCGCGTTGCTTGGGCCAGGCTTGGGCACGTTCATAGGGATTGGTACATTGTTGGCATAGTTTCAGTTCGACTGTTGGCTTAGAGCTCCGACAGCGAAGGATAAGGTCCTGTGAATGGGTGGGCAATGGATTAGGGTTTACCAAGCTATTGAGCACCTTTGACATGGAATTGGCTTGTATGCAAGCCTCGTTGAAAACTCTTATGACCGGATCCGATATCCAATTGCAACTGCGGTATCATCCTAGGTTCCCAATGCAATCTGAAGCCCCGAAATATCACGCACCGACGCTGAACCCAAACGACCCGTCAAAGACGTCCAGCTGGCCGACCTCGGGATTGGCGCGCATGCCTTTCAACCCATCCAAGCTGGGAACCTTGCCCGAGGGGTAGTACCGCAGGAGGTTATCCATGTCCTCCTCAGACAGATCGCACATCTCGTCCCAGCTGTACGCCTCGCTGACTTTGGTCATCCACGCCATACGCTTTGGCCCGTCTTCCTGCCGCGGCGCTATCTGCCTCAGCTTCACCCGCAGCTGGCCAATGGTCTCAATCGCCCGCCCGGCGTCGGACGGCAGCTGTTTCGCAATAAACCGGCGGATCATGGCCGCGAGCCTGGGGCCCTTGCCGTTAGTGCTGACCATGATCTGCAGCGGCCCGTCGCGGTGGACGCTGCCAAAGTAGAAATCGCACTCGGAGGGGACGTCGGCTATGTTGGCTGGGATCCGTCGCTCCTTGCACAGCTTCCAGATGGTTGTGGAGGCTGCTGGGTCGTCGACCGCTACGAGCACCATGGCAATGGAGGAATCGTCGAGGTCGGAGGGTTGAAAGTTCCGGTCGATGTGTGTGACTTGTCCCTGGGCGACGCGGTAGGCTACTTCGGGGTTGAGGCGTGCGAGCGGGGACACGACGGTTACGCGGGCGTCGGCGTTGAGACAGTGCAGGATTCGGCCGGCTGCTACCTGTTTGTATTTGTAAGGGTTAGAGGACGGTTTGGGGGATGCTGAGGAGAAGGGTGACGAACCTCGCCGCCACCGACAACCAGGACCTTCTTGTCCCGGATCTGCCAGGCGATGATCAAACTGCCGCCGCCCTGTACGACGGGGAACTCTGGTTTTTCAGCCATGCCTATCCTCGACGACGTAGTGAGAGGTGGAATAGCTCGATAGCCCGTCGAGGAGGGAAATCATTTTGATTGGGAAAGAAAAGCCTGCGGCAAGTTTGGAGCATTTGAATTGCGCTGGAATTGGCCGGCGTCGGCGATTGGATGCCCTGCAACTTGCTTCTCCGAGGGTTGTTGCTGGTTATCGATAACAGTGGGTGGCTCTTTAACGAGTTTAGACCCACGTCATTGTGTAGCATTTGATGTAAGTTACATACAAATACATGCTGTTACCGAAATATTACCCTTTTGTGAACCTAAATTAGCACGGGCCCACATGCGTTAACCCTACAAAGGTTAACGTACCGCAGAACCCGGGAGCTGTTCCAGGCTTGGCCAACCGGCCCTTAGTGCAGACCCTGACGACCACACTGCCTGATCTCCGTCTCGCGACGGTTGGTGCACATCATGACCATTCCAACGGTGGCATTCAGCATAGAATAGGGCCCTCACTGTCAGGCGGTTGTTCTCCATTACCGCCGTAAAAAATTGGCACGACGCTGTAGACGGCGACCATGTCGGGTCGGAAACTGGGAGGCGGCCGGATTATAGGCAGCGGCAAAAGCCTCGGCCCTCCTCCCTCAAACCTCGGACGTGCCGGAAGTCCCTCTGCACCCTCCGACAGAAGCGCTGTATCGTTGAGCTCGCGCATATCGACACCAAACTCGCAATCGCCCTCGTCGCCCGGCCCGTTTCCCGGCCTTGCCCAGGATCTTGCCGCCCATGTCAGCGTCGGCGGCCCGTCCTCGGGGACCTCGCAAGAGGGCAAATTGGTGTGCCCAATTTGCGAAGAGCAGATGGTGTGTTGCGGCTCCCTCAATAAGTGCGGTGGCTGTTGCTGACGGGTGCCACAGGTGACGTTGCTGCAATTGAACAGACACCTCGACGATGTCCACCAGGAGCTGCCCGAAGCGGAGCAAGACGAGGTCAAGTCCTGGTTCGACAAGCAGGTCATTAAGGCGAAGCGGTTCCAGCCGCTGTCATTGATTAACCAGAAGCTGCGAGGCCTCGAGGTCTTCGAGTCGAACGAGACACACCCTGTTCCGGCCCCCGGGAGGGCGGCCGAGGCGATGATCGACCCGGAGGAGCTGGTTACGAGGAAACACTGGCAGCGGCCGACGGGAAACGATTTGTGCACGGATCCGGCATGCGGGAGGAAGCTCGGCCCGCTCAGCGGGAGCGTGAATTGCAGGAAATGCGGGCGTTTGTTTTGCGAGGTGCATACCATGTACCAGATGAAGCTGTCCCGGTCGGCCAACCACGAACCCGTCAGGGGCGTGTGGTGCCGCGTGTGCGAGACGTGCTACAAGTCGAGGGAGGGATACAACGATTACAATGGCCTGTCACGCGACCATACGGCGGATTTTGCTGCGGTGCGGGCCAAGAAGGTTGAACGACACCGGCTCGAGATTCACAGGCTAGAGAAGAGGTTAACTAAGTTGACAAGGCTGCTGGTGGAGGCGCCCCCGGAACTGGGTGCGAGCTCCGGGCTCCTATCTCCCTTGGCCGGGCCGAGGAGCCAGAGGAAGATGATTGAGCAATCCGTTGTGACGTGGGAAGACGACGCCTCCGTCCCCAGGTGTCCCTTTTGCAAGCAGGAGTTTGGGTCGTGGACGTTCCGGCGGCATCATTGCAGGATATGCGGTCGGGTAGTGTGTGCGGACCCGGCAACCAATTGTTCGAGCGAAATTGGCTTGAACGTTGCGAGCCGTAAGTCGCCTGCCCGGATCATAGACCAAACAAGCAGCTGACCGAGTACAGCAACGGCATTACCGACGACTGAGAAGCCCAGCGCCGCGGCCGAAGGACATGTCAGCATCGACGTCCGCATATGCTGCGAGTGCAGATCCACCATTTTTGGCCACAGAGACTTTATCGAGTCCATCAGCAACCGGACACCCGACCAGCGCGCCTACGAGACCTTGCGGCAGTTTGAGCGCGGCATCCGCATGCTGATGCCCACTTACCAGAAAGCCCTGCAGGCCCTGCAGCCCCCCGACGAGAGCAGAAACGGGAACAAACCCCCGCCCACACACGCCCAGATCCAAGAGGCGGCCAAGATCCGCAAGCGCCTCACGGACGCGTTTGCAAAGTACAATGTCGCTGCGCTTCGCATCCGGGACATGAAAACCGACAGCCCGACGCAACAGCGGCTGCAAAAGGCCATCTACGCGTCCGCGTCCGCGTTTCTGCACGCCAACCTCATACCGCTCAAAAGCGTGCCCGCGATGCTCCGGGCGCATAGCAGTGGCAGTAACTCGAGCTCAAGCCACCGGCGCCTGTTACATGGCGCAAACGGCTCGGTACAATCATCACCGCTGCGCACGGGCGAGTCGGCGTCAGCGGGGGCATTTGACGCCGAGACGTCGAGTCTTGGCGGCGCTAGTGAGGTTAGCAGCGCGGCTGTGTCGGCGCTGGAAACGGAGGAGAAGGAGGCGAGGGAGAAGCTGGTTGTGCTGGAGGAGCAGCAGTTTATGGTCCAGGAGATGCTGAATAATGCGAGGACTGCCAGGAGGTTTGAGGAGATTGGCTCGCTGACGAGGAATCTGGAGGAGCTGGATAAGGAGATTGAGGCGTCGAAACGGCTTATTGTGGGTGTGGAAGAGAGATGGGAGGGGCTTTACGCCGGGGGTACATGAGGGGTTGTTTTCTGTATTTGGCGCAATCTTTTAGGTTGGGTTGGGTTGGTTGGGTTGGTTGGAACTGGATGCATCGCATGGCGTTGAGGGGAATGGAGTTACACTCTGGGAGAGGTGTTAAGGTACTGCAGTCTTTGGAGGCTGGCTGAAGTTATCAACGAAGCATGGGATATGAGTACGAAATGGCACATATTAATTCTGATCCGTCCAGTCTTGGGAGGTTTTGCCTTGGCTTGGAGTGGTGGGGGGAACAAATGTGTTGGTATCTCTTATCCCTCCGGAGCGAGTGGGTCAGCATTTGAATACGTTATGAGACATCATACGAGTTCCAGCCCAAGATCGCGGAACGTCTTTCAATGGTCGTTGTAGATTCGTTGCAGAGCACTTCCTGATGCCACAAAGGGAAAGTCATCGCGTGCCCAATAACTCGATGTTGATCATGGCGAAGGGTTAGGGTCAAATGCCCCTCCAACTCAATGGCCCAAGTCCCAAGTCAAACGGTTTGTCTTGCGATGCAGTTCTCTTTCAGTTAGCATTAGCAAATCTGGGTGAAAATTGAGGGACCGGGTTACGGAAGCGTTTATGTGAATTACGGTCGGGCAGCCAGCTCCGTTTCAAAACCATACCGGTTCTCCTTGTGACGAAAGGGAAGCTGCGGCCAACATTGTTGCGCCTATTTGAGTTCTGAGCATGAACTTCACTCACCTCAGCACCAAAACACAGCGACGACCCTGACGACAACGCCCCCCAAAATCAGCGTATCTAAACTTCACACCACGCGCCGCTCCGAGCAATTCACAGAATTGCATAGGATTTTTGCCAGAATTTGCTCAATTCGCTTAGAGTTGGCGCGTCGAACCCGGCTCGTATCGCCTCACAACCGCGACTCAATCAGGCCCTAAACCTCACTTGCAACCATGCCCCCCAGGAGAAGGGAAAATCGCCCGCCACCCTCGGAATCCCCGCGCTCGTCGTCGCCCGACAGCGAGCATTCCCTGGACGAAGCGGATTCCTCTCCGCTGCCATTCTACAACACCACCTTCTCAGCCCATCGAGTGTCACCTCTGTACCTCGGCAGTGAGCCTCTGACAGCAAATCGACTGCAAACACTTGCGCAGCGACTCCGGGAAAGGCTAATCGGGGATGTTGTTCGCGGAGTGGAGGTGGGACTGGGACCCGATGGAGAGGACCCTGTCATGGGCCGTGCCGGCGCGCTGGAGAGCGTCGAGATGAGCTGGGTCAGCATGGCGGCTGTGCTGGGCATATTTCGGAACTTGCATGCAGCAGGGAGTGACGAAATGGACGTGGATGTGGATGATGATGGTGAGGACGCGGCGAGGCTCTGGCGTGCACTGCGCAGGAAAAGGGCGCTGCATATCGCGCTCCAGTACGAGATGGCGTCGTGCACTGCCCTGCTGCTGCCGTCGTTGACGCGAGAAGGGGAAGACAACAACAACAGCCATGCAAATGCCGCGTCACAGCAACAGCACACCCGATTCTCGGTTGGCGCCGACGACATGGACTGGGAGCGCTCCGTGGACCCGACCCACTTTTTGACGCTGCCGCTTCTGCTCCTTCGCATGCCGGCGCCGCTCAAGGCCGTCATCGGCGATTTTTTGTCGGTCACGTTCGACTGCCGAGTTAGTCCAATGCGGCTGGGGACCCGGAGTTTAGTCCGCAGTTGGGAGGCTTGGATCAGGACTGCCGGGCTGCCCTCTCGCGGCCCCCTCGCCAAGGACGCGGTGCTAAGTTTGGGGTTCCATATTCCGCCGCCCCAAACCGATAAGGGTGCGCCAGAGGGCTCAGGGAACGAAGCGGCCGTGTCGAAAGATCACCAGATCGGTCTTAAGTCCATAGACGTCATCATCCCGCCCTCGGAGCTGAGCAAGTTTGTCTCGGCCGGGCGACGGCTGGCTGCTACACCGAAACCAGGAGCTTCGGCTGGTTGGGCCTGGGAAGATGATCTAGCAGCAAGACGGAGACTGGCCGGCCGGTTGTTCGAAGAGGGCTGGGAGTGGCGAGCAACAGAAGACGGCACGCCCTCCGGAGGGGATCAGCCCTTTACCGAAGCGTTGGCCTGTTACTTGGACGAGCACCTCGGCCTGAACCTGTTCCACCCTGGCGTCAGGGTTGTCAAAATCGCTTGTGGGGGTTTTGCCATGTCCGAAGGGCGGCTCAAGATTTTCTCGCCGGGAGACCCCAAAACAGCTGCTGCGCTCGGGCAGAGGCGGGCGGTGTTGGAGTTGCTTGAGGGCTTGGTCGAGAAGGCTCAAGTTCAAGTGCCAATCTTCTAAGCTGGGCTTTTTGTGCTTCTGTTCGGCGGCTCGGACTGACCGGTTATGTCACCATGTGTTGGTTTCGCTGCCTTCAACATGAACGGCGTACGCGTTTAGGGCCGGTTTAAGCTCATGCCTTTGTTCGTGTTTCCCTGCTCAGCATTGTTGTCTGATTCAACAGCCGGGAGTCTCCGCTGCTGTGGGCTCTTTGAAGCCTGAGAGCTTCTTAAGCCCCTTTGTCCTCTTTCACTGGACAAACGCATTCATGCCTATATAGGCACAATAGGCACATCCTCCCAAGACGCTCAGCCTTCCTCTCCTTCCCTCAACATCAATCCTGTCGAGATTTTCTCATTCGGTGATGGGGGTCCATGATGGACGAGTAGAATGAGGCATGCATCAACATCGACCAGAAGTGTCCCAGCAGGGACAGCACCTGAAAACGACCCCAGGGAACACAATCGGTCGGTCCATCCAATCTCGGCTTCCGACCCCACAGCCTCTAACAACTGAGCGAACAGTTCCTTGTAGCATGATTGCTATTTATATCGACATATGTGGCCGGACTCGACGGACACCTGGTATCTCCATTGCGTTGAAAGGATGGAGTCGGCCAGCTGTATCGTGCTCAACCCTCCTTGTCTGAGTATCTCGTCTAGTCATGCAACGGTTACAGCCCACTGGAAAGACTATATAAATGCTGTCCCGAACCCCGCCGAGGAAAGCGTAACGTCTCCTCATCACACTAGACCTTACTGCTACCCTTTTGGAGGAGAATCCATTCTAGAGCTATCAACAACTGCACCATGGACCCTCTTGTCCCAGACATAGACCCCGTGCTCCGGGAGATGCTTGTCCAAATCCTCCACGGGGAATTCTTCACCTTTTTCGGCCGGTACTGGGTTGAGATAGACGATGATAGGGAGAACAACCCCGACGAGGGCCGCCAAGAGCGCATCGCACAAATCCTGACAGTCGAGGCCTGGCGACTAGTACGGCGGGTCCGTACTTTGTTCGGCAATCTGGAAGCGGAAGAGTATATCCCTCATGAGCTACAAGCAACTTTTCCAGAGGAGCTTGGTCCGGCTGTAGCGTTCTTGAGGGTGTTGCTTCGCCTCCACTTTGGCGATAGGGCTGATGAGGGGTTTCAGCCGGAGGAGGCAGACCACTACATTTCTGACGAGAGCTCCGACGATGACGACGGGTGGCTTATTGAGGCCATACAGAATCGGGCCATACAAAATCCCGTCCGGCGTCAAGATGTGGTCGCCCTTGAATCTCGCGTGCGGAACTTGGTGCGCGAGAGGCAGAGAGGCCTTCTAAGTGACCACATCGCCGCGTTAGCCTCTCCAGGTCTCGATGGGGCCGCCAGTGGTGAGTCCAATAACCCCTGGTTCAACCTGGAAACTGCTGACGAGTTCTACTGGCCGAATATTCCCAACTGGCTCTTTTCACATCGCCGTGCGCCAAAGCCAGCTGCTACCTGTGGCATCTGCTACAGGAGGGTGAAAATCCTTGGTCCTTCCGAGCAGCCAGACCTAGTCGAGTTGGAGGACGACCCCTTGGAGGTCTGCACCGTCTTGCAGTGCGGCCATATCTATGGCGACGAATGCATCGCTGCATGGCTCCGTACAAAGTACAAACACCTCGATGAGCTCAACCAGGTGGACCAGATCCAGTGCCCGGTGTGCAAGGGAAAATTCTGAGCCTTGTGCTCTATGACCGCCTGATGGGAATCTACGTAGCCTACTAGTAGCTACCTAGCCAGTCAACTGGGCGGTTCAGACAAACCCTACAATAAGCAGATTGTTTTGGAAGAGGCCAGCTCTCCCTACTGAGAATTCAAGCCATGGTAGACCCAGTAGTGCAGAATGCACACACGATAACAGCTGAATTGACCCTCCTTTGAACTTGCCCTATGTCCTTACACCAGATCATTGCCATGCTCAGCGCTACGTGTCTGCATTTAGTTTGCCTGCTGTGAAGAGCGTGACGAGTGTCTCTCGCAACTCTCTTCCCAGGTCCTCGCACACCAAGAATACTAATAGACAAGGGGGTTGGTTGTTCTGATGGGATGAACGAACAATGCTACTGTCTGAGGATATGTGTCGTGCTGCCTCGGCTAACAAAGGAACAGCGGAATTGTAAACAAACCCAAACAAACTCAAGACTAGTATGAGTCGAACTGTCATGAGGATTATGACTTGCTCAAAACGACCAACCGTCACTCAGAGAAATGATTTAAACGCCGAGGTCCCCCTTGAGCAGTGACCAGAGCTCACAGTATAGACTCTCTCATCTCAGTCTGTAAACCGATCCCTACCTTTGCTACTCCAGTCCCCATCTCTCTGTCAGCGTGCACCCACATAAACATTCAAAAACCTGCCTTCAAGCATCACCAACCATGCATAACCGTCGCCGACCAGCCATGCATAACCGTCGACGCCAACCCCGTCGAAATGCCATCTCTTACCAGGACTACGAAGCCGAGAAACTCGAGCAGCTCGCCCTGGAAATGGCCATCAAAGCCTCCCTAGACGACATGGAGCTCGACCCTCGTCCAGGCGACCCTCAACCTGAACCTGAGCCTGAGCCTGAACCTGAACCTGCTGAGGCAGAGGCACAGGCAGATGCAAATGAGCCCACCCATGCCACCAACACCAACACCAACCATGCCACCAACCATGACAACAACAACGACAAGGCATACGAGCCCCCCCAAGGCCCAAGCCCTCTTCAAGCTTTGAAAATCATGCAGAACTGGCTCAAGACAGGCCCATGCAAGGAACCGTTCCCCAAGCCGGCCCCCGTCAAGTGTTTTGCATGCCACAGCGAGCTGCAGATCCCTGGCGTGCCGCTGCGGGAGCAGGAGCACCGCGAGGCCTGCCATGTGTTAGAGTGTGGACATGTTGTGGGCGCGGAGTGTATTAAGCTGTGGGTTGAGCGGGCGGAGATGGATGCCAGTGGTGATGGTGATGGGGAGGGCAGGGCGCAGGCGAAGTGTCCGTTTTGTCGGAGGGGGATTACCTTGGGTTGACCTAGGTGCACCTCAGGTTACCTATCCATAGGGTACCTATTGTACCTAGATGAACGACCATACCTAAGTATGGTCTATGAGGCCAGGCACATGATGCCCTTGAGGGCTTGAGGCTTTTGCATGCCGATTCAGATTCAGATTGATGTTAGCAGATACTATTTACCGAGGATAGTAATCCAGATTGTGTACCTTCTCGGTAAGATGATAAGATTCTCTCACAAAGACTTGAAGGAGTGGCATAGTGTGAGTCCGACCTTACTTAGCATCTAACAATCCCATTCAGATTCAGATCTTATAAGTTCTTTCATAACGTTGATCAATATATCAGTTGTTTAACCCTTTTCTTAGCAGTCTTCACATTCAATCTTGACGCCAGCATTCCCTAATGCTTTCACCATGTATTGTTGAGGTTCGACTTAGCATTCATACCACATGCAACATAAGATCCGAGTGCCACATGTCAACACGCCGGCAAGGATCTTAGCGGAGCATAGCGGGTATCCAGGAGCCGGGACAAATTCGCTCACGCCTCTAAGCCCTCTTGCTCTAGCTTATTGAAGATGAGCAGCTCATTTCAGTGATCTGCTCTTTCCTTGAGCGGTAGGGTAACGGTCTAGAGGCAGGAGCGGTTGGTGCTCTGTTTGGAGGCAGGCACCGCCCGCAAGTTAAGTCGCTTAGGGCCCCTAAGCCGGAAATGAACCATCGCCATACTGCTTAGAGGCTTCAAGTTGCTTATACTGGTAAGCCGGTATATTCGCGCAAAGAATGAGCGGTCATGGGCTCCTGAGTACCGGCTATGCTCGCCTAAGATCCCGAGGAAAGCCGCGAGGGCCGCATGCGAAGCGGATAAATATTATTGAGAGAAACGCTTTTGGCATCAAACGCCGATTCATTAGCATCTATGCCGGATATGGTTGTGCGGATTTAGTCACTGGACCTTGCCAAGATTGATCGAGGAGGGATACCAGGACTACGGCAGTTGCATCAACTCCTTTTCCGGGAGGGGCTTACAGGTGCGTATTTATCAGTGCTGATTGCTCGCTGTTGATGCTTTTCTGGGCTGCCTCAACGCTTATTCCCGAGTCGAGTAACTCTACGAGTCAACCGACCCTGAAAATGCTAGGCCTCCAGCTCGTTGTGTTCAGCCTAGGCGCTGCCGTTGCCCTGGCCTATCTGGTGCTCGAATACCCCCGGGTAAGCATCTCCGCCCCTGAATGCGGGGATCCGGTTCATCACTTACTAACCACCCCCTTTTTTAACTTCAGCTACGCCAACAATGGCGATTATACAACCGCCGCTCGCAACTCCCACCCGGCCCGCAAACGCTCAAAACCGGCCTCGAAAAACCCTGGCTCTGGTTCCGCGAGCTGCACCAGCAGTATGGCGACGTGGTGTACCTGCAGATGGGGCCGACGCCCACCATCGTGCTGGGCTCGGCGCAGGCGGCCTGGGACCTGCTTGAGAAGCGGGGCGCCATCTACTCGTCGCGCCCGCGCTTCATTATGGGTGGCGAGCTGCTGTCGGGCGGACTTAGGGGCTTGATGGCGCCCTACGATGGGTTTTGGCGCCGCTGGCGCAAGCTGCTGCACAGCGGATTTATGCAGCGCCAGAGCGAGTCGTACCGCCCCGTGCAGAGTCTCGAGTCGAAAGTGCTTATGCATGATTTGTTGACGGATCCGGCGCGGTTTCGGACGCATTTGGAAAGATATGCTGCGTCGGTTATTGTGACGGTTACGTATGGCCGCAGGGTGCTGGATGTGCATAACGATGTGGTGGTGAGGATGAATGCTGAGTCGATGGATCGCCTTACTCAGGTCAAGTGAGCTTGAATATCCCTGTTACTGCCTAGCTACATGTATGACTCTGGCTCACCTCTGCCACAGCATCCCCGGCAAGTTTGCTGTCGAGCGCTATCCGGCGCTCAAATATGTTCCCAGCATATTTGCACCCTGGAAGGCTCAGGTGCTCGAGCAGCGGAGAAAGGACATTGAAATGTACACTGGCCTCATGAACGACGTACGGCAACGGATGGCCGCTGGTGTGCTGCCAGACTGCTTCGCCAAGCACCTCCTGGACGAGCAGGCCAACCTTGGCATGTCCGATCTCGAGATTGCTTACACGGCCGGGTCTCCTTTTGGTGCCGGAGTAGAAACGGTAAGCTAATTTCACCCAGTGTTCCAGTTTGGAACTCGCTGACACACACTCCAGTCGGCCGGCTCCCTCGCCAGCTTCCTACTTGCATGCGTCAAGTTCCCGGACCGCTTCATTCCAACAGCCCAGGCCGAGTTGGACAGGGTTGTAGGACGGGACCGGCTGCCCACGTTCGCCGACCTGCCCGCGCTCGACTACGTGAGGGCCATCGTCTCGGAAACGCTCCGCTGGCGGCCCGTGGCGGTGCTGGGCGGTACTCCGCACGCGAGCACGGCAGATGATGTGTACAAGGGCATGTTCATCCCCAAGGGGAGCACAGTCATTGCGCCGTTATGGAGTAGTAAGTCTCTCCTGGAAAAGTTAAGCTGTAGTAAGGTACTAGTAGTAGCTGTTCATTGACCTGGATGATTACTACCAGTCCATCTCAACGAGGCCGACTTCCCCGAGCCGCACGAGTTCCGGCCCGAACGCTTCCTCGGCGAGCGCGACTACCCCGGCAACCTCGGCCACAGCGCCTTTGGCTGGGGCCGCCGGATCTGCCCGGGCATGCACCTCGGTTCGGCGTCCGTAGCCATCAATATTGCCCGCATCCTGTGGGCATTTGATGTCAAACCTGCGCTGGACAAGGCGGGCAAGCCGGTTGATGTGGATATGTAAGTCGAGACGGACTTTAAGTTGTTTTAGAAGAGGTAGTAGATTTCTCTTGCTGACCCCTGCAGTTTCGCCTACTCAAACGGCTTCAACTCGGTTCCGTTACCCTTCAAGTGCTCCATCACACCACGCTCCGAGAAGCACGCCGCCGTGGTGAAGCGGGAGTATCAGGGGGCTCTTGGGGAGCTGCAGGTCTACACGGCTGCATCAAATCAGATCTCCTAGTGCGTCTATATGGACTGCGGCATCGGTTAGAGTCGGGTATGATCAGTGTAGAATTATATCGACCATGAGGGGTTGGGCTGGGTGGTATGAGAATGACTTGTGTACAAACTGACGGGTATGCGGTTCAGTACCATTGAGAATTTGACATAGATTAGACCGTACCTAGACTATTTGAATGACAAGTGTCAAATGTCACTTTGTCAGTGCTGCAAGCATGCCGGACTGTCACTATTGGCAGTCATGGAGAAATTGAACTTGAAGGCGACCTTCTCATCTACTTGTAATCAGGGGCCATGTGTTCATACATTCAGTGAGCGGGCATGATCTCTTCATGCCCTTTGAATGCAGGGCAGTGATTATAGAACTCCTGTACTGGCCCGGGCATACAGCTCGAGAAGGATTACCAATGTTAGGGGAACGATTAGACCTAGCAGGGAGAGGGCCGGGGGGTCTTACCATCTATGTCCATGTCATCACGAGCAACATTACAATTCACCTTGACATGTGAGTCGCGCAGGGGCGAGATGCACAGTAATGACACATATATGGCCTATAATGTTGACATGATGTCAGTGACTCGGTCATTACTGTTCCGTTTGCCCGTAATCCGCAGACTGAACTTATCTGTCAGGGTGAATAGTAATGTTGCTACTAGGGGTGACAGACAGTGTCCCCCCATCCCTCCTATTAGGTATGTGTCAATATGTCCGAATTAATCCTCGAACATTCTGGCACATGCAAGGGAATACATGAAGGCAACACATAATCCAGGCCAGGCAGTCCGCCAAAATCATAGGAGAGAATCGGCCCCTTACTGTACCTTAAGGACCTTGCCCTGATCCAAGACCTTAAACGGTCTCCTATGAGCAACTCTGCTAAGAAGTATTCTACTTCAAGGGGAAATCAAGAAGAGCTGAAGGCAAATCAGCCTGCTACAGACCGCTAGCTCATTTTTACCCTGACCACAGGCGTAATAGCAGCCCTGAGTACATGTACCTACATGCACCCCCCATCAAATATTCGTCTCATCTGACCAACATTTATGAATGATGATGTTGAATACCTAGTTGAGGAACTTGTCTTGACACTACCAACAAGATATCTGTTGACAGATGTCACCCCGAGCACCTCTCACAACGGCAACATCCTCAACCAAGGTGACTCCGGTGAGTGGATGGATTCCAGCGTAGCTAAGACCAGATTGCGTGTGCTTTAGCATGAATGCGGTTTCTATGCTTCCCCACGGGGTAAACATTTAGGCAAAAGAACTCCCGGTCCCACAGCATCTACGTCCACTCCAGCCAAGGAACCTGATCGGCGCCCGTGACGCCCACTCGGGATTCACCCGGGTTTATTGTCCGGGAACAGACCCTGCCCAGGCTCAACTTAGGTGAAACAAGCTTCTCATTCGCGCCTCCCAAGCATGATCTTCAGCGTTGCGATCCTGGGAACCTATAGGTAGGGCCACGCGGGGGATCCATGCAACGACCGATGCATTTCTATGTTCCCGGATACCCCCTAGCAACTTCCTAACCACAAAATATCCCGAGATTGAATGTACACGAGGTGTTCCGCTTCTCACTCGCGATGTCAACAAGTCGAGGCATGGACCCGATGCAGGACCTGGCCACCGGAGAACCGGAAGTTCGAATTTCGAACCCCTCCTATAGCCACCTCAAGACACGCGTACCCGGTGTCGTGGAGTGGTAGGTTATATGTGACGAAAGTGGGCCTTAGCGACGAGACCTAGCAACGGAAAACAGCACCGGTCCACCTCATCGTGGCAACGGTGGCATTCGGCATCCTTACACCGAGATAGCTTCCGCATTCCCTTCTCGGATCCCGTCCGTCCGGGCCCAGGCTAAGGCGACATCTCATATAAGTAGCACATCTCTCTCACACTGTTCTACCACGATGGACAAGTCGACACCCCCAAAACCTTACTAGTAGTCAAGTCCTCAACGCAGCCTGACCACCTAGCCGTCATCGACACCATGAAGGTCTCCGCAGTAGCCCTCCCCGTCCTGGCCAGCCTCGCCAGTGCCAACCCTGTCCAAGTTGGCCTCGAAGAGCGGCAGTCCTGCCCCCAGGTGCACATTTTCGGGGCGCGTGAGACGACAGCGCCAGCCGGGTACGGCACATCGCAGGGGCTGGTCAACATGGTGAAGCAGGCGTACCCGGGCGCCACCAGTGAGGCCATCAACTACCCGGCGTGCGGCGGGCAGGCGCAGTGCGGCGGCGTCAGCTACGACAACTCGGCCAGCCAGGGTACCCAAGCTGTTGTCCGGGCCGTGACGGATTTTAATAGGCGATGTCCGAATACCAAGATTGTGCTTATTGGGTACTCGCAGGTGTGTAAATAGTTCCCCCCTTACTCATGACCCCTGACTGTGGAATGAAAGACTTGGTAGTACCTGTACTAAACACCCCTGACCTTCCCAGGGCGGCCAAATTATGGACAACGCCCTCTGCGGCGGCGCAGGTGCGACGCTCTCCGGGGCGGCCCTCAACGCGGTCAAAGCCGCCATCTTCATGGGCGATCCGCACAACGTCAACGGGTTGCCATACAACGTTGGCACATGCCGAGCCGGCGGTGTAAGTTTACGACCTATCATACAACCTAATACCCATGAAGCAATAGGAGACTTACACCTTGTTACAGTTTGCTGCCCGTCCCAGCGGGTTCCGCTGCTCGCCCGCCAACCCAGCCATCATCCAGTCGTACTGCGACTCGACCGACCCCTACTGCTGCAACGGCAACGACGCCAACTCGCACCAGCAGTATGTGAACAAGTATGGACAGCAGGCCCTGGCGTTTATCAGGAGCAAGCTGGATGCTGCTTGAGTTTGGGTAGTCGCTTGCTAAGGACAAGCAAGGTTGGACTAGGTAGTTAGGGGTGTTGTACATAGTGTACTATAGTCACCGTTGACTTGTACCTACAAAAAGGAGGCTTACTTATGCAATCGCAACATGGAATCTTGTCCGGTAATTCATCTGCAATCCAGCTGCCCATCAGCGCATCAGTAGCCGCTAGAATAAAAGGAGTGGGAGGATAAGGGGCGCGGGGGGGGGAGGGGGGGAGTATCTCGAGGATGTTGCTGAACCTGAGAGGGGGAAGACGATGGCCAGTTGCTTGGAGTAGGCTGGGTGAGCCAGACCTATAACCCAGAGGAGGAGGACTGGCTATGAAGGGATTCGTTGAGGATGGTGGATATGGGGAGCGAGGTTTGATCGGGCTGCTCAAGTCTCCAGTGACGACACTGGCCGGCCATCCATGATGGATCACTGCAGTCAACAACAACAACAGGAGGTAAGCCTGAATGCAAGTCGATTCTGGCTACAAGTATAGTAGTAGTAGTCCTATCTGAGCGAACCCCTTCCGTCACGCTACCCTAGGGAGTTGATAACCGGCGAAAAGAACGTGAATCTGCCGTCCCTGGAAGCACTCCTACCCCTATCCACCAGACCACACATAACCATGCCTGATCCAACATGACCGAAGCATCCCGCCAACAAGAGCTGCATGTGCCGTGCGCCGCGTCCAAAGTCACAACCCATTGACATCGACTTGGAAGTTCTCTCGGTCCCCTTTCCCCCCCGAGACGTTCGCGGTCCTATCACACGGCTGCTCCGTCTTGTTCTGCCTTTAACGGCATGATCTCCAGTTGGTGCGGAAAATGAGGTGCAGGCTTCCGTCGAAGGCGTCCACCTGTAAGCAATCCGCCGCGTTCGCCCTCTATTAGCCCATCTATACTTTTGCTGGCGGGGTATAAACTTTTTTTTGTCTCTCTCGCTCGTCCTTTTTCCTTTTTTCTTTTACCCTCTCCTTTTCCTCTTTTCCCCCCCTTAAAACAGTAAAAAGCAGAATCACCTCATGAACTCATGCAGGGTCGCAGCGGCGCCACGCAAGCAGCACCTTGTAGGGGGATCTCACAGTCATGGTCCCAGGCTTGGGAGTGGAAATGGGCGTGATGCGGATTTCCGAGTTGACGTTGAGGATGGCGGTCGTGCCGCCGCAGCGCGAGAAGGACTCGACGCCCACGCCCGCAATCATGTTGTAGTTGTCCTCGTACGGCGCGATCAGGTTCTTCTGGAAGACAACCTCCTGGCTGCTGTCACCTGCGAAGGTGTAGCCTGCACGGCACGTGCCCGTCTGGCCCTCGGACAGGCTGGCATAGCCCGTGAAGCGCGTCTCAATGACGGAGAACCTGGTCGCGGAGAGGGGGGTTTAGCCATCCGGCAGCAAGACGAGCAGGGAACTAAAGAGAGCACGCTCAAAGAAAACTTCGTAACCGTAACACTGTCTTTTGACCGAGACATAGTCATGTCAAAAACTCACTGATATCCCGACGGGAACGCCAGGTTGATGCTGATGCGGCAGTTCTTGCGGCTGTCCGAGGCCGACGTGCCCGGGCCGGCCGTGACAATGTACTTGTCAAAGGCCACGTCGAAGATGGTGCCCGTGGCGTCAATGTTGACATAGGCGTGGCCCGCGGGGCAGCCCGAGCCGATGGCCGACACGTTGACAATCTTGACCTCCCCCGGCGCGGGCGCCGGAGCAATGAGGCTCTCGCCCTTGGGCGTGATGACGGCGGCCGTGGCGGCGCCGGCGAGGAAAAGAGCTGACAGACGCATTTTTGGGAAGTTTCTTTTCACAAGTGTGCTAAAGATGCTGGTCAAGATGGAAGCTGGTGAGGGAGCTGTGGTGGTGTGGGCGTCTGGGACTGGGACGTCGGGGCCGTCGACGTCTTATAGGCAGAACCTTGAGCCGAGGACTGTGATCGCAGTCTCTTCCCCTTCCCCAGGATCACGCAAGGCTGCCCCTGGGTCGGAAACGAAAATAGACACACGGAACTCGTCTCCGCAGCTCTAGTATCACGACCATACCAGTTCCAGCCATGAGCCCGTTGCTTAGACTGATAAGAGACGGCCAGACAGCCATCACGAGAGGCGGCATCTTTCGATCCGGACCATCGCGTCGCAGCCAATGCTGCCATCCCCGCTCCACCAACCTCGTGATGTGATGTGCTCTATAGTGCCTGGCCTCAATATTGATGTCTCCTGGCTCGCGTCGATGGTTAGAATAAGGTTAGTCGGGAACGGAAAGCCCATGCATATGCTGGATCGCGAATTCTAGATACCCATTTCTTTTCTCTCGGCAGTACGCAGAGTGGTGAGGAGTGCGGTGCTGTGGACTCTGGCGTAACTATTTTTATCCGTCCTGATATATTGCCGATATATTAATCGGGCCTCGTCAAGTCTCAGCGACCCGGTAGCTGGAGTCGTCCGAGGGCCGAGGCAGCTTGGTACCGTATGTGGGAGCCGTGGGAGCCGGTATCCTGGGTTTGAATTTATTGATGCTCCCCGAGCGCAACCCAGGGGCCGGGGTCAATGCCGCTCCGCTGTCCCTGGCAGGACGGCGCACACATGCACACATGCAGGTGAAGCCCATTTCAGGGAACCTGAATACGACTCTCTCCATGGTTCACCGGTCCTGTGGTGTCAGATCCACTATATCCTTCACGTCGCGCCTTTCCTCGTATGAATCAACGGACGACCCCGTCCGTGGAAGCAAGAGGTGATCCGTGGGCTGCACTGAGAGTATCAAGTCAACAGTAACAGTAACATCGAGACCGTGACGGAAGCGGCTCCAGATTGCTCAGTGGCCTGTCGTTGGAGGGATCAACCAGGAACGTGAATCGCCAAGAACCCTTGGCTCGATGCTTGGGCTGAAGGGTCCTCGAGATGGAAGTGGCCGATTGGCCGACGCCTCCTCGGTACCGAGAGGGGTACATATATTGGGCATCCGAGGGACTGAGATGCTCCGTCACCAGCCGGGTGGCCTCGGAGAATTCTACACTTCCTGTCTGGACCATTATCAGGCGCTGATAGTGACGCAGGACCCATAGCTGCTCCTGCGGTCAGCAATACAAGAGTGTTGGTGGCATAACCTGAGTCGCTTCCGAGCTGAGGTTGGCCCGCTCGAGCTGATATGAATGGACCATGGGCTGGAGAGGCATTGTGTGGCTTGCAGGGTCGCGGGCTGGAACTTCAATATAATGTCAATATATGGATAAAAGCTTCGTCGGCTTGGCGTTTGACTCTTGATGCTCGGGTCCCGAGAAGAAGGATTCTGGGGTTGCCGTCTGATCTAAAATTGTCTTCACCCTAGGAATTAGTGAGCAGTTCTGTATTGCTGAAGTTTTCTTGGAGGTATTGGTCATCATGTCTAAGCAATACGTGACGAGATATGGCATGATGGGGTTGAAGCAGCTCGTAACCGATAGACACGGAGCTTAGCCTGACTCTCCCAGCAGCTTCTGGGCGTTTGGTCCCGAGCGAAACATTGTCTGCCGAGTGCAGGCTACTGCACAGCCGTGATGACCTGCCCAAAGAGCGCCAGCAGCATGCCACTTTGGAGTCGGAATCAGCCACCCTTGGGACCGCCCTCATCCGCCGTAGGCATCTCCGCAGGCATCCCCGTACCCGACCCGTCAAGCATGAACTCCACAACCTCCTCAAACTCTTCCGCAAACTGCAGCTTCTCCCTCCACCTCAGCGGTATCCCCTCTACTCCATCCCTCGCGCCCAGCAATCCCCCCGCAATGGCCGCGTTGGTGTCCGTATCCCTCCCGACGCGCACCACATCAACCAGCACCTCCTCAAGCGGCCGCGGGTCCAGCAGCGCGGCCAACGCAATGGTAAGCGATTCCAGCACGTAGCCCGATGCCTTGTTAGGCAGCGCCTTGGCGCCGTTGGTGGCAGCCTTGGGCCCGCGCGCGGCCAGATCGGCCACTTGGACCAGCTCTTTGCCCGCGTCGAACGCAGCCTCCACTTTTCGCGCGGCGGCGGTGATCTTGTCCATCCCAACACCGCCCGCTGTTGCCGTAGCCTCGCAGGATGCTGCCGCCCGCTGCACGGCGTCGCGCCCCGCCTGCCAAGCCTCTCCCTGGGTCTTCCCCTCGATCAACGCCCGCACCACGGCATTATACGCCGCGCAGGCAAGGGTGCAATGTACATCGTCGTGCGTGATAGCCGATATGGCGATGGACTCCGTATCCGCAAGACCGGGATCCGGCTGAAAAAGCGCCGTGGGGATGCAGCGCATGAGGGAGCCGTTCCCCGCACGGCCCTGGCCCGCCCCGCTCGTGCGGAGATCGCCCGTCTGCTTGAACCTGCGGATCCCCACCCCCGTCGCGCCGCCGACGTCGCGCGGGATCTGGCCCGGCACACGACCGGGCCAGTTGCGCCCGTCGTACCAATCCACCATGTACTGCGCGGCAAGCTGGACTATGTCGACAGATGGTGATGAGGATGATGACGATTGGGATCGCCTTGCCTGCTCGGCGTCACGATACGCGAGGAGCACGGCGCGAGTCAGGTCGGTGTCGTCGGTTGCGTGCCCGGCAGGCCAGCCAAAGTGACCGCCGCCAACAATATCGCGGACGCCATGCGGATGTGTGATTTGGATGCTCTCCCACGTCTCAAACTCGACCGTGGCACCTAGTGCATCGCCGGCGTGGACGCCAAGCAACGCGCCGAGGATGCGATCACGCCGCGTCAATCTTGATGTGTCGGCCATTGTTGCGTGGTGAACTGAGGTGACACCAACGCGGAGTCGCGTCAGCCGTGATGGAATGTCATCTTGTAGACCAAGGGTTAGGGTTCATATGTTCCCATGCTCAGCCACGATCCAAGAGCAGTTGGTTCACGTCTCGAGGCACATGTACCGCACAGTACGCTTTGCGCAGCGTATGCTCAACGTCATACAATCCTATTCAGGCATCCGCCGTCGTGCTAGGACTGTATACTACTATGACCGCCAGTCCCGCCCTCCTCCTCGTCCTCCGTGAGCTTCAGCGCCTCGTGCACGTCATCAACAAAATGGTGCTCTCCGCCCGCAAGCTCGACGATGCCGCTGCGGCGGAGCATCCGCCCAACCTGCGAATCACGGCCTGGCCCGCGGCTAAAGAAGATACGCACGCCTCGCTGCCGGTAGTCCTCGACGATTTCCCCGAGCACCTGCGTCCCGCTGCCGTCGAGCGAGGTCACGCCGTGTATGTCAAAGATGATGTTGCGGTTAGAGTCTTCTCTCCTCAGCCGCGGCAACGCTGGATGCGCCTGGCTCGTGCCGTAGAGTTCCAGCCGGCGCAATCGGGTCTTGAGCTCGCCCGTGTTGGCAAACGTCAGCGGCTCGGGGATCTTGACAATCAGGCATCCCTCGATGAACTCGAGGCGGTCTGGGTTGGCCTCTGCGTTCTCGAACCGGTTGGTGCCGGGAATGCGCCCGAGGATTTGGATGCGCGGCCGCGTGGCATGGCGGATGACCTGCAATAGGGACAGACCCACGCCGATAGCCATGCCGAGCTCGAGCGAGAAAAAGATGGTCGCGAGCAGAATAGCCATCATGAGACCTAGCTCTTGCCAAGCGCCAATCTTAAGGAAGAAGGAAATGTCGTGCGGGCATTCTTCGATCAACGACCACGCCACGACGCTGATGAGAGACGACAGAACGGGTTTCTGTAGGTTGCGCGTTAGAGCCACGTCCAGAAAACAGGCAAGGACTACTGACCGGAAGGTAATAGAAGTAAGGCAGCAGGAAGAGGACGCAGACCAGTGTCAGCGCGCTGAGTATGAGAGAGCTCACGGGCGTGCGGCCGCCCGTCGACCTGTTGACCTTGCTTCTGCCGTAGCCGCCGAAAGCGGGCAAGGCCGAGAAGCAAGCGCCGATGAGGTTGGCCGTTCCGAGGGCCACCAGCTCTCGGTTGGGGCTCAGCTGTATGCCGGCGAACCCCTGACCGCCGAGGCTCTTGGCGGCAACCGAGGACTCGAAGAAGCCGAGCAGGGCAATCAGGAACGACGTGCCCATGGCTTCGCGGATGTACTTCATGTTGGACGGTTGCAGCGGCCAGCGGAATTTGAACAAGCGGCCGCTTGCCGCCCCGACCTTGCCGAGCACCGCGACGCCGGCCTTGTCCCACTCGAACCAGTACGCCAGAAAGGCCGATATGACAACGACGATGAAGCGGTCCGGCACGTAGGCGACGCCAGGATACCGCGGCTGCATGCGGCGCTTGAGCTCTCGACAGACCATAATAACGGCAAAGCTCGTGCCGGCGACGGTCAAAGTCAGCGTATGCACCTGGTCTAAGTTCTTGAAGATGAAAGCCAGCTTGTCCACGCTGCTACTGTGGTTGACATGGGCATGGTCGGCCAGTCTGTTCAACCCAAGCTCCGGGATGAGCTGGTCAACGGCGATCACGACGCCAATAGCGCTGATGAAGCCGCGGAGAAACGGGCGGGAAAGCACGCTATCCAGGAAGCCCAGCCGCGCGACCCCGGCAATGAAGACCATGGCGCCTGAGAGTCCGGCGACAATTCCACACAGCCTTGCGTGCAGCTCGGCGTCGGCGTCGCCGCCGCCTCGATCGACCGTTGTCTTAATTACGGTGCCGACGAGGAGCGAACCAGCCGCTTCCGGGCCGACGATCATGGCAGGACAGCTGCCAAGCAGCGCGTACACGAGCGGGTTCAAAACGAACGAGTACAGGCCGTTTATGGGCGGTACGTGGGCCAGATTATCGGCCAGCGATAGGGCCATGGGAACGTATATGCCGGCCACGGTGAGCGCGGCTACAAAGTCACCCTTGAAGTAGGACCAGCTGTACTCGCGCGCCCAGACCATGACGGGGAGGTAGTACGAAAGGTACCTGGCAGCAAAGTTAGCACTGACGACGCCAACAGCACCATAGGGGTAAGTAAAGTAAAGGGGAGCCCACATTAGAGGTGAGTCCTCAACACCATGCCGCTCCGCCAGTGCACTCGAAGTGCTCATCTTCTTGCTCCTCATCTTGGACGCCCATTGCTTCGGCCAGCTCTTGCGCTTCTTGTGGGAACCCGCCGACAGCACACCGTCGATGGTGTGCAGCCCGGGCGACTCGGGCTCGGACTCGGAAAGACTGAGCGAGTCGGCCAGGATGTCTTCACTCGCAGGGCTCAGGGGCCGCGGGGAGAATGTGCCGTGGTTGCAGGGTCCTTCGTGCGCAGATTCCCTGAAATCCAACGGTGTACCTAGCAAGGATGTAGTCTCTGTCGGCCTCCGTTGTGAACTTGGTCCGGCTCCAGGGTGGTGTGCCGAGGCTGACGGCGGCGGGCTGCGGGGCGAGTCGGACCCCTCCTCGTCGTCGGCAGAACCGCCGCTGGACGAAGCCGTGTACGTCTGCCGCAGACTGCTCGGGTGTGCTGGCGCATGGTCAAGACCTGGGCGTAGAGGGTTCGGTCGAGAGGACATGGTCACCTAGTTGATCACCTCTGGCGTTGTCGCTTCGAAACGAGCATCGATCCTGCTGTGCGTCACCGAGGGGCACCGTATCGTTAGTTTACGGAACGAGCCTTCAGACACGGTCGATCGAGATTTATGATATCATGAAGGGCACAGAACGAGCGCCTTTGCTTCTCGAATTCCAGCCATCGGGTGGAGAAACTGTTTGGTTAGCGGTGTGAGTAACAGAAACGGCGCGTCTGCTAGAACTCTCCACTACGGTCAAATTTTGTCTGAAAGTCAGGGTCCGTGGGGCGGACTCGATGAGGCAAGCCGGTGGTTCCTGCTGTTCCTGACTTCCAATTGCTCGAGCCCCGATCCTCGGCTGGTTGTAACTGTGGGGTCGGGCCGGTCTAGAATAACGCTCGCGCACCACGTGATGCAACCAGAAAATCTGGCCAATAATGGGCGAGATGATTACATAGAATCAGGCACCGCTGAGCACCCTCGAGGCACCGTTGCGGATGAGCGAGATCAGTCGCCGACAGCAAGGTAATTCAAGGATGTTGTCTTGGCTGAACGATCAATGGCCATTGTTATGCAACACTTTTGGCATCAGACTATCACATACGACCATACCTACTGGAAAGCTCGGGATCCCGTCCGCTCTCCCCTAGATAAACCAGTAAGGGCCAGATTAGTAGTTGGGTCGGTGACGACCAGCGAATCCCTGGTGTTGTATGTTTTTGCATCTTTTTTCCTCCTTTCGCATCCCAATGCCGAGCGAGTATTCTCCATGATCATGCTCCGGCCGTCACGGTTCAAGCCTGCTCATTCTTGTGGTTCTAGGCTGGGGTGTAAGGGCCGTGTCTGCAACACGTTGCCTACGGCCAAGTAGCATGGCCCTTCAGCTCGACCGCTTGGTCTGTACCTGGACATGATGTTCGGTACCTAGTCAAGTACCGTGTTGGATTGATATCAAGCAGGGTGTGCTACCTTGCTCCGGGTCACTGACCATACCTGCTCCAGTAACTTAGGTTACAAGCGTCATATGTCCCAATGGCAGATACACGGCGAAGCAGCGAACATGTACTGTCTGTACTGTCTTGGACTACGTAAAGACCCCGACAGTGATCCACAATGCCAGCCAACTTGGAACCTCGCGCCTAACTGCCCCCTCCCAATGCTAGGGCCCGCAGATTCCAGTCGATCAATCCCCAAACACCTCGCCGACTTCCTCGCCCTCATCCGGTGTGACAGCCGGCTCGAGCAACTCATGCGCCAGTTCCAGTGTCTCTGCATCAAGCCCGGCCTCTAGCACCAAATCTTCCTCGGCAAAGTTCAGCCTCGCCAACGTGAGGAGATAGCGCTGCGAGCCGCCGTGCCAGGCAGCCAGCTTGGCCGACATGTTGGCCGTGCTGGCGGTGCGTGGGTCCGTGGCAAGAAAGTGGATGAGTCGTACAGCCTGAGAGATGAAACGGCACACGAGAGACACAGGATCTGGCTCAACCGGCTCTTGGTTCACTTCAATGCCGCTTACCGCCGCCTTGTACTCGGCATTTGACTGCTCTTGTTCGTTCTGCCCATCCACCTGCATGGCTTCTGCTGCATTTATATCGTCTCCGTTTTCGGTCTGCAATTTAAAGTCCCACTGAGGGGCCACCCCCAAGGGTAGGGCAATGTCCATGCCGTATAACTGGTCAACAGCCCAGCACAGAACCGTGACCAGCCGAGGAATAGCCATGTCACTGTCGGCGAGGTGAAAAGCGCCAAAGGGGCTCGTTGCGAACATTGTCAGCGTCTTCAGCGCCGCAGACCGGACGACCAGGTCTTTCACAGAGCCCGGGGGTGCCCATCGCGGAGGCTCGCAGAGAAACGACGACACACAATCGATTACAGTTGCCGCGACCAGTTGAGGACTCTTGGACTCGGGGCGCCCACTTCCAGCGTTCGTTGCCGATGGTATGGGCCCGATGCTCTGGGGCGTCACCGACGTGCACAGCAGTGAAAGCATGCCGAACCAGTCTTCCTCGGGGTGCTTCGGCGACAGCATCACCAGGACAAAATCAAGCTCCATGGTCTTCCAGAATTCGGCCTGTGGGGAGCTTGGTGTTTCGAACGTCTCTGTTTCAGGGGGCGGCAGACAACCCAGGGCAGCCAGGTAGAGCAGCGAGAGGCACTGGGTAACATCGATATCAAGGTTCAGCTGCCGCACAACACTGTCTTGGTGATCATGCGGGTTCCCTTCCGGGCGGCTTAACCGCGGGAGCGCAACGAGCCGGCATGTTGTCGCACAGACTGGAATTAACAATGAGATGATGTGCGGAGCAACCGCAACCGTGTTGATCTCTAGCGTGTACAGAACCAGAGCGGCGAGGTAGTAGATCGGCGCGTGATATCTTTCGGAGAGGCAGCGTTGCCACATTTCGAGCACCAATTCGGCAAAGTCGGCAAGCACACGCATCGGCTGTGCAGAATCGCCCATATGCGGGAGGCGATGGAAGATGATGGAAGCAAACGTCTGAGACGGGTCCGAAGGGAATGCGAACCGAGAGAACAGGTCAAACGTCGGCGGTTGGCCGCGGAGCGTGCTGTGGTTCAGTACCAGCTTCAGGAACTGAGGACGGTTAGCGGAATTGGGGAATCCGAGCAACGCCGACTTACGTCAAACGGCAAGGGGCTGGGTATAATAGCCCTGGATAGGGTAGTCGGCGCAATGGGCGGGTTCTCCGTCGCGTCTCCAGAATGTGTTTCCAGAGCAAAGGTAGGACTGTCCACAATCGGACGTTTCCTCTTTCCCTTTGTCGGCGTGCGCTCCAAAGGCGCAGGCGCAGAATCCTTCCTTCTCAGCGTCTGTCCCTTGCTGGGACTAGACAAGATCTCGACGCCGTCGAACCCGTCCGCCTGACCCCAAGTCCGGCTTTTCTTTGGAGTGGCCGGTGCATCCCTGCGCCTGGACTTTACCCTGCCCAGCTCCTCCCTAAGGTCTTGACGGGTAAATTGCAGCTCGGTCGCGACGGCATTTTCGGCAGCCCGAGCCTCCTCGGCGATGCGTTCTTGCTTTGCAATCTCCTCGGCGTTCTGCTTCTTCAAACGTGCAATCTCGGCCTCATGAGTCGCTTGGGCTCGGTCGAATTTGGAGCGTAGGATGGCGGCTTCTCCTTTGGCTGCAGTGAGGTCCGACTCCAGCGTAGACAGGCGTGCTTTGAGTTCGGCGATGATGTCATTTTGTTGTCCTAAGCCGGTAGCACGGGGAGCCTGTGATGGCTGGCCGGGGTATGGCCGGGGCACGGGCAGAGGCGGGCGGGCGAACTGCGATGGCTGGACCGGCTGTGGCCTGGCGGGTGTGAGAGCGGAATATCGCTGGGATTGAGTCGGAGGCGGAATTGGTCGCCGGGGTGGGTATTGCGGCCCTGGCTGATACGACGGCCTCGACGCCAAGTGCTGGTTCCATCGCTGGGTGCCGGGGGCGTGGCGGGGTTGCTGGATCGGCAGCGAAGTGTCCACGGCAGGCCGTAGTGGTTGTGCTTGCTCGTCAATCACAACAGTGTCGTCGAGATCGTCATCCTCAAAGTCGTACGCGTGGGCATCGACTGCCTGCGCCTGAGTCGGCTTCTGGAACTGTGTGGACTGGATAGCATTGTTTTCGAGTTCCTGCAACACCGTGTCGTTTAGGTCGTTAAAATCATCATCCGGAAACTCATCCATGGCCGGATCTTGCGTCCAATGCTAGGCTTGACCATGACATCGGAAGACTGGGGGTTGTGGTTCGCGAGACAAATTAGCAGGTGTGACTGGAGATAGGCTTCTGTTGCTCCGTCGCGCCTTGCATTTTCGGAGACGCGCCGAAGCGCGGAGCACTCAAGGGTCGCAATTGAAGGTTGACTTTGTGGGGTTTGCTGTAGGATTATGTAACCAAGTTCAGCCAGGGTCTCGGTGAGTCGGTGACCTGACGCCCCGAGATGTGGGGCGGTTTAGTTGCATGTGATTTGACGGTATGTATGTACAAAGTACCTGGTGTTAACTACACCAACTCCTGAATCTTGAAGGATGTTGCTTGCCTCGATTTATTACAATCCTTGTGAGTTATGACAGCTTCTCTCAGCGCTGAGCCATAACGTTACTGCAAAAGAAAGCAGGATTACCGAGTCCTCGTTCGGGTTCCACAACTGTTGAGCGGCCTGTACCCGGTGTACCCAACCAACTTGGTCCCTGATCTCATCCAAACTCAGCGACCCACTTTTGGCGCCCTGACCAGGTTATTGACGTAGTAACTTGGCGATCAACCTTCGAAATTTGAGACTGCCCGCTCTGTGCTTGAAACCCGTCAGCACCGCCTCTTTCCCCAGCGAGTCCCAACGAGCGAGCATTGTTCGCCATCACCTCGACCTCAACGCACCAGAAAGTGGTTACAACACTTCAAGACTTTCAGAACTGTTGGCGACCTGCCGCATCTGTCCCGCATCCTGCAGGTCTCGGCTTCCCGAACCAGCCGGATCTAAACCACAGACCTCGATCGCTTGCGCAATTCTCGCGGCTCTCGTCCATTGACAGCCGCGCCATAACTAGTGCCATTGGCAGCGACCAAGCGAGAAAACTCCCGACAAAACAAGGCGTCAAGGTTGTCATGACGGGACGGTCGCGCCGCGGGGTCAAATTCCCCCACACCAAGCAGCACTCCAACGGTCAATCCGACGGTCGTCGCCTGAGCTTCAGCGATGTCAGCGAAGATGGCTCGCCGTCAAAGACAAGGCCCAGCGGGGCCCTTGAAAACATCCAAGAGGTGCGTCGCGCTGGGCAGAGGCTCCCGCCGTCTCGTAACTGACATACGTCTGCCCAGAAACCCCCAACGGCCGAAGAGCAACAGTCCGAGTACGAAAAGAAAAAGGCCAACTTCATTACGCGCACGTTCTGGACTTTTGTCATGATTGGCGGCTTCTTCGCGGCCCTGTTCATGGGCCATGTGTATATCTTGGTGATCATAACGGCCGTGCAGATAGTGTCCTTCAAGGAAGTCATCGCCATCGCCAACGTGCCGAGCCGCGCTCGCGATTTACGGTCGACCAAGAGCCTGAACTGGTACTGGCTTGCGACGACCATGTACTTCCTGTACGGCGAGAGCGTGGTGTACTACCTCAAACACATCGTGCTGGTCGACCGGGTGCTCCTGCCCCTGGCCATCCATCACCGCTTCATCAGCTTCATTCTCTATGTCTTTGGTAGGTCGCGAGGTGTTTGTGCGAAAAAATCACGGCGCTAACAGCAACAGGTTTCGTCTTCTTCGTGGGCTCGCTCAAGGCTGGTCATCTCAAATTCCAGTTCTCGCAGTTTGCCTGGACGCACATGGCGCTGTTCCTCATCGTGGTCCAAGCGCACTTCATCATGAACAACGTGCTTGAGGGCATGATTTGGTTCTTCCTGCCCGCCGCCCTCGTCATTACCAATGACATCTTTGCTTATATCTGCGGCATCACATTTGGGCGTACGCAGCTCATCAAACTCTCGCCCAAGAAGACGGTCGAGGGCTTTGTTGGCGCATGGGTCATGACAGTTCTGTTCGGCATTCTGCTCACCAACATTCTGCTGCGGTCTCAGTACTTCATCTGCCCGGCCACGGATCTCGGCGCCAACATCTTCACGGGACTGGAGTGCGAGCCGAACCCCGTCTTCATCCCGCGCACCTACTCCACCCCGGAGCTGTTCTTCCTGCCGTCCGGCTACAGGTGGAGCGTCACGATGGCGCCCATGCAGATCCACACATTCTTCTGGGCGAGCTTTGCCTCGCTCATTGCGCCGTTTGGCGGCTTCTTTGCGTCCGGCCTGAAGCGGACGTTCAAGATCAAGGACTTTGGAGACTCTATCCCCGGCCACGGCGGCATGACGGATCGCATGGACTGCCAGTTCATCATGGGACTATTCGCCTTCATCTACTACCACACGTTTATCGCCATCAAGAGGACTTCGGCGAGCGATGTCATGGAGATGGCCATCATGGGCCTGACGGCGGACGAGCAGCTCGAGGTGATGAAGGGCTTGTTGAAGTATCTGTCGAACCAGGGTGTTGTTGGGCACGAGGTATGTGAAGTCTGGCTGATCGCACTCACAATCTGGCTAACTCGTTGCAGGCACCGGCCGCGTTTGATAAACTTCTGTCAGAGAGCAGAATAGCCTAGTTGGATAGTGGGATGCTGGCAAGCGGGGTGGCATTTCGTGGCGTTTGGTTCAAGGAGGGATTTGGAGGATTGTGTAAATGTATCTTGCATGTTGGGACAGAGCCGCCACGGGGCTGCTACTCGAGTGTCTAACGGAACGCATGCGAATTGTATCATGTTGAAGGTTATCTGTCGGCCATTTGCTCACGTGCTCCATCCACAAGGTTGGGAGGCGTGGCTTGGTTCCAAGTGCATCTGCATCCCCTTCATCCAGGCATGCTAAGGACCACTGACGCTATCTTTCATGGTCTGCAGAGCACTCATTGATATGATATCATCAACGAGACAGGCTGCTTGTTGGCTCCGAGTCTCGTACGGACAGCTGAAAGAGCCATGAGAGGTACCAAAGTTTCTTAAGTTTGCGCAACGTTCTACCTTGGGTATCTCGAGAGAACAAAGCCTAGCCAGAATGTTGATCATAGGTATTAGTCGTCCGTCACGAAACCAATCCGGTACTGCGCGCAAAATCCGCTGAGACTGTTTTCCGAGACGCTATCAAACTATGCAATACGTAAATTTACACGTCATGGTGGTATCCCAATACTAACCCGTTCCCCCCTTTTTGATTATGGTCAGGGAGCTCATTGCTCATTAACAAACAACCCCGCCATACCCATCCCCGTGCCGACGCACATACTCGTCAGCAAGATCTTCTTACCATTCCTCCTGCACTCGCTCAGACCCGTCACGATCTGCCGCGCGCCCGTGGCTCCGAGCGGGTGGCCTAGCGCGATGGCGCCGCCGCGCGGGTTCATCTTTGCCCAGTCCAGCCCCAGTTTGTCGCGGCAGTAGACGGCCATGCTCGCGAACGCCTCGTTGATCTCGACCACGTCCACGTCGGCCAGCGTCAGCCCGTGCTGCGCGAGGAGTTTGGGGATGGCGATCGTCGGCCCGATCCCCATGATGCGGGGTGCTAGTCCCGCGACGGTGGAGCCCACGTACTTGGCGAGGATCGGTTGCCCGAGCTTGATGGCTGTGGATCGCTTCATTAGGAGCACGGCGGCGGCTGGTTTTATGCTAGTTAGTGAATGCGATTTAGTCTTGGGAGGGATGAGGGCGTGACTAACCTCCGTCGGTGACCTGGCTGGCATTGCCACCCGTGGTGGTTGGGCCCCACTGGGGGAATGCGACGCGGATCTTGGACAGGGTCTCGGCGGTGGTCCCGGGGCGGATGCCGTCGTCCTTGGTGAGGATCACCTCCTTCCACTCGCCGTTGGCGTCCTTGACCCTCGTCTTGATGGGCACGATCTCGTCGTCAAACAGACCGGTCTTTTGGGCGCGCTCGGCGCGCTGGAAGCTCTCGGCCGCGTACTTGTCCATCTCCTCGCGCGTGATGTTGAAGTCGCGGCTGACGTTCTCGCTCGTCCACCCCATGGGCTGCATGCAATCGACCGACTCCTGCGAGTGGCTTGTAACCTGCTCGTCAAACGGCTTCTCGAGCGCGTCGCCGCCTACTGTCATCTGCTCGGCGCCGATGGCAATGCCGACCTCAATGGACCCGGTGCTGATGGCGTGCGCGATGTCGGCCACGGCTTTGAGGCCAGAGGAGCAGAAGCGATTGAGGCTTGATGCGCTTGTCGTGTTGGGATACCCCGCGGCCAAAAGCGCGGCGCGCAGCTTGTAGGCTGCCTTGCCATCCGAGACCTATTGGCGTGCGTCAGTCGATGCAGTCCTCCAGGATGCCGAGGAGGATGGGCTACGTACGTTGCCGAGACAGATGTCCTCAACGAGCGCGGGGTCGAGTTTGCTGCGCTCCCTCACTTCCTTCAGTAAGGCGTAGATCATGTACTCGAGAGTCGTGTCCTTGAACCCGCCCTTCCTTGCCTTTGTGAGCGGCGTCCGGATGGCGAGTGTGATGACGATGTCGTCGGCATTTTTAGAGGTTCTATGCACACGAGTTAGAGAGGATATTGATAATTGCCAGAGTATGGAGCGTACATTTGCGACAGCGCACTGCCGGGAGACAGGTGCTTGAGGATGGAACCGAGCCGTTCTACTGCCATTGTTGCGGTGCGGGTGTGTGTGGTGGGAAGATTGAATACGGCAGTGGCAAGGCTGAAAGGATTCAATGGCTCAAATATAAAAGGCGACGTAGGAAGATGGGCGATGGCAAAGGTTGTATCTGAAAGTATACTTTGTCCATGTGGGGTTTACCGAGGCATCTCTCGGTTTTGTCTGTTAGTGATCGTCGGCTGTCATCGTGATGGGGTAAAGTGATCCGAGCCGATTCGTTCCGGCTCTGCGGGGAAACCCGTCCTGGCCAGCCGAGACACTAATCGGCAGTTGCAGCCCACGACTCCGGCAACGCTTAAAACCGCTGCATGCCGTCCAACACTACGGATGTAGATGGCCTCGAGGGCGTATATGCATTGTATTGCCCTCGTAGGTTTCCCACATATTACCTGAATTCGCAGGCTTACTTCCACAGTTCAGCGTCCGCCGTTTTTGCAGACACAACATGGAAGGACCTACCTATCTGTTCATTTTGGCCAAAAACTCGGCGATTTTTTAATCCCGTCCGGTGACGCAAGGACGGTAGAATTGTTAGCGTTCCAATCACTGCAGCCGCCATCGGATTGCGCGCGGCGCCTGATTTATTCCCAGGAACGGCCCGTCCGGGTGGCGGCATGAGTCCAAACGCCTGGGACTGCGAAGGACGCTCGGGGACGGTAGCTTACCGCTACACACAACGTTATAACGCTATGGATGGCGTTTTATGTCAATCCTGAACACTCGGCGACTGGGAAATGGACGAGCCGGCTTGACTCTTCTCGACATAAGCACACATGCAGAATGCGGAATCGAAGTCGGATCGCCCTGCATGCGGCGTCATCTTCTCAGCCCCAAGCCAGCGCCAATGGCATCCTTGGCACTGCTTCTGGCCCTGGATCTATCGACCGCTAGACCCAACCAGGCAAGATCCTTAGCCTCTGCCAAGGCTAGGTAGGCGTTCAGGGGGCCACTTCGAACCGGGATTCCCGCATCTCTGAGCTCGTGTCTGCGTCCCAAGAAAAAACGGCTCTCCTCAGCTGGGAAAGCCTTTCAAATGCCATGGCTCTCTCTTCAATTTCCAGTTCTCGCTCCCTTAGACCTCCTGTCTGGATCCTCATGCCGACAAGTCGCTCGTTTTTATCACGTCGGCAGCAACCAGAAGACATTTCGCCCGAATAGACGCGGCATTTCCTCGTATCTTTCCGAGAAAAAGCTCGCGATTGACCCGTGAACGTGCGGTTTCACCTCGGCTACAATGGTACAGATCAGGTCTTATGCCGTCCTCGCGGCACTCCAATTCCTGACAGCCAGGACGGCGGCCGGCCCTCTCGCCTCACCTAAGCGCGGCCTAGCCTTCACGCCGAACGCGACCACGCCCCAAGACAACTCGATATGGATCCAGGAGCCTACGGACCTAACATGGTACTACAACTACAAGCCCACGCCAGAGTCTATCTACGAGGACTCCAAGCTGGAGTTTGTACCCATGCTGTGGGGCGCACCCTCGAATTTGGACGACACCTCGTTCCTGTCAACCGTGAAGACACTGATCGAGGACCGCGACATCAACATCACCCATGTGCTCTCGTTTAACGAGCCGGACGGCCCGTTTGCCTATGGCGGGAGCAACATGCAGCCGGCTGCCGCGGCGCAGGTCTGGGTCAAGAACCTGATTCCCCTGCAGGAGATGGGCGTGCGTGTAGGCCTGCCGGCTTGCACAGGAGCACCCTCGGGACTTGTCTGGCTGCAGAATTTCCTGTCGGAGTGTTCTAAACTGGTCAGCACCGGCGACGAGACGAGGAACTGCACGTATGACTTTGTGACCATACATTGGTACGGCAACTTTGAGGGGCTGGCCAGCCATATGGGGTCATATTCCGCTGCGTGAGTTCGATCTTTCCCTTGCTCTTGCTCGCCCGCGCTGACGAAGGCTGTTCAAGGTTTCCGAATAAGACCATGTGGATCACCGAGTACAACTTGAACAACCAGGATCTGGCGACGACGCAGGCCTTTTACAACATGTCGGCCGAGTACTTTGACCGGCTGGAGTTTGTCGAGCGCTACTCGCTCTTTGGCGCCTTCCGCAGCGACGTGTCAAACGTCGGCCCCAACGCGGCGATGCTGAGCGCCGACGGCAACCTTACCGACATTGGAGCCTGGTATCTGGGGCGCCAGGGAACCGGCATCAGCCCCTTGCAGGGTGCTTCTTCCAAATCCTATGGCTTCCGTGAAGGGCCGCGGCTAGGATTGGCACTGCTTGGGGTTTCGCTGGCCCTTGCGGTGCTGTGCTAATGTCTAATCCGGGGTCGTCTGCAGACCCATCTTGTCTGATATATCGATATCATTCACATCTTACTTTGGGCTAGTTGTGTGGTCCGGATGGCTTAATAATTGGGTTGGATACTAGAGAAGGGCATGGCGTTGGCGTTTCGGTCGCCCCCAAACTCTTGGTTATGGACGCTGTACTTCAGGATGGACCTCTTATTCGTGGCGGCAGGCAGAGCAAGCGTATGCCAAGATGGGCCGCTGGCTCGGGAGGTTGGATGGCCGGGGAAGCCTCAGCTGCTGATCCGGCACGATCACGTCGTCTTGGTTGAGAGGGTCATAAGACACCTTGCATACCCTCCCAGCGAGCCAAGCATAAATCTAATGGTGTAATGACAATAGCGGAGCCTGCTGATCGACTCAACGCTTGGGAAAGAAGATGTCTCCGATACCGGACGCGTTGAGAATAGCCCGCGTCCACTCCTGTACGCCGCTAGCTACAGCATCTATTCCATCTCACCTATGGGTCGGATACTGCACTTGAGCATCACCCGGAAAGTGAACCGCCCCGCGGCGAAGCTCCGGCCCAGATCCCCGGGCCGGACCCCGCGACCGGACCCCGCTTTGGCGTTCTTGCATCCCGGCTAAATGTGGAGTGGAGCTGTCGGGGGCTTGTGACTTCAAGCTGTAAGACAGGCCCTCAGCCTATTTCAATGAATGAATGTCACGGTCTCTACCTGAAGCTCTCTAACGTATCAAGTGTTGTTCACTTTCCTTGAGACGCAGTTAATTACCATGCCGCAGGTCCGCAACCCCATCCTCCCGGGTTTCAACCCGGACCCGTCCATCCTCCGAGTCGGGGACGACTATTACATCGCCACATCAACCTTTGAATGGTACCCTGGCGTGCAGATCCATCACTCGCGGGACCTCGCCAACTGGGAGCTGGCGGTGCGGCCGCTGACCCGCAAGAGCCAGCTGGACATGCGCGGCGACCCCGACAGCTGCGGCATCTGGGCTCCGTGTCTTACCCACGACGGGGAAAAGTTTTGGCTCGTCTACACCGACGTCAAGCGCAAGGACGGCTCCTTCAAGGACGCGCACAACTACATTGTCACGGCGCCCGCCATCGAGGGCCCCTGGTCGGATCCCATCTACGTCAACTCGTCCGGCTTCGACCCGTCCCTGTTCCACGACGACGACGGCAAGAAATGGTTCGTCAACATGCTCTGGGACCACCGCCGGCGTCCGCAGCTGTTTGAGGGCATCGTGCTGCAGGAGTTCGACCCCAACGCCGGCAAGCTCGTCGGGCCCCGCAAAAACATCTTTCCGGGCACCGAACTGGGCCTCGTCGAGGGCCCGCACTTGTACAAGCGCAACGGCTGGTACTACCTCCTCACAGCCGAGGGCGGCACGGGGTACGAGCACGCGTGCACACTCGCCCGGTCGCGCGACGTCTGGGGCCCGTACGAGACGCACCCGCAGAAGTACATTGTAACGTCCAAGGACCACCCGCACGTAGCCCTGCAGCGCGCCGGCCACGGCGATATCGTCGACACGCCCGACGGCAGGACCTATCTGGTGCACCTGACCGGCCGCCCGACGACGCAGCTCCGGCGCTGCGTGCTGGGCCGCGAAACAGCGATTCAAGAAGCCTACTGGGGCGACGACGACTGGCTGTACGTGAAAAACGGGCCCGTGCCGAGTTTGTTCGTCGACTTACCCGCGGCGCGCAACGAGGATGCCTACTGGGCCGAGCAGCGGTACACATTTGAGAACGGGCTGCACAAGGACTTCCAGTGGCTGCGCACCCCGGAAACGGAGCGCATATTTAACACCGAGGGCGGGAAGCTGACGCTCATTGGGCGCGAGGCGATCGGGTCGTGGTTCGAGCAGGCCCTGGTTGCGCGGCGGCAGACGCATTTCTCGTGCGATGCCGAGACGGTCATTGATTTTTCGCCTGAGGACGAGCGCCAGTTTGCGGGTCTGACGGCGTACTATAGTCGGTATAATTTCTTTTATTTGACGGTTACGGCGCACTCGGACGGGCAGCGCGAGCTGCTCATCATGGCGTCTGAGGCGTCCTGGCCTCTCGGGGGGCTTCGCTTCCCGTTCGGAGCTGGCAATGACGCGCCAGTGCAGATCCCGAACGAGGGTAAAGTCCGGTTGGCTTTGACGATCCGGGGCAGGGAGCTGCAGTTTTACTATGCGCTGGAGGGAGAGGAGTTGAAGAAGGTGGGGCCGGTCCTCGATGCGAGCATCGTCTCGGACGAATGCGGCGGCCACCAGGTCCATGGCAGCTTCACGGGCGCCTTTGTCGGCGTTGCCGCGTCGGACCTGAACGGGCTGGCCGCCAAGGCGACGTTTGATTATTTCCTGTACCGCCCGGTGAAGCATCACACTGACCGGTACGAGATTTGACGGCTGGTTGCTGGAGTATCCAACAAGGGGGCAAAAAGAATGTGTACTTTAGCAAAACGTATGGATGACGGTTCAAGTTCATGGTGAGTCTAGGCCGCCATTTGCCTTAGTGTTCGCACCTCATAGTGTTCGCAACCCAAAGCACGTCCATGTAGATATACAAGTGCCTACTACCTAAGGAGACCGAGACACCGTCGGCATACACTGTCCATATACGCCCCTCTGTTGCAATGCATTGGGTTATAGGTCAATTCCCCCTTCCTCCTTTCAACCCCCCACGGGTTACGGTGAAGTGGCCAGGTAGTATAGGAAGGCAGCTTGGACAGGGAAAGGCACGAGTTCGATTCATATCTAGATCGGCAACATCCAGACCCAAACCACCGCAACCATCACCAGCCCCCACACCCGCATCAGCACCACCAGCACCCACCTACCCGACCATGGACGACAGAGTGGTTGACTTGCCGAGCTTCGGTGGCAGTTTATCGCTGCCTTCATCGTCGCCGTTGTCCCAAAAACGCTCGTACCATAGGTACAGGCATGCGTCGGCTGAGGGCGGACTCTCCAGGAGACTGTCGTGTATGGTCACGACAACATACTCATGCCGCATCTTGGATCTAGCCTTGTCGTCCTTATAATGCGTAACTTGTGCGATCCGGAACTGTTGGGACCGGCTTTGGGACATGTCTGGGTTTGTTTCGAACTTCAAAACAAGCCACTGGTCGGCCTCCAGGCCGGGCTGCATAAGCCAGTCGGTCCACTGCTCGGGAAGCTCATGGATTGCATTGTGGGGATTCCGCCAAAGAGAGCTCGCAGAGACAATTGCGGTCTCTTGTAAAGAGGGTAAGACCTTCCGCGGTATTCAGTCATTGTCTCCGCAATCGAGCGTCATATTAAGGAGCCCGTGGTGCGTCGACTGACCTTTGGTAGCCGTCCGGATCGTCATCGTAGTTGATCCCGTTGACCTTCCAGATGGGCCGTCCGCTGAAAAGTCCGCGAGAACATTCGCGTAGGCCGCCTACGGTCAGCACCTGCAGGGAGAGGCTGTGGGGTGAACATCCTGGACTCTGCAACCCTCTCTTGTCTTCGCGATCGAGCGGGTATTGTATCGAAGGTGGACGAAGAGTATTGCAACCGACATACAATGTCCGGTGACGTTGCTCCGATAAAGTAGGCCGGTAATATAAGGCATTTGTCTAGATGCACTCTGATGAGTTGGAGGTGAAAATTGACACTGAAGATTCGGTGCATTGATCGTGGATTGTAGGAGGGACGAGGAGTCGAGCCGGTGTGCGCAGTGGTTCCGATAAATACAACGTTGCCCTAGGTTCCTCCTTCCCGCTCGACAGAGGCAAAGAGCTGCCTGCGAGGCCGCTTTGGTGCGTAAGGGCGGGGTGTGCACCCTCCCGTTGTTAATGTGGGAGCATGTTGGGCAAGAACGATGGACGAGATTCGACCAAGTACCTGACCTAAGGGGGTCTGATGCCCAATTGACGCCGTCAATTTGACGGGTCAACATCTAGTTCAGTGTATGTACACCGGCATGTAAGCGTCCTCTCCAATTTTCTATGAGAATATAATAATCACCTGATTGATACTAAATGGCGTTGCCCAAGTCAAATTAGTCGAGTAGAACCCTGGCATCGAGCACGAGAAGACATTCCGGCTTGGGGCAGAGGACCCTCTCTAAGCCTTCTCTTGCCTCCCTTATATAATGCGTACTCCGCTAAAGTTCAGAAAGCTGGGTGCCGGCAGCCTAGGGCAACCGTGACCCTGTCGGTAGACACTGGTCATATACAGCCCTCTGTTGCGATTGCATTGGGTGAATAGGTCAAGTCGGAGTCGCCTCTCTTACCCTGAACCCCATACGGGTTATAATGAAGAGGCGAGGTGGTTAACAAAAGGCAGAGGCCAAGAAGAGGAAAGGGCTGGGTTAGATCCGTCGTGTTGCTAATCATGCTCGCCCTACTTGCGCTTCAAGTGTTTCTAAGCGACGCTGGAGATCCACAAGCTGCTGTTCGGCAGCAAGTCGCCTAGCCTGCTCCTGAAGTCGCTCAGCCCTCTCCTCAGCAAGCTGCTGTTCTGCAGCAGCCAGTCTCTCGCTAGCCCGCTCAGCCCTCTGGTCAGCAAGCTGCCTCTCCCTTTCCTCTCGTTCGCGCTACATCGTTGCATTGTTAGCATACTAAAGAACTCAAGTGCAAGCCTCTCATCATCACCCACCTTCTCGATGGCTGCCATGACTTGGTCCCGACGCTCCGTGCTCCGCTGGCGGAGATCGTCGAGGCTGGGTATCTCCTGCAGCTCCTTCTCCACCACCTCTCTCAGCTCGGCATCGGAGACTTCGCGTATCTTCTTATCCCCGCCATTCTCCTCAAAGCTCCGGACCAATTTGACCAAACCACTCATGTCCCCGTCCTTCTGCTTGTCACGTATCTGGCGATATCCCGTAATCGGGCCAAGCTTGCCGGCCTTCTTGGCGTGCAGCAGGTCCTCGCTTTTTCCTCTGTAGAGATCCTCGAGAACCTCGTACGTGGACCCGGCGAACCAGTAACACATTGTCGTGTGCAGACGGTATTTGGTGGAGAGTGTTGAATGGGCTTCGAGGACGGCTGCGAGGTCGAGGAGTGTTGGGGGTGTCGCCTCGAACCTCATCCGCCTGTTGTGTCGTTAGAGTAAGTGTTTCATGACTGACGGTAGCCGAAGATATATTCACACAAACCTCAGACGGAATGTTTTCTCAGCTTTCACAGACCTCTCCAGGTCTTCGATGGCACGCTGAGACAGGGGTTCGAGTTTGTCAATCCTTGTCGCCGGCGTATTGGTAAGAATCATGGATGACACTGCGCTGGACTTGTTGAGCTTCGACGGCAGGTTATCGTGACTCGCCCTTTCGTACTGGTCATCGTCCTCTTTCCGATAACGCTCGTAACGAAGGTAAAGGCGTTTATCGTCAGACTGATCGTCCTGAAGGCCGTCACGGATAGTAACGACGATAAACTCATGCATGAACTTGGACGCCGCCTTGGTGCCCTTGTAGTGTGTTACCTCAGATATATAGAATTGCTGAGCTCGACTAGGCGACATCTCCACGTTCCGTTCAAACCTGTATCCCAGCCACTTGTCTGCCGTCAGGCTAGTTTGTATGAGCCACTCGGGCCATCCCTCTGGAAGATCCATTGACCGTGCAGTCGGGATGCCGCCGAAGAGTGCGCGGAACGATAGTTGCAGTCTCTTGAAAAAGGAGTAGGGGGTGCGGCTGTATTCAGTCATTTTGTGGGCGGGAGAGGGGCTATTAAGTATTGAAGGTGGTCAGAGAGAATTGCACCCGGCATACAACGTCCAGTGAGATGGCTCCGATAGGTCTGCACTGTGAGATATCTGTCTGGACTTTGGATGCACTGCGAAGGATAGACGGAGGGAAAGATCTAAGCTGCCTGAGATGCTGCGTTGGGTGCCTGAGGGTTGCCCGGTTGTGCTTGGTTTTTATGTTTGGGCATGTTTGGGCAAAAATGATGCACAACGTTGACCAACCAAGGTGGTCAAGGCGGTGAGCTTGGAGGATTGAGAGTCTGGTGTCCTGCCGTGAAACACCGAGCCCGATGTGCAGTGACACGCGGCAGATTGTGATGAAGTCCGTCTTGGAGGTTGACTTGAGCCTCGACCAATGTTGCACATTTTACCGAGGCAAATTGCAATGAAAGCGAATGCAGTGATCCATTGTTTCGACTTGGCGTGTAGTGTCACAGTACAGTGTGTACTGTATGTACTGTACATATTATACATACACTACATCCAAAGTACGCCTGAGCACTGCATAAGATGCCGGCATCCTTCGGCTCAAGCTTCATTGGCATTCAGGGGCCACTCTCAAGGAAGTTGGGCGCGAAACTCAGGGACAGGCAAAAGAATCAGGGACAAACATCCTAGTAACTCATATCTCAAGGAATACTACACTTCTAAGAGAATGAATATATCAGCCACGCGGTATTCCTCTCTTGACGGCGCACTGGGACCTATTAAGGGTTAGAATTTGGCGGACGGGTTCATACCCCACCTAGTCAATCGCGTCCTTCGCGTCAACCGCATCACACTGTAGTTATCCATACAACCGACCACCTTAACCCCCATCCAACCACACAAAATACCACATCTATATGTACCCAGCTTGTCAGACTTGGGGGTATCAATCAACTCCTGTGTGGCAGTTCCATTCAAAACGGACGGCGCCTCTATCTATACAATACCGTCTTCATATTGTAAAGTTCTTTCCTATTTCCTCAGTCTCTAACGGTTTGATGGGCATACTACACGCAGGCCCGCCAGGTAAGTGGCTCCTCTTGGCGCATTGGACCGCATCCGCCAAAGGGCCCGAACTCAACATTCCTGATTCTAGCCAACTCGACGATTTCCTCCACCCCGCCTTCTAACAGCCAACAACCCTTTCCTCCTACAGACACCCTCAGACTAATCAAACACATCTATCGCATACCGCTCGTTACGCACACTATCATACCACTTCCCAACCTCCTCCTCCTCCTTTTCCTCCCCAATCAAAATCCTTCCCAACGCCTTCTTCACCCCCTCCCCCAAATGCCTCGAGCCGCACACATACACTTTCGCCCCCCTTTCCCACAAAGCCTTGACCTCCTCCCGGTCAAGCCACAGCCTGTCCTGGACATGCTTACACCCACGTGCCTCCTCTGCTTCGCTCGAGTCAAGATCGACCCTGCTGAACGCCCTCCGAACATCAACCGCGCCCATGGCCTGCCACTTATCAAACTCGTCCCGATACAGATCATCAACCCGCGGCGAGCGGCAGCCAAAGAAGAGCAGCGCGGGCGCGAGAATGCGACTCGGACCGGCGGCGGCCAGCTGCGCCGCGCGCTCCTGCACGAACCCGCGGAAGGGGGCTATCCCGGAGCCCGCGGCTATCATGAGGAGCGGGGTTGTCTCGGCGTGTTGTGGTGAGGGGAGGCGGAAGAAGGCGTGTGTTGAGCGGACGGACACTTGGATTTTGTCTCCGGGCAAAAGGGAGGCGAGGTATGAGGTGGCGACGCCTACGTGTTTGTGAGCGGGGGAGGCGAGGGAGGGTTTTTCGAAGAGGCTGTAGGTGAGGGTTGCCCGTGAGGGGTTGGATATGGGAGAGGAGGAGATGGAGTACTGTCGTGGACGTAAGGCGGGGAGGAGGGACAGGAAGGTGCCGAAGGGGAGGGAGATAGAGGGGAAGCGCTCGAGGAGGTCGAGGATGGAGGTCCGTTTGAAGCTGATTTCGGTGGCATAGGACGGACCGGCGAGATCGCGGAGTTGTTGGGCGGTTTTGGAGTCGGTGGTGGAGTCGGCGAGCGTTAGGATGCCCTGCTCACAAGTCAGTCCTCTGTCTGGTTCTCATCATCCCACTGTTAGGGGCTGTAGGGGAGTGTGGTAAGGTACGTGCCCTCTTTGTGGCAGGCTGCGATAGCTCGACGTACGAACCGAGGACGTCGAAAACGGGCACCGGATTGTCCGTCGGCAGGGCCGTCCACCGGTCGGACCCGATCGTGATGTGCGCATCCCAAGCCAACTCAAATCGTCGCATCGCCCGGTAGATGGTCGCCCTCGGGTTGACGGGGAGCACCGCAAGGTAGTCACCGACACGGTACGTCACGCCCTCGGGCAGCTGGATCTCGATGTGCTTCTTGGGTGTGGCGCTGGATATGGGGGCCGTGAGCAACTTCTCGCTGACAACAGTTGCCTCGTTGACGTCCTGGCGTAGGGTCGAGGAACGCGGGTTAGAGAAGCGGACGGAAAGGCGGGGCGACAGGGCATCACTATCGGGGGCCTCGGTGCCAGCACCAGCCGCCGCTGCCCCGCCGTACCGGGCTTCCAGTGCGGGCCAAAACACTTCGTCTTCCCACTGCTCAAAGTCGGTGAACATGTCGCCCTCGGCCACGTCGGTCAAGCCGAGTTTACAAATGCGCGACCCGCCACGGGCCTCCAGCACACGATCGACTAGTGTAGGGATCCGGTGGAACGTCTGGCTCCAGTCGTGGTGGCCACAACCGAACACGGCATACGAGACATTTTGCAGCTCTGCGCCCTTCAGCCCCTCGATCCAGCCACAGAATTCCGCCGCGTTGTCGGGCGGTTGGCCTTCGTACGACGCCGTGATAATGACCACGGGCCGGTCGGTGGGAAGGCTTGCCTTTGCCGCGTCCATCGGCTCTACAACGGTGGCGGCAAACCCGTGGGATGCCGCGTCCATGGCCAGGCGCTGGGCCAGGCTCTCACAAGTGCCAGTGTTGGACCCGTAGTAGATGCTCATGGGCCGCCGGTCCTTGGCCGCTGTGGCAGATACCGAGGTTGGGGTGACCGTTCCTGATTTGGACTTTGTCCCGGCACTCGGCGCGGTGAGCCCGCCGCAGAGACGGTGCTCGAGCTCGGTGGGCGTCTGGCCGTGGCGGAGAGTGGCGCGCATGTAAAAGTCCTTGGGTTTGACGGTGAGGGTCTGCTTGTACTGGAGCGAGTAGTTCGGGTCGTCGAAGGAAAAGTCAAAGTTTTGCAGCAACACGGCCATGACCAGCACCGCCTCCTGCCAGGCAAAGGGCCGCCCGATGCACGCCCGCATGCCGTTGCCAAAGGGCTTCCAGCAGTCCGGGAACTCCTTCAGCAGGCGCTCGAAATTCTCCTCGAGCATGCGCTCCGGCACGAATTGCTCGGCCGTCTCGCCGTAGACGCGCTTGTCGAGGTGGATTTTGCTAAGCAGCAGCAGGACCATCTGTTCTTTGGGGATGTGGTACTTGCCGCCGATGACCGTGTCTTCTTTTGCTTCGAGGGCTATGATGGGGATTGTGGGACTGAGACGCAGCGTCTCACGGAGGATGGCGGAGATATAGGGGAGCTATCTGGTTAGTTGTGGCAGGCCAGATCAGGACGACGGCTGGGACCTTACCTTCTTGGTGTGCTCTACCGTGATGGTCCCGCGGCCTAGCACACTGTCAACTTCGGCCTGTGCTCTTTTATACGCCTCCGGGTGTTTGATGAGCTGGTAAAAGGCAAAGCTGAGCAGCCCTGACGTTGTCTCATGGCCGGCGATGAGGAACGTGATGAGGTTGTCGATGATGGACGAATCGCTGAGCTTCTGGCCAGTCTTTGGATCGATGCCGTCCAGCATGGCTGTCAGCAAGTCCTTGCGGTCGCTCGGGTGCTTCTTCCTGGAATCGAGAACGGCTTGGGCGGTATCGCGCAACACTTGGATGTCCTCCCAGTACTTCTTGTTTGCTTGACGGTAAAAGATACCAGCGAACGAAGGCCGCAATTGCCGGGTTCCAGACTCGGTCAGAAAGTCGCCCATGGCGGTGATGAAAGGATGCATGGCGTCGTGGTAGTACGAGTTGAAGCGGAAATTCATGGAGCACAGCGCCAGCGTGTCGAGCGTGAGGCGCGTGAAGTCGTCCGTCACCATGATGGGCGTCTCGGGCCCGTGCCGCGCCCACTTGAGCGCCAGCTGGGTTGCAATCTCGAGCATGTCGGGGAACATGCCCTGGATCGAGGCGGGCCCAAAGGCGGGCATCAAGATGCGGTGAGCCACGCCCCAGTTCGGCTCCTCGTCGCGCGCCGTGAACAGGCCATCGTGGACTCCGTTCCGGACTTGGTTGAGCGCGTTCTTGATGGACTTGCGGAACCTCTTCTCGTCGCAGAGCTCGTGCGCGAGCGCCTGTGTGGTCTGTTGCGTGGAGGTGTTGGTTTAGCTTCGGGGACAAGAAGCAGCGGGCCATCACTCATCAAGAGGATCAGCTTACCACCCAGACGGTTGTGCGCCCAGGAAAGTTGACACGAAATATATCCCCTGGAATAGGGTTAGTCTTGTGAGTTTGCATGGGGTCAGGGGAAGCAGCTTACCGTACTCGTCGGCGAAGCCATCCCAAGTGCTCAGTGGAAGCTCTATGTTGACGTCAAGCATGCTGCCGACAAAGGGGAGACCTTTGGGCCCAGGAATGGGCACAGTCTCAGGCGTGGAGCCCATGGTGCCAGGCTGTGTGCAGGATCGACACAAGAAAATGAAGACACAAATATTACATCCAGGCTGGCAGTATCACTGGCTTGAGGTGTTACTTAAAACGCTGTTCAAGGTCTAAACGGAGTAACTGAAGCACTGCATGGGAACCGCGATGGTCTTCGAAATTTATACGGGATGTTGGTTCGATCAGATGTCATGCAGTTGGACTGGAATTACCCCTGTTGGCCTCGCGAGCCGAACCCCTGGCGCATGCCCAACAGTATGGGAAATCTGGCAAATCCTGCCGCGGGACAGGGCAGATACCCATTGGCTCGTGGTTCGTAATCCACAGTCGCTAGGATCAATATCGAGCCAACAGGTGATTAGTATTCGGATCTGTCCCGAGTCACCGAGTGGCGTTGACGAAGTCCAGCATCGAACAACGCGCGTTATTCGGCCTTGAACTTCCCTTTGGCGATTTTCGGTGCTGGACTGCCTTTGCCGGCACTTCTCTACCAGCTTCATGTGTCATTCGCACGATGTTACTTGAATCAGAGCATGGGTGGGCGGGGTGCCAGGGGTAAGCCTGGTATGCTGCCGGTAGCATTTTATCTCCGTCGGTCCGTTCCACCCCTGCCGACTTACGTCCGTACTTTTCTCGAGTTCGGAGACTCTAGAACAGCGAGCCGAGCCGACGTCACTTCCCGCGGCAAAATCGCCAGCGGACGGCATCGCCGATGGTTTTTGCAAAGGGGGCAGTGGAGAGTTTTTAGAGTCATATATCTTTGCAATTTTAGATATCTCCAACTCCCAGCCGACTTCACATGCGCCCACAGTTGGTCATTCCGGGTAGAATGCCCAACTGCAACAACAAGCTCGGTGCATGTGGCCCCACAAGTACCGCAAGTTGAGCCTCGGCAACTGAACCGAACCACTTTATAAATCCCCCACGCTACAGCCACTTGGCAATCTCTGCCTCGGTCCACTCCCAGAGCCTGTTTCCCAGCTCCGGGTCCTCGCTTGCCTTGGTCTTCATCTTGGACAGGTCGCCCACAGGTTCGTAAAACGCTCCCGGCTTGATATCCTCCCTGCGGGCGGCAATGGCCCAGAGCAGATTGTGCGTCCCCTCCTCGGGCGTCTTCATGCGACCAATGTTGGGCACATAGACCAGCGCCTTGTCCAGCAGACTCAAGTCCGTTACCAACCCCGTCGTGACAACCCCTGGCGTGAGGCTGAACGACAGGATCTTCTGCCCGTATCGCTTCGCCAGCTCGCGTGCATACAGCATATTGGCCAGCTTGCTCTGCCCGTACCGCAGCCAGCGGCCCAGCGCCATCTCCTGCGTTGTGCGGAGCCGATCGAACTGGATCCCCCCCGGCGGCGCGCCTCTCCAAGCCGTGCTCGTCACCATGACGATGCGGACGTCTGCACCTGGGATACTATCAGCCGTCCTCTCCAGCAGCGGCAAAAGCTTGCGCGTGAGCAGGGCGTGGCCGAGGTGGTTGGTGGCGAAGTGTATCTCGTATCCGTCGGCCGACAGCGCGGCGGGCTTGGCCATGATGCCCGCGCAGCAGATCAGGACGTCGAGCCGCGAGAGGTCGGATAGAGGGGGCTTCTCGGCTGCTGCCTTGACCGAGCCCTGGTGGGCCAGCTCGCACTGCACGAAGGAAATGCGGACGCCGGGCGCTGCGGCGTGGACGGCGGAGATGGTCGCCTCGGCTGATGCGGCGTTGCGCCCTGTGAAGAGCAGGTGCGCTGGGTTGTGCCGCGCGAGTTCGATTATTGTTCCGGCGCCCACGCCGGCGGTGCCTGGGAGGGGATGTTCGCATCGTGGTTTGCAGATACTTGACGGCTCACAACGTGAAGGGGAGCTGTACGCACCGCCAGTTATCAGGATGACCTTGCCAGCAAGGTCTGGTATGTCCCTTGTTGGGTTAAACGCTACGCCCGGCATGATGAGAGTCTAGGTTCTGGCTTGTTGCTGCTCTTGAGGTCTAGGTGATCCGGAATGCGAAAGGCTGAGAGGACCGCGTTGCCTGAGCCAAGAAGAACAGTCACCGGTTCCATACCTGGGGTTCAACTTGAAGTATAAGTAGTACCAGATGTCGCGTGAGTCTTGGGTACCAGTAGGGCCATGTAGTAGGCAACGCGAATAGCGTCGGCGACATTTTGGATCAGCCGGTGGTATCGATATCTCGACAAACTCCTGAAGGATCTTGATGCCTGCCTGCGACGAAGAATGAGCGTGCAAAGTACGGAGGCTCGGATCAATTGCGCAGACTTTGGACTGCCCTGATGCTAGGTCTTTTGTATCAATGGTTAAGGCCGGCACCGCAATTGACCGTGCATGTGCGTATCCCGGCAATTGTCCCGAATCCCGCTGGCGATAAGAGATGTCAGGTGTTTTACCGCGTCGAGCTTTGAAAGTTCAGAGCATGCAGCCACATTCATGTTGCAAATATTATCAGAAGGTTTCTAACAGGCCAGCCACCATCAAAGGAGCGGCAAGACAACGAGCTGACGGCGAATCAGTCTCGATGGCACCTGCACCAACACCAGTACGGCGAGGACCTTGCCAGAACACGGCAACACGCAGACGCGGGGAAGCATCGAGGGCACAATTGAATGCACCATTCCGAACCTATGCAGACAAACAGCAGCCGGCAATCAATGCATGCATCCGCATGCAGCTTGCCCGGGCTCGACCCCGCTTCTCCATGGTATGAGCCGACAGACTTGAAGCGTGCAGTCCATGCAAATGCAGTACAGGCCTGGACCCCCTCTTGGGGATCCCATAGCTAGCGGATAGCTTCAACCTCCGTCGTCATCGTCTATGGCAACTCGACTCAATACAGGCCGTACCAAATCTTGGAAATCATTGCAGGACAATCGCCACTCCAATCATCCACCACCATGTTTCTGCTCCGGGCCCGACACTCGGCAATCCTCCGGCCGGCCCCACTGGCCCCGCTGACCCGCCTCTCCGGGCGCCGGATCCCGAATCCCCACTTTCAAGCCCGGTTCCTCTCCAACACCACCACCCTTCGCGAGGACCAAGCCAAAACCCGCACCGCCATCGTCACGGGCGCAAGCCGGGGCATTGGCCGGGCCATTGCCGTGCGGCTTGCACAAGACGGGTACGCGGTCACGGTCAACGACTTACCCTCCCTGCAAACCGAACTCGAATCGCTGGCGGGCGAGCTGAGATCCACCTTTGGCGCCGAGCGTGCCTACGCCCACACGGCCGACGTCTCCTCTCCCGAGCAGGTCGCTGGCTTAGTGCAGGCGAGCATCGCCCGGCTTGGCCCGCTCGACACGTTCGTCGCCAACGCGGGCATCGCACAGGTCAAGCCGCTGCTGGAACTGACGCCGGAGGACTGGAAGCGTATGTTTGAGGTCAATGTTGCGGGGGTGCATTACTGTTTTCAGGAGGCGGCTAGGGCTATGATTGCGCACGGTACTAAGAATGGTATGGGGGAGGGTAAGGGTAAGGTAGGGGTTAGGGGCAAACTGATCAGCGCGGCGAGCATCGTCGCCTTCAAGCCCTTTGCGCGCCTCGGCCATTACAGTGCAAGCAAGTGGGCTGTGAGAGGGCTGACGCAGGTGTATGCGATGGAGCTGGCCAAGTATGGGATTACGGTCAATGCGTATGCTCCAGGGATTGTGGACACCAAGATGTGGGAGCTGATTGATGATGGGTTGGGCAAGATGGAAGGGAAACCAAAGGGTGAGATGATTCGGCGGTATAGTGATCAGTTGATTGCGCTAGGCAGAACGAGTGTCCCTGAGGATGTGGCCGGGTTGGTGTCGTTCCTGGCGGGCAAGGATGCCGATTACATTACGGGGCAGACGTACATCGTTGATGGGGGGATTATCTATACTTGAATGCGGTACAAATACCTGGACTACGTAAATCTAACTTTCCGCGGATTAATATCTGCTGAAATCTGGAGCTTAGGTGATGTACATAAACCATAGCAGCGAAGTACGCCGGTATGTCCATCCCCCTGAACCACCTACCCACCTCTACAACCTACTCTTCTCATTCACCAAACTATAGGCCTTCGGCATACTCTCCAACAAACCCCTATCAATCTCCTTGACACTCCTCAGTCCCGCCACATTCATCAAAACATCCAAATCCGCCAACAACCCCTTCATGACATGCCTAACCCCATGCTCTCCCATCACGCTCAACCCCCAAATCCACAACCGTCCCACAAACACAAATCTCGCCCCCAGCGCCAACGCTTTCACCACATCCGCAGCCCCTCTCACCCCACTATCAAACATAACCGTGATCCTCTCCCCCACCCCACTGTCCACAATCCTCTCCAACGCATCCAAACTCCCCACGGCCCCATCAACCTGCCTTCCAGCATGGTTACTCACCACAATCCCCTCAAACCCGCACTCCGCCGCCTTCTCCGCATCCTCCACCCTCTGAATGCCCTTAATCACAAACGGCCTTTCCTCCTTCCCCCCCTCCAATTCCCTGGCACAAATCTCCCGCCACCCATCCCTCGCCCAACAAGCCTTCTCCCAACCGTGCGCCCTCCCATGCCAGATGCTATCAATCCACATGGCAGCTGCCTTAGCCGGGTCCTTGACGGGATCAACACCCCGTTCGGCCAAGCGGCGTTTAAAGACGGGGTCTGTCAGGCCCAGGTCTGCTCCGATCCCCCGGTAGAAGGCGTAGTTGGACGTCGCGACGTCGTCGTGCCGCCAACCGAGCTGCCACGTGTCGGTCGTGAGCAGAATGCCGGTAAACCCGGCGTCGTGCGCGCGGCGGAGGAGGGAGAGGGTCAGTTCGTCGTCGTGCGGCATGTATAGTTGGAAGAAGCGGGGCGCTCCGTTGATGCTATCAGAGGAGGGATTGTATGTCTTAGGCTCGCTCAGCCGACGACCCTCGTCATGCGCGCGTGCGACGTCTTCGATTGGGGAGGAGCCCGCGGTGGAAAGGCAGTAAGGGATGCCCAGCTCGCCGGCGACTTTGGCGACGGGGAGTTCGCCGTGCGGGTGGTAGATCTTGTTGATGCCGATGGGGGCGATGCCGATGGGCGCGGCGACGTCGTGGCCGAAGAGGGTGGTGCGTGTGGAGCGGGCGTTGGTGTCGACGAGCTGCCGCGGCACGATCTTGTGCCGGAAAAACGCCTGGCGGTTGGCCACGTGCGTGTGGGACAGCCCGGCGTTGGACGAGGCGTAGTACCAGCCGGCTTCGGTCAGTTTGGCTTTGGCTAGTTCTTCCAGGCGGTCGGGATCTGGGTTTGCGTTAGTGACTGGAGGTTGTCCGCAGGGGATGTCTGGTTGAGTTCAAGCTCTTTGCTGGCACATACGGGTGTTGAACGGCGGCACCTCGCCATCGTTTGCTTTCCAAAAGTTTTCGCGCTGGTACAAAGCCCACGAAGGGGTGTCTCGCTTCTTGATAAACGGAGATGAAGGATCCGACATGTTGACGCTGGTGCTGGCGTGAAATGCCTGGTGTTGGTTATTGGGCTGAGATGAATGTTGCGTCCTGCGTTGTGTAGTGGCCGTATATGTAGTAACAAAAATCTGGACTGGCGTCAGCGGCTATGTAAAGTACTATGATGTGCCTTCGGGAATGCCGGTCTGCTGTGTACGCAGTTTGGTCCCGGAGTATCATGATGATCGAACGACAGCATGTATGACGTACCCGACTTCGATCTCACGGGCCCGGTTCTCGTACCCGGGGCTCAATGCCGAACAAATCCGCCACGCGGTCGTCCAAACCGGCAGTTTCATGATCGATAGCTACGGGGCACGCAGCCAGGTTCCATTCGAGCCGCGGGCGGATGTCAACTGAATTAACGTTGCCCTGCGAGCATTTCGCCTCCAACGAAAACTCCTAGCTCACGAGTCACCTGGACTCACTTCGGTTCCGTAGTATTCTGGACCGATACAGGGAGCAGCCAACCTTCCCAGTATCAATCGTTCGTCCTTCGCGAAGCCACTGTGATCCGAGATCCAAATCGGGCTCTTTAGGGTGATGACAATTAGTTCCAATAATCTTGGAAAAAACATCTAGTTTCTACATAAGATCATGATGTAGGGCCTCTCTAGTACCTAGATATGCCTTAGCTCATAGAAGCAAGCCGGGCGCATACATACTATTAGATGCGTCTTCCAACGGACCTAAACACCATAGATCGGTAGTGAACTGCAGGGAGTGAATGCGAGAAGATTGCATTCTAGCCAGCGCCTTGATGAACTCTGGGGGGAAGACAAGCCTCAAGATCCCAGCTGAACTACTTTCCGTCAGCCACAATCCACTGTATATGGATGTCGGCCGCATGCTGGTTGAGTCTGGGTTATCAGTAGGTACCTTACATGAAATTGCGCACTTCGCCCTCCCGTAAGGTCTCCACGATCGACTGCGCAGCTTGGAATATCTGGGAGAGGCAAGGCTCTTTTCCGCATAGGAGTCCGGCGGGAAGCAGCATTTCTGTCGGACGGATGGTAGCACCACTCTGCAGTATCGGCCAAGACACCCAGGTCAGTCCGACGGAAATGTCATGTCAATGGCGTGACGTGCAAAGGCAGTAGGATCCCGGACGGCGGCTATCTGCCATGCTTGACGATCTCGGACATGGAGTCTCGAACAAGGAATACAGGGGTGTATGCAGGAGAAGGCTTGCATGAGATCCCGTTAATAGTTAGGTCCACGACGACTACACAGTCTCATCTGGGTCAACCTGTAAGTTCTAAATCCAATCACGATGGTAGTGTAAGGCTTGACTCACTTGGTTCACCGTCTCCTGACTCCTGGCCTCTTCTTGTATACACCAAAGCGGCCCCGAGTACAAACCCAACTCGCAAGTAAGAAAACAAACTACACCTGGGGTTGTTCATACTCATATTCCATCACGTCTATTAACAATATTACCATCGTCATTACAGCGCATTTTGAGAAGCCGTTGAGCCCATACCTGCTCGCCAACCCCGGTCCCGCCATGTCCATGTCTGGAATATCCGTCATGCGCATCATGATCACCTCCTATCACCACTGGCATCCGTCCCTGTCTCCACGCCATTCATTACCGTCTGTCTTAGCTCAACATGCTCGACCGTAACATTTCCCTCCGCATCATTGTTGTTGTTGACCTCGCGCGAGTGGTTATTCCACTGGTGTACCACCGCCGGATGGCGGTATGGCAGGTGGGCGGCCTCGTACGGCGGCGGCGGCGCATCGACCGAGCAGTCACTGACGGACGCACTCCTTTCCTTCATCGCCACCTCCGCCTCCGAATTTGACTTCTTTTTGGCTTTTTGCCGTCTCCGGTAGTCGAACAAGGCGCAGAGCGCTGTGACGAGGGCGAAAAAGGCAACGACTGACACCACTGAGGCGATGATGACGTTTGTAGGGATCCTCAGGCCGTGTTCGTCTCCTCCTGGACGTCCCTCGCCCGAATAGATTGGTCCGACGGTGGCCTTGGACTCGACTGTCTTGGGGTTTTGCCGGGACTGGAGGGTGCGGACAACGCCGTCGGCCCAGTGCAAGTGCTCGGCGCGGGCGAGCGATAAGAGAGATCCCGAAATGGCCGGCATTGTGCAGTGGCTTTGAACGGACCGTGGCTTGGGCGGTTTGGGCTGGAGGTTGCTGAGCAAACGATGAGCGATCAGTTTACATACACTAGATACCGACGGCCAGCCATCAAGTATGACAGCGTCCAGTTTGACGCGGGGAGGGGACGGGATGGCATTTTAAAACATCGGACTCTCGACAAACGCACACGTATGCGGTCAACCGCAGTCCAGCCATCGTCGTTTCAGTCTTTCATTCCCCATTGAAAATCTCTTTGCCGATGGCGCACCGCGGCATCCCGTTCCGGAAAGGATGACTTTCTTTGCCCACATCCCAAGAAGGGATGTGATACGATGGCACACTGCTTCGGCACCGAAGCCTGCAGGTAGTGCCAAGCATCCCACCGGATCACCTCCACCTGGATTGTCCGCAGCGAATAAGCGTCCATTTCAGGGAGACATGCCATGGCCGCGATTGGTTGGCACTGGCTTGTCGTGATGCTTTTGAGACAGAATTTCTGATTTGCGGTCAGGCTTGTGTGGGGGAACGGCCAGCCACGCATCTCTGAAGGGGAACAAGTTCACTTGCGTGGTGATGCCGCTTGCAACATGGCCGTTCTCTCAACCGTTGACGCTGGTAGCAATAGCAGTGGTGTCTGGATGAAGAACAATAGAATACAAAGGTAACGTTAGGCTCTTCCCAATCGGCGTTTGCTCGTGCATCTACCCGTCCGTCGTACACACATACTCCGTACAAAACCACGATCTGCTGTCAGATTGCCTTCCGAGCCTCAACGCCGAGGTGATAGCCGTTCGCTCCCAGCCCCCGTCCGCTAGCGTCCGCCGAAGCCAACGGAAACAGGGCATTGGGTCGGAGCCGAGAAGCCGCCACTTTGTTGCGTGATGACCGGATCGACATCACGTTAGACCATCTACTCCAATTCGGCTTCATCCATATTCCGCACAAAGAGCATGAACCATTTCACAGAGTTGATGTGGTTCAGCACGCTGATCTTTTCATCGACCGTATGGATCTTTCCCAAGCCCGGCCCATCTTCCGGGTCGTATCCCGGCGCGAAGCGGAAGATGTGTTTCGACACATCCCAGTAGTATCGGGTATCCGTGTTGCCGGTCATGATTCCCGGCGTGACAACAAGATCCTGGCCGTACACGGCACGGACGGTGCCTGCGAGGACCGAAAACGGCCCCTTGACGGACCCGTCGGCCGGGCTGACAGGCGCCACTTCGAGCTCGTACGCCTTCGACTGAAGCATGATGGACGACGGCTCTTCCTTCCCGTCAAAAGCGTGGAGGGTGAGGTTGTACTTCTGAGCGACGGCGCCAGCGAGAGAAGTCAGCCTCTCTTTTACAACACTGGTAGTCTCCCCAATGTTTATGCGGTGATTGACGATGGCGGTCGCCCGTTCCGGTAGGGCATTGGTCTTTATGCCGCCGGAGATGACATCGACGGCCTGGGAGGTCTGCATCAGGTACTTGATATCCGGACCCTGCTTGGCGGCCTCGATGGCAAGATAATCAGGCTTGGCCTTGCAGCTGTCATGAGCAGTTTCGTGCCGCCGAATTAGCAGCTTCTTCAACTTGTTAGGAAACTCGGGCGAGTAGGCAGCTCCGCACTGAAGTTGGGTGTAGTAAGGGTTCTTGTCGACAAGACGGGTTGGATACTGCTCAGCCTCAATCTTGGTGATTAGTTCGCTGAGAATCCCGATGCTCGTGTGATCAGACGGAATCGAGGAGTGACCGCCTGGCGTCCGAACCGTGATGTGCAGGTCGGTGTAGCCTTTCTCCGCCGTGCCCGGCTTGGCAAAGAGTGTCCCCCACACTTCCTCGTAGCCGCTTCCCTCATCGACTATCGCTGCGATGCCGTCAGTTCCGTATCGCTTCTGGATAAACGATGACAGATGCGCAGCTCCACGGGTGCCTGAGCACTCTTCGTCAAACCCAAAAGAAAGGAGGATCGTCCGCTTGGGTTTAAATTCGGCCTCAAGGAGCAACTCCAGCGTCTCCATCGTGGCGATCAGCTGATTTTTGCAGTCGCTGGCGCCACGACCCCAAATGTATTTGCCGTCATAGTAACCACTCCATGGTGGGTACGTCCACGAGCTGATGGTCTCAGGCGGGACCGGCACCGTGTCCTGATGAGCCATGAGAATTATGGGCTTGAGCGACGCGTTGCTGCCCTTCCATGTGTATAACAAGCCATGAGTGTTGACCTTTTCGACCAGAAGCTTTTTGTGTATGAGCGGGAATGTCGCCCGAAGATACTTGTGGAAGTCGTAGAAGACGTCCCATCTCGGATCCTCGCCGATGGGGCCTAGATCATCAAAGGACTCAGTCTTGACCTGGACAGCGCCTGAAAGACGACGAATGCTGGCGTTTCTAAAGACATCGCTTGAGATGCGGTCGTACACCTCGTCAAGCGCCGGGTCTTTAGGAGGAAATATGGCATCGGGCTGAGCACATGCTGATTCAAAGTTGTAGCCTTGGTCGAGGAAAGGTCTAGGAAACATGTAATCGAGAAACGCTGGTCTATCGAAAGGGAAGGGTGCGGAGAAGAGGAATAACGCAACGACCGTCGCCAGCAGGGCAACATGTCGTTTCATCATGCGCCTTTGATTCCCGTCCGGGGAAAATGCCGCCAAAGGCAGCGCCGGAGCCGAGGCTGCCGTAGACTTCATGATGTGGCGGCAAGAATTGCCAATGTCGATGTATCGCGTTGTGTTGAGACAAGAGGGGCAGTGACGAAGGGCGAAAACTGAGCTATGAGATAAGAGCGGATGCTGCGGATCTACATTGCATTGGTGGTGGAGTGGAAAAGTGGGGCAGGCTTTTGGCAGTTAGGTACTCCGCTACGGTATTGTACCTTGCCTCGAGCTTGTGCCGGCAAGGTCAACAAAAGGTATCAAACACTACCAATACGACGTGGAGTATTCCATATCGGCACTACCTCGTCTCAGGGAATTGTAAAGGCTGCCTTCAGATTCGTCGGTGTCGGGTACGACTGTAATAGCAAGCACCAAGCCAGTACAAATACAACTACTAGTATGTACATGTATACATAATACATGTAAGTAAAAGTCCTGCCTCCCTTTTTGACACCAACTGACTGACTTGGACCGCTCGGATAGCTGGTCCTCAATCTTGACCTATATATGAACTTGGATACGAGCCAAGGTCTGGTCACATCCCTATTGGTTCACGGTTAGGCAGTTCGCTCACTTGCCGACGCCTCCGCCTTACCTAAACCCAGAGGCTCATACAGCCTTGTTACGATTTACGGTCCGCCTGTCGAGTTTTCCAAGATCTGCTTTCGGTCATACTCATACTTGGCGTAGTCAACCGGCCTGGTAACCAAGTCCAATCGCTCCTGGCACTCCGCAACCGGGATGGACGAACGATGGATGTCGCGTAGAATCCGTTGTAACTCGGCGTCCAATGCCTCTTCTTTACGGGCTGCGTCCTGATCACACTGCTCGACGAGCTGCTTGACCTCCTGCATGACTCGCTCAACCCTTTGGCTGATTTGCTCCTGGCCTTCGGAAGCGCCATAGACGGCCTGCAGCCGCTGATTTACTTTGAACCTATCGGACCCGGGATTCGGTGGCACCATTAACGACTTCCAAAGGGAACGAGCCCATGGGCACTTGAGTGGGTATCTCAACACATACGACGCCATTCGCACATATCCCCGGTAACATGTGCCTGCTCGTGCATTTGAGCAACGCTGGACGCGATCAAGCTTCGTCTTTCGCCCATCGAACACTGCAGTCTTCTTCCAACAACAGTAACTGTGATGGTCGGAGGACGAGTAGTACACCTTTACTCGAAAACACATGTTGACTGAGTTGGGCGGTGTCAGAGGGTGGATTGTTGTCAGTTGGCTGTGACTAGTCGTCTCCCAGTCCCGGCAATTATTACCTTCATATCCCGTACCTGCGCTGGGAGATCGTTTGATAGACTTGAGTTGAAAAACCGCGCCTAATATACTGCGGTGCTCGGTAGTTAGCATCATGCAACGTGCACCGTTGCGGCGTTTGTCGCTTCCGCCAACGTGGCAACTGCCGCTCGACAAAGTACTTCCCATGTTAAAACAACACAGATCCCGCCGCTGTTCCGTCATACAGGCTCATAAGCGTGGATTGTCCTTTTGTCATCGGTTGGTGGAGATTGCATTTTGGCGTAACTGCCGCCAAGTGCCACGAAATCTCCCACGCAGCAGCGACGGTTGCGCTTAGCTTCGTAATGGTTTGGCTGTTGTGAAATTGAGCAATCTTCCTTGATTGCGAGGTCGCCTCACGTGCCGTGCTTTTTTTTTGGCTCTCACTGCGCCGCTTCCTGCTGGCCGGCCCCAGTTACCGTTAGCAGCTGCCTAACGAGCGTGACATCGCTAACGGTTCGATCGAGTGCGTGATATACAGTCACAAAGTTGCTTTTAGCACACTTACAGTCGAGACTGGCTGTGAGCAGCGAGCGCCTGAACTTGAATTGTAGGAATACTCTGCAAAACTACTTCGTATTTCGAGTCGCCATCGGGGCTGAGAAGCATTTGTGGGACTTGCATCCACGTGCTGCAAGACATCCGGGGCTGGGGAAGAAGTGGGGCTGGAGGTTTCCCCGCGTTGCAGAAGGAAGCACCCGCTAACTAGGGCAGGTCTAGCGTAGGCTTGAGGACCCTGCAGAGGAAGCAACGCCAAAATGCGATGCTTCGCACCCATCCACGTTCCCGTCTGACTCCGTCTCGAGGGATTTAATATAAGATCCCTTTGGGAGCCGTTGCGCTTCAGCAACTGTGATCCCCCATTCACCCTCATACCTTGCATCAAGTCATGGTGACTTTGTGACGAACAACCTCGAAGCTGGTTGGCGTTGGTCTGCAACAAACTGCATCAATTACCGCCCCAGCCCCCTCGCACTCGCCTGCACCTGACAACGTAACGGACGTGGCCAGCTTCTCGTGTCCAGTCTCTCTGCGCAATAACCAGATTTCCAACCAGCCTAGACAAACTCGTTACTCGGGGACCATGGCGAATTTCCTGAGGCTACTTTTTTGCTTGAAAAAGAGTCCAAAAGCGGACGATCATTCGCGACCCATCAAAGAAAAGCCGAGGAGTTATGAGAGAAGTTTCGACTACGAGAAGCCACCTCTCGACACCGCGAGCATAGGGCATACCGAGTCCGTCCTCGCGCCCGGTGGAGTCCCGATCCGACCGAATGTGAACCCCGCATTCACCGCCTACTCCACCCCGCCCGACGGATGGGTACCCACAGGTGGAAATGAAGCCAAGCTCAAGGATGAGCTTGATGGCGACTCAGAAGAGGCGGCACGACGACGGAAAGCGGAACAGGAGGAGCAAGAGCGGTTGGATTTCTTCCAGATGCTTTGAGCGCGTCTTCTGCTTTCTAGATTTTCGGCAATGATGCGCCAGCACGTGGGGTGGACGGCGGCGACGAAATCCGGTGCAGGAGACGATTGGCAATCGCCGTTAACCACTCGATGGGCTGCGACAGCCCCTCCCACGCAGCGCCAATGTCGACCCTGTAGCCAGAGTACTTGCGGGTGACGTTCGAGACACGTTCCCCTACCGCGTCTTTTTGACCGACGCGACGTTGGCTCAGTCGGCGCACGGCACCCAGATCCAAATCGCCAGGGATCAACCTGACTCTCCTCTTTCGCACAAGAGAGGTCTCTTGCTGGCGCAGATACCCGTTACCACTTCTTCATATGCGCTCTCGGGCCGGGGATGTCAAGGGCACGCTTCCTCTATTCTCCTCACCATTTCAGCTCGTTACCGTATCAACCGTCCATCCTACTCGACTTTTTTTGCGATTGCACCAGGACGGTCTATGAGCAACCCTGGCTGCGTGGGGTACGGCCCCCAATGATAAAACGGCCAAAATGAGACGCCCGGTAAAATCCGGAGCTGTGGATACCGGGCGGCTGCGATGCCGATTCGATGGAGACCTTGGGGGGTAGGACACTGAAACGGGGTCATGGACGAGTGAAGGCAGCACACTGGCGAGGAATATAGCTAGAAGCTGGCACGAGCGATTCAGGGTTTAGCACTGTGTGCCCGATATCTCATACATCGGTGCCCGGATGGCAGACATGGGCGAAGAGGCTCCTTGACTTCAGCAAGGTGGTGGCGTCATGTTACTGTACCTGATTCTTTCGGGTTGATTGCGAATAGCATCCACGTTCGTTCCTATCCATTCTCTTTTGACGCGCCCAATAGCCACTGTTGGACTAGACGGTCACCTACTGAATTCACATGTCCTCAAAAGCAGTTCTATGTATCACGTTCGGCATTCACCTCCTGCTTTCTGCCTCCACACTCGGGCTCTCCAGCCGCACATGTAACATGTATCCGGAACTTTCGAGCGCGCAAGCATACATGTACTTACCTTAGTCGCGACCTCAATACACGACCTTGTGTTTGACAGGACGAGGCGGCATATGATCGATTGAAGACGGCAAAAAGTATGTTATGCAACTTGCAAGGTGAATTAGGGTGTGCTCCACGGGCAAGACCCCCGTCAGGAATTGAGGCTGTTGAGCTGAGGGCTACTGTGGCGCTGACTTGGGTGCAACCGTACAACGCCTCCCTAAGGTCAGACGACAGAAGGCTGGGACAGGCGACACAAGGCGAGTAAAACATCCATGGATGGCATGTGATCCATCCCTTCAGCTGGATGGATAGGGTACATACATAGGCAAGCGGTGTGGGAACAGGGCGAACGAGACAATTGGACTTTGTTAGCGAGGTTCGGCTGACAACGGCTCCAACCCCCGGCTCCAGCCTGCCGCCAGCGTGGCAGGAGGGGAACCTCACCAAGGAGTGACGACTTCCGAGTAACGAGAATAATTCCGGGTCGGCTATTACCGTACCCTAGCTCTCCTTATCAATTGGCATTTGTCGTAATGCCAGTTGGCCATGCAGCTGGAGCTGGTGTTTGGGACTTTGGGCAGCTTGGACTTGGGCACGATTTTATTATTACGACGGCCTACAACGGCATGTACCTCCTCCCACACACGCAAAGCCACACCGAAATTCCGCAGCGACCAACATCGAAGTACCGGGACTTGATGCGAAGACTACTCGCATACAACACAGTAGTGGCAGCCGCCTACGCAGGGCGGGCGTAGGCGTGGTGGGCAGGCAAGTTAGGGAGGGCCGGGCTGTCTAGGCGGGCAGTATCTTTGTGCATTCGATCCAAATCTTATTGCGTTTTCAAGCGATTCAGTTCAGCCCAGGGCTCGCTCATGGGCGAATGCCCGGGTTCAATTTGTATGTGCATCAAGTTCCGGTACTTTGATGTTGGTGTTGGTGTGGCTTGCAAGCGTAGGCGGAGGTACATGCTGTTGTAGGTCGTCGCAATAATAATTGAGGCCGTCGTAATAATAATAAAATCGCTTGGGCACTGCCGTTGCGGGCCTTAACTCTTGGCCAGTGGCACGGCCCGCAGCGCGGTTCGCGGATCTGCTGCCGAAGGCGGTAAGACCCAGCTCACCGGCACCGGTAGCCGAACAGGGAACCTGGAAGTTAGCAGTACAGAGGTTGCGTTCAAAGTGCGATTAGGGGAACACGGATTAGTGCGATATGTTGCGATTATTCTTCAGGTTTCCGTTTAACGTTATGACCACTGCAGTCACGGGAAGAGCTTCCTGCAGGTTGAAAGGGGGCGGCTGCGAGCTGCCAGTGGGTCTCATGGGTCTGCGGTGGGCCCAATCAGCGCCTAGTGCGACACTACATCAGAGCGTTGGCGATCGCTGCTGCCACGTCAAGAGCCTCGATGGAGCCATCAACAGCCAGGCAAGCCCAAGCTCACCTCCTAGCCCCTTTTGAAACCTGCGGAGAATCGAGAGTGAGGCGGGCTTGCAAGGAGATGCAGTGGATGGAATGGAACGAGGCACGGAAAGGACGAGTGATTGCCGTAATTTCTTCTCTCTGAGTCTGCATCCGTGTGGTTGGATTTGTTGGGCTCCGTTGCTGCTGCTCCATCTGGCATGTTGTGATGGGCCAGCAGGCAGGTGGGATCCATCGAGATGAACCACTCTGCACTCTGCTGCACTCTTGTGCACCACGCACCTGCCTTTGAGCCCAATTGATACGCACAATTTGCCAAACCGATTCTCGACAGCCCGAGTGGGACTAGGACTGGCCCTGGCCAACCCGGGAATCTCATCATCTGTTGTTGCTTGCTGGAATGCTTGCTTTCTTGCGTGGTGACTCAATGCCAACCACCCCAAGCTTCCAATTCCGAGCTTTCTTCAAGCTCCGCCCTCGTCGTCGGATGCCTGCATATATGCTCCTGTGCCGCCTCAGGCGAGAAAAGGAGATCGCATGTTGCAGTATATAGCCAGTCTCGTGCCGTCCATTTCCACAGCTGCGGATCATCCCTTCTAAAGCTTCTCTTTGAGTCGGATTGGACGCCCACATACATCGACACTGACCCACGATAGCGTCCATTGCGGGACAGACCTCCGGGCAGTCATTGGCCCCTTCACCTCCTCCTTCACTTCTTCAACTCTTTAATTTCTGTTACCCCCGGCCGTCCATAGAGGCTCGGACGGCTCACTAAAGCTGGCTACTCCTAGAGCTCGGAGTTCTCCCTCCACCACCAGCGTCAAGCCACCTGTGGCCCCCACTGCGTCCAAGCCGAAGATGGGGTCCCATATTGACGCTGATCCCACCCAGGCGGTCGACGGGTTAGTCCGTGCCATCCGCGACCTGACCTCGGATCCAAACTACAAGCTCGTCGCCGACGTGTTTAGCGAGTTCTTGTACGTTAAGGAGCAGAACAACAAGCTCTCGAGTTCCCACCAGGTTGTGCTGGAGGAGTACCGGAAATTTCGAAATGAACTCGAGGCGCAAAAAGGAGAGCTCGTCAAGGAAAAGCAGGATCTTGAACTCCTGGTGCAGGAAAAGATCCAGGAGATTGTCCAGCTCAGCGCCGCCAGGACCAGGTTGGAAGGCGATCTCGAGGACACACAGAGGACTCTTGACGAGGAGATGGCCAAGGCTGCTGAGGCCGCCGAAACCGCTCTCAGGGAATATGCCGAGCTCAAGGCGACCAAGGAGGCTGAGTATGCGGACATGAAGGCCACCAAGGAAGCTGAGTTTGCAGACATGAAAGCAACCAAAGAAGCAGAGTTTGAGAGCATGAAAACCGCGAAGGAGACCGAGTTTGCAGAGATGAAAGCAGCCAAGGAAGCCGAGTTCGAGACCATGAAGACAACCAAGGAGACCGAGTTTGCCGAGATGAAGGCGTCCAAGGAAGCCGAGTACGCAGAAATGAAGGCCGCGAAGGAGGCCGAGTATGCGGAGATGAAGGCCACCAAGGAAGCCGAGTACGCTGATCTCGCTGCGGCAAAAGCTGCTGTCGAGGAGGAGAAGAGACTTGGCGAGGAGGCTGCCGCCGCTGCCGCCGCTAAGGCTGCAGGCGAGATTGCAGAGCTGACGGAGGCTAAGACTGGGCTAGAGCAGGTCAAGGCTGAGAATGAAGCAGAGATTGCCAATCTCAAGGACAATGTCGCCGAGCTCGAGACAGCTAAGGCTGGGCTGGAACAGGTCAAGGCCGACAACGAAGCGGAGATCGCTTCCCTTCAGGAGCGAATTGCGACCTTGGAAGCGGAGAAAAAGCGACTGGAAGAGGAACTCGAGGCGGCAAGACAAGAAATTGCTTCCTTGAACGACACCGTTGCGCAGAAGAACAACGAGATTGAGAGCCTGCAAGAGTCACTGCGGGCCGCGGAGGAACAGATCGCCTCGTTGCAGCAGACCGTGGAGGAGAAGAACACTGAAATTGAGGACCTTCACGGAAAGCTGAAATCCGAGTGCGAACGGGCAGACAAGGCCGAGGCGCATGGCCGAGATCTTCAGACCCGGCTGGATGACACAGAGCAGAATCTCCACGTTACAGCCGGGAAGCTCGCAGACCTCGAGCAGTACCGGATTGTCCTGCACACCGACAATGACGACACATAGTAAGTCATGCAGTAAGCTAGCCCCCTGTGATACGCTGTGTGCTGACATATTTGTTCTAGTGTAACGGTTCTCGACAAGATCTGGACCGCCATTGTCACGCTTGTGGAAGGCATCTTCAGACCAGACATTGACGAGAGTATTCTGAACGACCCCTCATGCTGGAGCAACCTCCGGAACTCGCCCTATCTCAAGCATGCCACGCAGCTGCAGATTCCCCTTCCGCAATCGAATTCGCCCGCGGCCAAGGGCATGCGCATCAGTGCTGTCCTAGCCGTTCTTTCGAGGGCAATGCACAAGCATCTCTTCCGCCCCGTCTACCTGCTCGACGATGACGATGAGAACTTGGTCAAGTTCCTGCGCGCTCTCGAGGATGAGGACCCGACTCGCGAGGCACACATGCGGGCTACACTGATGTCAATGATGCCAGAACGCCAGATGCAGCAGGGTGCGCGGCGCGTGAAGGTGGTGGTGCGGGAGGTGTCGTGGCTGGTGCAGCATCTCCTGACCGCACTGCAATTCGAGGCGTTTTGCACCGGTCTCGAGGCAGCATGCAAACTGGCGTGCGAGCAGTGGATGCGCATCCAGCTCGCGCAGATGAAGATCGAGCCCTACTTTGGCCCGCCGTATGACGACTTCGACTGGCAGGTGCTGGAGCTCCCTGAGTTCGCAGAGGCAGCCGAAGGCGGCCGTGATGCGCCGCACTCAACGGGCGACCCAGACGACGCCGTTGTAGACGACAGGCTTGAGACGGTCGAGGCCACGGAGGCACCATCCGAGGGCGCTGGAGGCGCTGCCGATGCTGCAAATTCGTCATATCACGATACATCGGAGCATAACCGCATGGAGGAGATGATAGAGGGCGATGTCGATCCAGATGAGATCCTTCTCGTCGTCTGGCCCAGCATGTGCTGTATCGAGAACGGTGATGCGGTGTCGATTACGCAGGGTCTGGTGATCTCCAAGGAGCAAGCCCGGCCAGCTCTCGAGGAGCAGCGCTCGCGGTCACGCCTCATCCCTCGACCTGGGTCACGCCGGGCCCGTACTCTGTCAATGCCGGGACAGAGCAGAGGAAGCAGCCCGCGGGGCAAGCCAATGCATTTCTTGGCCTCAGCCCAAGCGGCCTCCGAGATTACCGGCGACGGCTCTCCTGAAGATAGCTGAAGTCGCGGACGATGCATGGGAATGCGCGGACATACTAAGCCTTGCAGATGTCTTCAGATTTGGCAAGCAACTTGTAATAATTTCCTTTTGATGATCTCTGACCTTTCTCTTCCCTAATATTTGCTCTTTCTCTCTCTCGCAGCCGCGGCCATGAGTTTGCGGACTGGGACAGGCTATGGTGCAACAAAACATTTCCTTTCCTGTACAGATTGGTGTTTCAACGCAACTGATTGTTTGAGACTGGGTTTTCCTTGTTCTGATTTGGTTATGGGTGCTGGGTATTGGCAGCATAGCGAGGACCGGTATGCATCGGCATCAGGGCCGGTTTTGGGTCGGACCGTCGGAGTAGGCCCGCGTGGGGACATGGTCATATGGGAGCAGGTGACCGGCGCTTGAAATTGTCAATGCTGTATGGAATGTTACTTAAATGCAGTTTGTTATGCTTGATGTATCCTCCGTCGGCCTTGGGCTTCAGAGTTGGGTCTCTACAGCACTATCTTGGGTGGTTGGAGGCAGCCAGCTGAGTTCAGCTTGGATGCTTCGCCTTGCTGGGTGTTCGGGGTTGGGCCGCTCAGCCTCACCGAGGTCGCCGGGCAAAAACAACGACCTCTCCCGAGTCGCCCCGAGTCGCCCGGAGTCGTCCCTGTGCCTCTTCTACCCCAATTCGCTCTTCTTCCAGCTACACCGAAACCTGCTAGGGCCATGGACGACTTACGCGAAGCCCTGCCAGAAGTGAACGCACCGCCCGAGCAGCCTGGTGGCCACATCGACGACATGGAAGATGTGCAGGAATCAAGACACGCCGATTCTGATGGCCGGCCCTCCATGCTTCCGTTCATTGACCCGATGTACAATCCTGGTCTTGAGAATTCGTCTCTGCCGATAGATTCCCTCCCGGACTTTGAATATGGGCCGCAGCTTCCAGAGGGATACATCCGTGTCCTGATGCTCTTGCCGCCCACAGAAGAGGATACACCGAGGGACCTCAATTGGGTCCTCATTTGCGATAAGCTATCCAACATGTCTGGCATGTTCTCCGCCGTATCCTACACATGGGGCACCCCTGCCAAGACGCACAGAATCCGCTGCAATGGGAAGTCGCTGGCTGTGACCGAGAACGTCTACGACGCCCTAAAGAACCTCGTCCGCCTCTTTTTCAGCAGAAATTCCTTCGCCAAGGGCATACCGACATTGTGGATCGACGCCGTGTGCATCAACCAGGGCAACTTTGCTGAGCGTGAGGAGCAGGTTAAGATGATGAGGGACATCTATAAGGCGGCAAAGATGACCTTTGTGTGGCTTCCTGCTGGACGAGGGGCCAGCGACGAGGACCTCAAGAAAATTGACCAAGGCTTCAAAAGCATGGCGATGCTCCGTGAGATGTACTTGTACGTGCAGGAGTTCAGGGACCTGGTACACAACGGAAAAGTCAGCTTCGACACACTCGACCACATGACGTACGGGGAGCATGAGCTCCACGTGCCGTGGAACAGCCGGGACGGCATCACGAAGCTCTTCACCCAGCCGTGGTTCGAGCGGATCTGGATCTGCCAGGAGATTGCCGTTTCGAAGAATGCAGCCGTCTTTGATGGCGCTCATATTGCTCCCTGGGGGCTCTTTGCGGACAGTGCCGAGGTAATACAATACCTTGGGGGGTTAGACAGCTTCAAGATCTGGAAGTCGAACAAGGTTGCGCATGACAAGACGTTTCTGGGAAATGTCCGTCGACTGGAGAAGCTGAGAAAGAACGTTGAGCAGGGAACACATACGGGGCTGTTAGAACTGTTACATGCAACTGCCAATTTCCAGTCCACAGAGCCATTAGACCGGGTGTATGGACTGCTCGGGCTGATCACCGATGACCGGGACCGCGAGATTGTCACTTCATTGCTCGACTACACCATTTCACCCTATCTCCTGTACTTGAACGTCACCGTCAACCACATCATTATGCATGGAACACTCGACATTCTTCACCTCGTCGGGCCGGTCAAGACCGATCCTGCGGGGAAGTGGCTCTCGCTTGTTCCAAACCTTGCCGCAACAAACAACCACAAGCGAGGCCTCGGAACGTTCACAAGCAGGGACGAGTGGATCTACCATGCCAGCCTGGACTCCAAACCCGTGCTCAAAGTCAACGGACAGATCCCTGAGACGGAAAAGATTATCAAGGTCACGGATGATGACGAAATATCTCTCAACGGAGTGGTTCTCGACACCATCACCCGCGTAAGCAAGATGCTAGACTCGGCCGGAATGAGCATGACCTCGGTGATGACATGGTTTGAAACAGCCATGTTTGCAGAATCTGATGCGAGATTCATCCCAAGTGCCATGCTCAAGCGGCACCTGGAGTACCTCACCGCTCGGAACAAAACGCTGAAGGGCTTGCCAGCCGGGAGTGACAGCGGCGGGCAAGCAACGGCGCTTGTGGCAGTGGAAGGTGGCAAACCGGGAGACCCATCTCCTGCGAAGGCTAAGAAAGAGGATTGGGAGAAGAACATCGATCAGGAAATTGTGAAACTTTTGGAGCAGCACGTCACGTATGATACAGAGGGAAATGCGATCCTCCCTGGCGCAGGGGACAAGCCTGCAAGCTCGCATAGCCCAGAAGCCAAACGGGACTCCTTACCTCCGCCCGAACAGCCGAATCCGAGCGAGAACCAACCTGGCGGGAGCAAAAGCATCGAAACCCTACCGGACAGGAATGCCACCGTCAACAACGCGGCTGACAGCAGTGCCACTGACGGCAATGTATCCAGCAAAACAAACGGCGAGTGTTCCGGCAATCATCCACCCACCAACGCACCACAGAATAACGATGAATCTCCGCCCTCCAACCCTCCCAAGTCCTCCAACCTCCCTTCCTCCTCAAGTGCTTCCCCATTCCCCATCGGCGGCTCTCCCTACCCCCTACCACCCCACGAAACCTACCATCGCGCGTTCTTCCGTACCCTCCTGCACGGCCTCTCCCCACTCTCTCCCGCCGCCCCAGAACCAGTTCCCTCGGCCTTCTTCAAGAAATATTACATTCCCTGGTACAAGCTCCTGAAAACGCACGACGGCGACTCCTTCAGCCATGCCTGGGTGCGCGAATGGTATCAAGAGCATGCGCAACACGAGGGAGACAAGCCTGTCTCGACGGTTGCCAAGTGGGTTGAGGACAGGCAGCTGGGGAGGAGGATGTTCAGAACGAGCAAGGGGTATATTGGGACGGGGCCGGATGGGATGGAGCAAGGGGATTTGGTTGTCTTGTTGAAGGGCGGGCAGACGGGGTATGTTGTTAGGAGGGTGGAGTCTGAGCCTGAGGGGGGTGAAGAAGACAGGGAGAGGGAGAGGGAGGGAAACCGGGTTGGTGCAACTGGGCAGGAGGTTGATGAGGAGGGTGACACTAGGGAAGGGACGATACAGGGTGAGCGGGAGGGGGTGAATCAGGAGGGAGGAGAAGCGGGGAGGAGGAGGAGGAATATGTATAAGTTTGTTGGGGCGGCTTATGTTCATGGTGTCATGGAGGGAGAGGGGATGGAGTTGGGGGAGGAGGAGGAGTTTGTGTTTGTTTAAGCGGACACCCCATGCTTTGCAACATAGCAACATGAATGAAGGGTAGAAGTCCTCAAGGTTGGATTCAAGATGTTAGATAGCATTTAAACTATCGACGATAGCGAGGCAATACAGCCTGTTTTGTTCGTAGTCCTAAGCTAGGAGAAGCATTAGTGTTTCTCCGAGCCTATGTACCCAGCTCACATCAAGAACCAGCCACTGCAGGAAACCCCTTAAGCCTGACTACTTCCTAGGCTCCTACTCATTACGGCCGCACCTTGCCTCCAGGTTTTTCTGAGCCCTCCCAGCAATCAAGAACAGTTCATAGTCGTAGTCAGACCTCGGAGGCCTCGTTGTTACATTATGGTTGAGGGGGCCATACAGCATCCAAGCCGACAGAGGACGCACTGTGCCATGGGAGCTAGCATTGGCTGCCAGGCTGGTGTCCTTGCCTGCCCTAGCCAGAGCCTCAGCGTAGCCCTTGGGCGCACCCTTAACAATCCGCTTGCCCAACGTCCCTGCGGCAACATAGGCCGGGAACTTGTCCATGCCCCCAAAGTCGCGCATGATGAACGGAGCACGCGCATAGCCCGCGGGGAACCTCCTGATGTCGTACACGCCGTAGCCCACCCCGTCCAGCGTCACCACGGACCCGACCCCCTTCCACGGCTTGCCTTCGTTGTCCCAAAACATGAACCCCGTAATCCAACCCGACACCTCAAGCGGCGAGGACCCGCAGATATCGCGGTGGTTGGCAAACACGATCTGGTTCCAAAACTTCCTAGTGGCCTCCGAGTCAGGCTCGTCGAAGCTGCGCACAAACCGGCTGAGGATCGGGACCAGCCTTGCGCGGTACTGGTCCGGCTCGGCGCCGAACTCGGCCAGCCTGTCAAGCCGCGCGAGGAGGTTCTCCCAGTCCTGCTTTTCGCCCAGCAGCGTCACACTGGGCAGGCCGCAGACGATGCCCCCCTCGTAGCGGAAATAGGCCTTCATCAGCCCCATCATGAGTATGTTGGCCGTCATGACGTCGTCGGCGGTGGTGGTGGAGAAGTCGGGGACAATCCAGTCGCGCAGCCAGGGGGTTTGGATGCGGGCTTGTATCTCGTCCTTGAACCGCCACAGCACGTCGGTCCAGGTGTAGTCCTCGATGTAGATCTCTTCCTGGCCGGAGTGTGTGACGAAGAGGTGGCGTAGTTCTTCGGCGTGGGACTGCATGTAGAAGTTGAGCTGGGTTAGGATGGTGAACCACACCTCGTCGGGCCGGATTTCGAAGTGCAGGTGTTCCCCCCATGCTTGGATGGCGCCGCGCACGAAGGAGTCGCCTGAGGGGACCAGCTCGGCTGGGTTGGCGGTTTCTGCGCCGAGTGGTTCGAGCGTGCCGCTGTAGGAGGATAGGAGGAGATGCACGGTGCTGTTGGGGAATTCTAGCTCGGCGCTGTTGCGCAGCAGTGAGTCGAAGGAGGTCGACCCGTTGGTTGCGCCGCTGGCTTGGAGAGGCAGCGGATTGCCTCCGGGCAGAATCACCACGCTGGCCGAGGCGAGGCGGGGTGCCATCGCCAACGCCAGCGTGAAGGCGCTGAAGATGCTGCGTTCTGTGAGCTTGAACATTGCGGCGGTGGTGTAAGCGAGGGGTATATTGGCAGGGCTGAAAAGGGGGCCAACCTGTCCCCAACCTCAATGGAAGAGATGACATGATGTACTAATAACAAAGTCTCAAGGCAGCCATGATCCGGTTAGAGATCCTCCGCATTCCATTCCCGTAAGGCCAAGAATGGGCCAGAAGGGACCTGTGCAGCAGCATATTGGCTCGGTACTCGTATCTGGAAGGATGAGCAGGATTGTGTTGATGATGGGTTGCAGACGGAGAGTTAACCAGCAGCTAATATAGCCGGATAAGTAGGTAGTAGGTAAGGTAAGTACGATCTAGAAATACCCGGATGGTTTTCGATCGCTCCGTACCGAGTTCCTATTTTTAGATACTGCTCAGTCTTTCGTCGACTTGGCATGCACTTTGCTAGATGTGTAATTCAGACTGTTCCTAGTAGAGTAAGGTACAGTCTCCTACTTCTCCGTGCCACTCAGAACCCAAGAGCATCCAGACAGGCAACCAATGTCTTCTCAGCTGCCGCTCGCTGCTCTTGGACCTGTTCTGCAGTCATTTGCTTCAAAATCATCGGATGGACAAGCTGGAAGGGACACAGGGCCGTTTCAAGGCGCCGTAGCTGGTCCAAGCCGGCCATTCCCGAGATGTCGCTGGGTCTCATGGCTCCGCGTGCTGCCAGCGCTGCATCCCAAACACGGGCCGTCGACCACAACTCGGCCGCCTCCTCCGGAACGTCGTCGTCCATGTCAAAACTGCCTGTGAGTATTGCTTTGGCAAGACGGCCGCCCGTCGGATCCTGGCCGTGGCCACGGCAGGACTGCCGCCCACATCCCACAGAGACATGAAGAACTCGTGAGAGGGATGCAAAACCGATGCAAAGTCAAAGTCAAGCAGCGCCGTGATCTTGTTGCTCTCGGGATCGACGAGCATGTTGTTCATAGCTATAGTATGGCAACAGGACCATGACATCAAAGTAGCGAGAGCGGCTCGAGGCGGGCGACCGAGAAAGAAACGCCGTACTCAAATCCCCGTGTACCAGCACACGCTTCGTCATGTCGACACCCGCCTCAGCGAAAACCCCGCCGAGGTTGCTCTCCAAACACCTGTCAATGCGCGCGCGCACGCCGTTGGGCTTCCACTCCTGCAGCGCTGAGCTCCCATCAGCGCCTTCAAGCTGAGACCTTAACCTGGCGCGCCACACATCTTCGTAGCGACTCCAGGGACCGCCCGCGACCGTGGTCATTTGCCCGCTGACCATTTCTCTCGAGTCGGTAATGCCGATGCCGCCGAACGATGTGACGCTCTCCGGAAGCGGCGCCCGCTGGATTCCAGTGAGGAGATCGGCCACCTGCTCGATGATGGCAGCTTTCTCTTCAGAGCCGGTGGCAAGCTTTGCGAAGTGAGCGTCGAGCGGTATGCCCGATTTGAACTCCATTGCAGTCCAGCCCAGGTTGCGGTTGGACGGTCGGGGCGAGTCCCATGCGTAGACCCGGGGGATGTTGTCTGCGAGATCGGGCTTCTAGGATTCTAGCCCTTTGCGGGGGAGATACATTGCGGCGACTTCGTTTTGCACGCGGGTTTGCGCGTGGTTCAGGCCATCGGCGTGCGGGTTGCTCAGGCGGATGATTAAGCTCGAGATGCCCCGGGCGGCAGGGGGCGTGGTGCAGATGCCGCTGTTTGGAGAGTTGAGTTTGGTCGCTGGCTCCGAGATCGTGACCTTGTAGATGAAGTTGTTGTAGGGGAATGGGCAGTTCTCATCGTACTTGACGGGCGAGATGTCGGTGGCCTTGATATGACCGTGTTAGTTGTCCTAATTTATGAACAATCACGCTCCATGCGGTCGTTTCAGGCTTCTCTCCCCTGTGCCCCGAGCTGGGATATAATCTCTTCGACCAGGTCAAACCTGGCGTCGAAATCTTTGTGATTCATGGTGAGTAGGTAGGTATTGAGTTCTTGTGCTGGCGCACTGCCTTTGGAGGTGAAAATGTCGACTGTGGTACGTAGGTGGTGGGAGTCGCGTGAGCGGTGAGGAGAGGGGTACCGCTAGGCAGTGGTATCAGTATGGTGCTATGGGGTTTGGCAGGAGAAAACAGCGGTGTTTAAGTTCAAAATAAAGTTGGACCTTTAAGCATGGGAAGTGTGAGTCCGGCTGTTTTGGCGGTGATGAGCAGCTTGAGCACTGTGTTGCCTGCACCTTCCATACAGGATAACAGTATTAAGACCATTGTAACGATACAGGATGCTACTACTAGCTGAGCATACCTACCAAAGTACCTACCTAGTAGGTAATCTCAGTCCTACAAACTGCCCTTGCACAGCCACCACATGCAGCCGCTCCTCCAAATTTCAGAGGCATCACTAATATGGACGGCGAAAAATTGCTACAGTTCACGAGAGCGTCAGTGGTGCAATCAAATGTCTTCACCGGCTTGATATCCTCTACCCAACTAAGTACCTACATGTAACTCACCTAGGCTCAGAGAAAACTCTGAAGGTACCTAACTTTGAGCGGAAAAGATGTTGGAAATGAGCCCTCTTGGCGTAAGCCAGGGAGTGGCCCACTATAGGGGGAAATTACTGTCCTGCGCTCCCACCTATATAAAATTGGCTCTGGAGAGCCACTGTAGCCTCTATTCCTCAGAACCTCCAATTGATCAATCATCTGGAAGACAACCACCAAGAAAACCATCACCAGTGGCCATTTTGGCCCGGTAAGTCCACCCTGTAATTTCTAACAAAAGAGAGCCACCAATAGGTAGGTACTAGTACTAAGACAGATACATTGCTGTTTTTCGTTCCTCTTCAAGCACGCCTTTCCCAAGTTCTACCGATGGCGAATGGCGCTATGAATTGTACTTATAAGGTGACTGGGGTTTGAGGCGATTCATAGAAGCTTTAGATAGATGTTCCTCGCAACAGCAGTACATCCCTAGGTACCTTACCTTAGTGTTGAGATTCAGGGGCAGAGACCACAAGCCATTTTGTCACAAGGCGGAGTACAGTACATTGGGAGCAGGGTCTATCTCGTGCTTGTATCTACCTAGGTACTTATTCAGGCTGCTCCCTAGTTCCTTAAGTAACTAGGTACTCAGAGCTGAATACAATCTTCTTCGTACCCATAACTGTGTATTTCAACACCTACTTAGGTACCTACACTACATGTGTTAACGGGATGTTTGAAAGGAGGCCCAAGGGTGCCGAGCTGTGTAAAGAAGGGAAAGAAACATGAAAGCACTAAGCTGATTGCCTGGCCACCATTAGATCAGGGAGAAACCAAAGACCGGCTTCTGCCAAAGGCCCTGCTACATTCCGTGCTCCTAATCCCGCCAGTACTGCTTTTCCTTCCGGATGATGACGTCCCACATCAAACGGTCTTCCATATGCCTTTGACGACGGATCAGCAAATTTTGAAGCAGTTGTTTCGTAAGACTGACAAGCCTTGACGCTTACCATACCAACCTGAGATTTGACTCAACCGGAGTCCGGACAATGAGGAGTCGAGGCTGAAGTCGCCGTCCACGGGTTTGATACTACTTGCATCACACCTGACAAAAAGGAGGGGAGCTTCAGTCCTGTGCGCTCTCTTTCTTATGATTTCAACATCATCGTGAGCATTATCATGATGTATAGGTACCTAACTATAATAGAGTGAAGGCTGCAGACCACGCGTCCTGGTCTAGAACCCATGAATGTCGGCCTTACGAAGCGCGGTGGTCATAGTTGGATGTGCATCGAGATCCGGAACGGTCATACGTACAAGATCTATATTGGTTATCCACGGCGGAGAGCCAGATCTAGATTCTAGATCACGGTTATGGGCATGGGTCAGCCTTTTATCGGAGCAGAGGGCGTTAACATAAGCACAGGATGACGTATACCCCAACAACAGCACAAGCCGCTCCCGACACTTTCAAAAAAGTGGTCGCATTTCTTGTCGCTTCTAAAGATCTGGAGGAGCCGACAACGAACCACGAGCGTGTCCAAGCCGGACTGAAGAAATTTCAACGCACCAAAGGCCTTCCGGAGACCGGAGTCTATGACGCCTCGACAAAGGATGCAATGAACCTCGCGACACGTTGGTGTGGCGTGCCAGACACCAAAGCTTCGTTCGTTTTGGGAGGAGGACGGTGGGATCACACAGCGTTGACCTACAGCTTCAGCCCCTTCACCATAGATCAGACACACGAGGCATGCAGACGGATCGTCCAAGCAGCCGCGAATCTATGGGCTCGTATCTCCCCTCTGACGTTCAGCGAGGTACCGTCTAGTGGCCCTGCCGATATCAGGATCAGATGGGTTACCGGCAATCATGGAGATGGTCACCCGTTTCTGCCGCTGCCTCCCCTACCCACGTCTGGACCGGCAGCCCATTCGTTTGGGCCTCCCCTGTCTGGGACGCCTGCCACAGAGTTGGCTGGCGATATTCACTTCAACGAGGATGTTTATTGGGGTTGGGATACGCTACTTGAGCTCACTGCCACGCACGAGTTTGGACACGCTCTTGGGCTCGCCCATTCGTTGAATCGTCGCTCGGTAATGTACCCGGGAGGATTCCTTCCACGCGACACGTTGCCTCATCCCGACGACATCAAAGGCATCCATGACATCTACGGCTTCCGGGTCCCACGTTGGAGGCGCGTTCCCAGCCAAGTCACCGGAGCCATAGTACCCAGGTCTCTCCTCGCCGCAGGCACCACCCTTTTCTTGCTTCTGAAGGGCCCGGACTGCATATTGAGATCCCGGGCCCCGCCTCACAGTCAGTTTTCGATAATCGACAGCTCCGTCAGTAACTTACAGATCGCTTCGTTCGATGGCGACACTCTGTTTTCACGGGCCCTTAACGGCAGCATCAGGCGGTTCTCCGACAGCAGTGGCTGGGAAAATGTTGACACGGATCCGAACGTAGTCAACATTTAAGTTACTCCCTTCAATCGTCTCGTTAAGCTCAGAAGGGACGGCAGCATTGAAGAGCTTCAGCAGGAGCCAACTGGGGCTTGGAGACATACCCAGCTTTCTGGTCCCTCCCAAACTGTGCAGATCGTGGTTGACGGGACCACTGGACGAATTTTGCGACGTCTTCGCGGAGGAAGAATCGAGTACGAGCAGAGCCGGAGTTCCGGGCCTCCTAGCAACTGGACCTTGATCGAGATCGATCCCGATATTTCCGAGTTTACCTCAGTCGATACGGAGCTCTTCAAGGTCCGACGTGACGGCAAAATCTTTCGCAACAACGCCGACACGAGTCCACTCACCTGGGAGATGATTGACAACAACCCGAAAACAACGCACATCATTGCTGCCCACAGGGACTATGTTTATCAGCTGTGGAATGATGGATCCTTGTACCGGTACTACGGCGCGGGGTGGGAACATCTACCCTCAACAACGCCGCCGCAGACAATGCAGGCGGTGTCATTCAAGAGCGGCATAGTGTACATTCTCGAGAGGGACGGGGAGGTGTACAAATCGCAAAATTGAGTTTGGTACAGGCGGGGGCTATCGCCACGTTTTGACGGGTAAGTATTGGCTTAGCTTGGGTACCTAAATTGTTGAATGAAAGGGGGACTTGGAGTTCAAAATCCTGGGGTGAAAGTGTCACAGAGACTGGTAACAAGGGGGCACCTGTTGAACTGCTCGCTCTCTACTGGTGCCTAGGTACATAGGTTGTTGTACAGAGAATGCACATGTCTTTGATTTCAGGCTGCAGTCTTAGTTGATCAACATGCTATAATAAGATCCTCACACCCCCGGGTCAGGACCTCTCATAATGTGTGGAATGAAGATCACGACAGCAGTTATGCTTTGAGTTTGCAAGCACAGAGTAGTAAGAGTACCACCGACGCAAAGTGGCAATACACACGCTCAGCCGCCAGCGATTTGTTGCCGCCATTGTGCTGATATTTCTGGATACCTGTTAAGAAGGCGCTCGTATGGCAACTTGCTTTGTTGGCATTCAGAGAAAAAGACTCCAATCAAATAATACCTATATAAAGTAGCCTGCCCGAGACGCAATTCCAGTGCGTTCTGCTTGTAACAAACGGGTATCTCAAACGCCAATCCCTATCCATAATCCAGGTGGCCTCCCCTCTCAACTCGCCGCCATGATCTCCCTTCCAAGCCTCTTCGTCGCCGACCTGGTAATCCTCTTCTCCACCATACTCACCCTCCTCCTCAACTCTCTCCTCCTCTCCCTCTCCCTCTCCTTCACCATCCTCCTCTCCTCCTCCTCCTCTCTCCTCACCACCGACCTCCTCTCCTCCAGCTTATCATTCCACCATTCCAGCTCCCGGGGGGAAACATGCTCCAGGATCTGAAAATAGGGCACGAGGGCCCTCTCACCCGGCCGGTCGGCATAGCCGATGTAGTAGACGGCGATGTCCTGTGTTTCGCCGCCCGGTACGCGCCGCGGCAGCGGCATCTGGTCGATGATGTAGCCGGTGGTGCCGTTCACCGGCGGGAGGAGCGAGATCTTGGGAGGCGGGGGGCCAGAGCCCGGCACGTACGGCCGGAACTCGGCGATCTTGGCCTCGAGTTCTTGGCGGCGGGCTTCGTCGTCGGCGGTGCTGGCGGTGGCGGGGCCGGTTCGGTTGCGCCGGGGTTGGGATGATTTGTTTGGAACCGCGCGGCGGCCTTGCCGCGCGGTTCTGGGCGTTCGCTTGGCCATTGCGGGTGATGGTTGTTGGCGGGCCTGCTGGTGATAGAAGCGATGAGAATCAGCGTCTATTTTGAGAAATTTTGAGACGGCTGGCAGATAGAGTTTGTCGCGGATGATCAGACGGAAGGAGCGTACAGCAATCGTTCGTCTAATCGGGGCAAGCGACTGTGGCGGGAAAAGAAAAGACAAGAAAAAAGGGGAAAACACCACAAAGCAAGGTACTTACGAGATGGGATGACTTGGGTTAAGCGCTGTGACCGCGCGGTTACTGTTGCTTGCTGGGATAGAATGAGGAATCCAACTGATTCTTCCTTGCCAGCTGACGAGCAACAAAATTGAAGCGATGGAAAGTTGGAAATACGTGCGGTTTGGTCGAATAACTGGAAATCAGTGACGGCGGATCTTGTTCAGTTATGGATCAAGGCTCACGTCGAAGAGAAAAATGGGAGGGAATCCGCGGCTACTAGTGCTCCCAATAATTGATGTTTATTCAGTCTATTCAACTACTATTGTTCTATTGTTCTTGCGATTCTACGCCGTCCACGAGCTTACGTACTACAAGTAGGTACGTTTTGAGTTCCCGCTTGACGGTTTATAAACTAAGGGTTCTTGGTGCTTCGAGCGAGTTATATTCCTAATCTAGGTACTCTTCACTTGCATCTCGACGGTTGAAGATTGCATGCAGAGCTCGTAGAAACTAGAAAGGGCAACTGTCGGGTCGCAATTGGAGAAAGTACAACCCTTAATCACCGCGTGGTGAGCAACCGCGAACCAGCACGCCCACCCAGAAACTGAAGCGACTGTCATTTCAATAAGCTAATGGGTTATATTTCTCCTTGCTAAGTTTGACGGCACCCAAATCCTTTTGGAGAAATGGGAGGAAGAGATCCCCGTTTGTCCTGGAGCAACCACAACAAGGCAATCTCTCCAGCACCCAGAGCCTGTGCTCAGACAGAGCGTCACCATCACGCAAAACACCGCTACCGACTCAGTATCGTACAATGTCACTAGCGGTGACTTCACGATGATACTATCATTCCAACTTCTCTTTCTTGGAGAGGAGGGCCATGGGGAGGGAGATTTTGTTTTTACCGTTTTAACCCTAACCTAACACCCCCGCCGCCAAAAGAGAAGACGGTAAGTAGGTAGTTTGCTAGACGTCGTCGTGGGATATAATTTTTCGCGTGCTAATATGAGACGCCAGGCTGAGCAGTTGGCTGCTGCAGCAGACAAGTAGGTTGGTAGTGTTCCCACCCTCCATTTTCACATATATGATATGGAACGAGACACCGACATGACCGATATATAGAGAGAGAAGGAGCGGCGCCGCCGCCAGAGAAAAAAGTCGACACGTCAACAGGCCGCCGCTGCTGAGCAGGCAGCGGTTGTGGAGGGTGGGCCCGCTGGGGAAGAAGACGTCCTGGGTTCTGGTGGTGTTGAGGGAGAGGCCGAGGACGGGCAGGTAGAAGCGAGACTTTGTTTTTAGCGTTCAAGAATCTTCTTGGAGCCGAAGTTTATGAAAACTGTTGTGAGCAGTTGTTCAGGTCGACGGTGGACACGAAGTTGCGGAATAACTGTGTGGATATCTTGGTAGGCATCGTTGGTTGGTAAGGTAGTCATCGTTGGTTGACGGTGAATCGAACAGGGGACCTCCGTTGACTTTAGGAAGAAGGATGCCTACTACTACCACTTTGTTTCTTCTACCCGTGGGGGGTTGAAAGTAGGAATGGGGACTTGACTAATATACTATACAGTGCTGGCTAAGGTCCTAAGGCAGACTACCTCGAATGGCCCTCGATTGTTTATGCGCGGGTCCATGCTAGCCCTCTATGATCTGTTCCCCCATCGAAAATCTCTACGAGTACCTAGTAATTTGCTTACTCGGCGTTGCTCGTACTCTAGCGACGGCTATGCGAAGTAGCCTTCTTCATATAATTGAACCCTTTTCTTTACTACATGTTGCTAAGGCATCATGATGAATTGCTCGAGCCTTAGGCATACTCGGATACAAATTGATTGAATGATTTCTCTGCTGGGCAGAGTAAATGTAGGGTATACACTTTTAGTCCGGACAGATATCAAGACTTAATCATATCATCCGTAGCGAGTAAGGAATTCACCCTGGAGATTGCCGCCGCTCCCGGACTACGTGTTAAGCCAACGCAGCTAGAATACCTAGGGTAAGCAGATGCCGAATCCCAAGGCTGTCAAATTACTGCAAGCCCTTATACTGCAGGGGCAAGCCGCACGACTCATCCCGCCCCCCATGTCCGAAGAGGACGACCTTAAAGACGAGTCCGAGGGCCTCTCCAACATCAAAGCCTACATGTACTATACCAGAATACGCCACTTTGAATTTGCCCTCAAAAAGACACAAGCGGTTCGCGCAGCGAGCAAAATGGTTCTAGGTTTAGACTCAGGGAGCTGAATGGTGTCTTCCTAACAGTTCCTGTAGCCCGTAGGCCATAGCTGCATACGGCGGTAGCCGAAACGGGAGGGCAATTGAGGTGCATACCTACATGTAGAGGTCTGAGCTGACTCAGTTAAGCTGGGCGAAAAAGGTGATAGAGTCTGGTGACGGCCTCATTCCTGACCAAGCCCTCACGTCACTCGCTTGGCAACTGATGTGTTTCTGTGATGTTCGGCCGGGCCGCAGACCTGGGGCCAAGAAACGGCATAACCCGTCACCAAACAGATGGCCTCGCCAAACGCCAAAGGTCATATCCATCAGTCGATCCCTATCAAATCAAGAGGAAGTTACAAACTGGACTAAGCGCCCCGACCTGTTTGTATCCTTGCTGGGAGGCAACTGCCGAGCTGAAGAGGTGTTGAAGACCTGAGACGTTGATAGGCCAGAAGCGGCTGCGAGGCTGGTAACTTGGCGCTTGCTGCCGCTCCAGGTGCTTGTGGCTTGATTGTGGCATGCACGCCAATCATATTACGCACTCGATTTTTTCTCATGTGGCTGAGGGCGGGTTGCTCGTTAGCGTTAACGTTAAGTTTCACAAGAAGCTTGGTAGACCAGGGTGGGGCCAGTGGGCCCGGACTCGCGGGTTTCCGGGCGCTAGCAGGCTTCTCCTAAAATTAACGTCAGGAAAAGTTGAGAGGCCCAGAGAGGAAAAGACAAACTCAACTTCTATTCAAAAATCTCAGATGTAAAATGTTCAGACTTCAATCTCTTTCTCCTAAGGTGTTTAATTTGTTTTTTGGCCTCTTTGCTACTTTGCTGCATAGCTTTGGTGTCGTCCAATGTGTTCTTGACATCCGTCCGGCACCTTCGGCCGCTCGCTTGCCAGACGAGGACAATGGCCCCACACTGGCCTTGGGCTCTTGGGGACCAATCGCGGGGCATTGTGGAACAAGAGTCGCCGCAAACCCTTGCTCGGGGGGCAATTCCACAGACCTCCTCCGACTGGACCTGTTACATCACCCGTCGATCCGACACTGTACTGCACTTTCCGCGCATGCTCACCGCACCCCTTAACGACTCCAAACTTCAGACTGCTTCTTGTCCCACACCATGTTTTGCTCTTCTGCACGAGATGCCCAGTCTCGTGTCACGCAAGTCGCCAGCGGTCCCTTGCATTTCTTAGTCCCTTAAGACACTCAGACCGCAGCTAAGCTTTCTTGCACAACCTTCCGACTCCACAATCGAACCACTCTTCAGCCCACAAGGTTTTGGCTGCGTCGCTGGGTTATCTGAAGTCCACACGCTTGGCTCGACCCTTGGATACGATTCGTCCAGACCAATATCATCGCATACTTCTTCCCCTTGGCGTCAGAGCTACCTCTCGCCTCTGCTTTCTTCAGTGCTCCCCCATCCCTGCCGTCGCATCCCCGCGAGTCAGGGTAATATGTAGTGCCTAGACCACACTATGCGCAAGGTCTCGATCGTCCTGATCTACTTTGCATAATTGGTTCCCTTTCGCATACCCGTTCAGGCAACGGCCCGTTTCTCTAGCCTGGCTGCTTAATCACTTGGGGCCGCCCCAGTCCATCCTTACCCGTTTCCGTTTCTCTTTCCTCTTTTTTCCCTCCTGACCCTTCGTTGAGTGAAGTTGACGTCTTCATCCCTCGATTGGTCGGACGCCAGACACGACTTCCTCCGCTTCGCCGGGCGGGTCCCGTTTCTCTTCGATCACGACGCTCTTTCCGAATATTCCTTGACCACCCGCTTGCAGGCCGCGCGAGGTTTTGCTACCGAGTCCCGACCCGGCTCGACTTTCGACGAAACTACGTCTGATACTGGGGATATAATAATCGGATGAGGGTTGGATTGCACCCCGAAAGCGAAGATGCTTCTGCCAAGGACGCTTGTTGCCTTGCTGGCGATTGGGGCACAGGCGGGGGTTGGGTACATACTACCGGAGGAATCAACAAGCAGTAATGCGATAGCAGACGCGAGGCTAAAGGAGATGGCCATGGCGAGCATACGGGGCAGGGGCTACCTGCAGACAAGGCAGTCGACAGGAGTGGGCAGCAACACACCGCTCAGGCCGGATGGAAGCATCGATATGGCGCGCTGGGACGAGGCTGCGAACTCGGCCTGCAGACAAGCTCTCAGGAGCCTTCCATTTTCGTCGAATCCGTCGGGCGCCTGCGTGTGCTACAACCTGCCAGCTCTCAACAATGTCACCGGAGCGTTCGAGGCCGATTTGAGGTTGTTTCAGCGAAGCGAACCGACAGGCGATTTCCAGGGCCTACCCCAAGAGGATATACGAGTTAGTCTCAGCTATACCGGGGCCTCGGCCACCGAGATTAGCCGGGAAGCAGCCGAACAGATGGCCGTCGTTGCTCCTGCTGGTCGCGTTTCAGCGCGGCAAGAGACTGGAGACTTCCCGTTGCTGCAGTCGTACCTCTTCATCGGGCAGGTTGATAAAGACCGCATGAGTGACGGGGTCACAATGTGAGTTGGCGGTGATGCGCGTGGCCGAGTACTTCATTGCTAACCCGATACCCCCCAGGGCCGAACTGCAAGCGCTCGTCATGCCGGTCGTCACGCTCAGCGCCACCAACCGGGCCGGTCAGACCGTTAGCACCAGGGTGTCATCCAACGAAGCCGCATTCGTCGCAGGTGTCTTTTCGCAGGAGGTTGTCATGAGCAGTTACCGCATGGCCGAGCTTGCCGTCGAAAGGGAGCAGGCCAGTCTCAAGAATGGAACAACAGCGTTTGTGCTTCCCGGAGTGCAGATCATGATCTTCCCCGTTGGCCTCATCATTACCAGCATCTGGATGATGGCTGGATTTGTCGCATATGGAATGGGCACGTATGCTCGCTACACCTTCAGAGAGCAACACAGGGCGCGGATGGCAAGGGTGGAGAAAGGGGGCATGCCCCGGATCTGAGAGTTACTACCTAGGGTGGCTGATGTGTCTGCCCGCTCGCCACGCCGTTCTTGGTTATTTGTTACGATTGCTCGAGGAGCAGTCGCATGTTTTAGTTCGAACTTGATTCCCCTTCTTGCGCATTAGAAAGCCGGGTATCAATGGCTGTGTTTACTTGAGTGCCCTTTCCCGGATAGTCGCAATGAGCGCCGCATCTGTACATAATGCATCCATTGACGTGCTGAATCCATACTTGTCAATGCCGTTTCATTCGGAGTTAACCTTTCCCCTTCCTAGACATCTCCTACACACACAATGATGCGATTTCAGCCATGTAGGGCGGTGATTCGAGCCGATTCATGTCCTAAGAGGGGCCGTGAGCCAGGTGAGCGAGTCGGTCTTCCCGCCCTCCATGTCGTCAACCACGACATATTAGTAATGGCGGGACGATCGACATTGAACCCGGACGAACCGGCAAAGAAGCGCGTTAAATTCGTCCACTCGCGCTATACGGATACAATCGCAAGAATTGTTTGTAAGTTGTAACCCCTGCTCTCCGCAAAATAAGACACTATGCCGTTATTTTGGAACCCCGTGATGAGGTGGCTAGTCAGGGGCTTCTTCCAGCGACTAGTATAGAGTTTCTTCGCACCTTCCAACCGATAGTGTACCTAGGTAGTTAGGTAGAAAAACTACATCGAGATTGATACGTGCAAAAGCACAAGGCAGACGAAGCTCTGACGATGAAGAAGATGATCAATTGTTGGGTGATGCTCTGATGAGCCTATGGCTCAACTGACTACGGTAGATACTGCTCGCTAGCAACTGCTAGCACGTGCCTGGCACGTGCTGTGGGAATCTCACGTAATAGAAATCCATTACCAAGCAAACTTATACATTTCGTCACTTCGTGTCGGTCCCGACTGCGACTTTCCAACACAAGTAAAATGGGGCGGAGAACTTGCAATTAATCGCACCGCTCGGAAACTTTTTACCTGAGGTTATACACACAAAGTGCTGGCACGGGTCCATTGATTGCGCCGCCAGTTCATCGTGCTTTGAAATGCCAGGCCATGAGCCTTGATGATCACGGCTTCGATGCTTGGTGATGCTTTGATCCAAGATGGAGATAGGCTTCCTGCCTGGCAAGGCTACCTTATCCTCTATATAAGGTCGTATACCTCAGCCTTCAAGACGTCTGTCTACTGCCTGAGCAGTCTCCCCATCGTAACATAAACACTTCGAAAACACGCCTTCTAACAAATAGCCTCATATCCATCTTTAACCGTACAAAATGGCACCCCTCAGAGTTGCAGTTGTTGGCGCTTCGGGCGAGACTGGTGGATCCATTGTGACCGCGTTGCTCGAGTCCCCGGATCAGTTTGTAAGTGGATGGCGTTGGCGTACCTACCTTACTCACAGACATAACCCTCTCTAACTAAGATGGTAAACAGGAAGTCATCGCACTGGTGCGCCCGGCCTCCATCTCAAAGCCCAAGATCCAGGAGTTCCAGAAGCGCGGCATGAAGGTTGTGGCCGCAGATGTGGCCAACTCGTCTGAGGCTGAGCTCGCCAAAGCGCTCGAGGGCGTCGACACGGTTGTCGCGGCCGTTGATGGCTTCAGTCTGCAGCATCAAATCCCTCTGGCCAATGCCGCCAAAGCTGCCGGCGTAAAGCGCTTCATTCCCAACTTCTTTGGACCTCCATCGCCCCGGGGTATCCAGTGGATCCGGGACCAGGTACGTGATACGTCACGGTCATCCCCTGGCATCAAGTCAAGGTACCTTAGTGAACAAGAGAAAATGGTGCTGATGCCCAGGGGTGAAATTCACAGAAACTCGCAATCCTAGACTACATCAACCAGCTCTACCTCGGCTACACCGTCGTCGAGGTTGGCTGGTGGCAGCAGCTCATCGTTCCCAAGCTGGCCTCGGGCAGGGCCGACCACGCTCAGGTGCTCCCCCTTGAGGCATCGCCGCACACCACCATCTACGGCGACGGGAATGTCAAGATCGGCCTCACCCACCTGCGCGACATTGGCCGCTATGTGGCGCGCATCATTGCCGACCCGCGCACCCTGAACAAGAAGGTGTACGTGTACGGCGAGCTGGCGACGCAGAATGAGGTTGTTGCGCTTATGGAGAAGGTCTCGGGTGAGAAGATCCAGATGAAACATGTCAGTCACCTAACCTATGCCACTCTACTATTGCCTACTAGTAGTAGTGGTAATAGTTACCTACACAAGTACTAACAAACCAACCACGCAACAGATGTCCAAAGAAGCCACCTTGTCAGCCATCGCCGAGGCCAAAGCCATGGGAACCGCGGGCGTCCTGGCGCGGGCCGCAAGCGAATACCCCCTCTCCTGGGCCATCCGCGGCGACAGCACCCCTGAGCACGCCGCCTACCTCGGCTTTCTGGACGGCAAGGAGCTGTATCCGGACTTCAAGCCAACCACGCTTGAGGAATTCTTTCGCGAGGTATTGGGCCTGGGCTCTCGGGAGTACGAGAAGCCCTATGGGGGAAACCTGGACGTCGAGGGGTTGGCGAAGCGGGCTGAGACGTATGCTGAGCGGGCTTGAGAAGTTGAGGCTGGCTTGGTAGCTACGGTTATGGTACCTAGGTACTTAGGTAGGTAGGTGGTTTGTTCGCTGTTAATGATTTCTGTACCTTACACCTTTGTATCAACATTGTTGAACTAGAAGTGGTGTCTTGCTAGACTCATCATGTTCAACTTGAATTATATACGTATAAGTGCTAGCATGTGAGAAGGACCCCTCGACCTTCTAGATACTGCATCGTTGTTATCTATGGACTCCACTCGAGTTGTCCAACATTTTGCCACATCTAATCAAGTCCTTGCTGTGACATCAAGAGATGCTAAGCTGTCCTTTAGTACACTTACCGTAGGTAGGTAGGTAGGTATGCTCAGAATCGTTTCTTGCAGCGCTTGGGTGGTAATATGTATTTATACATTCACTGGCAGTCTTTCAAGACTCCTTGCGATGTGAGCCCTTCCAACAGTTTCTCGTCCGATATAAGTATCTCCATACCCATTTATTTTGCTTGATCGCCATGCTTTCAGCGCAGCACCTCGAAATTCTCGAAATCCGAATTGAGCGAGTTCAAACGAGAATGTTTTAAGTCTCACCCAGCAAGTAATGGTCAGCTTCATGGTCTGATTGATCATTAACTGCCGTCAGCAAACAGGGGATGCCTATCCATCGGTGGCAATTCCGTCTTATGGCCTACAAGGGAACCTGGCATTCCGAATCGCCTTCACTGCCGGCAGCACCGAGGAGGCAAGTAGCCCAGTGATGGACCCTGGAGCGCATAAACTTCAGGGCACCTCGATGAAGGTTGGTGCCTGTTTGCCCCTTACCTCACATCATAAAAGAGATCACGAGTGGGTATTGCTCGACGCTCAGACGGGCCCGGATTCGCGGCTAGCCTTCCAGTTTCTGTGTTCCCTCTTTCCGGGTTCGAGGCTTTCTCCTCATCTGTTGGATGACCTTCAATAACTAGGTACCTGGTAGGTATGCTAGGTATGAACTCCTTCAACCCCTTTTTCTTTTCAGGTTGTATGCAACCTTCATTCCAAGTTCTCAACTCAAAGCTCGAACCGTTCCCACAAGTCGTACATGTATTGACTGGATAGCAGCCGACCCGAGGCAGTGTGACGAATTCATGTCATGAATGAAGGGGTGGTATCCCTAAGCTCCACGCGAGGTATCTAACTCTCTTGAACGGGCAGCTTGCTTGATTCACTTCGGAAACCGCTTTACCTAGCTATACACCCTAGCTGAGCCAAAGTCGCAGTCAACATGGATGTCGCTACCCTCGTCACTCAAATGCAGGACACACTGTCACGCATTCACCACACTCTAGCATCACTCGACCAAACCAGCTACGACTCAAAGATCGACGAGCTCGAGAAGAAACGAGATACGGCTATTCAGACGCTAAGCGCAGATTTCGCGGCTGAGTCGGATTTTCTCGACCGGAAACGCAAAGCCCTGCGAGAAGAAATAGCCGAGAGGCGCCGGAGGGAGGACGAAGAGCTGGCTGCAAAAGAACGCCAAGAGGACGAGGAACGCAATAGGAAGCTGCAGCTCGACAAGGATGGCATCGAGGAGGAAATAGACAGTCTCATGTGCCAAGTCGAAGGGGAGGCTCAGATGGCAACTGAGGAGGGCCAGAAGAAGTTGCGGGAGTTGGAAAACAGGAGAAGGGTAAGTGGATTAGATCCGAACTGGAGGAAGATGTCGACGCTGACCTTTGTGACTCTATCCATATAGGAGCTAAGCCGTCTGATCGAAGAGCAGTTTGAGGCATCACTCACCTCGGTACAAATTAGGTCAAGAAGGGGCACTAGAGTCAACGACAAGCTATCAGAGTCAGCAAGCCCAGTAGCTACTATTGGCAGAAACCTTGCAGAACAACACCAAGAGCCAGGAGATGTCTCAGGGGAAGCCAATGTGGCGGAACAGACAGACCCTCTCGCTAGCTTCCCGCGGTCAGGGGCGAAAGATGCCGGTCAAGGCCGTCTGGAGACTTCCCCTGAAGCCCCTGACTCGAGTAAACAGCTCCCAGGGGAAGCAGGACACCGATCCGACGACATCCAGCCCAATTCTGGCAACAAAAGCGAAGAACGCTATAGTACTGTCGAAGATGCTCCGCCACCTGAGGAAGAACCGGAGCAGCAGCCAGATACATCGATCCTGTCGTGCGCAATAAGCACGACCCCTAGCCACAGTCACTTCGACTCGTCTGATCATGAGGAAGTCTCCTCAGTCTCTACATCCGGCGATGTGTCCAAGCCAGGACTAGCTGGACGTCCCAATCCGGATGACGCATGCTGCCTCTCCGACTATGGGTCTGAAGGCTTCGAGTTCCGGGACGATCTTGCCTCGCCGTTCGACGTCGCACGAAACAGTTACATCGAGAACAGCGATCTTAGCCGTATTGACCGGCTCGACATGGGTTTGCCCAGGGCGGACTCGGAAATACTCCGCCACGGGACAGTGGAGAAGTTTGCAGGTGTGGAAGACGCCGAGTTTGGGCAGGGTTCTCCGTATTCTCCATATCCGCTCGGCCAGCCGCCAAATCCGGGGGCGGTTTCTGCTCCTATGAGTGGCACTAGGATTGAGAGTTGCGTGACTGAGGGAGACTCCGTCGACATATCCAATTCGGTCGTCTCTGTCCAGGGCTCGCTGCTCCTGGAGACTCCAGAGCAGGAAGGTAATGCTGACAACAACGGGGCCGAGACCGAAGCCCAACATGGAGGGACTCTGGTTGAGCAGGGGATATCTATACCGTTCACTGACCCGGGAGCCGGAGGAGCCCAAGCGGTGATGTTGCCCCCTTCTCCCGAGGATGCGGCTGGTAAAGGGTCATATGACGAGCGCGAAGTATCGTCCAACGGGAGGAGCGACTCTGGTCCAGAACTTGAAGACCAAGGACAATCAATGCCTTGTTCAATCGAGGCGGGATTACCTGAACATGGCGATGGTGATGAATCGGTACCTGGAGAACAAGAATCGCAAATAGCCGACTTGGAAGAAATATGCCAACCTGCCGATGGTGCAGATAGGCCTTTGGAACCCGATTATCACGAACGCCTGCACGACCTAGCATCGGCTGACGAGACGAGCGAGGTCGACGATCTCCACACTCAAGGCCAAGAGGATGACCATGCTGACCCTGACTCTCCACCCTTTGTTACCCCGATGGCCACTGGCGGCGCTCGATCCCCGAGCCTGGCTGACGTGGATTCCCCCCTTGTTGGTGAAGGCCAGTCGGAACACAGCCGACACCAATACCGTCTGGAGGATCAACATACCACGACAGTCCACGGCGAGAATGAGCTGTTCGATGATGAAGACAGCGAGGGGGTAGATCCTGATACGCATCTAAGCTCTGCGTCAAGAGTCCCTGCAACAATCCAACGGTTGGAGCATTCAAACTCCACATTCCTCAGCAGAGCGTGGATAGAGGAAGTTGACAGCTACTTTGACGAGGAGGACAAGCCCGAGGCAAGACTTGATATCCCGCCTCTGCAGCTCAGCCAACATGGAGACCCAGCAGCTGCTGAGCTAGCCACAGCTAGTTCGCTGTCAGAACGTGCTTCCACCGCCAATAGCGACGGCTTTCTAGAAACTGGAGATACTAGCAGCAATAACAGGCCCCGGACGCCTATGGAGAGCCAGTTCATGGGCTCGTCTGAAGAAACAACCCCTGAGGACACTCTATCCAGAGACATCACAAACGAGACACGGCTTGGAACCGAGGGGTTCTGGACTCCCCGGTCTTTGCGCGCCCAGAGTGCATTGTCAATGTCCTCGGCCCAATCCCCTCCAGCACGAGATACACCGGGTGCAAGCCAACACGAACCCCCCTTCGGTAGCAGCCCGGCACCTGAATCACCCGGTTCCCAGAGCCAACCTCCCAATACCAACCTGCAATCGCCCGGATATGCTGTTCCCAGTAGTGAATCCCAAGACCCGACGCTTTGGAATCTGCATCTTCAACAACATGACCGTCGATCATCAACCCCGGCCACCAACCACGACGTGCCAGTGAGCACTCGCAGCCGATGGAGCAGCGAAAACCCCTCTGCTACCAACACTACTACTACTACTACCACTAGCACCACTACTGGCAGCCTCTTCCAGAGGATGCGCAACATATTCGAGCCACACCCACAGCAGCAGTCGATCGCCGCCGTCCAGAACCAGGCGAACCGGAACAGTCGCGACGGGACGTCATGGTTCCATTTCGACCGCACGCCGAGTTCGGGTTCAACCGGTTCCAGAACAGAGATCCGCTACTCGGCACCGCCCATGCCGCGCCGAGCGTCCTCCGCGGTTACTACTACTAGTGGTGGCACTACTCGCACGGTTGATAACATCACTACTGGTAATGGTAGTACAGGCCAAGCGGATGGAAGTGGCGAACATGTGCATGCGGATGTGCATACAAGGGGAAGTGGGGATTTGAATGGGAATGGGAATGGGAATTGACCACGCTCGGGCGCGGCGAGCGATGGTGAGCGGCCAGGAGAAGATCAAGATCAATACCAACACAAACACAAAGTCATCGTGCTAGAGAACAACTTCGACCGGCTCCGGGTCCTGTCTGTCACGGCCGAGGTCTCGGTTGACAGTGATGAATCTGCTTCTGCTTCGGACTCCTCCCTTACGGACTCACGGCCAGGGGGGAAGGATCAAGAACTTGAAGTAGCTGATCAGCCGGGCGTGGCGACTCCATCTCGACGGATTGGTACTACTCCTCCTTCAAAACATCATTGTTACGCCGAGGCCGCTGGAGACGCCCGGCTTGCGTGGCGGAGGGCCGAGGGCTGGCGGGCACGCCTGCGCAAAGCGGGCGACCTTGTCGAGCAAGCGCGCTGGGAGGAGTGGCGGCTTGATCGCCAGATTAGAAGCCTTCCCAAGATGGTCCCTGTTGTTCATGAAGCGCAAGTTGTTGCCCCGGCGCCTGAGGTGGCAGAGGGTTGTCAGGGGGTTGTGGATACAACTAGTGCTACTACTACTAGTAGTAACAGTACGGCAATGGCTAGATGGTTGAGAAGAAAACGCGGGTCTTGGTCTTTGGCTTATTAACCTCGCAGCCGCCTGCGATAGGTACCGAGAGCCACCTTGCATCCCCGACTCTCACTCAGCCAGGAATCTCAAAGTCCTCCGCCGCGCCATACTTCCGCACCACCCACTCGCTCAGCCCTTTCTTCAACCCCTCCGCAAAGCCCTGATCAAATTCCGTCCCACTCTGCAACCCAGCCAACCGGCCGGTCCGCCAGTACAACCACTTCTCAAACGCAGGCCCTTCCCCTTCCTCCCCCCTCAGCACCCCAACCGCCACATCCACAATCACTTTCCTCTGCCCCTCCACGTCTCCCTCCTGAACCCTCTCATGGTTATCCACCCGGTACAGCACAGTCGCACCACACACGCGGCAAAACGCGCGCGTGACGTTCGGCGAGGAGCGGTACGCCTTGAGCGTGCCGAACCCTTCAAACCCCTCGGGCACGGCCGGCCGCAAGCTCGACAGCGGCGCAAACGTCCACGCCACCGCGTGCGACCCCGTCACCAGCCGGCAGTCGCTGCACAGGCAGATGCAGGCCGACCGTCTGTGGCGGGTACTAGTACCAGTAGTAGTAGTACTAGGGATTGGCGGCCTGATGAAGCGGGCGTAAAAGGGGTCGGCGAGTTCCGAGGCCGACGGCGCGGCGAGCGTGAAGGTTACTCCCTTGCAGTGGCACTGCGCGAGTAACCCGTCCCCGTCCCCGTCCCCGGCACCCTCCCTGTCTAGGGATGGTGATGGAGGCGAGGGTTCGGAGGAAGAGGATGCAAGGGGGAATTTGGGGTCGTCCTTGGCCGGGCTCCAAATGTGGATACTGCGGTTGTTGATGGTGGGCAGCCAGGTCGCGAGGTTGGGCCCGGCCGGGTCGGCAAAGGTGTGGGTGCGGATCTGGAAGGTGTCTTCGCCGTGGCTGCTGAAGATGGAGGTTGCCACGCGCCACTCGCGTTTGCCCGTGTCTTGATTTGGTTGGATATCGCGGTCGCCGATGTGGCAGCCGCAGGTGCTGCAGAAGAAGCGTTCCGACACGGCCCGCGAGGAGTGGATGTACCCCGTGAGAGAAGACGCTATGGACGAGGGCGCGATGAATTCGGGCTCGACGCCCTTGGGCAGCACCGCGTGAAAGCAGGAGAAGGTGCCGTGCGTGTAGCGGCAGATGCTGCAGTGGCAAAGGTGCACGGGGAGAGGGAGTGCCGATGTTGGGACCGTGACGATGAAGTGCACCGACTTGCAGTGGCACTGGGCCGTGAGACTCTGACTTACTCCCGTCAACTGGTGCGGGAGGTGAAGATCGGCTGCCATTTTGTTAGAGGCGCTGGATTTGAAGGTGGTGAAGCGACGGCGGAGGTTGACTTGAGGGACTGGAGAGATTTTAGTAGGTATTTGCGTCATAAGCAACCGGGAGTCTGACCTTGACAATGACAGCCCGTTCTTACCTAGCCTACCGGACCCCGCACCTCGTATCTGTAGCCGTCTACCGCAGGGCGGAGAATGATTGAAGTCTAACCCCACAACACCCCTCGATCCAACCCTCGTGATAATGATAAATAACAACATATGAGCAACTGATATTCAGGAGTCTCTCGCAACAGCATCCGTACCTGCAGGCTGCAGACTCTAGGAATAATATCGCGCATCACACACCGCACCCTTCCTGGCAGCGCCTGCAGACGACTTGGCCAATCATAGGCCGGTCATCCTCACCTCCTCAATACTCACACTTCTGCCTAGCAATCTCATCGTCTGTGAGGCCGCCCTGCAGCTCTGCCGCATACGTGTTGAACTTGTTCATCTCCGATACCACGGTGGCCAGATGCCTGTATCCCATGGGCTGCTTCTCGAACATGGCCAGTTGCCGGGCTGTCGACACGGCATTGCGGATCTCGCGCCCATTCAATTCCTCCTTGGCGAGATCTGGAAGCCGCTTTTTGATCTCGTCCGACGAGATGCCCACCTCGGCGGTCTGCCGGGTCCGCGACCTCGTCAAGTTGTCGATGTGATCGATGAAGTTGTTCCAGATTTCGCGACGGTCGCGCTCGCTCAGCGGCGGGAATTGTAGCGATAGCTGGATGCGTGATTTGAAGGCGGCGTCCAGGGTGCCAACGCGATTGCTGGTGAGGATGAGGATGCCGTCGTAGTACTCCAGCACGCGCAAAAATACCGAGACAAACGCGTTACGCTCGAAATCTTCGGTCGACCGCTGCATGAGAAAGACGTCTGCCTCGTCCAGGAGCACGACGCAGCCCCAAGTCTTGCCCAGGAGCAACACTATCTCGAGATACTTCTCCACGTCCTCCGGCTTGGTGCCCACGTCGCTACAGGTGACGCGGTACAAAGGCTTCCTCGCAATCTCGGCGACGCTTTCGGCCGTCAGCGTCTTGCCTGTTCCTGGAGGTCCGTGCAATAATATGAGCAGGCCGGCCCCCTTGCCGCTCATGAGGTCGGTGCTCTCTTCGGCTGAGATTTGGTTCGTGACCAATGCTTCGATGAGTCGCTTTTTCTCCCCGTCGATCACCAACTGGTTGAAGGCATTGGTGTTCCACTCAACCTCTTCTATGCGATCTACGTAGAGCTGGATCCATTGCTTCTTCTTCATATGATAGCCCGGAATGGTGGCAGGAAGGCAAAGGATGAAGTCATCCCCATCTGGGGGCGGCTGGCCTTGTTGCATGGCGTCTGGTCCGAGATCGTTTCTGTTTCGCTTGTACTCCTTTCCCGGCGGATGCATCTCGTTGAAAGTGTCGATGTCAATCATGTAACGTGTATCAGACTTCCCTCGGGTATGAGTCCTTGAGTAAGCCTGCCGCTAACAGTTTCATTGTACAGTACAGGACATACGGGCACTACTCACCGGATTCTGAGATCGAAAGGCGCTGTCCCTCCGGTAGCTGACGTATTTTTGCAAGCGACACTCCCAGAACATCTCTCCACGTCGTCGAAGAGCCTCGGAAGCTTCCGGGCCAGCAAAGCGCAGAGGATACACCTCAAGGGCCTGAATGTAGAAGGGCTCCTCCCAGGAAGAATTGCAGGCAACGACCCAGTCCTTGGACTTCCTTTGGAAGAAGCCGTCGAAGCTCCAGTTTTCCCCTTGAATGGACCGGATACACCCGTGTGCGTATTTGATCTTAGTCTCAGCTATCGGCCTATTGGTCTGATGATCTCTCAACTCAGATTTCGCTTTGAACGCTATCCAGAACTGTCGATCGACCCCGTCCTGCTTCGACAACTGAATCTCTCCCGGTACCTTGGTAGTTTAGGTCAGTGAACAGACGGTAGTAAGAATTGGAATTGGACGGGAGAATACATAAAGGTACGGCATGTATTTGGCTGTGATCTTGCCGCCTTTCAATAGCTCGTCGACTTCCTCGTACTCGGCCCCAAAGCTCTTGCTAATGTAGCCCTCGAATATTCGCAGATATGGACCGAGACGCGCCTCAACAGTCAGCATGGCGTTTAAGAAATGGTTCCGGCGCCAGTACCACCAGAGATAAGGGGCGCGGATCTCATCGTTTTCGTCGAAATCTGGGTGCGGTATATCTCCGCCAACTAGGGAACACAAATCACCCAGAGCCTGGCCCAGATCTGCAGAAACAATATCAACCGACTCGGCGACGTAGAGATCTGGCACGATGTCAGGAGTCACGGCAGTGGCGTGATACGAAAGCTCCGCTCTGCTGTCGGGTTGGCAGCATTGGTAGTCCCTGTACACGATGAAGATGATCCATTTATTGCGCTCAAGGAAAAGTTCCAGGTGATCGATCAGATCGCTACCTCGCAGATGGATCCCGCCATCGGCATTTTTGACTGGCCATGGCACGCCGAGGGACAGCTCCGTCGTGTTCTGCTCGCCGCAGCTGATCCTGTGCACCGTGACAAAGGATATGTCCTCGGTCTCTCCCTTCTTGGATACTGTGCTGAGGGAGCGGTTTGCAGCCTCGAGCTTCTCGGTAACGGTTTGAAGCGATGCCAGGAGGGCATTGTCGTCTGCCTGGCCATGCACACCAAGAAACTGGCAGATGACGCCGCGCCAGTCAACCTGCTTGATCATGGGCCAGGAGGACACGATCTGCTCGCTCTTTGCCTTTTGCATATCTGACGTTGTAAGTAACGGAGCTCACGTTATGTATAGGAGCGGCTGAGGTAGTAAGGGCGTGCCACCCCGGACCGGGAGTTTAGCTACCTCCCAATGTTCCTGGCTTAGATTCCCCTGACGAAGAGCCATCATCAGACGACGCATCAGTTCGGGCCCGTTTTCGTGGGGCAATCGCGGCCTTATTTTGGCTGGAACCGGCGTGCCGTCTCATTTCACGCGCGTCTAAACTCGAAGTTTAGTGGCACCTGCCAGAGAATACGAGTATCGCAGGCCTCTAACTGAGTCACCGTGGCTAGTCACAAACGACGTCGATTTAGGTGATTCTGGATAACCGTAGGTTGAACGACGAAGTGAACGAAGCTGACTGAGGCTAAGCACAGCCGACCGCAGACCCCTTTACGGAGCATCGATAGCGGGGCTGCGCCGCAGATGCACATGTTCGATATACAAGTCGGGTACTCGGTATGTAAATACGCTTGAGAAGTATGAAGTTATGCATATATGCATTCGACTCATGCATTCAGTGCAGGGTGGAGGCGGCAAATCGCGTCAAGACGCGCGCTGAGTCGCTGGCCATCGTTTCATCTGACCCCTCATTCATTAAGGAGGATTGTGGCTTAACCCTCGATACGGGAACAGTAAGCCAAATGTTGTCGGGTAGGTATATATGCATTTAACAGGCAGTGTTGGGCACATCACCTCAGTCGTCCCTTCCGACCGTTCCCTCGCCATCGGCAACCTTGAAGGTTAGGTGCCCTCCCATGGACGCATGCACTGATCCAGCGTAAGACCTCGCACCGAGCCCACCCCGACTGGAAATGGATGCAAAGCAGCTTGCCGAGCTTGTTCGAGCGATATGTTACGGTCAGCACACAGTTGGCGATGACGCTGATTTATCAGGCACAATCAAGGCAGAATGTGCCAAACTCGAGTTCGGCCCTCACGAAAGCAGAGAGAAGTCAAAGGCACTCCAGGCTGTATCAAAGGGACCCAGAACAAGACGGAGCGACACAGTGTCTGATGATTTCTTCTGGCATGCTCTTCAACCGTGGGCAGCGTCCGATGGTTTTGCTATGGTGGTTCTGGAGGGCTCGTTTGCGCTGCGAGGGAGAATGGAGCAGATCGCGGTCATGACAACGGGACTAATTGGCGCAAAGTCAGTTCCGCTGGCTTGGGCACTGAATGTTCCACCCAGGCGGGTTCCGAACGAAGAGGCTGCAAAGAGCTACACTGCCCAAGACATTCTCGCGCAGCTATGCCTTCAACTATTGCATCAGAACCCACGCCTCCATCAGAAAACCGAGCTGAGAAGATGCCTGAGCATGCTGGAGTCAGCTATGTCAGAACCCGAGTGGTTCGCCATGCTAGTGCACTTTATCAACGGTCTGGATCAAGTGTTCATTGTCGTTGATCTTGGCTCAATGGCAACAAGCAACCCAGAAGCACCTACGAGCTGGCCAGGGGCCTTCACTTCAATATCCCAGAAACTGAGTGGATGTATAGTCAAAGTCGTCCTGTTCACCTACCGACACGTCACCTTTCCAGGCTTGCCGCAAGTAAACGTTGTCCGATTTCCACAAGAGAAGAACTGGCGAAGTGAGAACCGAATTCGGTCTGAGACATTAGACTCAAATTCAGGAGCGTCAAGTGTTGCCAGCGCATGGCTAAAATACATTGCCCCTCGTCAACGCTCAAAGCGCAGTCGGACTCCCTTGGATGAAGAGGTAGACGACTATGATGGAGGTGTAACAATGACAACAGGCAGCAGAAAAAGGTTCTGATGATCCATCTCTATTCCCGCTTCCCGCAGACTCACGCGCTAATAGCTTAGAATAGGGGCAGAAAATCGTACACATGGTTCGACTACTGGTCACATTTCGACGCTGCTATTGACAGCTCTCGGAAAGATGAACCTAGCAGCGAGTTTCCTCGAGTCAAAGTCGCTATTCTCGACACGGGCGCAGACCTCTCTCATCCTGACATTGCCGAAGCCATCCGGGCCGGCCGCGTGAAATATCGGAGTTTCATCAGCGACAACGTTTCCGACATGTGCGACACGGACGGGCATGGGACACACTGCACCTCTCTGGTGCTGAAGTACGCGCCCAATGCCGAAGTCTACATTGGGCGGGTATTTGAAAAGAGCAATGTCCCCGCGTCCAGGCTTTCAACGCTGGCAGATGTATGCTCAACATTCGGATGTTTACCTATAACACATAGTTATGTTACGTACCTACCTGCGCTGTCTATGCTAACCCGTTTGCAGGCGGTCCAATATGCAAGCGAGAATTGGCGTGTCGACATCATCTCCATTTCCCTTTGGTTTCCAAGGTCAACCCTTGATGCCGAACGGAAGTTTGAATTGGCGGCGGCAAACCGTGTCCTGATCTTCGCTTCAGCGTCGAACAACACGATACATGAAGTACAATCGATCCGCTTCCCGGCCAACTTGAGGCAAGTTTTCTGCATTTTCTCTGCAGATGAACATGGATCGGCTTCTAGTTTCAATCCCAGGGCGAGGTATCAGTGCCCAAATTTTATGCTTCCTGGAGAAAATGTTCTCGGCGCTTGGCCGGTCGATAAAGCAAACGATACACCAGATATTGAGGTGAGCGAGGGGAAGACGTATCGACGTCTCTGTGGCACATCATGCGCGACCCCAATCGCCGCGGCCATAGCTGCGGAAATACTCGAGTTCGCGTGGCAACCGCGGGATCCCCCTCTCCGTCGAGGGGATCTGCTTAAACGATTCGATGGTATGGAAAAGGTGTTCATCCAGATGGCAGACCGATACCAACATGGGGATGGGGGCTATCATTACGTCTTACCGTGGAAGGTTCTTACACGGGAGAGGGAAAACAGGGAGAATCAAATACTACTAAATCACATTTTGGAATCGGATTAACCATGAGAGCACTTTCCTAGAATGTCAAAGTTTCGACATGCGACAGCGCAGGTCATCCTACCATGATGGCCGATCATGATCACTACGTCTTCGCCTTGACTACCTAGTCCGCGAATGAGTATGAACATTTAAAACCACGAATGGATCGCGGTCTCTTTGGCTAGGTGACTAGGTCTATCAAGACGTGGACGACGGCGGCGCTGGGCTTGGTTGTTCTCCATCTAGCACAACTTGAATCCAACCCTCGTCAACAACCCACCAGCGAACATCCAGAGCAGCACACCTTTACAACACCCTGATGACCCATGCCGTACTCCGTGCAGCACGTTGTCTCAAGGTTTGCCGGGCGTGCGTCCTGGTCGAGGCAGATTCACAAGATCCTGTCAAGGCAAAGCGAAAATTTGTCGGCCGCTCGTGGCTTTTCTTGGACTTCTTGTTGGGGATGGTTCTCCGCACATCATGCCCCAACGGTCCATCAAAAATGTTCAGACGAAAGCCCAAGATGTTCCTGAATGCCGCGTGATGTTGGATAGAACGGAGGTGTCTTCAACAGTGCGTGGAGAATGAAGTCCTGCCGTTTTCATCTCAATCAGCTGCTAATGATTCCTCTGCGATGTAGTAGTGCCGGATAGGCTGTGAAAGAAGAGTGCATTATGTGGTTGCAAAACCTTCACAATCTGGCGACGGCGAGCATGTGCAGTTGTGCACATGGACAAAGATGCACACCTGCTGCCAAATGGGTGAACTGCGGGGGAGGGGCATCGATCTCAGATCGCGGAGTGGTAGCCCCGTTTGGGCCTTCCCCTGATTGGCCCATGATGATCAGGCGGTGGAACTTAGGGAACACCTTCCCCACAAGGTTCAGCTGCGGGACCACTCACACGAACAAACAGGGCGCACCTGATCAACAGCGGGCGGAACAGGAACACCTTGAAACAATGTGGGGTTCACCTCTCAACAACAACACCATACTCGAGCCCGCGCCGTCTTGATAAAACGGCCTTCCCTGCCCCATGTGACAGTGCCCTCAGTCGTCATATCGTGGGCGTCGATTCACTTTCCAGCTTCTCACCCTCGGCAGCTTTGCACAATGGCTGACCGCTACACGTTTCCCTGCAACCCGGCAACAAACCCAAAGGCCATTGTCACGGGCGGAAAGGGAGGCCACTATCGCTTTTGCGTTCTGACGAACCGACTAATACGCTTCGAATGGTCAGAGGATGGTGGCTTCGAGGACCGCGTGTCCACCTTTGCCCTCTTCAGATGGTTCGATGTCCCAAACTACCAAGTCATAGACACGAACGACAGTCTCCAAATCATCACAGAGTACTTCCACCTTACCTACGACAAGAAGCCGTTCTCTTCCGAGGGGCTCTCGGTGAAAGTTGCCAACGATGTCTGGCGATACGACGGCAAGAGCTACGGCGACCTGGGCGGCACCGCCAGAACGCTTGACGGTGCCTATGGCCGCGTCGAGCTGGAACCCGGCGTCCTGTCTCGCAAAGCCTATGCAGTTCTGGATGACAGCAAGTCCATGTTGTTTGATGAAAGAGGCTGGATTGCAACACGTCTTCCGGGTCGCATTGATGGCTATCTGTTCGCTTACAATGGCGACCACAAAGCGGCCATCAAAGACTTTTACCGCATCTCTGGAAACCAGCCCATTTTACCCCGATTTACGCTCGGGAATTGGTGGTCTCGATACCACGAATACACCGCCAGCGAGTATCTCGAGCTTATGGACCACTTTAAGCGCGAAGGTATACCTCTCAATGTCGCTGTCATCGACATGGACTGGCACAAGGTCAACATACCGCCAAAGTACGGTTCAGGATGGACTGGCTACAGCTGGAATCGCGACCTCTTTCCGGATCCAGAGGGCTTCCTTAAGGAACTCCACCGCCGGAATCTGAAAGCCACACTCAATGACCATCCGGCTGACGGCATCCGAGCCTTCGAGGATCTGTACAAGGAGGTGGCCAAAGCTTTAAACCACGACACGTCTAACGAAGCGCCCATTCTTTTTGACTGTACTGACCGAAAGTTCATGGACGCCTATTTCGACGTTTTGAAGGCCAGCCTCGAGAAGCAAGGTGTTGACTTTTGGTGGATTGACTGGCAACAGGGGAACCAATCTAAGATACCCGGCGTGGACCCTCTGTGGGTGCTCAACCACTACCACTATCTTACCAGCCAGCGCAATTTGGCGACTCTGCAGAGACCCCTCACATTCTCTCGATATGCCGGAGCCGGCTCACACCGGTACCCAATCGGCTTCTCTGGCGACACCCAAATCACTTGGGAGGGTCTAGACTTTCAACCCGAATTCACCGCCACTGCCTCAAATATTGGCTACGGATGGTGGAGTCATGATATTGGCGGACATTGGGGTGGCGTCCGATCTAACCAGTTGACGGTCCGCTGGGTACAGCTAGGATGCTTCTCACCTATCCTGCGGCTGCACTCTACCAAGAACCTGTGGAATTCCAAGGAGCCGTGGAACTTTGAGAAGGACGCCCACACAATCATTAAAGACTTCCTCATCCTCCGCCATCGATTGATCCCCTTCCTCTACACTATGAACATCCGGGCCAGTTATGAGAATGAGCCACTGATCCAGCCCGTGTATTGGAATCATAAGGATGCGGAGGCTTACACGGTACCTACTCAGTACTACTTCGGGCCAGATCTCATCGTGGCACCCATCACGTCGCCAGACAGCAGTACCACGCTCATGGGCGGGGTGCGTGCCTGGCTGCCCCCTGGCCGTTTCGTTGATCTCTTCCAACCCCACCTTGTCTACGACGGGAACCGCTACGTCCATCTTCACCGCGATTTGACCCAGATTCCGGTTTTGGGAAAAGAGGGGACGATCATACCGCTCGACAGCAAGCCGAGGCTGGAGAACGGCGCTCCGAGACCAACCGAGATTACGATCCTCCTCGTCGTCGGCGCCGATGGTCAATTCGAGCTTGTCGAAGAGCCTGAGAAACCTGATCCCTCTCCACAGCCGCCACTGAGCTCGTTTGTGCGGACCCCCATTACATGGAATCAGAAGGACGGCATCCTTGTTATCGGTCCCGAGTGGAATGGCTCCGGAAAGTGGCGGCAGTGGAACGTCAAGCTGGTCGGGCACACCAACTCGGACATTCAGGCGCGCGTGCCCGGCTTCAGGGTCACGCAGGAGGACGGGTGCACGACGATCGCGCTGGGAAATGTGCATCGGTGGAACCCAGACGGATTTGAGATTGCGCTGGGCTCCGACCTGCAGCTGGATGTTGTTGATATCAGGACGCGGTTGTTCGACATGCTGCATCGGTGCGAGATGTGGTATGATTCAAAGGATCCGGTCTGGAATCTTGTCACCAACTCGGCTGATCCAATTGAGACACGGGTCAAGCAATTGCAAAGCCTGAATGTCGACGCTGCGCTGAAGAACGCCGTCATGGAGATCTGGGCAGCCGACGGGCGGGCATCAGGGAACGCGACGGGACATGAGATTTGGGCCAATGTGCAGGGCAACGGAGTTGAAGGCGTTGAGGAGGCGTTGAGGGACTATGTCATTGTTTGAGCATTACCAGTACCTCCTTACATGCGGTATACGGTGTTTTACTCGCTGGGATAACATCAAGTCTCGTTGGTTTGCGCTCTCTTATATACGCGGCTGCAATTATCTTTGAACCTTGGGCTGGTCTGCCATATTGGTAATATGTCGAAGTTTGCCACCTGATGTGGACTTTTTTTTGTTGTGAATTGGTCGTCGGTTTGGGTTGTTCAGTACATGGAGCCCAGACGTACTGTACAGCCAGGGTCCATCAGCTCTCTTTTTTGAATGCCTTCTCCAGCAGCCAGACACCGACCATCCCAATGACCTCGTCTCTCTTGATTCTCGCATCCTCCATCGTCACAGGATCCTTCACCAACCTCGCAATGTTGTCCTGGTCAAACCCGTGAATAGTATCCGGCACAAGCAACCACTTGTACCTGCCGCCGTCCTCCGTCTCTTCCTCCCAAGCAAACCTCTCGTCCCCCTCAGTGATCAACTCTCCCTTCCCAGCCGTCTCCTCCTTTCCAATCACCTCGTCCACCGCCGGCACCTTTTTCCCCGCCAGCTTGCACGCCATCCTCCACGCCTCGGGGCCAAGCAAATCCATCTCGCAGGCAATCATGAAGATACTCCTCGGCAGCGTCCCCCGCTCCGCAAACTGCGGACTAAGCAGCGGGTCATCCCTCCTCGTGCCGGGGTTGACATAGGACCAGTTAAACATAGGGGACATGGCGAGGAGGAAATCCCGCTCGCGCGCGCGGAAGCCGCCCAGCGCTGGCTTGTACCGACGCGCGCGGGCCTTGGTCTCCTGCGGCGTGACGAAGTCGACCACTGGATATACAGGTATGGCAGCGGCGAGGCGCCCTTGCAGCGAAGGCAGCTGGCAGACTGAAAGCGCTAGGTTGCCGCCCGCCGAGAAACCGGCCACGGCCACGCGGCCCACGTCGACGGGAAGGGACGAATCAGACAGCACGCTGGTGATCACCGCCTCAAGGTCGTGCGTTGCCGTCGGGAATGGGTGGGATGGTGCTTTGGAGTAGTCCAGCCCTATGACTAGGAAGCCGTGCCGGGTGGAAAAGTCGCGGTTCCACCCGTCGTTGTCGTGCGGACGGCCGAGCACGAACCCGCCTCCGTGGATGGTTAGGATGGTGGGGAGTTTGGTCACTTTGGTGGTGGATTCGGGGGAGGGGGTGTAAGATGGGGGGAAGAAGATTCTGTATGCAAGGTTAGTATTCACATATTTTTGTTGTTGTTTCGTTATGATGCAGCTGTTCTAGGGGAAGAGGGAAAAAGGGCACTCACCGGACTGGAAGAGACTTTCTCGCTGGGTAGCGCTTGATCATATCTGGGTCGTTCTTGTTCCGTGCGGCGAAGAGGCTCTTGATTGAACTGAGGAAATACATCGGCTTGAGAAGTAACTGTCGCCAGACAAAGGCCATGAGGGCGTATTTGATTCGCTGGCCGAGAGGATGTCGCCGAGCTATAATGTCCGACTCTTGGACACCTGCGGTGTCGAGCGCCGCGGTTGCGGCGACCGCGTCCGCCATTTTGTTTTTCCGGTGATGTCCTTGACGCTGTCGTGGGGACGGACACACGAGGTGACGTTGGAAGTCGCCGTTGCGCGTGGAGAAAGGAACCGAAGGATGCGATCAAGTAGACGCGGGACAGGCTTTGGGCTGGACCTCTAATCTGAATCCTACCTGCTGTTTATATACTGCAAAAGCGGGAGACGTTCTCCGTATCACGTGTCGCGCCTGATTCAATCCTTTATTGCGGTTGCAAGGCAAGATTTGTTGGTCGTTGGAGCGGCGTCTCGGGACAGTGTTGATGCCGGGCCCATTTTGCCTCCCCACTCCCATGCAGTCAGGGGTTGAGACCCACCGAGGTTCTGCTTGGGGCAAGGGAGCCATGCCAGGCTTGGTTAACCCATATCTGCTTGCCGAGGTTGGATTCTACCGACTGATTCATTCCGGCAATTGATTTAACTGGCTTGTGTGTACGAAGTACAAGTACGAAGCTAGAGTTCGCTCTCGCAGAAGCGAAGACGTCGATGCTTGGAAAGTTATGAATTCCATTCCGCAAGTGTTCCCAACCGTGGAGGCTACGGTAAGCATCCACAGGAGCTTCCCACTGCCTATCAATGCCCCAAATTATCCCGTCGCTACTCAAGTTAGTAGGTATGTATGTATGTACATACATACATACTTGAGGTTGGGTAAATGGATGGCGTCTACCATCGCCTCCTGGTTTGTTCGCTATCTGCGGCTATCACTTGATGACTTAAAACAAGAGTCAACGCTGAGATACAGATCTCAGCATTTAGAATGTCAACTCATTCAGAGGAAAGTATTGTATGGGTATTACTAGATGCTTGCGTGACTCAAGTTCTATAACTGTTTGAGACGAGTCTCCTTGAATTTGCTTTGAACCGTGTCCCGACATGAGTGACGCCTGGTTCCAAGATCCCTAAACGCTGCGGTTACAAAACTTCGTACGAAGGTACATACGGAGTACATTGATAAGCTACCGAAGTATATACAAGTGGGTACCCCAGCTACATTTTGCTCCGGCCAAGCCATACATCCGCCAGACACCCATCTTTGCAGGGAGCCATATGGAAGTATAGAAATATGAAAGGGGTATGTAACTCTCTCATTAGGCTGCTAATTCGATTCATTTGGATTATCGAATGCCTTTCATTGCTTGCATTGTCATCCTGTTCTGCAGGCGGCCGTTACATTAGGTACGTAGCCTAGTGGCTGAGCCAAAAGTGGCTAGATAGAGATCCACTACCAGCCACAACCTGGGTCGCTTATCACAGTCGGTCGTTTTAGGGATTGCTTGTTTTTTGCCTTTTTGTTTGATGGTGAGCAATGGCGTGGGGCGTGCCAATGATGTCATGGGTTGACCAACGATTATCATGTATCGCGATGGATTCGAGACCATCATATGCCCAGTCATCTTTAACCGAACACCCTAGATCGTCTCGAGGATCATTTATTGTTGCAAACTTACAAGTTACTTGCCAGACTTTTTTCTATTACTGATCACCATCAATTTCCTCAAAAAAGGATCTCGCTTCCTGACTTGGCTTAAGATTCTTGATTTGACGTCTTGAAGGAAAGTTCACGTTTGTGAAGTCGACATGAATCGGTTCGCATCGCGGCCACCAGCCTTGACTGGCAACTTCTCAACATCCATGCTCGCCTCGGCATACCGGGGACCATCACACGCAACAAGTGGCCTACGTACCGCAGTGTGCCGCACATACGGCACAACTTCATCCCCTAAGGCGGCCGAGGGACCCAGCGCGAATAGCGGCGGGTCGCGCAGCAAAGAGGCCGTCGAGACTGGTTCCAGCCCTACGGCAGGTGTGATGCCAGACCCGCTGGCCGATGGCGACGTACGGGGCCGGACCGGTGGCGGGAAGCCGCTTGAGAGCTCGCGGTCCCCGCCGCCCCAGCCCAAGATCAGCAACGCCAGCGTCCCGGGCTCGCAGCCCCAGCTGACTGAGGAGCAAAAGGCCGAGGTGGACGCGCACAACCGCGAGTTTGAGGAGAAGCACGGCAGGGCCGAGAAGGCCGACAATGACAAGGTCGATAAGTCGTTTTGGAGCGGTAAGGGGTCGAGGTATAATAAGGACTAATTCGGGGCATATGAAGGAAGGCTATACACCAGGCGTTTGTGTTGGTTTAGGACACAAGCTATTGTACTAGTTAATCCAAGTCTGGCTTTGGTTTGGCAATTTGCACCATGGGTGTTAAGACTTGTGCTTGGACGCCTCACACGCATGACTGAGAACCCGAGACTAGGATACCCGTCATTGCCACCTTTGGTGTAGTACAATGCAGACTAATAGTGCGTGTACGAGATATCGTCCGGGCCGTATGCCTTGGCCTCCTTCACCCTGGGAAGAGCCCCAGCATATGGTTTTGATGTGGAATGAGGTTCAAGCGCTTCGGCGGGGTTTGGAAGCTGTTTGGTGGCCATATACCGTGTAGCTGAGTTCGGTGAATCGCCATATAAGTACTCTAGGAACTCCTTGGACGTTTTATCGCCATTGACTTTGTAACGGACAGTCTTTGGGCGAGAACTTTGTGTAGAGAGAGCTTGCCGTAAGAGGGGGTGGTCTTTTTCCTTATCCGCGTGGTGTTTACGGACATGCCTAACGACCAGTCAGTATGCTATACGGTAGTATAGCGATACGTCACGGTTATATCGGACTTACCTTTCGAGGTTATCTGGACGGGAACACTTGGGCCCCGGGGCTGGACAAAATGGGCAGACATAGTGTACAAGGTCGTCCTCGGACTCGTACTCGTCGTAGTAGAGGGTAAACCGCTGATCGCCGGAAATGCCAGACTGATAGTCCACCGGGATCCCACCCTTGGGGGGCGCGGCAGGCGGTTCGCCCAGTCTCTCCGGAGGGTTGGAATTAGTGTATTGTTGCCGGTATTCGGAGCGCTGGTCTATAGAATGTGGTAACTCTTCCCACATGGCCTCGTTGTTATTTTCTGCAGCAGCGTCCTTCCTAGTCTTAGGAGCTACCTGATGCTCGTCCAGTATGTGCTGCCGCCAAATGTCCTTCCGAGAGAAGGACTTCCCGCCCTGCACCGAGTACGGACAGTCCCGCTCGGTGCAGTAGAACTTGCGCACCTTGTGATGCTTGTCATTGAAGTGGCGGTCCAAGTGTGTCTTGGTACCGAAAGTATGGTTGCAGCCAGGTTGGGGGCACTTATGGGGCCGTTCGTGATAACGCTTGTGGTGACTACAAATCTCCGTTAGTCTTGTTCCCAGCAATGGAACACCGGAGAGGCTCAGGATAGGTACTTCAACTTGTGTAACTCATCGAACTTGTTATCGCATTGATCGCAAGCGAACGGCTTTTCTGGGGCTTGACCCAGTGATCTGAGCGGCACACCTTCGGCCTTGAGTAGGATTGCCTGCCTCTTCTTCCCGAGGTCTGCGAGCAAGGCGGATTTGCGGGCTTTCTCCCCAGCTGTACGGTCTTGTGAGATGGTATTGCTGCCGGGACAGCCCTCAAAGCCGCTTAAGTCTGATGAAGCGTATCCTGGGCGGGAATGGCCACCGCGTGCACTTAATAGCGGCGTGATCCCCGGGGTAGACCGCTGAGCGGCCATAATCATCCTGTGTTCATTCTCACGACGAGGCAAGACCGAGATTGCTTCCAACTCTTCCAAACTACTGCTAGTCATGCCCTCGACTTCATTGATCTCAGAGATTGAGATTGGCCGTTCGAGTTTACCCGTCACATCATCGGTTCCGAGGCCCGCCAGTTCTGACGCATTATTAGTACTGGCATCCCAATTGTACTGGCAAAAGGGGAGTGTACGACTTACGGGCGCTCTCCGTGAGCCTGTTTCCCGGCGGGATGTATGTGTTTTTCATAACCGGCGTGGGTGACCTCGAGCGAGGCCTCACGTGGCCGGGCACCCGTAACGACATCACTAATGGTGGCCGCGGCGCGACTCTGCAAGCTATCCAAGCTTCCGATTTCCTTTTACATCGTACAATTCAATCATTTCCACGCTAGACGCTCGCTATGCGAGAGAACCTGGAAAGGTGCTTAGGTAGGTAAGGTAAGTAGGTAGTCTGGCGACCGGGGTGTTTTCTGTCGCAAATCCCGGAATCGCTGCGGGGCGACTGCGCCTCATGCAAGCTGCAATGTGGTTAACATTGGTTGGCTCCCTCCGACTGAATATGATAAGTGGCTTGTGTGCCTGCTGTGAAGCAGGGGGCCAAATCAGAGCTGTCCACGGTGTAATCGCATATTCTGCTGCAGAGTGTATATGAAGGCATTGCCCATTGCGATTACGGTTGCTCATTGCGGGGTCCTCAGTCCAATATTGTTGACTTCCATTCCCTTCTTTGAGTTGGGTTTGATTGGCATTCGAGCTTTGCTGCCGACGGACTGTCACTGCATTGCAACTGTTTGCCAGTGTCGTATATCTGTGTATCGTACCTACCTACCAGGTACTTGAGCCAGACAACAGCAGAACAAATCCCATTCAGACATTCTTTTAGCTCTGAAAATGCACACCCACAAGAAGTGTTGGATCCTTGTGAAGGGCACTGAATACAACCCCAACCGAACTTTGTCCCTTGGGCAGATACTGAGCGACCCTTTCCAGCCGAGCCTTCCTCTTCTGCCGGACGGGCCTCTGCCTATACCGGAGCACATGATCGAGCGATCATACCAGGAAGGCGTGAAGCAAGGCTGCTCCTTCTCGCTGGGCACATCTTTTGGAGTCTGGGCTAGCGCGGACTTACTTCCCATTCAAGGCAACAATGGTGCTCATCGACAGTCGACCAGCTCTCTTTCCTGGCATTTCACGCAACTGGAAAGCCAGATATTCACTCCTCGTCTTGACTACGTTGCCGAGGCGCTAAGGTCACAAACCGTCGTAGACCAAATCAAGCGCTCCAAGTTCAACTTCCGCAAGCGGCTCTACATGGTCGTTGGCGTGCGCATCGCCCGAGGGGCGGAAAAATCCGCTCAAACATCTCGGTCGTTCGGGCTGAATGCAGGAATAGGCATCGATCCTGCCTTTCTGGGGGGTCTGCCTATCACAGCCGGACTGGAAGGGTCCTTCGATCGCTCTGCGGCACAAACCGAGTCGTTTCAAGGCTCGTCGGATTTTGTCTACGCTTACAGGCTGTTCGAGATATTTCACGGCAAGCAAGTCTCATACCGGCCATACACCCGCGGGGAGACATACAACCTTGGACGCCGCGAGGATGACAGTGATGTTGAGATGGATGATGGTGAAAACCAAGCAGAGGAGGAGATACGGATTGCTGTGGAGGGTATTAGTGGCTCTGACTATGCTGGAGATGGCAAAATGAGGCGGGTCGACTTGACAGGGTTCGAACTTGGATCGGACGAAGAGTACTATATGCTTGACTAGGTCCTTGCCGTGTGTTTGTGGTGGCATCTGACTGTGGGTCGCATGCTCTCTCCCATGCAGGTTGGAGAGAAGGGTTCAAGTTACATATTACCGGCGAATCTGCTTCACATCAACTCCTAGGGGACGAGTGAGAGTAGTAGGAAGGTGAATTTGGATTAGAGAGCATTAGTAGTTGCTGACAGAGGCATATTCTTAGAACCGCCAGGGGTTCATTTCTGTTCAGACATATCCCTCCATGATCCATCCCCAACTGGCAAATGGACCTTCCATTGGTACAAAGTGCCTCCGTTTTCACCTCTCATGTTTCCAGCTGAAATGATTATCCCTACCACGCCGAGGTGTTGACGTCCATATCCAGCGGCTCATCCCATAACTCGCTCAACTCAGTTTCCGTGTATCTAATGCCCTTCTCTGCCCTTGCTAGCATACCTGATTGCACCTGAGCAAGTTTTTGCTGCCAGTATTCGACGTCCTCGGGTTTCTGGAGAAGCCCCGGGAGGTCAATTAGCGCAACCAGGATATCAGCAACCGCGGAGCTGTGCAGACCCGCGACCTTCTCCAGTGCGTAATATGTCCGCAAAAAGTAATTCAAGGCCTCCTCCGGCCTGCCAGTGACATAGCGCAAGAAGCCCATGATGAAGAGATATGTTGAGAGAATGCGCTGCGAATGGGGATTCAGGGGCGAAGGCGCTGGGATTCTAGCGCCTACGATATCCAAAATGCGCTCTGCGGCCTCAAACTGTCTGCGGGTGATGTAGCAGCTTGCTGTGCCCAAAAGCAGCCGGCATTGCGCGCTGGAGAGAACATTTTGCACCGGCTGGTCCAACTTCTCCATCACATGTGAGGTGACACGGTCAATTTCCCCGACCGCGGCCTGCCCTCGTAACCGAAGCACCAGCAGATACTCTCGCAGAGCGTTGATCGAGTTCTCGTCGCTTCCCAGACTCTCGTCATCAAGTAGCTCTGCAGCTACCGGAGTCTTGCCCACCGTAGTACGGTCCAAGCGGAACTTGGCAGTGCCCTGAAGCACCAACAGATACTCCGGCAGCGCAAGCGACCTGATCCGCGACCATGCCAAAGTCATGGGATGCCGCGGACCCAGCAAGACGGCGCACAACCTCGCCACAAACCGGACGACCGCGGCGCCCACCGCGGGCCGCCGGGCAGACAGGTAGAAGCAGCACCGCAGGAGGGCGGGGAAAACGGTGTAATCCTGGTCCTTGATCAGCTGGGGGAGGTCGTCGAGGAGGTGGTTGACGAGGCGGACGGCGTCGGCGTCGCGCTCGCCGCCCGGCCAGTCGGCGACGTTGCGCAGCCGGTCGTACCACGCGTTGAGCCGCGCGTTGGCCTCGACCCCGCCCGGGCCGTAGTACCGTTTGTGAGTGGGGGATAGTTGCCAGAGGCCTTGTTCGAAGGAGCCTTCGGTGTAGGCTTGGAAGAGGCGGAGGATGTCTTCGTGCACGTGAAGGTCGTCGGCGGGATCGAGGGATCTTGGCACGCTTGGGGTTTGACTGCTTGGAGCGGGTTCTGGGGAGGGCGTTCGGCAGATGATATCCTTGACGATCACGACGTCGTCTACTGCTTTGCCGCCGTGTTTTGCCCAGAAGTCCGGGTTGCGGGACAGATAGCGGTTGACATCTTCCCTGGGACGGAGCATGGCATGAGTAGGATCCATTCAGTTGCATCGAGAGCAAGGCAATAGCGGCTTACCAGTCTACGGGCCGGTTGCGGAGAAAGAAGCAGGACTTCTTGCCCATCATGTCACGCTCTTTCTTGAGCTTGAGCATGTAGGCCACCTCGGTAGCCTTGTGATTCTTGTCAATGCCCCATTTCCTGATTCTGCTCCTGTACATCTTGGCCCTGGACAAATTTTAGTGCCCATCGGCTTAATGAGGAGATGCGTAGAGCACCCACGTGGCAAAGAAGTGATGATGCGCGGCCATGTACTCCATAACCTCTCGAAGAGGCCGTTTCTCGTCAAGATACAGCCGAGTTATGGTAGCCCGCTGGGCGTCCCATTCGCTCGGGCTTGCGTAGAGACTTTGCATGTTGCTACAAGTCAGATCGGGAATTGGAGGTGTTGAAGAAGCACTGAAAGCAGCAAACTTAATTGTCCCGAGGACGGTTGTCACCTTGCCTTTTCAAGCCTCCCCCGTCCCGGGCCTTCGGGCTTACGTACAGATAGCATGCCGAGATGTGCCCTGATAGGCTGGGCATCCGGGCCGCAGTGAGGCAGTGCTTGTGGTCAAGAAAAGTTGCATATCGGTAGGGCTGTCAGCATGGATACCAATAGCACCACGCTAACGCTAACTGGCCTTGCTTAGGCTGTGATTATGCCTGATAAGGGAAAGGGCCGGGCGATCAACCTGGAAGTTCCTGCCAAGCACTTCTGATGGTTTCTCTGGGACTGGAAGGAGGGATGGTGATCGTTGACACGGCCGTCATTGCCAATGTGCCATGATTTGCGACGGAAGGTTCCTCTTAGCAGTTTGCAGTTTACTCATACAAAGGACAACCCACGATGCGGGATTCCGTACCGAATCAGGCTTCATCACTTGATCAAGCTTTCCAAGAAGTCAAACCCCTCCCGTTGGAGGTTCCAGGTTTGTGATCCCACCACCATGTTGGCCGCAAACGTATGGCCTTCCCCCGGTATAACTCTCAGCCCACAATGCACACCATTCTCGGCCAATGCATTAAGTAGCGATTTGCTCAGGTCTAAAGGCACCATATTATCCTCGTCGCCATGGACGATGAAAGTGGGCGGGAACCGAGGTCCAACGTTTCGAAGCGGGTCGACCTTGTTCCATTCCTTGGTCGGGAAGATGGCGTCCATGACGGTGCCGTTGGCAATCTGCGTGAAAGCATACGCGACCCGGGGGTTGGAGAAATCTGGTCCTCCAGTAGGGTTCGCCTGGCCCTCGAGCGAGACTCCTCCTTCGATGGGGACATGGTCGTTGTTGAAGATCTGGTTGATGAAATCTTGATCCAGATTCGGAGGAAGCTTGGCTGCGATGTGCGGCAGTTTCAGCGTCCAGAAGGGATGAGAGAAGTTGCACGGCCCGTACATGTCATAGATGCCTGCGACTGGACGAGCGACCCCAAACCCCTAGTCCTGTTAGTGGCCTTCTCCGCGAATCCTCATCATGGATCCCAAAGAAGAGTGTCATTCTCACCAAACAAAGAGCCAGAGTCCCTCCCGAGGACGTGCCAAAGGCAAATATGTGATTAACGTCGACGAGATGCCCCAACTCGGCAGAAGTCAGAGCCTTTTGCAATCCTCCGTTCTGGATCCAATCGAGGAGGTCGCGGCAGTCCTGAATTGGGCCTTCTAGAAGGTTGACCTGGGGGCACAGTCTATGGTTCGGCACTACGACGATCCACCCCCTTTCCAAGCAGTCTTGCACCTGGTCCTTGTTGACCATCCTCGATGACCCGAGCATGAATGCCCCTCCGTGGATGTTGATTACTGGGATTATGTCAACCTGTGCGTTTTGGTAGTTAGGCAGACTGCTATTGGATCATCGACATACTGACCGGGCATCCAGCATCCTTCTTGCCTTTCGGCGATTGCGGCAGATACACTTCGGCATCTATCTCCTGAGATCCCAGTGTCTTGTACACCACTCTAAGCCACCGAAGGTTTGCCAGCCACCGAAGGTTTGCCATGATGTCAACAACGAGCTAGTGAAGCAGGGCGAGAATGTGGGTCGTCAGCAATCAGGTAGAGGCAATCCGGATGATGGGGAAGGGAAGTGTTTAAGTGCCAGTCAAGGCCGAAGATGTGAATCACTTTCCTCGATGTTTGAGGTGTGATAATGCGACGGGTCTATGACTCCACCGGCTTCGTGTTCTCAGCGAAGCACGCACGGCACGGAGGTGCTAAGCCCCGACTTGAGGAAGTTCGAAGCAGGACCGATACTTTCCGCTAGCCGCCCACTTCCCGATGTTTCTGAGTTTGTCGGTGTTTCGGTGATCCACCGCTCCTCACACGTAAGTACCCCACCGTTCGGTTATTGTGGACGGCATATCCCGGGGTGATTCTTTGAGCTGACCCTTTAAACACCCCATAATGAGTAACCTTGAGAGTCCGAGATGCAAGTTACCTGACTTATTGACTAGAAGATTGAAGAACTAGTAACTCACAAAAATCACAAGCTCATACCTTTACTTGGTCGTCTGTTCGACAATTCTTACTTCACCCAGATTCCAGCATAGCAGCAAGAGGCTCACATACAACCAGCCAAACCAAGTCACTCACAATGACCATCCCTGTTGTAGCAACGCCACCCGACGCCCGGACGAACTACATCGTCGACCAGCTCGAGGGTGAGCGCATCTCCATTCCTGGAAGCAAGGGTGTGTTCCGGATCCTGGCATCATCCAAGCAAACCAACGGCGGCATTGCCGTTTTCTCGAGCGGTGCTGTCCTCTCCGACGCCCCGGGCTTTCACTGGCACGCCGAGGCCCATGATGTCTTCCTGGTGACCAAGGGCTTCTTGAAGCTATGGAACGGCGACAAGTGCAGGATCATGGGTCCGGGCGATTTCGCTTATATCCCCCCCGTGAGTTCACCCTGGAGTTTCTCAGTCCGAAAGGGATTCTGATACACCAAGTCACTCAGAAAGTCATCCACAACCCAGAGATGCTCGGACCGCACACCGAGACCCTCGGGCTAATCGCCCCCGGTGACTGGGTGGATTTCTTCCGGTACGTGGCCGAGCAGTACCAGGGCAACATCGTTCCCGAGACGGACGACCGCGATCTCAAGAGCCACATCATCCCCAAGGTTATGGCCGCCAAGGACCGGTTCGACGTCCATTTTGTGCGCGACTACCAGCCCCCGGAGGTCGGTGAGTGGCTCGAGACGGAGAACCAGCTCCCCTGTCCGCTACAGGGCTACTTCCTCCGCTCCAACACGGGTCCCAGGTGGATGCTGGGGGGCGTCATGTCACGGCCGTTCATCAACGCGTCGCAGTGCGAAGGGAAGTTTGCCATTTCGAGCATTGAGGGTTCGAATGCGTACACCGACGCCAAGCCCCTGGCCAGGCGATGGCTTACGTTCCCTGCGGTCGACCACTGCCTGGTCATGTTTGAGGGGCTGTTGCGGGTCAAGGTGAAGATAGAAGGACAGGCACAGGAGTCGGCTGAGTGGACGGCTGTTAGAGAGGGCCAGACACTTACCATCGCTGCGGGGCAGACGTTTTCGCTGGACTTTGCCTCGCGCTATGTGCGTGCCATCTCCTTCACTAACGGCCCCGGTCTAGAAGAGCTTATCCAGACCGCTGGATCGTCGTTTGCTGGCTTTGTGCTTCCGGACGAGCCCGTGCCATGGGAGGAAGCGCGTCTCCAGGAGGCTGCCAGGAGGGTTGGGGTTCAGCTAGGAGATTACATATAGATTTGGAGTCTGTTGGGATGGAAGTATCACTTGGCTCAGTCCAGCTTCCTCTTGCCGTCACAGATATTGTACTATCACATCTTTTTCTCCGTTCCTTTCAACATCAACCCATCCACCAATCACCCACAACATGCCCCTTCACCTCGGTGAAGTACAAAATTCAAGCCCTTAACGGAACAGGCCTACCCCCTTTCCTCAAGCTCCGCAACCACCTCTTGCTCAACACCGTCCCATTCCCAAACGTGGTCCCATTCAGCCCGCACCCATCCACCACACACGCCGACGCCGTATGCAAGTACTTTATCTTCCCACCCTCCACCCTGAACAGGTGACTATCCGGCATAGCCGCCTGGCCCTGCGTCCGGTCCAATCCAGGAAACCCAACAAACAAATCCACCGCGCCCACCGTCTCATCCACAACATACCGCCGGTAGGGGACCACAATCGTGCTCGGCCACACCATGACACACTCCTCACCCTGCATCTCTCCGCGAGCAGGCAGCCCGCCTTCTAAGCGATAGCATGGCGCTCCCCAGGGGACGGTCACGCTGACGTTCTTGAACCGGTCAAAGTACGCGTCGCCGACCGTCTGGATCTCCTCGCGCGACGCTTGCTGCCCCACAGGCAGCTGTGTCCAGTCCTCCCCCGCATTCAGCGCCAGCGTGCCGGTGGCATTGAACAGCCAGTCGCCTGTGGTGGTGACGACGGATTCGATGAGGGTGGCTTTCTCCGTGGCCGGGTCGAAGACCATGCGCGTGTGGATGACGTGCGGGTTGGGGTCGTTGGCTGCGATGATCTCGGTGAAGGCGGCGCACTGTGTTGTGTCGTGGATGGAGCGGGAAAAGTCGACTTTTAGGGACGTGGAGAGACGGCTTGCGGTTAGCGTGGTGAGTTGGTTGTTCTCGAGGTAGATGAAGTTTGGTGAGCCGAGTGTGAAGGGCTGGAACAGGGACGGGTTGCCTGCTTCTTGGGCCGCGAGGTAGGACGTGGTGGTGTTGATGAGGAAGGGGCGGGTGCAGGCCGATGAAGCGGAGATGGCCAGGAGGGCGAGGAGGGTGAGGGTTGCTAGGGGGGAGGACATTGTGATGATGCTGCTATTCGAGTCTTATTTTGGTACTACTAGCAGTGGCAGCAGGTGATGTCCTTGGGGAACATGCGGTTCAAGAGGGATCAATACAGACGCTACACCGGTTCACAGATGACAGTAGATTTGCGTCCTTATATCGCTGAGTCGAATATGTCCCCTCACCGAGGACTCGCTGCTAGTAGGAGGCAGAACTAGCATCCGACTGCTACAGCGTCGTGGCGAAACTGTCATACCTGCACCATCTATAGTGTTGCTAGGCCCCGCAGCGCGTCTATCATATCAGTCATCATCCTACTACATGATATTGGTGGAAAGACTCTACGAGGAGGTGAACCCGGGCAGTCCCTCTTTACTTCTGACGAGCCGTGCAGGTTGACATATTAGCCGCCGCCACCCTCACTCTGTGTGGCAGACGCGGATCGAGCCGTAGACGTTGCAATCCATCAACTGCCGGGACTGATGTAACCCCTGGCCGGCTGCGTTAATATGGGATGCCGGATATTCCAAGTCCTCGACCGAGAATACCATCTCATGAAGAGCGTTACACATGGCATTTGCGTTTGGGTAGAGATGTGGCAACGATTGACGGCGTACTGACAGATCCCTCTATTCAGATATCTACCACAACTGACTATCAACGAGACAAACGATTGTAGTGCCCCAGGCTGGTATCAACATATGCTAGTAATACTTAATCTACTGCGGTTTGTTTTTGTACGTTGTCTAATCCCCTTATCCAGCAAGTCCAACGAAACCGGAAAAACCAAACAGCCATCTCATCTAACCAACATATCCCAAAACGCCAATACCCACGATGCATGCTCAAACCTCAATAGCCGACGCGGCGGCGCTGTCGTGCAAGACCGGGTTGACACCCTTGTCGTCCCACTTGAACACAAAGTCATCACCCAGCTCCTTGCGACAGGCCGCCGTGACCGCCTCCCACACATTGGCAAAGACGCCAAAACTGGCCGGATTCTCGGGGTCGTTCTCACCACCCTGGAACACTCCCGTCCGGACCAAGCACGTGTTCCATCCGTACATGTTGCCGCCAATAATGTCGGACGCCGGGTTGTCGCCGATCATGTAGACGTTCTCGGGCACACGTTCCTCGCCGTGCAATATGTCCATCCACGAGGCGATGACCTCGTCGGCGTACTTGTACGTCGCCAACTCGGGCTTGCCGTAGACGACGCGCTCCAGCTCGACGCCCGTCAGCGCCTTGTACATGGCCTCGAGGCCGATGCGGAATGCGCCCTGGCTCATGCGCGGGATGGGGTGCTCTGTGGGGCAAAGCATGTCGCCCTGGGAGAAGTAGATGGGGATGCGCTGCGAGACCGGGTCCTTGGCGATGGTGCCCAGCCGCCCGTTCTCGGACCGCAGCAGATCCACGATGATCTGCATGTCGGTCGCGTAGTCACGCGAGTCGGAGAAGACCATGATGGCGTCAATGTTGATCTTGGAAAAGTCGCGGGGCCGCGCCGCTGCACGTTCTTCCTCGGTAAAGACCCTGTATGGAGCGATTGAAGGGTCCCACGCGACGATGTCGTTGGGCACGATGATGTCCTTGAAGCCGTATTGCTCGGCAACCTCGCGGCACCGAGTTCCTTCGCCGCCGACGACGAGAACCGTGTTGTAATACTCCGCAAGCGCGCGCATAGGCGTGTGGCTTTGTATGAACTGCTCGGTGCTGATGGGGTTCTGGAGAATTTTGGACAGCTGCTCTGTGCGAGCCAGCTCTGGCTTGCCAGAGCCGTTGGTCAGGAAAATGTGGGGGATCCTGATGCCGAGCTGGTTGTCGCCGTTGAGCATGTCGAGGACACGCTTGCCTTCCGGTATCAGGCGGTCGCCATGCACCAACACGCCGTCAATGTCAAAGACAAAGGCCATATTCTTGGCCGCCTTGACCTTCTCAGCGTACACATCTTGCACCTGGGATGCCAATATTTCTCGCGTTGGCTGGATCGGTGGCATGCCAGGCCTCTTCAGCACATCCTGAATCCCCGGAAACGTAACGCTGCTGAGACGAGATTGTCTCTTTGACTTGGGGATGGGCAGGGCAGCCCCGAACGAGTTGCGAGACACCCTCCGCTCCCGCATCGAAGGAGAAAGCGACAGATTGTGCATGTATGGTGAGGTGTCTGCATCGGGAGACCTCAGGGCCGGCACTTCGATCGTATTATGTGAGCCAGGCGATGTCTCGATGGGAACCATGTTACCCCAGCTTCCCAACCGTCTATGGCGAATACTCCCGCGGTTCTCGCCCAAACTGTCCTTCTTGGTGTCTAAGGGCGAGTCTTTTGGCCGCGTTGTCTTGTCAGGGGAGTCTGGAGGTGTATGAACACGCTGCTTCGGCGACGGCATGCCGAAATCAACCTCCTTGAAACCCGACATAGTGCCTGGTTCCTTTATTTTCTCTTCAGAAAGCTGCAGGAAAGTAAAATTCTGGGGCTTGGTGTACTGAAGCCAGAAAGATGTGGATACAACAACGAATATCGTCTTGCGGGAATATCACAAAGTGCGAGTAGGGTTGTTAGCTCGAGGACAATCAACGGATGAATCTAGGGGAAGGCGCGATCTTATATCTGGATGACATGAGTAAATCTCTTCAGTCAACCTCCCTGCATCGTATCCAGTTTTGGAACGTGTGTTTCGCCTGCGAAACGGCGAGTCCATGCCGGTGTCTTCGGCGACTCTCCATCCTCCCCACTGGAGGCGTAATGTATACGGTCGATTCCAACCCGCTATCAGCCCTCAGAGATCCATCATGACGACAACCATGGATCCAAATCTGAGCGAAACGCCCCACAGGGGTCCAATGCCTCTCTGGAACGGTGTACCCTCAGCTTGTTCCACATGTGATCTCGCATGCAGTCTGGTCCTGATCATTTTCGCGATCAAGGAATAACGTACGACCAGGTCTGCATCCGGTTAGAGACTCCTGCCTGGGCGGATTCGAAGGAAAGGGATTTGCAAAAAGGGTTTGTAGCGGTGAATAAGAGGGAGCTCTAAGAGCGGTTGAACGGCATTGTCGACAACAAGGTCGATGGCGTCACAAGCAGCAAAGCTTTTGGACCTCAGACGTGAGTATGAAAGTGTAGGGGCCTCTGCGGAGCCAGGTCCCGCCCAGAGTTCGCCTCAGCGGAGTCGAGCGTGCTGTACTGTGGATCTGGTTGGTGGTTGGCTGCGGCCTCTAGTGATGTTAGCAGGCCCATCCCGTCGGTCGGAGCCGCCGAACAAAACCCTGTTAGCAAGGGCACAGTGCAGTGTTGGCCCATCTCATCGGGAACTTGGCAGATGGAACGGTGAAAGTCTCCGACATGACTCGGACCTGACGATCGAATACCTAATCTTATCTAGGTGTGGAATCGGATCTTCGATAAACTGGGTCTTCAAGCTTGGCGCGGCTTTTATCATGCATGGTGCCGTTCTTTGCCGTGCCGAATCGACCCCTGGCGGCAGAGCCTCCAGCGATGCTCGAATGCGTCACAAAGTGGGACAGCCGTGGAGTGGGAGCAGAGGTCGAAGACGTCTCAGCGTCAGGGACGGGTCCAACGGGTCCAACGGCCCACGGGTCGTATCGTACCAACTCAACGAGGTTTCCGGAATAGACACCGCCAACGGCAGCGCAAAGTGCCAAAAAATTGCGCAAGGCAGGCGAGAGCGCGGCTTGGCTCAGAATTTATTTGTCGCGTCATCCCATGAAAGTGGGCTCAGGGGCTTCCCGAGATTTGCAATGCCCTTCGCCCGTCACCACAGCTTATTGTGAGTTTTCGTTTTGTCTCCTTCTATCTTGCCGCCGCCCCAGAGAACTCGTCAAAACAGGCCTAAAGATGGCTGCATCTTCCAAGACATACACGCTCAATAACGGCGTGCGGATCCCGGCCGTCGGATTCGGCACTTTCGCCAATGAGGGTGCCAAGGGAGAAACGTACAAGGCGGTCTCCAAAGCTCTCGAGGTCGGCTATCGGCATCTTGACTGTGCCTGGTTCTACCACAACGAGGACGAAGTGGGGGACGCGATCCACGACTTCCTGTCCAAAAACCCTAGCGTGAAACGTGAGGACATCTTCATCTGCACAAAGGTCTGGAATCACCTGCACGAGCCCGAAGATGTCAAATGGAGTCTGGAGAACTCGTGCTCTAAACTGCGTGTCGACTACGTCGACCTTTTTCTGGTGCACTGGCCGATTGCTGCCGAAAAGAACCCGGACCGCACCGTCAAGATCGGGCCCGACGGCAAATATGTCATCAACAAGGAGCTGACCGAAAACCCGGAGCCGACGTGGCGGGCAATGGAAGAGCTCGCCGACAGCGGCAAAGCGAGGGCAATCGGGGTGTCCAACTGGACGATTGAGGGACTGCAAAAGATGCTCAAGTTTGCGCGCATCAAGCCGGCCGTCAACCAGATTGAAATCCATCCGTTTCTTCCCAACAGCGAACTGGTCGACTTCTGTTTCCGGAACGGCATCATGCCCGCCGCATACTCGCCGCTAGGGTCGCAGAACCAGGTGCCATCGACGGGCGAGACGGTCCGGGAGAATGCGGCTCTGAACGCGGTAGCGAAGCACAGCGGGCATAATCTCGCCCAGGTTCTGCTTGCGTGGGGGTTGCAGAGGGGGTACATTGTGCTGCCCAAGAGCTCCACGCCGAGCCGCATTGAGAGCAACCTCCATATCCCTGAGCTGACGCCCGAAGAATTTCAGGCCATTGAAGATGTTGCCAAGGGTCGCCACGTTCGCTTTGTCAACATGAAGGACACGTTTGGATATGATTTGTGGCCTGAGGAATCGCAGTAAAAATGAACCAAGAATGGAGCTCGAGGCATTAGAATGTAGATGGCAAATTTGCAGGTGTTGGGTGGTTAGATGATTTTAGGCAGGATAGAGTCGGACGTGCATGGGAGTTAGCGAGCGGTATAGTTCATTGTTGGGGTTTTCAGTTTGTGATTTTGAGTTTTCAGTTGTGGCACGAGTATCTTAGATTGGTAGAAGGTGGTTGAAGTCTTAAAATCGGTTAGAATCATATGCACGAGCGGTTCGTTGGTCTTTTAACTCAAACAAGACCGTGTGCCTTTGTATTTCCGTATTGCAAATTCCGCCATAACTGAGCCCAAGGTGTCATCTCTCAAGGTTGAAGTCTACCAGCTACTCGATTGGGAGTTCTGCTGGTGTGAGATTCACGAGGCACACGCCGACCCAACCGACGGCCAATCCGTCTGGTCCTTCTCGGAAAATCCAGAAGACCCAGGCGAAAACCCAAAGCTGATGCGTTGCTGTGGTACCGACCGACCACAGCCGACCCCGCCGTTGGTGGTGCAGGCATCTTCGAGGACTGAACCATTTGTAACGGTCCACGACTATGTCAACGCCGTACACCCGTGGCTTATGGGTCTCAAGGAAAAACTCCGGGCAGCCATGAATCTGCTCGACTCGGAAGGCAGGATACCCGTCGGGCCGCTCCCTGAGGACACACTGCTGCTGGTCGACGCGCTCGTGGCGCACGCCATCAGGATGCACGACTCGCCACCGTCGGGGGCGAAGGTGCGCGAGTTCAGAGAGCACCTAGCCAGGAAGGTTAAGCAGATCATGGGTATCGCAGAACAGCGTGGGATGGAGCGTCTCGCAGAAAACTCTGCGAGTTCGCACCCGGCCGTGCTAGATCCCATAATGATCAATCCCATGATGCGCGATGCAGCGGAAGGAGGCATGGCGGATCTTTGGGGACTCGACGCGGCTGAACTTGCAAAACTTGAACAAGACTTTCGAGATCGAGTTCGTTCTTCTCAGAGAGACTGAGTACGATTTGTATTCAATGAATGTTTCTACAGCAGAAGAAACACAATCTCGCTCAATCTAAGCTTCAGGGTTCCGAACGAGCTTGACAATGATGCCCTCGGGCCTCGCCTTGCTGGCCAAGTACTCAGGCGTGTGATAGGCGGGCGCATTGGCATCTACCTTGACGCCGACCATGCCGCCGCTGCTGCCGCAGGCGCCTAGCAGGGAATCCTTTATGTCGGCCTCGGATGCGCCCTCACCGCCGCCGTCGATGGTGCGGGCAAGGTCCTCGTACGTGACCGACGAGTTGATGCGGGGGGTGATGTGCTTAGCCAACGCGAGGACGGTGCCGCCGCCAGGAACGGGGAGCGTCCACTCCACGCAGTCAAATTCAGTGGGCATGGTCCACATGGCCGGAGTGGCGCTTTCAGAGGCCAGGTACCGGAGGTATCCGGCCACGTACGAGATCTCTTCCGGGTCGAGGTTTTGTGCGGTGCCGCCGTCTCTACCGTAGCACACCAACATGGCTGTTTCTCCGCAGGCTGCGAGAGCCACGGAGAAGGCTGCGAAGGGAGCCAAGGTAGTAGGACGCATGATGGGCTATGACTGCCGTGGTGCGGAATGACTTGGAGGTGCTCAAAGTAGACGTCTTGGTAATGAACGATGGGTCTACGGCCTTGGGAACCTGCCCGGCCGAGGGAGTTGTAGCCCTTGGGTTTTGGACGAGACAGCGTCACCAAATATCCGATTCAACCCCGTCCAACCGGTAACGGAGTGGGACACATCATTGATTGAACTGGGGACGACACTCATTATCGGCTCGCGTATCACAGACCGAAGGGGTAAGTGATTGCCTTATGCTCGCGGATTAATTCAAAGCATTGGCAATACAGCTCCAAATTACAGAAGGCCGAACAGCTCTTAGCAGCCCCGGAACTTGAAGTCGACGGCTTAGCAGCCATAGGACTACTGGTAGCAGAATTGTTATCTCTATCAAGGGGTTGTGCATGTTGTTCCAGTTCAGAGTTGTCTCCGAGACCATAGCAGAGGTAACTACATCATGATGTAGGTAGGTAAGGTAGGTATGTTCCGTCTAGGGAGCCAGGAGTTTCCACCGGGCACATAGGCCAACAACTTGAGTCTCGCGGATTGACTTGATCACATCTTCCATGACCCTACCCCTTAATACCATCATGTACGAGACCCTTATCTTTACATGAATGTTGTGCTTCTTGGGCATGCCTCGTGCTGTATACCAGGTAAGGCAGGTACTCAACGCGGAAGGATCTCAACCCGTCTGACGGCTCTTGCATACGACTTTTAGGCACACTGAACGGCGATCTCGCAAGGCGTTCAACCGTATGTATAAATATCAGGTGCCAAGACCGCCCGAAGAGTTAACCCCTGATTTCCTCCAAGCCAACAATTCAACCTCCTTGATTCAACCAAACCCAACCTAGCCTCGCCAAAATGGACCGCATGAATTTCATCCCCGGCAAGGAAGCCCAAAACGAGATATTCGCCGCCCAAGGCCACATCTTCTTCGACCGCCAAACAGCCCTCAACTTCGCCGACGAATTCATCCTGAAATCACCTCCCGCACTGGCAGGCCAACCCGGCAACTCCAACTTCAACCCATCCATCCTCTACCAAACCATGCTAACCTGCCTAAGCGAAGGCGACCAAGTCGACATCTGGTTCGGCCTGCGCGAGCCCGATCCAGCCAATGAAGGCGACGAAATCGACCCCTCGGGCGAACTAGTCGGCCACACGTGGGCGACGCTGCGCACCGCCGCCGCCGGTAACGGGAGGGAGAACTTGACGTACCTGTACGAGGTCGGCCGGCGCACGCCGCCCCTGAGCGACGCGCAGGCTGTGAGGGCGTTCAATGCCTATCGTGACGCGCTGGCTGTGTTCCGGCAAGAGCAGCCGCCGGTGCATCTCCCCATCCCCACCAACCTACCACGACATGTGCAGGAGCCGCCGCGCGAGTGGAATGGCAAGCCTGTTATTTCGCGGGCCCTGGCGCCGTCGAATCTGTACCACTCGTCGGGCAGGACGTGGTTCTTTGTTGATCTCAGCATGGCGCAGGGGGATGATCCGCACCGTCCGGCGGTGCTGTCCCGGCCGATGCGGGCTTTTGATGCCCTCGTTCTGGCCGCTATCATGACCCTCGTCATGAACCGGCCGCCGCTGGTGTTTGGGTTTAGTGGCAAGTCGCCTGAAGGCTTGGGGAAGATGCCGGTGGCGTTTAGGAGAGCGCACTATGAGGCGGATGGCAGGGTTGAGCCGACTGCGGATACGCCGCTGCTGGTACTGTGACTCGGACTCACGGTAGCGAATGGGGAAGGATGAACTTATGGTATGGTATTACTACTAGTACCTACCATACAGGAGGCGCTAGGTAGTAGACGTGATTCTCAATTTGGTTTGATTTCTCAAAACAAGTGGTTTAGAAGTGAGAAAGACTGCAGTTTAGAAGGCTGGGAATCAAACAGCCGAAGAAGGATCCCAGGTCTTCCGATCAGTCGCCGACTCGCCGCTGAGCTCGCGCTTCCTCCACAACCCCCTCCGGGTGCCAGTGTCCGTCTCGCTACTCGGACTCCCGTCCGGCATGCTGCTACTAGTAGGCGGACGCGATAACATCCCAATCAGCGGCGGGGGCCTGACGCCCGGCGTCGATCGAGCAGCGACGCGCTGATCGAAAATGGTGCTGCTAGGAGCTGGCGACCATTAAGGGGTGCGAAACGTGACCGTTGACGACGACACGCTCGTAATCGTTGACAACGCCGATCTTGTTGTGTCATCGTGATTAGCAGTAATAGCCTCGCGATGCTCCGCCCTCGTCTTCGTAGCGAATCGGTCGATGTAGCGGCGCACTTGGAGCTGGCTTTCTTCAGGGTCTGTGTAGAACTTGAGGGCTGCGATCGGGTCGATGGTGTCTCGAGACTAGTTGAAGGTGAGAATGGGCGGTGGTTACTCCTGTCTGCAAACGCCTTGCCGCGTTGCCATTTTCGGGTTGGATAGTACTCACTTCAAGGGTCATAAGCAGCCCATAAATGTGCATCAAGATCTCATAGATGCGCCGTGAGCCGGTCCACTCGCGATCGAAGATAGGGTGGCAGATTCGGCCGTGCTGGGACGGACAGAATCTGTTAGCCGTACCGCGCAGACAAGCGGGTGGTGATAGTACAGACCTTGGAGATATTCGGATGCAAGATTGGTGTGATGAATCGAACGGCTGGGGGAACCCTTGGAAAGTCGAGACCGATATCCAGGTAAAGCAGAAACACACCTGCTTCGTATGGCGATCCTTCGGGGCCCTCCATGACAACCTTCCAGAATCCCATGTTGCGCTCGCTCACGTAGATGTCCATATCCTTATGCTCGTGATCGACCATGGCCTTCAACTCGGCAAGTAGAAGGCGCTCTCCCACTACAGATGATCCGGTGCTGAATGGAGTTGAGCCGGAAATCGTCGAGTCCGCTATGGACGGGGTATGTGAGGAACGTCGCCTGCTCCAGTACCGCCTGGCCTCTCTCAGATCAATGAAGCTATCCGTCAGGTTTGAATGTGGCCGGCAGGGAGGAAATGAGAACTCGTCCCTCATGTCGTCCTCCTTGGGTCTGAAGGCCTCCCAGCTCAAAAATTGCTGCTTCTCGATATCCGGGCGGATACGGATGTCGATGAGGGTCTCGAGAAGAAAGAGCTGGAAGAAGACCCTCTGCGTCACCGGGTTGAAGGCGTAGCCCCCGGTCGACCGGGCGATCTTGAAGAGGTTTTGGGTCGATCTCGTCCCCAGCACAATGGCATCCAGGACAATGTCGTTTTCGAAAAGTCGGCTGCAGATGGACGGAGGCTTTGCCATCATGGACGAGTTATCCTCACCGTTTGTCAGGAGGATGATACGGCACCTAGTGGCGGGAACCGTTGCTCTTGATCCATGAGCATGTTGGATGCGAGACGAAGGGCGTCATAGATGGCTGTGTTGCCATCCACGGTGGTCTGATCTAGCTTCTTGGTGAACTGGGTCTGGAGAGCAGTAAGGGGCTGGACGACTTCGGCTCCATCCGAAAACGTGACGAGCCCAGTATGAGTTGCAAGGTGCTAGGCGCAGAGCCTTGTGGAGAAGTGGTGGAAAAAATCCTTGACCTCATGCAAGCGGCTCGGTTGGGTGCTGGCGTCACTCTCAGATGGGTTCCAATCTTGCGGCATCGCAGTGTTCATACTCAAGCTGCGATCGACGCAGATGACAAGAGACTCGTCCGGGGAGCCATGGCTCTCAAGTTCGGTCCACTCAGTCCACGCGTCGATCTCCCACGTTCGCTCTTTTTTCCTAACCGCGATGATGGGTTCTAGGTTCTCAGAGATGAGCTGGCCAAGATCCTGGTCCCCAAAAAGATCCCTCTTAGTGACGCAGTTCCAAAGAGAAAACTGCAAATCACTGCAGTTGACATATTCCTGGTCGTATATTGATACGACCCCCTTGCCGCTTAGGGTTATGACAGGGAGGTCTTCGCTCAGGCAGGCCCCGAGCTTCAAAGGGTCTACCATGCAGAACGCGCGCGATGCATTAGCTTCAAGTAACAGGTTGTCAAACTCGCTCGCACTTGGGCGCTTCAAGGGGAAGCTCTGCATAAAATGATCCCAGTTTGGGGACGGGAGCGTGTAGTAATGCCGTATCTTCCATTCATCCCTATGGAAGGCGGCCGATAACACTAGCCCCTGAATGCTGCTCGGAATGCGGGTTTCAAGGGTGGCAGTGTAGCTTTCACCGCCGGGAAGGTCAATCGTGGCAGACTTGCTGAGTATCTGACTCTCGTCTTGATCAGAGCCACCAGCGGTGTTTTTGCGTGAGACTTCTACCCGGTGGACACGAGAGGGAATCGTGTCCGAGAGTTTCTGGTTGGACTCTGCCGCGACGCAGAGTCCATGGATCCACGAAATTACCTGACGAGCGCCCTCGAGCTTTGATGACTTGGTCGAACACATCCATTCGGGTACCATAGACTTGCACAAGGCATCGAACACGTCGACTATGAGGTGCAAATGCTCCATCGACCTGGTGTGAGCGCCAAGTCCTCCTTCTCAGAGATCTTTAAAGACCAGGAGAACAGGCGGAAATCGGGTGATGCGAAGCAGAACATCGAGAACCGATTCAAGTTTGATGCCAATGTTTTCTCGGCCAATTTCCTCGATCAGGACTTGTAGACTGGCGATCAGCGCTGAGAGGCCTCTCAGCGACACGTCGAGACCCCAAACTTGGTCTGGACTGAAATTTTCGTCCACCTGATTGAGCCTGGCCTCCGGGGGCGGCCCCTGAATCTGAACAAAGATGTCGAGCGGCTCCGCTGGGTCAAGTCCAAAGTCGAGATCTCGCATGGACCAGTGACTGCTCTCACGAGATAAAGGCCCGTATCTAGACCACAGCCTGATACGCTCGGGGTCTATGAGGCGACGGCCTATTCCACGCATAGTAATGGAGTCATGGAGGAAAATAGCAGCTGCCTGGTACAGTTGAGCCACAGTCAAGGCTGGTTTCTCTGCAAGTTTGTAGATGGGAGGCCGCTTCAGTGGATGTGGACCCAGGGCATCATCAATGGTGATCCATCGAACACACAGAGAATTGCTGACACTGACAGAGCTTGGGTAGGTGGTATTGGGCTATAGGGACGAGTCAGGCTCAGAAAGGGTCGCTTCTATTGGGCATGACGAAGCCGGTGTCTCATTCTGGGTTTATTGTGCGCAATCAGCAACATAATTAGGCCAAGAGGAAGCCAGGTGTTAGTGTTGGTTGCACGCATCGCCGTTTTCAGGATATGAAGCGTGAATGTATTGTTTGTTGTCAATGGCAGCAAGTCGACAATGCGGTCTTCCTCGTACAAGATCGATGGGTTCGCTCCACTCGTCCGCAACTCGGTATCTGCTGGGGATGCGTGGATACCACGCCCTTGCCGCTCGACGAAGGGCTTCGAACTGAAGATCTTTGGACACGGGCTGTCGATAGCAGTGGCACTGCAATGAGCTCACCATTGGTGGATTGAACCGTGACCGCGATGCGAGAGGTGTCTTTGGTCCTGGTTGTGGTAGACGACACATGCGACTCTGACGACTCTGACGTCGCCTCGCTCCGAGTGCTTTCTTCAGTGCCTTGTGGGACACTGCCCACCGTGGACCTTGCGTGCCTAGACGAAGAGGCCATAGTTGTGCACCGTGTGATTGGACAGAAATCTGGCCAAATCCTGGGTCGAACTTTTCGGCGGAATTAAAGCCTGCCTTTACGATAACAGTGGAGAGGTACTCGTGGGATATCCGGATGGCACTGGCCGTGGTGTTTTATAGCTTGTGCCCGCGCTTCTCTGCCGGGCTACAAAGCTGCCAGACTGCAAGGAATCTGTTTGACTGTTTCTGTGAGGCGAGCGGCATGGTGCTGATGTTGTTGCCAGTCTAATTTGGGTTGCAAAATGGATCTGGACAACGAGATACCAAGGAGTTGCGTCTCAGAATCCGTATGTGGCAAGTGCGATCCATTGACTGCAGGAGCTACCGGACACCTTTTGCCCAGATTCCGTCATGGATTTCTTTACCGTCATGTTGTCTTCACGCAGGCCGATGCAGCACAACAGTAGAAAAGATGGATTGGTCAAAGAACACGGCTTTTAGGTAGACTTCTAAGGTACGGTACCTACCCTGCAGCCTGAGCCACCTAGGTCAAGTTGAGTCACTCCAAGCCAAACAGACCACTTAGCAATCAAACATAAATGGCCATATTGACTAACCAATTGAGCCAATCTGAGCCCTCTTTGCGTTTGCTTCAAGTTGCGTTTCATTGTTTAGGCTAAATTTCCCTTAGTTGAGCAGTACACCCATTTCATGGTGTCGGTGATGCCTTCTGTCGTTTTGTCGGCCATTTACTATAAATTCCCTCCGGCTGGCTCAGTGTCTTATTCCATGAGTAAGCCTCGAAGCGGCAACCGATGTGAATGCTCAGATCCCCCTGTCCCACCCAACTCCATATACTCTCCTGCTGTCCTGAGCTTTCTCTCCAACCTCACCACCTCCCTCACCAGTCTTGTTGGGTGCAGCACCAAGAATGCCACCATGACAACCAACATAGGCACCGCATCAAACACATAGATAAACACTTCATGACTCGCAACAAATCCGTCCGTCCCCTGGAGGTATTCCACCCCTCTCACTATGCTCCTGACTAAGAGCATTCCCGCCGCAATTTCCAAAACAACAAAGTACCCTATCCAATTTACCCCCGGATCCGCCAGCATTGCCTTGCTATGCGACGGGTCTCTTTTCAGCCTGAGGTGCAGCCTGGCACACCCAGAAGCAATGAACACGCACAGCGCCACAACCTGCGCTATCAACCCGACCACCACGATAATCACACTCATGCGCTGTGCTTCGGGAGTGCCGCTAGCAGGTAACACGGTGCCAATCAGCTGGGTAAAGATGGCAACGATGTCGATTAGGACATAGCCCTTGGTCGGCGAGCAGGTGCAGCAGAGGGAATAGCAGCAGCGGGAGCAACACCCACGGTCGCGGTTGCGTGACAGGTTTGTGGTGGTGACCCCTTCAAGGAGGGCGGTGGCGATGCGCCCGTGGGACATGTAAACCGTAGCTGCAAGTAGAGGCGGGGAGACGAGGAGGAGCATGTTTTGGAGGATCCAAGGGCCGAGTGCAGTAGGCGAGGAATGAGCTTCGGCGCGTTCAAAGTAGCCAAAAACTTGACCTGGGTACCCAATTTGCGATTGTTGGTTAGAGCTTTGTATGAGACAGAAGACTCAGAGGTGTGGTGTTGGTGGATTTACTCACAGATTCCGCCAAGGACAAACGGGATAAAGGTCCAGGCGCGCAACCAGATCAAATACACCACGTGGGCGAGGGTAGCAAGTGCGAAGAGGGCTAGGAAAATGTATGCCGCAATGTTGCTCGGTCGGTACTCCCAGAAGACTACCACCATGGTCCCGTTGACAACGGGGCCAAAGGGCGGGTCGTCATTGAGAGCACGGGCATCCATCCCAGGTGGAGGTCACGGTGACTGACTGACTGGATGACGGCTTAGAAGCAGCTAAGACAGGACCAGAAGCAGCTGGCGCAGAAACAGCCGAGGGTTGAGAAAAGCCCGAGGAAACAACACAAGCCTTTGACGAGCCACATTCCGAGTTCGGAGGAAGTAGTAGAGGACTAGAGGCCTAGGGGCAAGCCTCAAGTGACAAGTGCGCGAGAGGAACTTGAGGTCTTCGACGGAGCCGATATCGATTGTCATATAGGTAGATTCCATACAAGGGGAATTGGCTATCATAGCCAGATACTATATTTAAATCCATCAGTGTTCAATGTCTAAGCCTCTTGTTCCACGGATGTGTGTACCTTCTCGCAGGGCAACCCCATGATATCTGAATCCGAAAAATGCTCCTTTTTCGCATAGCTCGGCTTCAGGGGTTGTTTCCAATCGCGACGCACAGTTGGGAGCACACTGTGTCGTACTGTATGTACGTCTCCGGCCTTGGGCCCAAACGTTTTATTTTCGCATTGAATGCGAAAAAGGGGCATCACCAATTCGTCTTCAAGCATTTGGGTTTCTCAGCCGACGCATCTCATGTGGGGCAAAATATGACAACGGCTTCGTCATCAACCTCATCAAAACGATCGATTCGGCCTCACCGCAAGTCACGCGCAGGCTGCACCGGCTGTAAACGTCGCAAAGTCAAGGTGAGCGGAATCCAGGCCTGCCTCAATGCTAAGCTTTCAGGCTGGCGAGTGGTCAGCTTCGACATGGTTTCGCCGCTTGACCTTGTCCACCCGTTCTAAGGTCGAGTTTTCTTGAGCCCTCTTGACTTTTTCTGTGGACTTCTGTTTGCCTTTCTCGCAGTCTTGTCGGACGATTGATCGTTGAACTCCCTAGTGCGACGAAGAGAAACCGTGCAGCAACTGCACTCGCTTCGGCCTGCCATGCGACCTTGTCGCGGAAGGCGCGTCTGTCGAGTATAGTACAAGGCCCTTTGGACAGCGCGACTCCACTGGCAGATATGCATCTAGTGTATGTACCCAAGGAGACCTTGAGACCTGTTAGCGCAGGGCAAAATTTTGTATGCAAACACGATCCTCTCGACTACCACTCTTAACAGGACCTCCGAGCCGAGGTTGTCACGCAAACGCCCGTCCCTCGTCGAGGTCGACCAAGAAAGGACTGGATAGGCAAGTTGTCTAGGGCAGTTCAATTCATCAACCGCGCGCTTATAACTTAACCCTACCAGATGTCCTACAACCTGCAGCACCGCATCATCCAACGACAACCGCGACGTCCATACCCACACCCACTTCGCTCTGTACAGAAGATGCAGACCCACCAGCGGCAATCAGCCTCGACAATGCCGAACTCCTCCTGCATTTCGTGAACGCCGTAGCGGCTACTTTCGCCCCACGCGGAAGCCCTGCTAACATCTTTTGGACGCGCGAGGCGCCGCAAATTGGACTTTCCCATACTTTCGTGCTCCATCTCATCCTGGCTTCATCAGCATTCCATCTCGCCTACCTAGCCGCCAAACCGGAAAGCGAACACACAACAATCACCCGCCTCCACCAGACCCGCACCGAATACCTCTCCCTCGCCCAGCGGCACCTAACCGCCGGCTTGTCCGGCTTCACCGCCGCGCTGTCGGAGCCTGGGCCAGAGAACTGCGGCGCGCTGTACCTCGGCGCGGTCCTGACTAGCTACTGCACTTTTGCCGCGGGGCCGGCGAGCCGGGATGACTTGCTTATCTGCACTACCACGGACGGGGGCACTCCTCCGTCGTCGTCCGCCCCCGAGCCGGTGACTGCGATGCCCTTTGTGTATGGTGTGCGCCTCGTGCATCAGTCGTTCACGCCTGATGTGCTTTTCGCCGGGCCCCTAGCGGCGCTGCGGACTACTAGTAGTGGTACCAGCGGGCCGTCACCGGTTTCGACAGACTCGATGGGAACGCCCGTATATGCTCGAGACGGGTTTGCACGCCTTGATTGGGAGGGTCCGCTGCACGGGCTGAGGAGGTTCATTGCAGGTGCGGACGCGGGTGCAGACGAACCGGAAGGGGGACTGCAACCGGGGGACAGAGCGAGGTTGAGAACGGCAACAACAACAGCAGTCTGTCTTCAGTCGCTCGACGACATGATGGAAATCTACGCGGCGTTATACGGGCGTCGTACGACTGGACCGGACGGTGCTAGTGTCTTTACCTACGACGGCCCATCCGCCAACCAGTTCGTCTTTGGATGGCTGTATCGCATGGATCTCGAGTTTGTGGCGTGCGTCAGGAGGCGGGAGCCGTGTGCGCTGTTGGTGTTGGCTTACTATACCCTGCTCTTGAACGGGGACGCGGTTCAGAGCGGATGGTATGTCGAGGGCTGGAGGGAGCACATCATCAACAAGGTGGATGAGTTGCTTGTGGGTAGGGAGGAAAGGGAGGTGCTGGTCTGGGTAAAGGAGCAAGCCGCTATGTTTTCAGGTTAAGAATTCACATGCTCGTGCTTGAATCCTTCTGGGCTTGGCAGGCAACATTGTGCTGCAGTACACTAAATTGCAGGCTTGGATCTGTTCGCTAGGCCACTATCATCCTTAATTTGTCAGCAGCCCCTATCACCGGTGGGGAGGCTACTTGGCTATGGCGATTTGTCATCCTGCGCCCCTATTTCCATCCACCGTGTCCAGAATGGAAGCTCCAAGCTTGCAATAGTAATGGAATGCTTCAGCTGGGCCATGTTATTCGATTCCGGTCAAGTGCGGGTCGATTGGGGGCGCTTCATAATCATCGGCGCAGCGCATGTTGCTGCGTATTGTAAAACATGGCGGAGATCGCGCTCGACAGGATAAAAGGGGCTTGTCGTAGCTCTCGGAATCCTCTGTCCAGTCCCGGAGAAAACTTGAACGACCACGAGCACACTTTCACGTCGTGCATCTGGGAAAGCCTTCAAGAACCTTGTCTCGCCTTTCGTAACTATTGACCATGGTGAAGATTGCTATTGCCGGCCCTGGGCGTATGTTGGACTTTTGAACCTCTCTTCGCAAGTTCCGTCGCTCGATGCAGAGGAAGACTAACTAAACATTTGCGAACAGAGGTTGCCCGTGAGGTCATCGATGCCCTCGTGGCCACGGGCAAGCACGAGATCATTATCTTGTCTCGAAAGGTAGAGAAAAGAACCCAGTCCAACGGTTTGACCTATCGTATCTGACAATTCTGAATGCAGGAACCAGCCCCTGAACAAGCTGGAGCGGGCGTCACATGGGTTAAGGTCGACTACCAGGACTTCAAGGGCCTTGTTCAGATTCTGCACGGCGTCCACACAGTTCTGTCGTTCATCGTTGTGCAACAAGACCCAGAAAATGCATCCCAAAAGGCTCTGATTGATGCCGCTATCGAGGCTGGGGTTAAGAGGTTTGCCCCGAGCGAATGGATGTTGTGCGTCCCTTCACTCGCAAGCTACCCAATGTTTGCCAATGCGTTCAAACTAACACCATTCCGATGCGTTTACTACTAGTAGCCAATCTGGAGTAACCGACGGCAAGGCCGAGGTCAGAAGGTACTTGGAAGGGAAGAACAAGGATAAGAGGGTGAGCTCTCTCCCAAGTCGAACCCTACCTACTTCTTCAAGATCCTATCCTGACGTCTTGGTGCAGGTGATCGAGTACTGCCTCTTCCGCCCGAGCATCTTCCTCAACTATGTAGCCGGCAGGCGGAAGACCGCCAAGCACCTGGTGGCCATTGACTGGTTCGTCGATATCGACAACTGCCGTGCCATCGTCCCCGGAAGCGCTCTACACAGGAGCAGCCTTGTTACGGTACAAGACGTCGCCAAGATTGTTGCAAAGGCTGTTGACCACGAGGGCGAGTGGCCCATAGTCGGCGGCATCAACGGAAATACCGTATCCCTCGCCGACCAGATAGCCATCGGAGAGAATATCACGGGTAAGACCGCCGAAACAGCACGCATCGATGAGAGCTAGGCCCCGGAGAGTGCTAACCCCGCTGTGTGCAGGAAAACCTTTCAAGGTTGAAGTCCTTGATCTTGAGGATCTCAAGAAGGGAGTGTTCGGGGCATCCTGGGTGCCGGTGTTTGACAACCCGGCGCTGAGCCATCTCGACCAGGCTACCAAGGTGGAGGTTTGCAAACAGATTTCATGCCAAATCCTGCTCTCCATTGCAAATGGCGACACTGTCGCTACGGACGAGTGGAACAAAATCTTCGTGGGCTACAAGTTTACGGGGCTCGAGGAATTCGTGACGAAGGTCTGGGCAGATAAGTGGGAGGCCTGAGGTTTTCTCCAAGATATCCCCCCCTGAGAGGCAAGCCATGATAAACCTCAGCGACGGGAGGAGATCAGATATGTGAGCCACCGTGACAGCACGGAACAATCTTGGGTTGTTAGTAGCCTGGCAGGAATGAGCACATGGCAATGGTGGCATCCTGCTGGTGGTACTCTGCTGGTGTTGAAGCTGGAAATGGAAATACGTTAATGGGGTTGGTGCTGTTGCAGGTGTGGGTGGTCAGGAGGTTCAAAATATGGGGAAACGTCACGGTTAGATCCTTGAATATGCCTACATCATACCGTCATATAGAGTAGTACGCTATCTTCAAATCGAGCTTCTTACGGTACTTGGATCATCCCTGGCCATGTTGAATCGCACGAGGGAATACAGACTTGTCGGAAATCCAAGATGTCCGGCAGCTCTTCCGACACAACATACAGGGACCCGAACTGGTGCTTCACCACTATAGAGTCGTCCCGCAACCGTTGGCGCGACACCGCTCCCTCGTCAACCGACATTCCGCGTTATCTGGTCCTGCAATACTAGGACAGCAAGGCGGGTCATCCCCGGGTGTCGAATCAGTGCATCGAGGGTTCCCAGGACAGAGTCTCCTTTCCCTGCACAGCGGGCGACAGCCAAGAGCCCGACACCGAGGGTAGGACTCGTCGTCGCAATACACACCTCCGGGGCCGCCGAAGAGAATGGTAGCCCCCCATCCTGCCGGCGCGTCCGGGGATCCTATCTCGCTGGCGTAATATTTGTTGTAGCAATGCTCTGCCGTATTATCGACAGTCGACCTGAGTACTGCCCTATCCCACGTCTCGGTCGCGTCGTCCCTTCTGTCCTTCATCCTATATATAGCCCGCTGGTAGGCCACCTGGCCGTAGTTATCAGCGTAAGGATCGCCCGTGATCGTCACCTTCCTGCCGCTGCCCATTTCTCCGTAACTCTCCGGCGCATCAACTTCCGCCACTTCCCCTCCCACAATGAAGTAAACGGCGTGTGTACCTAGCTCTCCCTTTCCCGTTCTGTAAAGTGAGGCTGGGTAGAACCCTACCAGGTGGTTGTGAGTTAGACGATCCGTGATGGGATCCAATGTCTGGAAGTAGAGACGCCATTGGGAGCTTCTCAGTTTCCATACCAGCCTCAACTCGTACTGCTTACCCCCGAAAGTGCTGGGGGTTAAGGCCAGGTCCCATCGCAAATTGTGTCCTCCGCTGCTCATGACGAAGCCTGGGCACTCGTCGCCAGTGTTGTAGCAACCCGTCCCTTCCGCATAGCCACCCGTGGTGTAGTAAATAAAAGGGTGTGGTTCGTCATCATCAAAGGGTCCACCGTGACCGACCACCCACCCGGACTCGATTGTCTGGGTCGCTGCCGGATCAGTCAACCAGATCTGCGAGATCGAAAACCCGGCGTGCGGCTTCCAGACGTTCATGGAGGACCCGCCGCCGACAAAGTTCTCGACAGCCTCATCGTACACCGCCTCATGAAGGTGTTTGATCCCGAATCTGTCTATAACATCCCTCTTCTGGACCACAGTACCATTGTCGGTATCCGTCGCATTCCATGCGGCAGTGAAGTTGAAAGGGATCTTGGCGAAAAAGTTATACAGCGTGCCGAAGCGGGTGATACGGTCCGGCGTCAGCCTACGCTGAGGAACGGTGCCTTTGGGACAGTGCTGCGGGTTGCCAAAGACGTCGACGGCATTGGGATCACCGAACAGAGAGACGGCGATAGGCTGCTCTTTGACGCCGTCGGTTGCGCCGCCGAGGTCCGGGAGGTCAACGTCCTCGTCATCTTGGGGAGGCGTCTTTTCCTCTTCCGTTAGGTTGAGGAGGTGGATGGATGACTGCTCCAAGTAGAGGATGCAGTCGGTGTATCCGTGGTCGGTGAGATAGGAGCGGACGTTGGCCGGGACGGTGACCCCGCCGTACATGTTAAGGATGTGCTCCTTGATTTCGAGAAAAGCGTACTCGTCCCGGACGGGGGTAGAGGCGTAGTCCTTGTAGGTGGCCTTCTCGACGCTAAGAAGGAACTCGGAGAAGGGGATGAACTTCAGTGCATTGCACAAGGAGGGCACGCACAGGAGGAGGAAATTGAGCAACAGAACTGAAGTCATGGCTAATGTGATTGCAGCCACATGTAGAGAAGTGGCAGACTAAGGTCCTTGACCTTGTCTTAAAAGTATCGATACCACAACAAGTCGGATATATACCTTTTGAATGAGCTACGCGTAAAGGGTTAAACTGACATCAATATGACAAACCCGATGAGAATGAAATCAGCTTCAGTTCTGGAACGCATTCTTGATTGAAGCGGAGCAGCATGGTTGAGTGGCACACCTGTGCTGGGCCAGCTGGCTGGCATGGTCGCAGGCCCGCTTACACATCGTCATAGTTTTGACATATCCATGAGACGAAGGGATCTTCCATCATGATTACTTACCTATCTCCAGGCTAGTTCCGCTGGACAGTTTTTCAAAGCCAGCTCCGGTTATATGTTCACGAGATGATTGCCTGCAAAGAGATGATAATTTGACAACAAGAACTGCCGGGAAGAAGGAGGCTGTCGAGGTTGTCTAATGTTGGCTTGCCAAGGGCCGTGGATTCACTCTAAACTTGATGTATATTTCCGGTTTCCACAGCAAATCTTCCATGACCTCAGGCTGGTAGGCTGCTGATCAAGGGGGCCTTCCACACCCCGCCTGAAATATTGCACGAGACATCGTCGAGATGGGCTTGGTTGAAACCCAGTATCGCGTAAAACATATCATCGTAAAGATGCTTGGCTGGCCATCAAGCTCCCAACAACCGTGAACGACAAGATGGGTGAGATAATGTATGATATCTATCCAGTGTCAGACCATGTTGAGCTGGGGATTGGGTAAATGGACATACCGTGAGCAGCTTGGAAATATGGACCTCGTCGTCCTTGGTACCGTCGGCCACTTGGACTAGTGTAATCAACTTCATAGCGGGAGGGCCCGTAGGCATCATCATGAGGGTGAACCAAAGCATCGGATCCGAACCCAACAGGCTCGTTTTCGAGGCGAGCAAATAGATGACTCCGATAGACATGACCGGCCAGAGGATGAATCGCACGATTAGGATGAAGCTGACTGTTCCCCACGGCATGTTCACAGCACTCTCATGATTCTGCTTCGCCTCCTTCATAGAGCAGAAGAGCGACACGCCCGCAACGACAACGGGCAGGGAAACAAACAGAATACCGACGTTCTTCAGAGAAGCTGTCAACCAGGCGGTGAAGATACCGCCTTCCCCAGAGCCGTTGAAGAATGCGCGATGTAAGGCGGGAACCATGCCGAGGACGGTGCCAATGATGGCGCCAACGAGCGGGGCATTGAAGAAGTCGACGATGAATAAGAACCACCACTTAGCACGGGGAGTGAGCTGGTCCCATCTCTTGCGCGGGACGAACCAAGGACGCCGACGGTCCTCCTTCACTTCCGGCCTGGAACTGTGACTCCGCGGGCGGCGCGATAACAGGAAGCTCTGGCTACGTGTTGGAAACGACGATGTGAGCGGCCGGGGTTGAGGGCGCAGCAACCGTGTCTGCTCGTTGGCCTCGACGTCCTCTGGAGGATCATGATTTTGCTCGTGCACGTCACCGTCACTGTTCTTGTCTTCTTCCTGATCAGGCTCGTGCTCAGAATCGATGAGGCGTGGTCCAATTGCAAATGTAATGCAATTCGAGATGGTGGAGAAGACCAGGAAATAGGATTTGGCTCGCTCGATGGCATCGTCGATCGTCTCCCCGGGACCGGCAAGAGAACGCAGTATGCCTGTATCCTCCAAGGCTGTGATGAGAAGTAAGGGGTAGCTCGTGGTGTTGTTGATCAAGATGGCGACGGTTGTCCAATCCGGCATCCCAAGGCCACGGTGGGCAAAGATGCCGATCAGGAACGAGACAATGTGACAGACAATGCCCCATAGAACGATGACCAGGTAGCGACTGGCCGATTCCGGACGCAGCTGAGAGCCCACTTTTGTGATCAGCAGTGCTGGAAGGAATACGCGGACGCATATTTTGGATATGGATCTTGAGCTTTGGCGGTCAATCAACTTGAGGTATGCTGCTGCTCCGCCATAGAACATGACAAGCAGGACGGAAAGACTGGCTTGTATCGCGCCGAGAAACGACTCAAAAAGACCGGGGGCTCCCATGGCTCATTCGTGGTTGGGGGGTTGTCGACGATGCGTGGCAGCGTGGATATGTGTCTGATGCAGGCGAAAGTGAAGTTCAAGAAGCACCTGCCAAAAAGCGGGCGCAGAAAAAGAGAAGTCTAGTAACTCGACCTACACTACCTCGGTTTGTGGCAGGAACTGAGGGATTTCCGAGACCGGATTCACGGGTTGCGGACAAGGTGAGGCAGGTGCGACAGAAACCAGAAGTCCAGAACTCACTCATTGCGGAAGCGCCCGAGCTGTATGATGGAATGCAGAGCCCTTAAGGGTCCAGAAACTCGATTAAGCAAGGAAGCACACGACCGCTCCGCTTGTCGCGTACACGTGTAGTACCTTGGTTGCTTGCAGAGGTTCCAGGAAGTGAGGGCTTGGCCAGGCGGTCATCGATGACGGTAAGCGTCGCTGGAAAGTGGGGGTGCTGAATGCTACACCTTGAGTGCCTGAGATCAACGGTCGAGCCGGATCTTAACGGGGCCTTTTGCCAATCATATTCAAGTTGAATTCGATGCTACTCTGCACTTCCAATATCTGTTCGTTTTTCGTCACAATTTGAAGCGATTCCCTTGCCGTTGCCGTTCCTACGGCAGTTGCTTCTGCCATCAAAGTTGACAAGACGTGCCAAGAAATACTATGATGTCATTGATGTTGCTCGACCGCACAGGTGATAGCTTGGCGTGGCGGCAAGAGCCGTCAAGGAGCTCCGTCGCACGGACTTCCCCTTTCGAAGAATGAACACTTCCTTTTCGTCGACAGGATCGCGGTGTCCGGATTCCGGCCAGTTCTAATGTTTTGCTGAAGAAATTCCGCACGCCCAAATCTAAGTCAACCCTCGCCATGTTTTCATCGGGTCTTATCCTTCATCCGAACCTAATTCGTCACCGCTGTTAAAGGCACCTCACAACCTGAAGAATCCGCAGCGGCAGCCCAACCTCGATCTTGCAGTGATAACCTCAGGCTCTTCTCCCGGATTGCTGGTATTGTCTTGTCGCGGTTGTCCCAGATACCTATTTTCCGAGCCTCACACCCAGATCGTATCAGGTGGTACAAGTTGTACCTATCCCACTTCGAGGATTCCTTCTTCTCCTGGCCACGCCTCGACAGCTTTGAGAAGTAAGAAGGCAGGATGCAGTTGAGTGTTGTCACAAGAGCAGACGCAATGGCCAGCAGCGCCAGACTCAGGACGTTAAACGAAGTGTACCGCGTCGTACGGATCTTGATTTGCTGACACAGTGCCTGTGCCGTGTCCGTCTCCGGCCGCACGATATAGTCCGGGTTCTCTAAGAGGACTGCTGCGGGTGCGGCATAGTCCCCTGGCCGTCGCTGAAGCGTAGCGAGAGATAGGTTTGCGAAATTCCACGCCTCGAGGGCCCATTGATCCGTCGAAATCTTGGAGGAACGCCTATACCCGCTTCCCATAACCAGCTCGTTGGCGACAAGAACCTCGTTGCCCGTCAGCAACAAGGCGTACTGAAGCTTGCCTGCCCATAGCGACTTCCAAACGAGATCAGCGACGGCTTTTTGGCCGGCTGTCAGTTTCCCCATGCCATACGTTGGTGATGATCGAAGCTGATACAGAGCGTCAGGCTGAGAGCAAGATCCCGAAGCGCAGAATCGGTACTGCTCGAGACAACCGAGAATCGAGAAGCCATCTGGCGCCCACCAAGCGTCGAAACCCAACAAGTCTTCGTGCCATGAAATGTTGAACCACGGATCGAGAATTTGCTCATCAAACCAGGCATTAGGAGACAGTGCAATAAGCGTTAAGTCAGCGTCTGAGACCTTAAGTTCGTCTCTAGGGATGAATGGGGCCACAGCGCCGGTCTCGTTGCCGGGAAAGTAAGCCACCGATCTATTGCCTAATCTGTTAATTGCCTCCGAAACCACATGGAAAATACCTAGGACACATGGAACAGAAGGGGAGAGCTGGGGACTCGCCTGATTTGGTAAGCGTCACTGGAGTATCGAATACCGTACTTGGTGCAAAAAAAGGGGTACTCAGACGCCGGCGGCTCCGCGTAGGGCAGAGTCCCCACCGCATACCCGTTGATAAAATCGCCGACTGCCTCTCCAAACGGCTCGCCTTCAACCCATCCCGTTGACCATCTATCTGCGTCGATGGGTACGCAGGTCAGGGTCTTTGTCACAACTATCCTGTCTTCATCCCGTGTATTGATGCCAAGCACGGTGCGGGAATCGATGGGGCCAGACTCGATCCGCGCTGCGCCTGTCTTGCATACCCCATCTCCAGGAAATGGACACGGCTGGTCAATCTTCATGGTGGAAGGGATCCGTAGTGTGATGAAAGTGTTGCACTGTTTCGAGATCTCGGCATCATTCGCCTCGGCGTAGCAGCTCCTCACATAGAGGCGGGTTTTCTGGGCCCGGGCACGGCTGGGAACCATCAGAACGGTGCTCTTGTCTCTGGCCTCTGATGTCGCCAGGTCTAAGAGATTGCTGACTTCTGCTGCCCAGCCACAGTCCTGGCTGGCTATAAGAACCGAATCGTCCGCTGCCTTGACGAACTGGTTGCTGATCAAGCTGACGATGGTGAAGCCTGCTGAGAACACCGCTACCAGCAGCAGTAGACACGTAAGCCGAGCGAAAGTATAGAGCAGTGCCCCTTCTGACTTCCTCGGTTTGTAGGTTCCGCTGCTGCCGTCCTGCAGATGGTTGGAATACTCATAGTGTTGGTTGTTGAAGCCCTGCATCAACCCTGTCGCCACAGGGGCAGTTCGCGGCAGGCTATACGCTCGCTGGGAGCACACAATCTCCAGCATGCCCCAAGCAAACGAAGATGGTGTCCCCGGATTGCGCAAAGCAGCTTGAACCGAGTGGTGGACGTAGTCGCCAGCCGCCCGCTGTCGCACTCGAAATACAATGAAGCAAATGATTCCCCATATCTGCGTAGCAGTGAAGGTGATAACGAGGGCAGCGGCCGCAACGAGCACATCGCTCCAGGGTTGGTCGGTCGTGAGCGTTAACCCATAGACTTTGCCGTGGTCTGGCAGCAACAACAGCAAAGAGTTGAGTCAGTCTTGCGCATGATGTTTCGGCCCACGCTCCCACGAGATCGAGACCGGGCAACCGAATAGCGGTTAGAATGTCGCACTCACCCCAATTCGTCCAGACACCAAGATAGACGGAACTGTCCATAACTTCACGCCGACACTTACTGGCGGACCGGGCGATCCGCAACTTAGGCCGTCGAAAATGACGAGCAGAGATCCTTGTGCTGCGACACTAGCGAGGAGAGCCGGCCGACATTTGTAGGATGCAAACTGGTCAAGCCCACGCCAGCTCAGCGTTCGTTTGATAAGACACCTCCAGCTATCGCAAGACAATTGAGAGGCCATTGCTGGTGAATATTGGCGCCACCCGAGGCTGAATACCCCGAACGCACGCCTTCGGGTTAAGGCGTTCCTGTTGATCACTTGCCTCCTTGAGCTGTCCGCTGGATCGTCCAGCTAAAACCGCCACAACTCAAACAGGATTGGCTGGTGCGGTTAGTGTAAACAGCTGGCACAGCACGCCAGCCACCAACTGACGCGAAACGGCTTCTTCCGGGCTGTTGACGCCCTGCCAAATCGCGCCTGGACCGCGGAACAAACAAGGGACGTTGTCTGCGTTAACCAAGCTTAGCATTGCCAGCCTCTCTTATGCATCTCGGGTACCTAGGTAGTCAGTAGTTACACAAGCGGTCCAGCCAGCAACCGGAGATTCCCGTCGAATCTGCCTTGCTTCCTCAAGCCTCATACAGCTGTCTCAGAACCACAGCCAGCTCAGTCTTCCCATGCCGAACGACCCCAGTGGGGTTCGGATTCTCATAGAGAATGCCTCCAGGAAGGAAGCTCTCGTTCATCTCTGTGAATCCCTTCGCAACCGACGGCGGGAACACAGCGCCGTAGTAGTCGGCAAGACCGGCCTTCTCAATGGGCCGGATCTCAACGTTCTTCGAAGAGATCTCATCAAATCCACGCTTCACATCCAGCGATGTGTATGGGCGCGGGCCGTGGAGCTCGTAGATGTAGGGTTTCGACTCAAGCGCGCTGCCCGCTGCGAGGCATTCGGCGGCGAGGGTGGTGCCAATGTCTTGCACAGCAATCTAACAACAAACATGTAAGCAGGTGGCCGATGGACCTCCCGGTTCTTACTCCGACTCAAAAACTCACCATTGGCAGCTCCAAATTCAGTGGCGTGACCGTCGAAAAGAAGAATGCATCACTCCTGACCGTCTCTATGCACGAGGCCCAGTTCTCCATGAAATATGATGCGCGCACGAACACAACTTCAGGCGCAGCATCCTTCAGTGCTACTTCAGCCTCGTGATTTCCCAAAATTTCTCCCTGGAGGCGGCTCAAGGTCAGTACCTGAGCATGCACGCAGGCGAGGATTCCACGCTTACCACACCATGATCATACTGCGCGCCCACGCTCGACAGCAAGACAAGCCTCTTGACAGACCCCGCCTTCTTGATAGCGCTCTTGGCGTTTTCGGACACCATTCGCGCATGAGCAATAAAGTCCCGCTCGTCATACACAGGCGGGGTGATGTTCAGCACGGCATCGGAACCGGTAAAGTCGAGGGTAGACGCGTCCTCGACGTTGCCTTGCACGGCTTCAAATCTCGGGTGAGACTTGAATTCGGCGGGAACCTTGGAAAGGTCACGGTAGACGCCCTTTACGGTTGGGTTGGAGGGGTCGGCGAGGAGGGCGCGGATGGCGGCCTGGCCTGTTCTCGTGGATGCCGGGACGACGGTGATGTGCATCTTTGCGAAGCGAGGTATGGTTGGATGGTGAATCGTAAAATGTTTCAACCAGGGTTGAGTGGAGGTTGAGAACAGGTTGTCCAGAGTCAGACCCTTGGTGAGGGCGTGTCGCCGTTTATATCCAGCTCCTCAATGCAGCGAACCATTGTCACCATCGAAGCCGCGCCACGGGCGGTACAATGACGCGCCGCCGATGGAAACCGATTACGCCGACAACGCGAGTCGTTTGATAGTTTCGTCAGTGCCAAGCTTTGGAGCGTGTGAAAGCTAGGCAGCAGGGCCCAATGCGGGCGTGTTGTTCAGTAATCCCGCCCCTTCTTGGCCTAGCATCTAGAACCCTTTCAGCGAATGTTCACGAAATTGCCAGTGTTCAGAGCCAAGCGAGGCAGGTACCACGTCGTAACCCCGGGTGGGCGACCAAGCAGTCTAACCTTCTTTGGAGGATACCCCACTTGCTAACCGCATCTCAGTCGACGTCCAAATCGCCATCACGGAATGTTGAGGTGAACATGCCGCAAGCAAATGGTAAATTAGAGCGAATACAGGACAATCACGGCTATCCCGCGCGAGGGAAAAACGATCCGTACAACTAGCTGAGCACATGGGGTTTCCTCTCTTTGACTTGACAGTTGCCCAGCTGACGACCGCCCGGAGCCGATTATTAATCATATTACCCCTTCCGGTGTCCGGAGACAAGTGGGGCCAGGCACGGCGACCCGGGACCCACTTTAGACATCCTACGAAATGCCGATGCCGGTCTTGGCGAGGAACCTCTCCGGTGTAAACAGAAAGGTGAAAAAAACAGGTCAACATCAACAGACAAGCGAGTAGGGTGACTTAAGCCAAATGCATCGGGTTCCAATTCCGACACTGTAATTTGCTAGGCTTCGGGGTAGCGGGGCATCATCGTCGCCTCCTGCCTCGCTCAATGGGAAAAGGAGACATGACGGAGCTGGCAGGTGAGAGTATTATTGCTAGATAGACTCTTGTTCCCCGCTCACCCCTATCAACCCAATTGGGTACTCCAGTGTGTAGGCCTTGGCAAGCGAGAGGTCTTCAGGTCTGACTTGATGAGTATTCCCCCCTTCTATGTCCGCATACTCCAAGGGCTTAGCGGAGATGGTTTGTATATGTAGATGTGGCCAAAGATCCTCGCTCCCCAAGAACTGAATCAGCTCGGAAATTACCCCAATCGGTAATCTACTTCTGCCCGAAAATAACCTCGCTCGGTGAAGTACTCGCGGGGAATGCCCTTCCGTTATAAGGGAATCCGGACGCGTTGCTGTAAGTTGCCTTCCCCTAAGAAAATATTAGAGACTGAAATAGATCCGAGGTAAACACATATCAAACCAGAATTGGACTTGGATATACCTTCTCCGGTAGCTTGTAACACAACGACTACTCAAGGCTCCGTCGCTCAAGCTATTGCGCTGATTGTCTCTAGAAATCCCTGCCAGGGCCGCCCCCACGGCTATTGTCACCGTTAGCGATAGCCCCCGTACCAACCAAAATGATGGCAACGATGGCTCTGCGATGAACTTACCCCTCCATATGAGCTCAGTATTGATGCCCATATTACAACGCTCAGATGGTTTACCTGGGTATCAAGGGCGTTAGTTTGGCTAAGGTACTAGTAGCCGTGTGAAACTTCTGCGGGTGTCGCGCCTATTGCTGTTGTTCGCGTTGGCGTTCGACATCCTATCAGATTCGAGTGATGGCGACATGGGTTCCGGCATGAACGTACTCCTCCGTTTCAACTCGGCGATGATGACGTTATACCATCTTAAGATATGCGTAACTTCAACGTAAGTACCAGCCCTCGCCGGCTCCGCTGTAACAACGGCCCAGTCGTTCCCAACTCGACGACCCGTAGGGATCCGTGTTAGCCATGGTCGGTATTTCTCCTCTTCGCATTATTGACCCTCATCTATCATCCTGTCAGTGCTCAAGGGCATAGACCATATGTCAGTACGATCACAACTGTTGAAATGCAGGACCTCCGAAAAGCAGCCAGTTGCAGACATATAGAAGCCTTGGCCTCAAGTCCGTGAAGCAGCCCTTCGAGGCTGGATATCTTACGCGGATCTTCGTCTCACACAACCTCCACATGCAATGACCGAACCAGCAGTGTGATTATTCTCCCGGGTGATATTTATGATATTTTCGGGGGAAGCCTGGCTCCGATGACTGTTGTCGGCGTTAGCGTTGGCCCTTGTGGTTGGATAATGGTGAAGGAGGTCGCGTTGTACCTGGATCTATGCAATTATTCAAGTTGCATCGTAAAGCCCCTGGGGATGCCCGCGAGGGCTGCCCCTACCACTGTTGTCGGCGTTAGCCCCGGTTCCGCGATGGATCATGGATGCTCCAGTCCGCTATAAACTTACCTCGAAGCTGCAACTCCCTGATTATTTCTCGATACCGTTGTTCTTCCGTGGTTCCGGTATCCGCCAGAAACCAGCCCTCGCGGGCTTCCTTGTACATCCTTCCCCAATCTGCACCATTCTCGATTCTATTTGTCAACAAGGTGCCTAACTTGGACATCGAGTGGTACAAAGTGCACGAATTCTATCCAAGTATGGAGGTTAGTGACTCCTCTGTCAGTATAGTCAGTCGTTTACTTGCGGGTGTCATGATCAATGATTCGACTGTGCACGTTGTTGCTCAGGTGGATGGAGTGTCGTCTGGGGATCTTCTCCGAAGCCGCCCCTAGGACTGTTGTCGGCGGCAGCGTTAGCTCTCGTGCTTGAATGATGGTGACGGGGGCTCTACCACTGACTTGCTCCACTTCGGCCCCCATGGCAAACTCACACCTACCCTCTCCAGCGCGGCAACAAGCCGTTTAAATCTCAACCTCGGAGGGCATCCCTGCAATCTTCATAAGGGGGTATCTTCCCGCCACTTACGGCCAGGCGTCATTGGCCCCGGCTTACCAGCAAGACGGCCGTCATGGTCGACATCAAACGAGAACGAAGGATGAGTGAAGTCCCGGGTATCTTCACATCAGGCACTGTTGGAGTCCTTCCAGAAGTTTCAACATAGCCAACGGGTAAACTGAAGTATTTCGTAGTAGGCCGCGAAGTCGCAAATTGTATTGAAGCGTTGTTGGTTCGCGCCAACGCACACTGCGAACTATTGTATTAGGTCGTTCACATGGGGTGATCCCTTGGGATCCCCGCTAGGGCGGCGCCTACAACTCTGCTCGGCGTTAGTCCTGGTTTTTCGCGATGGAGGATCCAGTCCGCTATAACTTAAGCTTACCGCGAAGCTCTTTTTCGTCAATGATCGCGAACCCTCTCTTTGAGATATCAAATCGCTCGCGAAAATTCCGGCCCTTTCCATAACTGGTGCCGTGTTGTGCCAGAAACCGGCCCTGCAGCGCTTCCTGGTACAGGCTACCCCGGTCGGCGACGCCCTCGATAAGATGATTGGTCTACCTGTGTCGGACTTGTGTATGAATGGGCAACGACTATTGTATAAGATACTGGTAACCGTGGGGGATCACTGTAGGTACACGCCTATCTACTGCTGTCGTCGTTAGCGTTTACCCTCGTACCAGAATCGAGTGACTGTAACGGGGGCTCCGGCACAAACCTACCTCTTAATTCCATCTCCGTGATGATGGGTTGGAACCATCTTTCTTGCAATGTTCCGTGCTCCGTAAGCAAATGACCTGCGCGGGCCTCTCTATACTGAGTCCCCCAATCCGTTCCGCTCTCGATCAAGTGATCGAGCAGGTGTCGTACCTGGCTGTCGATGGGTACGAAGGTGACATACATGATCGTCGGGTAAGTAGCAATTTGGTTGAAGCTCAGAGGCGAAGACAACAAGCCCGTACGACCACAGGTTGATGTACCGCATTTCGGGTGCAGGAACCTCTGTGACTGTGTCATGTATCCCATGAATCTCCCCGAAGCCCTGTATGTAATAATTCCAAGATTGCTGCAATAATCTCGTATCGGATCCCAGCATCACTCAACACATTCATGGACCGAATAGGGAAAGTAGTTGACCTTTCTGTGGGTATCAACGTACGGCATCTCACACGGACCTGTGGTGGCTTCATAACTCGCTCAACAACCATGTTTGCTGGGAAGAGTGTCTTCTAGGGATTTCGGCCATGGCAGCCATGACTGTTGTCGGCGTTAGCGTTAGCCCTTGTACTTGATTGATGCCGACGGAAGGTCCGCCATGAACTTACTACGCCATCTCATTTCCCCGAGTTTGCCCTTTACTCAACCTGGAAATCCCATGGGATTCCAGATAATGCTGCCCCTACGACTGTTATCGGCGTTAGCGTTAGCCTCAGTACCATACTCGAATGATGGCGGCGGCGCTTCAGGATGAACTTACTCCTCCACTTTAACTCCGCGATGATGGCATTATACCATCGTTCGCGATCGGTTCCATGATCCGCTAGAAATGAGCCCTCGCGGGCTTCACGGTATATCCTACCCCAGTCGCGACCGCTTTCAATAAGGTGGTCTAGTAAGTGCCGGACCTGAGCCTCAATGGAGATAAAGGCGACGAACTCTGCGTAGGTAGCGGTTAGTGGATCCCCGTTCGTATGGTTGGCAAATTACTTGCGAGTATCAAAATCAACAAGTCGTCTGTAAGTGTTGTTGTCAGTACGATATGCCAGTGCTAGAGAAAGTATCATCAACCATGGATGGAAGACGGGAGCTAGAAAATCCCTTGCTATACTTACGACATTTCTGCTTTCTCGATGATTTACCGATGATTCTTGATAAATTCGGATGACTTTTTGCGTTGGAGATGTACAAAGTTGCGTAGCCTCTCGTTGTAGCAAGTGATGGGGAGAGAGATTTTTGGCAACAGCAGGGCAAGCCGCGGACGATTTAATACTCGAGCAAATCGACTGGCAACCACAAGACCCGCCGGCAAACAATTCACAAAGCGAGGAAGGAGCGCAAGGCCTTGTTCACACCTTTTTAAGGGTCCTTCACCGAACAACAAAGCCCCCCCTGAGACACCTGGCCAGGTCACTTGGGTCTGCCTGCCTCTTCCCCCCAAACCCTCCCCAGGTCCGCAGCCGTCGCTGAGTGACCATTTCACTTTTCCTTCCATCGCTTTTACGAGCAAAGCGGCGGCGGTGGTCTGTGGGCGGTGTCGGCAGAGTCTACACCATTGAAGCAAAAATGACCCGGGAAGTCCTCACTGGTTTGGCCGGCCGCCTTTCCTCTCTTGTCGTTGTAGGCAATGTATTCGGTTGCGGCCCGGGGCAGTCATCAATGTTAGCGATCAGACCCGTGTAAACGTGGTCCTTTTGCTGCAATAGCTCTTCCATCGGCGGTCGAGCAGGCGGAGGCTGGGAAGAACTCGGCGTTCTAACCGGTCGTCATGTCCATGTACAAATATAACTTCAAGTGGATACTGCGTGTCAACGCCTGAGGTCAGGTCCTAACTAGCACCACGGCATCTTCAGGAACATCAATATATCTACAAGTGAAGGGATGACAGGTCATGGCGCAAATGATGACTGGACCATGACTGGAGATTGAGAGGTTGAGCATGCTGGATTCATTTGGGAGAAGACTGGATTTATAGATTGATACAGCCAGGTAAACAACTCGGATGGAGAACGCAGGCATACGGTCGCCGACTCCAACAGCAGCAAGGGCAAGCTGCCGTGGTGTTTGGGGAAAGCAAACTCGACGGTCATCGCCAGCTCCAACGCGGATTGTCCAACGCCGTACGGGCAGTACCGCGTTTTCATGCTCTCTATGGCAAGAAGGGCTTTGACTTTCGCCAGTCATGGTTCCCCAATCTCTCTGTTTCCGTCACAGGGTCTTCTTAGCCGCTGTTGTTTCCTATCACGGGCCCATTCTCGTCCATGACGCGACATGGTCCGCTCCTTCCCCATAGTGTTTTCCATGGCATTTTGGCCTTCCGTAGCGAGCAACGCAGCAGAAAGGGCCGCCTTGTTTGAGCTGGATGGCGGGAGGATGTTTGCGTTTAACAACTGGGTTGTCTAATGAATGTTTGCAAGTACCGTCAGTTGTTATCATCGTGATTTATGTTTGCAAGTAACGTCAGTCATTGTCGTGGATGACTTGCCACTTACCTGCCTAGTTGACTGTGAATACCTCATGTCTTCGCCTTTTGCCTCGCATCCTGGGACGCGTTCTCGCGGACTGATTGATGCTACCGACGACCTCCTTTTGGACTGGACCCTCCCAGAGCCTCTGATCTGTACTATAAAGGAAAGAAGCATTGCCACAGCGGTTTCTGTCATCCGGCCGCCTAAGTTTCCATGACGGAGCCTAAAACATGGGTTGAAAACATTGAGCTCCCAGCATGTACTCTGTTCATCCGAACAAGCAAGCAAAGCCAGTCTGCTGCCATCAGCGGCTACGCGTCTACGAAAACAGCAATACCAGCTCATCTGACTCATCCCATGAGTCACCTGGGAGATGGAAACGCGAGATTCCTTCAGTCGATAATTACCAGAAGCATTCTTCTGTGACCACGGGACCGAAGACCGAAATACGACACGGGCTTTGTTGTGTCAAATGTTTGTTTCGGTTTTAAGTTGAAGCCACTTCCGACTGAAACTGCCAGTGCATTTCGTTTTTGTCTTTCACTTTGTCTAGAACTACCCATCTCATAAATAAGTAACCCCCGTCTTCGCCTTGTCCCATCTCCACGCCTTGTCTCATCTCTGCAGTCTCCTCCTCCAGGTGAAATGTCCCTTTGGATTCTCCGCGAGGACCCTCATCGCTTCCGCATCCCCCGCCGTCTCCCCCCTCTCCATTACCACCGCCTCGTGCGCAAGCTTCGCATACTTGCCCGCTTTCTTCGCATCCCCAAGCATGTTGTAGTTCAACGCGACAAGCGTGTACGCACCCGCTACCTTCGCATCAAGGCTCTCCTCCTGATACAACCTCACCAGCCTTTCCAACAACTCCCCATTAACCCCTTTACTCGAAATATCCTCCAATTTCCTTTCAATCTGCAGAATCTCCTGCACCCTCCGATCCGACTTCGCCGCCTCCTTCTCACCCAACATGCACTGCGCGCACGAACACTTGAACCCCCACACCTGCTGCGCCCGGGCCTGCCTTGCGGCCCGCGGCTCCAGCGAGTCCAGGTACGAGATGGCCAGCTCCTCGCCCGGCTGCACGTCCCGCACGACAGTGGTGGTGTGTGCCAGCGTGCGCGGGTCGAGATGGAAAACCACGTTGGGACGGCAGTCGTGGTTGAAGCGCGACGCGTGCGGGTAATTGGCGTAGTGCTGGCCGCCAAGGCCGCCGCCACCGCCTAGGTCCAGCTGGAAGGAGTTTGTGGCGAGGATGGCACTGATCTTGTGGGCGAGGGAGTGGTATTCGTGCTGTTCGTGGTTGGGGTCGGAGTGGCTCATTTGGGAGAGGAAGGCTTGCTGGAGGGGAGCAGGTAGCTGGGTGACTGCTGCTTCGAGGAGTGGTATTTGAGCGTGCGCGGGGAGCTCCTCGAGAAAGCTGCGGTGGATGAGCACGGCGGGAGGGACCTGCATGAGGCGGTCACCGCGGCGGAGGGTGGTGTTGGCCACGAGACCAAGGCCCTTGCCTTTGATTTCGGCGAGGTGGAATGGCGGTGGCGCGGTTAAAGAGCTTCCATGTGCGTTTGGGTCGTCGAACATCTTCTTCAGCCTTTTGAGGTTGGAGTTGGTGGTGATTGTGACCATCCCCCTGCCGCCGGCGAACCCATGGTTTGCGTAAATGCAAAAATGGTCGGCGCACCGGCCTGTGGAGTCCCACCTTGATGGCGGTTGACCCGAAGCTGCTTGGTTTCCCTTGAATTCCTTCGCTATTCTTTCGTCTGATATAAATTGCTCTTGAATCTCGTCGATTCCGCAGACAAGCTGGGGAGGGGGTGGTCGCCAGAGGCATAGATTTGGCAAGGACAATGCAGCGCAAGCGCGCTCAGCCAGCATCACAAAGAGAACGGCCCGCATTCCTTTTGTCTTTTGCTATATTCTGAGCTCAGCCTACGACCTGTGACAGAGTTCTACCTGCTATTACTACATGGAAGAGATGTGAAGTTGAACTAAGGTTGTCGGTGTTTAGAGTTTCAGATGGCGACTGAAACACTCAGGGGCAAGCTGCCAGCTGCCAAGAACAGTTCACCCCTGAGACCAAGGGTGGCAGGTGCAATTATAGAAATCCGCTTGGCTTTTGCGGTATTTATTGTGGTTCTGGCGGGGCCTTCCCACCTTGGCTCAACCTTAAGTCACTCCAACTGCACAGAAAATACCACTACATACTTTCCCAGCGTTTCAACTCCCGCTTCTTGACATTCTCCATATAAACCGACAGCATTCAAACTCTCGACCTGTGAATTGGAGTGGTTGGGATACTCGCTCTGAGTTCGAACTCTTTCTCCATGTGAGTACGAGCCGTCATCAAAATTATCGAACCCATGTCATCGAGGTGCACTGAGCTACCCTTTCAGCTTCTGGGTCCAGAATCATCCAGATCACGTCCTACCCAACCAAAGACGTGAAATTTCGAACAACTTCGATTGATTTCCCATCTGCACGTCTCAGAAAAGGAAGGACGGCTTCGGCTGGATAAAGCGCTTCAGCATGTCCAGTGGCAGTCAGCAGGTAAGTACTAGATAGTAAGATCGCGACGAATGGGCCATGCGGCCAATACCTCGTAACCTCAATGAGAAGCGCTGACAAACCCTGCGTCAAGAACAATAGGGGAACCGGTTCCAGCCCGGGTGACATACTCGCAGACCTTACGAGACGTAGTCGGGCCCTTGCCGTCCAGTTGGAGCAGCTTCCAACCTTCGCTCGCATGGACGACGACCAGCGTGATATTATCGTTTGAAATCAAAGAGAGAATTAACGTCGTTCGCGAACTCGAGCAACTGGTCGCCGAGCTGAATCACCTGGCTAAGGCCCCAAACAATTGTCAGTGCAACATATGCATGTATCTCCCCAGTCGATGGGAAGTTTAACTTGCCAAATCGACATTTAAGAACTTTCAATGGCGCCAGGATCGTAATCGGTTCGTGGAGTTAGTGGCGGCTGCTTTGGGGCGAACGGGCTTTTCATGAGTTAAGTAAACGATCACAATAAACCAGGAGTATGAAAGGAAGGGCGTCATGGTGTATGGAGCGACTGAATGGCAAGACTTCTCTTTTTCTGCGGCTCGAGTGTCAAGCGGGTAGTGACTGATGTGATGGAACCGAGTCCCCTACACGTCTGCCGTGTGTTCAAGTTGCTGGCAGCAAATCAGTCCGGTGCATTGTTGTCTGCGAGGTACCTTACACCATGGTGAGACGTACAAACCCGTCGTCCAAGCTATCCCTTCACTGGTCCAAACATGGCAGTCCTCCCCCTCAAGCCAGATCAACGCCATTACCCTCCGACCGCTCCCCACTATCCCTCGTCATCTCCCACCCGCGACCTCTATACCGCTTCGGCCAGATTCCGCACCGTCCCGGCGCCAGAATCCCCTGCGGATCCAGCGCATCCTTCAGCCTCTCATTAAACTTCATCAGCGCCCCATCATTCCAGTTATACGTGCCCGCCACCTGATCCATAAGCACCAGATGCGTCCGGTACTCTCCATAGCCCAACTTAGCCGCCTCATCCACCATATCCCTTAGACACGCCAGCGCCGCCTTCCGCTGCCCAGCATCCGCTCGGTCAAACACAATCTCCACAATCAGATGCATCTCTCTCAGCCCCACACAAAAGGCCGGAAAGAAATCAATCCCGTATCGCTCATGCGCCTCCTTGCCCAAGGCAAACAACCTAGCAGCATCGGCGCCGCGGATGGGCGAGACGGGGCTGAAGGCGATATGCGCGCCATTAGGTTGCCAGTTGACCCAGCGCAGCTCGTGTATATCAGGAACCCCGCGAGCGACCCGGTCGCGCGCCCAAAAGTACTCGTCCGCGGGGAGAGTCGAAGGGTCGATGCGCCGTGCCCCTGGGATCCGTCGGAACGCGGCGTCCACCAGCGCCAGCTTGTGCGCCCGCACTTGCGGCGGGCCGTAGGACATCCCGTAGTACGCCCACGCGTGGTCGCCGACGGGGGTCTTGGCTGCCGCGGCGTGTACGGCTTCGCTGGGCATCGGGCCGGAGCCCGAGTAAAATTCGGTGCGTGGGCGGCCGCGTGCTGCGAGGGCCTGTGTTACGTGCCGCAGCTGGGCGACGTTCTCGAGGATGTTGGAGATTCGGAGGGGGCGGATGATGTCGATCTGATCGGGTTGGCATGATTAGGATTGGCTGTTGCTGGATTGAGACGAGGCAGAGGTAGCTTACAAGCGGAGCGAGGTCCTCCTCTTTGGGAAAGGTGTACATCTGCTCGAGGTTAGGCCATGCTCCTCGGAATAAGGGGGAGAACGGCCCTACAAACGCTTCGTGTCCGCCTGGATTCGGCATCAGGGTCATGCCCATCTTGGTCACGATGCCAAAGTTGGACTGCGAAAAGATACCACTGGGAAAAGCACCGTCAGTACCGAGAACGGACTGTGATAGCCGCCACACACTCACTCCGAAAACGGCCCGAATCCATACGGGAACGCCTGCCAGGTATTATTCCCCGGCAGCGCTCCCATGCCGGTCCTAATGACTTCGCCAGTCGGTAAAACCACCTCCAGACCCGAGTGACAAGCCCAGTGGTCGCCATAGGGGGTGTAGCCGACACCGCGGTCGACCGTGTTTCCAATGATGGATCCGCCCCCGAGATCAGGTGTGTCAATCCACATGTGATCCTCGAGTCCCCGCTCCTTGATGGCCTCGTAGAGGGCATAAAAGGAAACCCCCGGCTCCACGAGACACGTGTAGTCTTCAGCGTTGATGTCCAGGATCTTGTTCATGCGCTTCCCGAGGTCGATGGTCACGGAGCCACGGACTCGAGGCGCCGCGCCGCCGTATCCCACTGTCACGACATGTCAGCTCAGGTTCCCGTCATTTTGGGTTCAGGGGCGACCGCACAATTCCGGCCCATCGATATCGGAAAGATGGGGATCCGATACTTGTTTGCCCAGAGGACGATTTGCTGCACTTCCTCCGTGCTGCCCGGGTAGACGATAGCTGAGGCAACGAATTCTTCCTCGTCAAGGATAGTCATCATGTCGTGCGTGTTGGGGTCTGTCTTGGTAAGCGTTCTGAATCTCATAACGCATCCTTTGAAAAGGAAGCTGGGCTACGAACGTTCCATGTACCTGCTCATCCCATCAGCAAACGCATTTGCAGGGCCGGGCGTTTCTTACCAGCCGTCCTTAAGAGGCTTGTCGTTGATCTCAACATTTTCTTGGCCGAGCTGCTCCTTGAGCTCGGCGAGTGCCTTGAGGAACTCGTCTCTTTCAATGCCCTGTGGCACAACCGGCAGCCTTTGGCGTTCATTTTGCGGTTTTGTTCTCGTTTCGAAAATTACCTCCTTTTCTTTCCGCGCCTTCTCGAGCAAATAGGCGGGTATACCCGAGTGGGCGCTGGGGAGAGTTGGCACGTCCGAGTGGGCTTCAGCTGCGAATGACATGGTGTCTCAATACTACGTGTGGTTATAGTGGATTCGTCCAGGTAACAGATCATGTTGATTCCTTTCCGGCGGAATCACAACTGACTGTCAGATAATAATACACACGGGCGGAAACACAGAGCCGCGGCTTACCCCGCGGAGGGGTGCGCGCATCGGACCCTTCTCCGCATGTGCCGGCAGGCGATTACCTTCCAAGGCCTCCCCCTCACGGCCCGCACCCGGCCGGTATCCCCCGCAGGCACGGTGCAAATGCTACTTCAAGATCCCGATGTCTGATGAACTTCTTAATCGGGTATTGTTCAGCGTCCGCAGTCGTACGTGGCAACCATGCAATCCTAGAAGCTAGGGAGCAATATTAATGTCTCTGATCAATAATAGTGTTTGACCGTCTTTACAGCGGTCTCCAGAAAAGCTTCGCTCTGCGATTTGCTCGCCTGTTGATGGGTAGACGTCATGGGGTTCCTTGAGACAGTTGTCCACATCTTCCATGAACCAAACCACTCATGAGAGAACCATCTGCACGTGCTCGGGATGCAGCCTGTCCCACGCCGGTTTCCATACCCGGCCGAGAGCCTTCCGATAGGTGAAATCTCCGTCTCGTTCCACCCAGAGGACGCTATAGAATTCATAGACATCAACATCCTTCATCTCAGGAATAGCCCCAACTTCAGACAGAAGCCCCGTGTCCCGCTTCTGGCCTCCCAAGTTTGCGATTCCGCCAGAGATCATGACAAGTTCACACCTCTCACCTGTCGGAATCTCGCCCTCGCTGGAGGTGTTGAGGTGAAGCATACCTACCGATCTGGAGTCTGCGTCAACCAGAGTGCACTCAACACAGAACGGCACGTTTCGCATCGCTATGTTGCACCAAATCTTCATATCTACTCGGGACGCTCTGTCGCGTAGCCGAGTTCCCACAAAGGCGAATATACGGGATGATTCAAAGGATAATTGCGTCTCCCAGCGGTCGTCTCCTGATTCTGCACTCCAGGGCCCAATTGGCAGCGGAAACCGGAAGTTAACTCCCGGGATGTCTCGATGCCTGAAGACCAGCCTTGAGGTTCCTTTGTCTGCGGATCGCCGACGCCACCGTGTTGCTACCGGCCACATCCTCCAGCAAACGCAAGCACTCCTCCAGTTTCTCCGTGACAGTCCGGGACTCGCGGATTCTGGAATAGTATCTATTTGGACTCGCGACCATCCTGGGGGTGTCTCCAGAGAAGAATCGTTTGCATAGTTCTTCCAAGATTCGTACTCATTGATGATGAGATGGTTCTTTCCTGTATGGCGGTCCGTCTTCTGCCAAGACACCACTGGATGGATCGAAACAAGCATCTGTCCTTGGTTCTTCCCTTCCATCTCTTCCAGAACAAGTTGACTTGATAATCCGAGGTAGCCAGTAGTGACATTTCCTTGCCATCCTACCCACGACCAGCTGGGGAACGAGGTTGCCCGAGTTGGGTCTGTCCGTCGGATGACTGGCGTGCTGGGGTACCACAACAGCCCATAGTCAAAGTACAGTTCCGGAAGCCCATGGAAGAAACCTCCTTTGAAGGTGCGGCTCAGCCTGGCAAGGATGGCCGAGAAGGCTCTGAGGCCGTCAGACGGGTATGTAAGGAGCCGTCTGCTGTAGGATGACACTAGGTGTTCATACTGACGCAAATCCGGCCACCGTGAATGCGTAAAGTTGTAGTGGCCGCCTCCTATAGCTGATTTTGACGTGGTTGTCATTACTCCATCTGGCTCGGCGGCAACGTCCTCTGACCACCTTGACTTGCGGCATTCCCAGAGCAGCCTACCCCTGAAGAAGACAACGTTCCTGGGTGATAAAATCCGCTCCTGGAAGGTCCATCCACGCCTGTGCCATGTTGTTGTACGCGAATTGTGCTGAGTCTCGTCTTCGAGGCGGGCCATCATAATGCAATGGTCTGTGAACCTGAGGAGGTTTTGATTGTACGACCGAGGGAGAGAACCACCTCCAATGCCACGTAAGCCATAATCTGCATCGTCCCCATCAGCGGCTATGATGGTGAAGTAAGAGTTTGCATAGATGGACGACATATGGCCAAGTTGCTCCTCGAGGGAGCTTGGATCATCTTGGACGATACACAGTCTGTCGACCCAGAGATATCGCTGATGCATCATCCTGGTAAAGGAAATTGCGTCAGCAACAGTCCTTGGTAGCGGGTTGTGGTTGGCTTTATCTGCGAGCGCTCCATGAATCCGAAGGTCCTTGAAGTTGCTCTTGGTTGTCTCAAGAACACCGGGGATCGTTCCCCAGACATAGCTCAGCGTCACATATGTTACTGGTTTGCGTATCTCGATTAGGCAGAGATGTTCAACATCGATGAGGATGAGATAACTTGGCCAGGATGTGTTCTGCCAGGCAGGGAGTGCATGGCATATCCCTCCATGGTGATGGTCGCAAAAGGAGGTCCAGAGACGTGGTCGACTCAAATCGATCCAGCTAGCATCGACCGGAATGAAATGATCAGCTTGAGGCGCAAGCTCGTAAGATGGAACCAAGTCGAGGAATTTATGAAATTCGCGGCATGGTTCTTCGCCATCTATGCGTTCAAAACACGTCTATGCGTTCCAAGTTGTAAGCATAGGAGCATTGGTATTTGAGGGTTTTAACGCCTTAGGTATCGCTGCCAACTTACTGGCATGAGCATGAACGTTAGATCAGAACCACCAAAAATACGGATCGGACATCGACGAAGCTGGCAGCCGGGGTTATCTGAGAGAAAAAAGCCAACCAAAAACTGGCATACAGGGCAATCTTTGTTGCGTTGGAACTCAACAAGATGCCATGCAAGCAATATATCAAACAAATAGTTCCTGCGAGCTATAGTACGTAGCATTAGACCGCCGAGGCGTTCGCAAGTCTGACACTGAGGTCTCTGCTCCATAAGGGCTGTATAACAGTCGAAGTTGAAAACTGATGACCACCGGAGGAACAAGATTGGAAGCCTCGTTAATTGATGTAGGCAGTTGCGTGGGACGTTCCTGTCTCGGGAGGGAGTGACGCGACCGTTTATAGCCTAACGCTCCTGCCTCGTTCGCATAAGGTACCTTACCAACGGTTCGGCTGACTGCTGGGCTGAACGGTCCTTTAGCCGTCCCCGGCTGTTCGAGCAAAACTGCACCACTGCCACCGCACAGCCATCACACTGGCAGCCTCCCGTCCCCCCTTTTTAGGCCTGTTTGCAATCTCCGTATCTCGGCAACAGGTAGGTGCGTACTGAAACTGGAAATCAATATAGTAGTCCTTATAGTAGTGTTTGGTTCGTGGTACATATGTGCGATATTATTCTCCCCGACTGCAGTCTGGGCAGTGCCATGGTAAGGTAGTATTGCACTTCATATACTAGCTGATATTGTTTGAGTGCTCAAGACTGGACAAGCGGACAGCTGAATTCCAGGTTACTTGAGTACTACCGAGCAGGGAGACGAAGGTTCTTGACCCTACGGGCACCAATACCACCTAAATAACCTGATAACTTATGTATCTATAGGACAGAACCCAATGCAGGGGAGGAAATCTCATTGCAATAGTAGGACTAGCACTGTAAGCATGCTGATAACATTGGTGCCCACGATGTACATGAAGCCAGCTAGGTCCACGGTAGGCGCCAGGGTGAGCCCGCATTGTAACACTAGTAATCTTTTCTCGATTGCCTCTTCGTTCTTGCGGTACAGGACATTGGTATATTATTATTATTCCTACCCCGCTATGCCTATCTAACAGGCTCCTCGGAGGACATTGGTATATCAAGGCACCAGATTAGTAGTCTTGATCAGGGCTATTTATTGCTACTAGTAGAGTAAGGGGGTGTCTCTGACAATACACTGCAGTGTGTCTCATGCCAATGTAGTCCGGCACTAGCGGATTGAACTCTAATGATAACATTATGGGACCTACGAAGTAACATGATGTTTACTAGCTATCTTGGGTGCTATATACCTAATGTCTATATATGGCTGGTACTTGCTAGTGCCGGACTATACTTGCCAGTGCCGGACTATACTTGCCAGTGCCGGACTATACTTGCCAGTGCCGGACTATTACGCCGTGAAGAGGAAGGTTTAACTAGCCCGTACATGTAGTAACAGAGGCCCCCTCTTCCCTGCTAGGAGAAATACTTCAATAGTAATGGGAACATCATTATTTACTTACCTAAGGCCAATCGAGCCAGAGGAACCAAGGTGCGAGCACTCCTCCCCGAGTACCCTCCTCATGCCGGGCGCAAACCTTTTAGTAACCCGTCTCTGGCAAGCTATCACATACACACTCAACCGGTGACGTCATCCATAACCGTCCGCTAGCGTCTAGGGGCAGGAACCGAAACAAGAACCCTATCCGTACTGCTTTTTATACCGGGAACCTTCAGCTGGAATTCAGCATTGTCAACACTCGGAACTCAGAACGAAGCCCCTTCACCATCCGTCACAAAATTTTCACCATGGCCCAGGCCGACGTCCAGCAACCCCCTGACTACAACCTTAACGGCAACCTGAATCGCCGCTGGGTATGGTTTATAACGGGCCCAACCGCGAGCGGCAAGACGACCATTGCCAAAGCTCTCGCCCAAAGCCTCGGCTTCATCTTTGTAGAAGGCGACGATGTCCGTACTCATCCCCCTATTCCCATCCATCCTCGTCGACCTTCATTCCCTGGACCTCCCCTGAGAAGCAACCCGGTACCCCTACATACACTCATGACACAGACCGACCCCATAACTCACCATAAAGCTAAGCTAAACCATGCCTAACAGTACCACCCACCACAAAACCGCGACAAAATGTCGCACAACATCCCCCTCACAGACGCAGACCGCACAGCCTGGCTGCGCGCCATCCACGACCGCGAAACGTCAAACTCTGCATCATCACCACCGCCATCATCTCCGGCACAGCAACAGCGACAACAGCAGCAGCATCCCGATGATCCCAACTCAAACAACTTGATAATAACCTGTTCAGCACTCAAGCGCAAATACCGGGACGTGCTCCGCGGCCGCCACCGTGACCAACCCCAACTCGATGATGATCATGATGCCGACACCCCACCTGCAGCTGCACGCACTCCGAGTCAAAGTCAAACTCTGCCACACATCCGCTTTGTCCTCCTCGACGTAGACGCATCACTCCTCCGCGAACGCGCGGCCCAGAGGAAGGGGCACTTTGCCGGCCCCGGGCTAGTGCAGAGCCAGTTGCAGGATCTGGAGCGGCCGGAGGGTGACTCGGAACGGGATGTGGTTGTTGTCAGGGTCGAGAAGGACCAGAGTGTGGAGGAGACGGTTAAGCAGGTGGAGAGGCGGGTTAGGGAGGAGATGGGCAGGGAGAGGATGGAGATGAATGGGAATGGGAATGGGGAGGGGTTTTTGAAGGTGCTGTGAATCCTCGACCTCGGGGCCCGGGTGCTGTGATGGCTAGGTGAGGTATGCGGTGATTCCTGTTGGCTACTGTCCTTGAAAGGGGGTTGTCAGTGCCTGAGGAGCAGGGGAAACTTTGCGTCGGGTTAGGTACTCACTAGGATGAGAGCCATGACAGGCAGTCTACCATCCTGCACGACTCTGGCAGGGCTATCCAGGAAGGGATTCATTAGGTACATAGCTATTACTACTAGTACTACTATCAATACATGTCATCCTCCCACGTGTCAACCCGGGTACCGCTACTCGTATCCATCGTTACTGCAATACTCCGCGCCGTGAGACTGTCATGTGCGAGCAAAGAGATATGAAAGGACATGAACACCAGCGCCAACGAATGCAGATGCAGCTGGGGATGGTAAGGTAATCAAGGACAAGATGAAAGGGTATCTCAACGCAATTTTCGGTCCCCAGCCCCCTTTTTGCCCTCAAGCAGGCAACTCACGGCCCCACTCCAGTCCCCTTCCACTCCAACATCTCTTCCGTGCTCGGCAGAAACATCTTGGATTCCCTCTTCGAATTACTCGCGGCCTTGCCCATCCAGACGACATACTCGCCCCGTTTCTGGATGAGAAACGCCAGCGCCAGGGTGGGATGCACATTCTTCCTCGCGTCCTTGCGCCTCTGCTCCTCGTTTCGGCCGTCGCCGCCGTGGCCTACCGCCACCCCCGCGCTCGCGTCCTGGTGGAACATGGCCCTGGACACGGCCGAAGCGAACTGCCTGGCGTCCGCCTCCGTGATCTTCCCCCTGCCCCTGCCGCTGCCGCCGGACGGCGCGAGCAGCAGCTCCGCAAAGACGGTCAGCAGGTGCTTGGTCAGGTTGCGGTTGGCTGTGGGCAGCCGGTTGAGCGCCTCGGTCCAGAAATCGAGGCCCGTCTCGACGCGCGGGCTGGGCGGCTCGATGGCGCCCTCCTGCCGCGCGAGCAGGATCCACGACTTGACGACGGACGGCGGGATGAGCGGCTTAGGCAGTTCCTCGAGGTAGAGAAGAATCAGCCGAGCCGCGTCGCAGGGGGTGTAGTCGCTTCCTTCGAACTGGAACTCGGTGCCGTACAACGGAGGCTGGCTGAAAGTTTCTTTCAAGCTGGCTACATTGTAGGCATTGCCCGGGGAAGAGAAGATGCTGGCGTCCACGCCACCTGTGCCCAGAGTTAGTTTGCAACGCCCCATATGCCAGAAGAGAAAACCACTAACTTGCTCGGCGAATATACTCGCAGCATTTGTACACCGACAAAGGGTATGTCCTGTAGGAGGTGCTCCTTCCTTTGTGCGATATCCTGATCTTGGCTGGCGCGGCGCGTATGCTCTCGTTGAGGTCTACACCAAAGACTTGCCGGGGCTTCCTCGACTGCGGGTCGCCCAGCCAGGGCACACGGTTAAAGAACCTCATTCTCGAGCTAGCTTCGGGCGTGAACGTGGGGGATGAAGGCGAGAGTGAAAGGTCTGGCAGCTTGTCGGCGCCCCGAGGTATGAATGGCGGTGTAGCAAGCTCCAGCGGCGTTAGGCATTTCCTCTCCAGTGCCTCCTCTTCCACTGATGGACGGCCCTCCTTCCGAAGACGCGAGAAAATGCTCGTGCTAATGGATTTCCGACGAGGAATCGTGCTGCTGGGCCGCCATTCGCTCGAGCTAGCGGAGGCACTCGTTGTCGCCAACGAGCTAACGCTCTGCGCGTTGGCATGGCGGCTCTCGGCGGCTAGGAAATGTGATCTCGTGGGGTCCGCACCAGCCTCGCCGTGGCTGCTGCTGGTGAAGGACCTTTCCGTGGATGCCATCACAGAGTCGGCGTCCTCGTTCACATCGTCTCCTTCTTGAATGGTGTTCAGCCCGTCCGGCCCAGAGAGGCCCGATCGGGCCGGACTGCCGGGCATTTTGCGTGGACTGAGGTCTTGCAGGACTGGGGGCGCGGGCAAGGAGAGCGGCTCAAGTTTATTGTTCTTTGCTGCGGGGTGAGTGAGAGGGAGATAGACGTCAGCGAGTACACTCGGCGTCGCGGGCCCGGTGGCAGAAGGGCTCGAGGTTTCCCCCCTGTCCGGCGTCAACTCGGGGACGTCGCTTGGATGGAAAGAGAGAAGCGGCGACATTCCGCAGGACATGTCAGTATGGTAAAATTGCAGAGCAGATTCGCGCGGGGGCGCCGGCGGCAAAGGTTTTTCGCGTGCGGGATATCTCGGCCCCAAGGTAGGTCGTTGGCCGTTGGATCCGTGATGAGCAAAAGTATCGGCCCTCGGGCTTGTCAGGGCTGAATCTGAGTCGGCATCGATGTCGTCGTTGATGATCCCGTTCCAACTGTCTCCCCCTTCGGCATACTGCAGCAAATTGCGGATGTAGTCCGGCTGGTGGACGAGCTTAATTGTTGGGTCTGCCCGCGGTGTTTCCGACCCGCAGTCGTCACCGCTCAGTTCACTCTGGTCTCGACGGTTGCCATCCCCACCACTCCACCAGAACAGGGCGGCGGCTAACTGTTCCCGCAGTTCACCGTCCATGATGTGGGTCACAAGTGCAACGTCGGAATCCCCAGCTCTCGGACAGAGCAGGACTGTTCCCTGCTAGTTGTAACTGCGGAGTGGTGTAAAGCGACTGCGGTCTTTCATGGCATGGTTATATGATTGAGTGCCAGGCTTGTGCCGCGCGAGCTGGAAGGATCTTGTCCCAGTCCTTCGACGTGGGTAGGATTTGTATGTTGTGTAGCGGGCCGTTTCAGTACGGACGCTCCGAGAGGCGTAGCGCGGGTCCCTGCCCTCATCCATGTTCAACCGGCGCCGAGGGACGAGGTGTCTTGATGTGCGGAACCCCCGTATGCACGCATATGCAGGCGTAGTGAACTAGTGCAACTTCACTAGCTAAGGTAGGTGTAGATAAAGTTTTGATGTCAGCCAGCAGCATTGATGAACGTTGTGAACGTAGACAAAATTCCAGACTGGATGTACGATCCGGCACGTCAACATGTGCGATTCTCCTCCGAGAGACAGCCTTCGACCTTGGACGGTTCAACATTGCTGCCGATAAATCAAGAGCCATTTTTTCCTCTCGTTTTGCTGGGTTTCTCTTTCCTTCGCGTCTCTTCTGTCCCCATCCTGCAATGTCGTGAGTCGCTCTCTTCGCGCTTTCCCGAGAAGGTGTCAAGGAGCATCTTACCCCACCCAGCTATGCTTGTTTCAGATGTTTTGCAACGTTGGGCCTGCTGACCCTCAATTGATCCCCTGAAAGGCCCTTGGAGGCTAGAATTGCGAGTGCACGGACTACAATAGTATTTTAAGCTATTGTATCGTACATACACTACAATACGGTGCACACGTAATTTTGTATGCACAACACCATGCTCGTCGGAGGGTGTCCGGTCTGAATTGGTGACTGGCGGGTCTCCAATTCCATGGCACATAAAATCCTGCTTCTGTCGAGCTTCGCCCTGTCCGGTTGTCGACAGCATCACCGTCTCCAGGAGACTGTCTCAGTCGGCAGTAACCCTACTCTATATATCACATACATATATCATATATGACACCTAACTATCATCTAAGTAGTGATACGCATGGTTCGACGACGGCAGTAATCCACCCACATGTTGCTCGACTGGCACAGCACACCGCCGTTCGTCTAAACACCTTCTACATCTGATCATGGATCTTGGGCGACACATGTATTTGGCGGCGAAGAAATGCGATATTGGTAATTATGGGTATCCCGGATCACGGCCCATCCTTCCTCTGGCCGCAGGTTGGCCAACCTGCGGCACAGCTGCAGTTTGCATGTAGAATAAGGAACGAAACATGCTGGGATCGATGGCACAGCAAGTTTGCGATTTCCAACACACATTTGCATATTTTGCTACACTGCTATCCCGGGGTTAAATTCAGCTCATGCAAGGCAGTGCTTTTTCTTTGTTGCTTCTGGAGATTTCATCGATCCACAGTCTCGCTTCGATGCAAAAAGTAAAAAAAAAGGAGATGTCGTAATTACCATACACTTACCGGTATCTCCGGAGGTACGGTACCATCGATACGACTATGCGTGGGGGCTAGCATTCGAGCGAAGCAGAGCACGTGGCCCAACATCAGCCAGACAACGACTGATGCTAGGAATCTTGCCTGCCAGCCGTGCAACTCTTCTTTTTTCCCTCCCCTCTTTCTTTTGAGCAGGTGAGATGTTCCACTTGTTGTATACGCTACTGGAAATGACTTGCAGGTCCACCGTAGACCTGCCACTCCACATGGAGTTCCGTCAAGGACGGCAGGTACCCTAAGCGGGCCGACATCCTTCCGAGTTAAGCGAGAGCTGACGACAGCGAGGTGTCTCAAGTCTCAACTCCAACTTGGATTGTGATGAAATCATGAATTGCCAAGATTGATTCATGGAATACCCAACTGCATGCATCTAGGCATTTCTGAACATGCACCCGAATCCCGATCGAGATGACAAGGCCGCTCCCAAGCCTCCCATCAAGTTTATCGCCCCTCAAACCTCAAAATCGACTCAACCGTATCAGCCACACTCTTCTCCAAGCTAGTGTATTCCAGCCCAAGCACCTCCCTTGACCGGCTCACATCACACTCAAAGTGGTCATCGGGAAAGTCATCAGGCGTGTCGGCCGGCGGCAGCCTGTCCTCGAGCTGGGGGAACCTGTCTCTGATGATGGCCGCCAGCCTGGGATTCGAAAAGAAGCCGCCCACGACGTAGAACCTCTTGCCGCCAGCCCCGGGCACCGTCATGGCGCGCACGTGGGCCAGTGCCACGTCCCGCACGTCGACAAAGGTGAAGACGGGCTGCGTCGGCTCGATGCCCTCGCGCATGTTGCCCGCCACAAGGTCGTAGATCCGCTTGTTGGATGCGTTGATGGACTCGGAACTGAGGCTGTCCAGGCTGCGCGGGATTGGGCCGAACGTGTATGTGTTGTTGATCGTGGCCAGGTCGAAGTTGGGCTTTTCGGTTTCTACGAAGGACCAGGCGGCTTTTTCGGCGAATTTCTGATGTGGGGACCCCTAATTCAGTCAAGGCTCGCGAGCTGTCGTTGTGAGGGCTTACCTTGCTTGCTCGGTACGTGTGCACGGGGTTCAAAGCTTGCTCCCACGTCAAGTCGCACCAGAAGGACTCGTTGTACACTTTGGTCGGGTGGTTGGGCGGGCTCAGGATGGCTGCCGACGAGGACGTGATGACGACCCGCTTGACGCTGGGCGCGAACGCCTTGATCGACTTGAGGATCCCCGTGGTGCCCTTGATGGCAGGGTCGAGGCACTCCTTCACCGGGTCATTCCAGGTGAACTGGTACGGCGATGCTGTGTGCACAACATAGTCGAATGGCGGGTTGGATTTGACAGCCTGTGCCTTGCGTCAGGTTCGGTCAGGTTCTTTGGGTGGTGGAAGAGGGGATACCTCATCAAATGCGCCCTCATCTGCGACGTTTCCAACCACGACGTACGAAACGTTCTTCTTTAGCGGGGTATCGATCGACTGGATGATTCGTTGCCCCTTTTCCTCCGACCGCGCCGTCACCACGACCTCAAAGCTGCTCCGGTCATGCGCGTTAGTACCCTTGATCCCGAGCCGTCACCGTTTGTCTCTTCATCTTACCCATGGTCTAAGAGACAGTCCAGAACGTGCGACGCCACGAAGCCGGTTCCGCCTATTAAGAGTCTTAATCAGCGGCCCGTCAATTTACAGCGTCATTATCACTGAGGTTACCAGTTAACAGCACTTTGCCCTTGCTGTGAGCACCGGGAGCCTCGGTGGCGGTCATGTTGGCAATCAACTTGAACAGTTGGCGTCGAAGATGAGAGAATAAAGGTAAGGTGAACGGTGGAATGAGATTTGGGGAGGAGCTGGATTAATGTGAGTCAGCGCGTATATAAGTTTCCGAGCGTATTCGTGAGCGTATTTTGTTTGCTGATGGTGAGAATCGGTCCGAGCATCCCGCGTAAGTAACGGATTTATCAGACGTACCTTGGCGAATTGGAGCCTAACGATGCGATATAGACAGTTCTCAACACGTGCAACCGGGCTGCGCTCTCTCGCACCACTCTCCGGGGGTCCGACGGTCTGCCGTAGCTCCCCACCCAAGGCCGACGGCGTCTGCAAACCTCCCACCTAAGGCCTGAGAAATGATACAGGTGAGGTTAAAGCCAAATTTACTCCGTGCCCATTGTGCAAGCTACATTTGCACCTGTTCCGTCATCGCAAGCCCGCAAACAGGGGGTCGAAGCCATCTAGGACAACCGCAGGCTCTGAATAGGGGTAAGGCTGCAGAGAAGCCAAGGTAAGCGCCCGATATCAACAACACAGACTGGCAAATGCTAACACCTTTATGCACCTGGGCCAGATACGTACGAAGCAGACGAGTTGCGGGGCCACCTTGACTAGCAACTAAACGCGTCCCAACCGACGCAGACCTACTTCCAACGGCTCAAAATGCCTTCGGCAGTTGACACCCAAGACAACGGCCTGCACGTCGCCATCATCGGCGCGGGCATCACAGGCATCAACCTGGCGCTAGGCTTGCAAGCCCGCAACGTGTCCTTCGCCGTCTACGAGCGTGCGCCCGAGTTCCGCGAGATCGGGGCGGGCATCGGCTTCAGCCCCAACGCGGAGCGGGCTATGGGCCTGCTCAGCCCCGCGGTGCTGTCGGCCTTTAAGCGCGTCGCCAACCCCAACGGCGAGGACTACTTCCAGTGGATCGACGGCTACGGCACTGACGAGCTGCTCTTCAAGCTGCACGTGGGCAAGGACGGGTTCCAGGGGTGCCGGCGCAGCGACGTGCTCGAGGAGTGGGCAAAATTGCTGTCCGACGGCGCGGTGCAGTTTGGTAAGGAGCTCGACACCATCTCTTCCGAGTCGTCCGCGGACGGGAACCGCCAGCCGCTGCGGCTGCACTTCAAGGACGGCACCACGGCGCTCGCCGACGCCGTCATTGGCTGCGACGGCATCCGGTCGCGGGTGCGCGAGCTAATCCTCACCAACCCCGAGACTCAATCCGTACCCACTTCAGCGCACCCGCACTACACGCAAAAGTTCTGCTACCGTGCTCTCGTGCCTATGTCCCGCGCCGTGGCCGCCGTGGGCCCCTACCGCGCGGGAACGCGCTTTATGTACAACGGCCCTGGGGCACACGTCATCACGTACCCTGTCGGCGGCAACACGGTGCTGAACGTGCTGGCCGTGCTGTCAGATCCGAGCCCCGTCTGGCGGCCTCTGCTGCCAGGGTCTGACACAGAAGACAACAACAACAACAACAACAACAACAACAACAACGTGATCAGTGTCAACAAACACACAGCCCCAGGCAGCAAGGCCGAGGTGGAGGCCGCGTTCGCCGCGTGGCAGCCCACCGTGCGGAGCATTGTCGCCTTGCTCCCGGAGGAAGGCATGGACAAGTGGGCCATCTTTGACATGGCCGAGCACCCGGCGCCGGGGTATGTGCGGGGCAGGGTGTGTGTGGCGGGTGATGCGGCACATGCTACCGGTCCGCATCTGGGTGCCGGGGGTGGGATGGGCATTGAGGATGCGCTTGTGTTGGCGGAGTTGTTGGCTGAGGTTGACCGGCGTGTGCGTGTGCGAGCACCGGGATTGGAGAATGAAGAGAGGGAACTTGAACGGGGAAAAGAGAGGTTGGTGGAGACGGCGCTGGCATTGTACAATGCTGTGCGGTACGAGCGGACGCAGGGCGTGGTTCGCTCGACCAGGGCGGCATGTGATTTGTTTCATTGGAAGGATCCGGCCGTGGGGAGGGATCCGGAACGGTTTGGGAGAGAGATCACGGGGATGTTTCATGCGGTTTGGGATTATGATGTTGAGGGGATGGTTGTGGGGGCGCTGGCGCAGTGGGATGCGAGGGCGGAAAAGCTGTAGGTGGATATGAATGGGAGATGTCAATTTGCTGGTTGTTTGGATCAACATCCAGGGTTGTCAAAGGGAGTCTAGCTCCATCCCTCCGGGCTAGCATCAGTTCTTGACTACGCCATCAGGCAGGGGACGCTGAAGGAACCATGCCAAGTCACTCTCAGCTGGACAACGCTGTAAGTACTAGTAGCATCTCAAGGCAACTGTGAGATCACGAGATTCTATACCAGCGATCATTGCTTAGTATCAGCACAAGAGCAGACTTTGCCCCTCGTCAAGCCTACGACACTAGTCCAAGTCCATCCATCCTTGGATCTCGTCCAGGGTGAGGACGTAGTCACTGTTATAGACCTAGCAGGTGTTAATCTCATTGTCTTCTCTTTAGAAGAAAACCAACAGGACTTACCTTTCTCAAAGTCTCCAGCGAGTTCCAGTCGGGGTTGTTGATGAAGGTGTCCCCCCACACGGCAAACCACAGCCAGTGTGCCTCGTACGCCTGCAGCAGGTCCGGGAGCGGCGCGGCACCGACCTCGGCGGCGGCAATCATCTTCTTGTCCTTGCCCAGCTCGATAAGCTGGTTATACTGTGTCGACATTGGCTAGTGAGGTTGTTGTCCAGTCAGCAACGCATCGATAAACAAACAACCCCCCTCGGGGCCCCCCTGAACTGAACTTACCCCATTCCCCTGCGCATACACATCCGCACTCAAAATATCCACCGTCTCATCCCCCGGGTACCACTCGGGCGCAATCGAATTCCACACCCAAAGCAGGTTATTTATCTTATGATAATTCGTCAGCCGGTCATACAACAGCCCCCACAACTTCTTCGCCGGCTCAGGCCCCTTCGCACCCCACCAGAACCACCCTCCCTCCGCTTCATGCAGCGGCCGGAACAGCACCGGCACGCCCGCATCCTGCAACCTCTTAAGCTGCACCGCAATCGCATCAATATCCCGAACCAACAACGTATAGTTCGCGTTACTCGTCGAACTGAGCGCCGCAGCAACATCAAAATCCGTCGCGCGCGTGTAGAAGCCGCTCCACCAGGGGTTCTCGGCCGTGTCGTACAGGCCTGTGGGGGCGTTCCAGTGCCAGAGGACAGAGACGATCCCCCCGCGTTGGTGGTGGGCGATGGCGTCTTCGATTGAGGTTCCCACCGTCCCCCGCTCGACGCGGGAGGGGGAGTAGTCCATCAGATCGACTGACAGTAGAGCAGGGGTCTTGCCGATTGTTTGGGTGACCCAGTTCGCCCAGGAGAGGTCCTGCTGGCCGGAGAGGATGAAGCGCCCGTAGATTGAGGAGCGGAGGTAGAAGTAGAGTTGACGGGCGGGGCTGTCGGCGGCAGGGTTGATGGGCAGGTCGGTGATTTGGTGCTCTGGGCGCGGGGAGGAGGGGGTGAGGGTGATGGAGTCAATTAGGTACCAGCCCCAGTTGGAGACGATGTCGATTGTGTTGTTGCCTGCGTTGAGGAGGAGTTGGCCGGCGGGGACGGTGGTGAAGGAGGTGCCGGCTGTGAAAGAGACTTCGCTGGCTGCGCCGTTGTTGAGGATCACGGTGGTTTTTTTGTCGCCGTAGATGGCGGCGTAGCGGATGCTCAAGTCGTAGAGCTTGGTCGTGGCGCTGGAGACGGTGAAGGTGATTTTGTCGGTGGACTGGTCGAAGCCTGTCACGTAGCCGGTGCCTGAGATGCGACTGTCAGTATCAGATCTTAGATGGAGCTGAATGGATGGGTGGGTGAGTGAGCATTGGAAAAATGGGTCCACACCGGTGTATCCAGCCTGCGCAGTGTCAACGTTGGTTCCAGTCAAGACGGCATTCTCGGCCTCAAAGGTGCGCGATTCGTCCCTTGGTACACACGGCGCAGCAATTGCTACCACACCCAGCGCTGCAGCGCCAAAGAGCAGGCGCTTGAGAGTTCCGGCCATGCTGTGTTTTCTCTGTTGGTGTTCGTCGAGCGCGAACTTCAACCTCTTCTTGAGCACAGAGTCAGGGGCTAGGATCAGGGGCCATGTCGACTCGAGGTCGCAAGGGCAGCCTGCAGATTAAATAGCATGATCAAGGTCAAATCCGACGTCATTTTCTTCTCGTTGTAGAAATCCACGATATCCCCCGGCGTGTGTCGCTCCAGGTGTAATGTCGGAGGGTGACGCTCCGCGTTGGCGCTCCGGATCTTCGCGCCGCGGGCGCTGCAGTGCGCATTCCCGGAGAATTGGGCTCCCCCAGTCGCATCTTTAGGTACACACTTGGCGAGCGGAAACAGACACGGATTAGGATGGACACTCTAGGCGTTGGTACCCGGCATTCCAGTGTCAATTCGCTACAGCACTAGTAATCAGGGGTACTACTCCTGAAGTAGGTAAACATTGAAACCCAAGTCACTGCCTTGCAGTGTGCACAAGTTGCACTCCTCAACTCAAGAAACAAGCATATCCTCCCTAATCATATCCGCCGCCTTCTCCGCAATGGCGTACACCGTAGCCTGCGGATGCGCACTGATATGCAGCGGCATGACGCTGGCGTCCACCACCCTCAGCCCTTCCACCCCATACACCCTCAGCCGGGAATCCACCACGCCAGCCGCCTTGCCCCCAGAACCGCCCATAGCACATGTCCCTATGGGATGCCAGCAGGTGATTGTGTTCTGCGCAACCCAGGCGCGGACTTCTTCCTCGTTGGTGACTGGTTTTGACGGATGCGCGGGGCCACGAATGATGTCAGCGACGGGCTTGGTACGGCAGATTTCCTGGCCGAAGCGCACGCCATGGACCATTGCTTCGAGGTCCAGCTCCCCGTGTGGCCCTGCGTAGTACTGCGGATCGATCACGGGTGGAAGGGAGGCGGTCGGCTTGGCGTCAGACTCAGGGCCGTCCGAGTCAGGCCGCCGGATGTGGACAGAACCCTTTGAAAAGGGGTATTGCAGAATCACAACCATGGAGCAGTACCGCTTGCCATCCGACCGGTCGGGCTGGAAGGTCGGATTCCAGTTCCCCAACTCAAAGACGTACTCCATCTGGCCGAGTTTTGTCTCCGGACTGAATTGTCTCGAGAGGATGATGAGTTTCTCGTCGCTACTGAAGTGGGCTAGCAGCTCTTTTGATTTGGCCTGCATGTCGTTAAGGACTGCTTGGGGAGTGAACTGCGAGAAGGGGAGGTAAGACATGGCCGAGGGGAGAATGGTGAGGAGGCCTGTCCGATCCCGTCGATACTGCTCCAGCGCTGCCGCGAGGACAGACTCGTCGAGCAAGTCCTCTATTTGTGCCATGGTGGGATCAACCTCGAAAACAAGGGGGGTCACTTGCGGATGTGTGTTAGCGGCGAAAACTCGACTCAATTGTTGGGTATGGATGTACCTACTTGGATGGTCCCGGAGATTCTCCCCAACATTTGGACTGTCCACCTTGACGGGAATCCCCGCGGCAGCTAGCACCTCGGCCCTTCCCACCCCCGAGAGCTCCAGGAGCTGTGGCGACTGAATGGCGCCGGCAGAGAGGATGACCTCGCGTTTGGCTGACACGGTGAAGGTCTGCCCGCCGTGAGAGAACTTGACTCCGGTTGCAGTCCACTCACTTTTACCACCCTGCTGCTGGTGCTGCTGCTCAAGGACTACCTCCTGAGCTAGTGCCCCGGTCAAGATATGGAGATTGGCAGGCGGCGGCGGCCCCAGGTAGTGGGCTGCATACGACCGCCCGCCGCTCTCGGGATTGAGGGCGCTGATATTTGTCCAAACGCCGACGTTGGAGCCGTTGAGGTGGCCCCGGTTCGTCTCGATGCCAAGGCTGTTCAAGGTTGCGTGCCAGTACGCGTGCGTCGGAGAGTAGTCGGCCGTGTACGAGACGTGGATGGGGCCGCTGTCGCCAAGGAAAGGAGATGGGCTGTTGTAAGTGGACTGGTACTTGTCCCTGTGGCTAGCGGGAGGCGGGTGGAAGGTTTCGGACTTTTTGAAGTAAGGCCTGTTGTTGCAGCTGTCAGCACTTTGGGCATGTACTAGTAGTAGTAGTATGGTAAGGTACATGTAGCTTTGCAGAGATGGGAGGTGTCAAGGTGGTGCCCACTTACAGGAGAGATTCCCAGCCCCAGCCGGGATTGCCCAGCTCCTCCCAGGCATCGTAGTCCTCCTTGCACCCGCGATTCCACACCATGTAGTTCAGCGCACTCGACCCCCCGAGCACCTTTCCCCGGTTCCAGACCAATTCCCGACCAGCAAGAGCACCTTGCGGTTCCGTCTTGAAGTGCCAGTCAAGAGGACCCCCGAGCGGGCGGCCCGAGAAGGCAGGGATGTTGATTTGGTCATTGCCGTCTGCTCTCTCGCCGGCCTCTAGTACGCCGACTGTGAGGGAGGCATTCTCAGCCAACCGTGCAGCAACGGCAAGTCCAGCCGTGCCGCCGCCGACAATGACAAAGTCAAATTGGCGCTTAGCAAACTGCTCGGCCTGTGAGAGTTCTGATTGAGCCATGTCTGGTCTTGCATGCAGTCACAGTGACTGTTACTGGCGTCTGGAGCTCAGTGAGGAAGCCACGTCGGCACCATTGATACAAGAGAGTAGAGTCTGGGTTGCCAAATTCCAACCAGAAGGTCTTCTTTGATCACCTACTTATACCACTACTAGGGTTTCCCACTTCTAACCTCCTCCCGATATCCACATGTAAGTATCCGTCGTGCCCCCGGGTCTTACACCGAGCTACGAGCTTATTACATGAGGCAGGTCGCCTTCGTCTCACACACAGAATTGGTCATCCCTAGTCTCACCTAGATTGAGAGCATCGGCTCTCCCAAGGTCTGTGTGACTGTGACAGTGAGCACCAGGCGGGGTAGGGCACGGTTCCTCGCAGCCGTGCAGCAGATACTACGACCTTGCAAGTTACGACATACCCGTTGGTTCGTGCTTCCTTTATAGCGGCCAAGCTGGGGTTAAGCTCAATGTCCTCACGAAGCCATTGCATAAGCAAACGGGTAAGCACCATAGGTAAGGTACATAGGTAATGCATCAGAACATGGGTCTTGTTCCGCTCAACATCTGCCGTTTGTCGAATGCATACGAGCCTGCCGTTGCTGAGTCAGGAGTATTATCCATGCTCGACCGTCTGGTGACACGTATGGTACGTGCAACCACATGTGCACAATGCGTGGAGTTGACATAAGCCACAACGCATGCTCATGCTACTCTTGCTGAGGCTGTGATGCTGACAATCCTTGCCAGTGACAGATCTTGAACCCCTTTGATTGCGACGTCAGTAAAGGCGGCACAACTTGCGGCTCACACTCGAGCATTCAAAATCTGACGAGCAGCTTCTTGGGGTCCAGGGCTATGGCGGTGAGCCCGGGCAGTCTAGATGGGTGCTTCATCCAGTCCCTGGACTTGGAGTCTACCATGGACGCATTCTAAAAAGCCGATTTGTCGAAACATGCTCGACGCCCATAGATTCTGTGAGCCATGTTCTGGTCCCGGTACATGTATTCATTGCACGCCCGGCTGTTGGTATGGCAAGGTAGACTCCAGCTGAGGGACGGTGTTCAAAAGAACCGAGATTCCCTCAACAACTTCCGTCCGCTGGCTTAGGGAAAGTCCCTAATCGCCTACGGACCGACCCGATTATAGAGGGGGAATTGGCAACCACATTACCATACCACGGCCGCCTTGAATGATGACGGCTAACAATAGTCGAATCGCTTAAAATGGCAGTCATTACTAAGAGGATTACATGAGAATCTGCATAAGGCTGTTTGTACTAAGGTCGTACACCGTTTGAAGATGGCAAACTGGTGGGGAATACACTACTAGGTACCTCAGCTTTTGTATACACAAGCTCCTGATGTAACAAAATGAACTGTGAGGGCTTGGACGGATATCGTGCCCCCTATCTAGTAAAGACGGATGCTTCAAGTGGCCGGCCGTTTATATCGCAGGTTGCCTGTTAGATAGACCGCCGCTAGGTATGGTCTTATTCAGGCCTTTACTTGGTTGGCTCGGTACCGTGACGGGAGGGCATGATTGGTGTGTCGGGTATCACAAATCAGGTCTGATGCCTGGCTTGTGCAAACGTGCCGACCTGAGTGAGTAGCACGAGGAGGTACTAGTACCTTACCTTTAGATACCTGTAAGTGGGTTGGCACTTGGCAGTGCCATGCTAGACACGTTTCCACCAACTAACATGGCCCTTCCACCGTGCCGCCCGTTGACCGCGACAGGCTCTCTGCTGCGCACCTCCCGGGCAGGCAGTGCCGACGTCCGGCCGGCAGCCCCCGCGAGCCGGTTCTTGGCGCCGGAGATGAACCGGAGCTCTCCGATTGCGGAGTCGAATGGACCAGCCCGCGAGAGGGGCCGAGGTGGAGATGAGTGGGACCATCAAAGAGGGGTACAGACGATAAGAAAGTCAAGCATTGCACCAACGGTACGGGCCTGGCCGTCGGCATTGGCACCGCATTCGGTGGTGGTGTGTCATTGCGCTCGCGGCGCGAAGTCAAGATTCGACTCGTTGCTATGCAAGAGGCATCTCTGTGAACCTCCTCGCTTGAATCGTGCATATCAAGAGCATCTGGTCGTCTCCCAATCAGATTCCACTCGCCGGTTGAAGAATGGATCTTATGGTTTGCTAACACTTTAAGCACCGCCGGCGGCAACGCTAGCCCTCGCGGGAATTACTGAGATGCTCTTCTTTCCAACGCACAAAATCCGGTTTCCTCGGAAATCCCCCGCGCTGCTGCATGTGCTCGAGCAAGTTGTGAGCAAGCCGGTGGGGCTAGTGGTGACTTCTTATCCATCGCTACTGCCCGTTGTGCCCGCTCTGCTATAACTTATCAAGAAAATCGACTCGCCCGTGCAAGACGGGCCTTCCTCTCATCCCAATTCCCATCGTCGGTGAATTCCCAAGTCGCAACTGCTAGGCGGTTGAGCGGACATTGGCTTGCCAGTACTCAAGTATCGTGTGATCGCAACTTACACCATCCACTACCGACACGATGCATACCATAGCTCTGGCCATGATCGGTGGGCTCGTCGGCCACGCTGCCGCCGAGACGATCCACGGAGCCCTGGTGTTCTCACGCCATGGGGACCGTAAGTTAAAGATGAAATCTCAAGTTGAATAAGAGATACACTAACAATACGCCCGGCTTTTGCTAGGAACCACCAAGCACTACAAGGCCCAGGCCCTAACCAGCCTCGGCGCCGAGCAGGTGTTCCAAGTCGGCAGCGACTACCGCGCACGCTACCTGGCGTCGGGCTCGCCCCACCAGATCAAGAACATCTCCGAGTTCCAGTACCAGTCTTCACAGATCTACGCCAGCGCGCCGGACCAAGGCATCCTGCTCAGCACCGCCACCGCCTTCCTGCAAGGCCTGTACCCGCCGCTGGGCGACATCAAGCCCTCGGCGGCCAGCACGACCCTGGCCAACGGCTCCACCGTCTCGGCGCCCCTGACAGGCTACCAGTATGTCACGCTGCACGGCGTGAACGACGACTCTCCGGAAACGGTCTGGATCAAGGGCGACGACAACTGTCCCGTCCTCACCAGCGCCTCGGCCGACTTCACGGCGAGCGCCGAGTACCAGTCGAAGCTTGCATCCACGGCCGACTTTTACCGCAGCCTGCAGCCCGCGCTGGCCGACGTCGCGGACTACGCCTCGGGCGGCGACAGCGCGCTGAGCTACGCCAACGCGTACGACATTTTCGACCTCATCAACGTGGCCCGCATCCACGACAACACGTCGGCCGCCGCGACGCACGTGACCGACGCGCAAATGGTGCAGCTGCGCACCCTGGCCGACAGCGCCGAGTTCGGACTCAACTTCAACGCCTCGCAGCCGCAGCGCTCCATCCACGCGCAGACCTTTGCGGGCGCCGTGTGGGCCCGCCTGAACCAGACCGTGTCGTCGGCCACCCGCGACCCCAAGCTCACCCTCCTGGCGGGCAGCTACGACACCTTCCTGGCGTTTTTCGGCTGGGCCAACCTGACGGCCGTGTCGGCGGATTTCACGGGCTTGCCGGACTATGCCTCGACCATGGCGTTTGAGCTGTTCACGGCCGGCGAGGAGTTCAGCAAGGATGATCTGCGCGTGCGCTTCCTCTTCCGCAACGGGACCGAGGGGAAACTGACCGCTTTCCCGCTGTTTGGATCGGGCAAGGCGGACCTTTCGTGGGACGAGTTCACGTCGGCAGTCCAGGACCGCGCCATCATGTCGGTCGACGGCTGGTGCGATGCCTGCCAGAGCGAGGCTGCCTTCTGCTCCACCTTCAAGCTGAGCGCGGCTGAGAATGAGGCTGAAGAGAGGAGGAAGGGAAGCATCGCGGCGATTGTGATTGCTTGCGTGTCCCTTGCCGGTAATCTCGCGCTGCTTTGTCTGTTTGTTCGTAAGGCTCTCCGGACGCGGGCCGAGAGGCAGCGAGTGGGAGTGCTGGCGGCTAAGGACGTTGACAGCGTTCGAAGCTACGAGAAGGAGAGTGTTTAGTCACGAGAGTCTGCTGGGTGTTGATGCCTAGACTTAACGGGGAGGAAAATGACGTCTAAGTCGTGTTGAAGACGCTACTTGTATGATGCATGACCATTTCACTAGTTTAGCAATGTCAGCGGATTGTAAGGAATGCAGCGGAATGGTTGTGGTACCTGGATCGACTCCTTTTCCTGGCCCAGTTCTTCGCCGGACGGGCCAGCCCTATTTGCAGCGTGTTCAAGCTCCAGTCTTGCGGCCCTGGATGTCATGTACGACAGACCGGCTGTCCACACAGCCAAAGCAACCGAGGTGGCAATCATGGCGTACATTCCTCTCTGAGAACAACCATCATCAGCATCGACAATTCCAGCAAAAGTACTATAGGGTCAGTCACTCACTGTAAACCAAGGCGCCATCGACGCACCATAAAACACAATGCTCCACCAGGCATTCACCGCGTTACTCCCCAGATTCATACCCGCCAGCACAACCGACCGAAACACAGGATCCCCACGTCTCATGGCATCATTCGCCCACGCGAAGAAAGTCGCCTGGCACGCGTAGACGGCACCCGCCCAGTAATACGCGCCAAACACAAGCGCCGTGGCCCGCGCGCCGCCGGGGTCTCCTGTAGCCCCAGCCTGCGCAGCCAGGATCATAGCGCTCGTGACCACCCCCGTAATGCCGATGAAGTAGCCCACGAGATAGCGCTTGCCGCCGAGGAGGTCGGTCATCGCGGCCCAAAACAGCGTCGACACGATCCCCACCGCGGGCACGCCCGTCGGGTAGTTGTTGAGCTGCGCCACTGTGTATTTGTGGCCGGACGGGTGGCTCTTCATGTACAGCGCCAGCAGGGAGTTGGAGGAGAAGGACTCGGTCTCGCCGGCGATGATCCATAGGATTACGAAGCCCCACCATTCGTACGAGGTCAGGACCTTTTTGGCGAAGGATAGGGTTAGTGGTGATTTCGGACTCCTCCTCCGAGTCCTCTTGGAAGATGATGGACTGGCACCGTCGTCCTCCGGACTGGGCGTATCCCGGGCCACCTGAAGACGGGACACAGCCAGCGCGCGCTCAGACGCGGTCAGGTAGAACGCGGTTGTCGTGGCCGGGGTGTCCGGAAAGAGCAAAAACCCGTAGAGCGCGACAGGCAAGGTGATGATGCCGTCAACAAGGAACAGCCAGCGCCAGCCGCTCAGGCCGTGGCGGCCGTGCATGCTCGAGTAGATGCCGCTCTGGATGAACCCGCCGATCATGGTGCCCGCAAGCCCGGATGCCGTGAAGATGCCGCTGCGCTTGCCCAGCTCGCGCTCCGTGTACCACGACCCGAGCACGTAGTGCGTGCCGACAAAGGTGGTGGCCTCGGCGATGCCCTGGAAGAAGCGGATCGCCATGATGGCTTGGGGTGATTGCGTTGAGGCCGTTACCATGGTCAGCCCCGCCCACACGACCATCATGGCTGGGAAGAAGTAGCGCGGCTTGATGTAATGCAGGCTGAGGTTGGAGGGGATCTGGCCGAGGACATAACTGAAGGGGAGGTTAGATTGATGGCTGTGTTCGGAAGAGGGGGAAGGGGATGGGAACGAGGGGGAACGGACCCAACGGTGAAACAGGTGTTGATCTGGGTTAGCTGGTCTCCCTGAAAGTTGAGATCCTCCTTCATGCCCGAGACATAGGCATTTGCGAGGTTTGTTCGGTCAAGCTTTGGGCTGGTCAGTTTCGGCTCAAGCTGAAGTCATGTGCCAACGAAGGAGCCGAAACTCACGTAGTTGAGGAAGTAGCTCAGACAGCAGAAGGTCAAGATGAAAAAGTCAATCTTGAGAACGAGCTTTCGCTCGCCTGGATGATGGTATCGTGTTGCTGAGCGAAAGTAGTCCCAAACCGAAGACCGGGCCACAGCCACGGTCATCTCGCCGGGTCTAACTTACGGTCCACGTGGTTTCCGAGAGCTAGACTCCGGAGCAGACCCTCAAAAGACGGCTAATACGGGCCGATACCGTAGGTATTCAGGTACTTGTACTTCACTGGTTTTCTGCCAGCCTGTCACTTATTCTTCAAACTTGAAAACCTCTTTTAGTTTTAGTGAATCGGTGAATCAGTGCTTGTGCGATACACAATACATACACTAAGGAAAACTGAAATAAGTCTGAGCACTTGAGAGACCAACGTCAAGGACGCCCAACAGGTGTAAGCAGGCGTCAAAGTATCCCGTGAACCAGGAGCCACGGATGACGTCGAGGAAGGTCGAGGTAATCAGATCGGCGATCAAATTCCATCCGATATGCAACAGGGTTATCGGGGGATGGATCTGCGCTAGTTACGGCGTAATGGAATACAGTAGTGAGCAGGATAAGACCTGTGTGTTTGTAAGCTTGGAACTTTGAACCTCGCAAGGATGCATCTATGACTCTTATATATTTCAGAAAATTAGGGAAAAAGGGTACGAACTTCGGACTTACGCTTCGGTCTTTTGAGCTACTGTTAGGTAAAGTCGACCCTGTCTATGTCAGACCCTAACCCGGACGTTCGCGAAACAGGCGTTAAAAGATCCAAGGGTTGGCTCTGGTGGTTGCGTAATACGTACTTCGCCCCACTTCTTTTGGTGTCCCGATTCGGGTTCACCCAGAGACGTCAAGTGCCAGAAGTACTTCGTAATTCCCCTCGCACCCGACGACACAAGAGAAACTGGAAACCAACAGGCCGACCAGTCTTAGCATAGAATCTGAAAAGCTGCAAGTGTTCCTGTTTCCATCATGGTCCTACTGTCCGCATCCCTGTTAGGCTCTAACACTGAGGACGAGCAGCCTTCTGGGTCAAAAACGAGTTGCCGTTAACTTGATTGTTTCCAGCGCCGAAACGAGATGGCCGATGCCGCGAGAACATCCCGCCTGACCGAGAACAAGCGGCGCTATCGGGCCCGCCGGAAGGAGTATGTGGCGGATCTAGAACGCAGGCTGGAAGAAATGCGAGTGCAGGGGATAAACGCGACGGCGCAGGTTCAGCTAGCGGCGCGCAAGGTTGTCGCAGAGAACGGGCGACTCCGGGAACTCCTGCAACTCGCCGGCTTTACCGCAGAAGACATTGACCTGTGGGCGAAGAGCGAACACGGTGAAAGCAAGGCGGGTGGAACGGACTGCGCTCGAAGGCGCGAGATAGAGCAGAAGGCCAGGCTCTGCGCGACCTATGCAGCTGACTACAAGGGGTTGGCCATGCAACGGGAGAATGCTGCATCACCGCAGAAAGACGAAGGGAAGAGGAGGATCAAAACAGCCGGCACTCTCCCGGGATGCACAGGTACTTCATCCAACGCCATGGAGCCGGTCGTCACGCCCAAGTCGCATCAGAGTCCACATTCGATGGCAGAAACGGCCACTTGCCCATCGTCCCCAACGGCTGGGGCAACTGCTGCAGCGCAGGCAGAGGCTTGCACCTCCCGTAGCGAAGTGGTCAGGCCATGCAAACTTCTTTCGCTTCTCGCCGAGAATCCGAGCGCGGATATCACGCAAGTCACGGCCCATCCAAGGTCGATTGACCCTCCTGCGGCTACTACACAGGATGAGGGGGGGGACGTCGAGTGCGGGAAGGCTTATGAGATGCTCATGCAATATGCGACATCCGAGAAGAAAATGGACTACATCGCTCGGGCATTGGAAGCCGGCTGCACCCCGACTAAACCGGGTGCTTGCGCTGTGAAGAAGAAAGTTATTTGGGAAGCTCTTGACAACATGTGTGGATGAGCTCCCGGATGGCGGGCGTTACCGAAAACGCTGCATGTCAACCAGTCCCTATTGACGGGCTGGCGAGCTCGCTGGCCACGCCTCTTCCCTCTGGCGCGTTGACTCCGTGTGCTCGGCATTCCACAATCCAAGGGGATCGTTTGCACGGATTCACGCGTCTGTGGTTCAATTCTCAGCCAGTGCGCTAAGAATTGTACAATTCGACAGCATCTGATATTTCGGTATAGTTGGCCCGCGCCAAATATTTCCCTGGGGATCGGTGCGGGACAGTTTTGCCAATGTGGAAACAGATCAGAGGCTTGACGAACAAGAGTTCCGAGAACGGACATGCGAGCTCTCCTTCGCCCTTGGTGACCTCTTCTGACCTTGTCAGCCAATCACAGTCGAGGTGTCCGTCCACCGGGCGTCAGTTAGAGCAGCGCCACCTGTGCTTTCTCCCACGCTCCAGCAACGACGAGATAAATTGACCAATAAGAGCTCTGCTGTCCGTCCATCGCCCCCTGTTCGTCCCTGATGAGGGTCGAAGGAAAGACGATATCGACTTGCACAAAAGCCGGCGCATGCGACACACTGGCGAAAATGAGCGCCTCGCACTTTCCATCCCAGCGAAGGAGCGTGGTCGGAACCATTGAGCAGTCCCAGCAAAGAGTCCGCCGATTAGCCGCTGTCGCCCACAAGCAGTCACTATCACACAGTCGCCGACTCCTGTCAAGCTTACCACAATGGCTGCTGATCCGACAACGCCGGGACCGTCGATGACCTTGCCGCATGTCGAGAAAGGAAGCGAAGGGTTTCAAAAGCAACTGGAAGCCGCCGTCCAGCCGGAAACCAAGGAGACCTCCACGGACACCCCGTCCGAAGATGACGACCAGGGACTGCACGATAACTCAAACGTCCCTCAGCTGTCCTATCCGAAGCTGTTCTGGTTCTTCTTCTACAACTTTGGCTGCTTCGCTTGGGGCGGTCCTGTCGCGCAAATCGCCCTGATCAAGGACAGGCTTGTGACCAAGGACAAATGGATCACCCTCGCTCGCTTCCAGCGAGTCTTCTCCGTCTACCAGATCCTTCCCGGCCCCGAGGCGGCCGAATTGTGCATGTTCTTCGGCTGCTTGTCTGCGGGGAGGATAGGCGGCATCGTCGCGGGCATGGCCTTCATCCTGCCCGGGTTTGTCTTGATGCTTGTGGCCAGTTATGTGTACACGCTAGCCGGTTTCGAGAACAAGTACTTTAACGCTTCCTTCCGGGCGCTGCAGCCTATCGTCGCGGCTATGGTACGTCGCTGGAGTTCAAGTACCATCATTCGCTGTCAAAGGTCATCCATGTCTGATCGTTTGAATCCCTAGATCCTGAGAGCAACTCACAAAATTGCCGAGCACTCTGTGAGGAGGCATGACACGAAAAAGATCGACCCCTTTCTCGTCATCGCAGCCGTGTGTACGGCGATCAACTGCGCACTTCGCCTGAACATGTCAGCATCACCAAAGTCACATCCCACTCTAGGAGACCGAAGCTGATGTTAAACCACCCCGCAGTTTCATCTCCCTCGGCCTGTACGGGATCATCTACATGTTCGTCGCCCGCCGTCTGTGGGTCCCCGCTGCGGTGCTCTTCGTCCTTCAATACGTAGGCTACGCCATCTATGCCGTCTTCCGCGGCGTGCCGTCGCCCGTGTCGCTCGCCCTCGGCGTCGCCCGCACACCGTCGCTGATCAACCTCTTCGTCCTGGGACTGGTGGCCGGCTCGCTCTCGTTTGGCGGCGCTTACACGGCTATCCCTTTTGTGCAGGTCGAAGCGGTCCTGCTGGGCGCGTGGCTCCCCCAGAGCGTGTTTATTGATGGCATCGCCATCGGGAATATCCTGCCGGCGCCGCTGGTCATCTTTGCTACCTTTGTGGGGTTTCAGGGCGCGTATTTGGAGAACGGGTCGGTCGGCAACGCGTTTGCAGGGGCTGTTGTCATTACGCTGGGGATGTTTTTCCCCTGTTTTTTGTTTACCATTGCTGGGCATGAGCTGTTGGAGAAGTTGGTTCGGAATCAGGTTAGTAGCGCCCCCGGATTGTCAACCAGCTCGCCAACTCCCCTTGTCGCTGTCCACGCCAATGTTCTACGCCGAGGTCTGGTCATGTCGCTGACGGTTTCCCTTGATTTAAACAGTTCCTGGCTAGTTTCTTCGACGGTCTCTGTGGCTCGGTCATTGGTGTTATCGCCATGATCGCGGTGGAGATCCTCAAGGCTAGCGTCGTGGGCACCTTGAACAAAGGCAAGGAAATGACTCTTGATGAGGCGGCTGCCGTAACCGCCCAGGTCGGCCCTGCGGCGGTTCTTTACGTGCTGGCCCTGGCGGTCCTCTACAAGTTTAACAACAAGTTCACTGCGCTTTTCCTGGTCATTGCAGGCGCGGTTGCTGGGCAGTTCCTCTTTGTCGATCTCTAGCTGACGATCAGCGGCCGGGAAGTGGAAGGGGGTCAACTAGGGGGGTCGGCCATCGTGTAGTTGTGCAAGGCATGACATGGTGGTTGTATGGTGCGAAGACCACCTTTCTTCCTCTTCTTGGTATATACGGGATGAGAGAAAGGTAAAGAGCTATCAATTTAGACCTTCGCAAGGTTCGAGGAGGTTTAGAGATGGGGGAATGGGGAACCAAAAAGCACGACCTTTTCCACCCCCAAAACTGCAAGAGTGATCGTGATTGGGACCGAAGCTTCTAATGACTACTATGCCCCTTTTTTCTTCCCTGGGAGCCTTCATCTTCGAATTAAATGGCCAACTCCTGTATTAGTAAATCCCGAAGGACAAGGAGCGATCTCGACCCCTTGGCACTTAGGAGTTAACGAACTTAATTACCTAGTAGGTAGCAGTCCTCAGGTATGTACAGTATATGTACTCGAGAACCAACTTCCTGCCAACAGCATCCAGCTGTAAACGAAAGGCTTTGTTCTAAATGACAAGTTGGACTGATGACACCTTTGGACAGAAACATGAACGCAGCTACTTCTTTGAATCAGAACAGACTACCTACCTACCAGGTAGTACTAGTATGAGTTCGAAACAGTGCCCATGGAAATTGCAAACGCAGTGAGTTATAGGCTGTCATCCGCATGCAGCGAACGACAAACATGGCGGCAACCGCGGCTGGCTGCCTGGTATCAGTACTGTAAGTGAAGGAGCTTGATTGGCACCTGCCATACGCTGACAAGTCCGCCTTGCGCTCACATTCTCTGTTTGCATTCCCGATAGAAAGCGGGAAGAGATGTGCGATTGATTGGCTCTGCTCTCCCGGTCTTCTTTGTGTGGAGGGTCTCAATGGCAGACGATTGGCGGCAAGAACGGATTGCTACAGGTTTGCCGCCCTGTTTTTCATCGACTTTGCTGCACTTCTGCACTTCAATGCACTGAGGCCTACACAAGCCTTGAGGCAGCTTCTCTGTTGGAGGGAAAGATCCAGTGTTATGGGTGACTGTTATCAACGTACTGTGGTATTAGGCAGACTTGCAGCACAAACGCACAGCAGTGGCATATTCAAGGTATGTGATATAGGAGGTAGGTAAGAAGCCCACCTCGCGGCTCCAGTTCCTGATGTCCTTTGCCTGGTTATCAATGCCTTGGAATTCCTATCATCCCAGGGCTTTTCATTGTCACACTCCAGGCCAGCCTAACTTTCTCATCGACTCCCTAAGATGTCCTTCTATCGAGGGAAACATAACCTGGAGAGCGATGAAGCTCGCCACGGCGAGCAGACGCCGGGTGCCGCGAATGAGTCGTAAGGGAAACCCCCAATTTCTCGCCTAACTTCAAATGGGTTTGCAACGCTGACTCCTTCGTTGTCGAAGTCCATTCATGTTCATGACGAACCGTATTGTCGAACTCAACTTCGGAAACGGCTATCCCCTCTCCGTCCACCGAGACGTTCTCAAATCCAAGGTGCCGATTCGCGCTGACTCTTCGATAAAGAGCATCAAGTTTCGTGATATGTCGCCCGAAGCAGCCCATACGCTGGTCAAATACCTCTACACCGACGGACTCGAGACCCCGGGTGGGAACGGGTCTGACTCCGAGTCAATGAAGACCGTGTTCGAGGTCTACGGGGCGGCTCGCGAGTATGTTGTCAAGGGCCTTGAGGAGCTAGCCAAAGACCGGATTGAGTCGCTCGCAGCCCACGTCGATCCCTTCACTCTGATTGATGTCGTGAAGGAGACATACCCGACACCCGTCAGGGGAGATGACTGGTTCCCGGAGTTCTTCAAGTCGCGTGTCAAGGCTGCTCTCAAGAACCCATCGACGTTCCTCAGGGCCAAGCAGATACCTGACTTAAGCGATGGCGCTTCAGTGGTCAAAGTGTTCTTCGGATGTCTTCTCGAAGTCTACGTTGACATGTTGGGATCAGTGGCCGAAAACAACGTAATGCTCGATGCCCCCACTCCGTCCACAGACACAGACGGCTCATTTGAGCAGGTCGAATTGCCAAGCACTGATGCCCAATCTCCTACTTCAAAAGAGGAGCGCCATGACCGTGTCAGCTATCCTGGCGAGAACGGCCCAGGTCTGGACCAACTCAAAAGCCACTTCGCCGAGCTGATGAAGCCCGAATCAGAGCCAGAGCACAAGCCCGAGGCCGAGACAGGAACCGAGCCAGTCTCTGAGCTTCAGGAGCAACCACGTGAGCCTGAGCCTGAGTCCGACATTGAAATTCAACAGCTGGTCCGGGATGAGCCGGAGCCTGCACCGGCACTAGAACCTGAGCGAGCGCCTGAACCTAAGGAAGATTATGATGCATGGGGGTCGCCCCGCCCCAGGGTGTCCAAGAAGGACAAGAAGAAGAAGAAGAAGCCCGCAGATCTTGAGCCCAAGTCAGTTGACCTTGCGCCTGAACCTGAGCCAGTACCTGAACCCGAGCCGGTGCCCTTGCTTGAAGAGGAGCCTGAAGTGAGTAAGATCAATCCATAGCCCTGCGGATTCTTGTTGTCTAAAACAAACAGGAAGGATGGACGCGAGACCGAGCCTGAACCCCAGCCTTCTTTTGAACCTGGCTCAGTACCTGGTCTTGAACCTGAACCAGCGCCTGAACCCGCACCCGAACCAGCGCCCTCGCTTGCAGAGGAGGCGAAAGTCGGTGAAGATGATTTTTGGGGATCCTTGCTGTCTATCAAAAAGAAGAAGAAGAAGGGACGCCAGACCGAGCCTGATCCGACTTCTGAGCCTGTCATCCAGACGGAGCTGGAACGGGATCCTTGGGATTTCTGGGGAGTGCCCAAAGAGAAGAGATCGCCCACGACGCCGAGGCACAGTCTTTGAGTACGTACACACAATGGTTTGATGTTGAGCGGTAACAATGCTGGTGAGATGTGGCTGGAGGTCGGGGAAAGGGGGGGACAAGGGCGTCTACCAGTTCTCGAGGTACGGTGGGCACAGATTGCTAGTCCATATATCATATTGATGACAACGGCAGTATTTGTGGACTGAGGTTCACGGTCCATGTTGAGTGTCAGCATGGCTTGAGTACACAAAGGAATGTCAAGTCTAAGCGTTCCAGTATACAAGGTAGTAAGATTTGAACATGAAGGTAAGGTACCTTCATACTTGATACTACTAGTAGTACTAGCACTAGGGATGTCTAGAAGTTTTATCATACCTTAGATATACATGAGGCCGTTGCCCATCAACCACCAACCTTACCCTCCACCCATCACCTCGATGAATCCAATTTTTTCCTTTTTCTTAGACTCCCGTCAGACATACTGAAGAACCCCCCCAATCTGGTATCATGCGACACATGCAAACTCCCACTCGTAACACACAAAACGCCGAATCAATTCAAGTCTTTCCCTCCCACAAGCCCGGTGGACTGGAACCACGGGCCGCGCAGCTTAGGTAGCTTTCTGCCTTGTCTCCTCCTACTTACTCCTAGTTCCCTACAGTAGGTAGTAAGGAACTCAATCACAGAGCGCTCTTCTCCCTCGCCCCGGCGCCAACCTTGACCTCGCTCGAAGTCCGACTCGAATCCCGATCATTCATCATAGCACCGGGCGAGCCATTATGCGTCGACGCCAGCTCAGGATCACCATAATGCACCCGCACATCCGTGGTGCGCATAATCCCATTATACGTCATGATCTCCTCCTCGGACCCGCTGGGGCTGATGCTGCGGCACTCGGCGTGGCCCGTCATCTTGCCGCGCGTCAGGCTCTTGAGGTGGATGCTGCCGTGCTTGCCGTCACCAAGCATACCATCGCCGGTGGGTTTCCCCGTGCCGTCACGCCCGCCGTTGACGGTCGCGACCGTGCCGTTGCCGCCGCCGCCCGTGAAGTAGCGCGAGCCAGGGTTGGGGGATTTGTTGTGGTACTTGTTGCCGTAGGGCCCGTAGGGGCCGTACCGGCCGCTGCTCCCGCCGAACCATTTCGGTAGCCAAGATCGGAATAGCGGGCGGAGAGCTGGGGCGGAGGCTGTTACGATGGCCACATTGGATTCGATTACGTTGAGGGTGGTGGTGATGTCCTGGTAGGGGTCCTTGTTGGGGTCGGGTTTGCCGTAGAAGAGGTTGTAGACGGCGACAAGGCGGACGATGCCGATGATGGTCACGCTGGGAGGGAGGAGGGTAGGTTAGTTTTGTTTACCTGATGCGAATAGGGTGGCTAAGGTAAAGTACAGTAGGGGCCAACTCACCTAAGACCCATGGCAAAGATGCCCACCACGGCAATCTTGGCGCCCCGGGGCATCTTGAGTCCAAGGAAAATCCAGAAGGGGATGATGATGACGATGATGTCAGTCAGGATGGTCAGGCACGAGATGATAACGTGGAACGAGTTGTCGATGCATTTCGCGTTGGCCAGGACTGCGGCATCCCAGTTGGCCTCGATGGGCAGGCACTGCAGCGTGGCGGTTATGAAGATGGCGATGGCTTGCAGGCCGTTGAAGGTCATCAGGCCGTAGATGACCATCTTGACACCGGGCTTTTGCCCACCCAACCGGAGCAGGAAGAGCAATACCGAAGCCTTGACGAAGGCCAGGATGGGGTTGTAGAAGAGCTGTGCCAGATAGAACCACCACTTGCCCGGTGCCGGGTCAAATTTGGGCACAGTATCCACCGTCCAGCCAAAGTACATGAGCTTGAAGTCTGTCTGGCGAGTCAGGAATCCACTATACCATCACAAAGTGCTGATACTAGACGCGCACTTACACATGTAAAAGGGCCCAATCATCATCAACGAAAAGATCATGGCGCAGGTGATCATCCAGTCGTCCAGGCCCCATTGTCGCGTTTTGAGCCTTGAGTACACCCTCAAGCTGTAGACGACAAAGGCCAATGCCGTGAAGAAGAAGATCAGGAACAGGCCGGCCTGCTGCAGCGGCGGCGTCGGGATGTCGAGAACATTTGGATGTTCCGGGCGGCGCGGTAGGAGTGCCATCACATCAGTAGGCTTCCCGGCAAGAGGGCTCGATCAGCGCCCCGGCGGTGTGGTAACCGTATGTTGACAGCGCGGAGAGGCCCTGGGATCGATCGACCAGCGGTGGAGAGAAGAGATCGAGATCAGGGAAACGATCGACGGCAGTCGGGGGGGTGGTGGTGGATAAAGAAGGGCAACTTTGAACAAAAAGTCTCAACTCTCACAAGCATGCATCTACTCATCAATCCAAAATACGACTCTACGAGGTTCTGCTCGTGCTCATCTCAGCCATCAATGCCTCGCTGAGCTAGCTGCATGTTGCCTGGCTTGCAAAGAGCAAAAGCGCCGAGGTAACTAACATGAGAGCCGCTCGCCTCGAGGCCCGAGCCATGCTCAAAAGGTTGAAGCTTGATATCAAATGGGTAAGGACGAATACCCGGATGTCCTGGGATTTTCCCTTTACCAGTCTAGATCTCCTGTCTCCTACTGTGTAACTCCTTGCCACGCCTCCACCGCACCCTTGTGTTCCACCACTCATCTATCCGACTGAGGGACCGGAGAGCTGCTGAGCAGTGCCCAGCGAAGCCCAGCTTTCGGGAGAACACCTCGGCGCTCGAGACGCCATATTCGGCAACCGCTCCGCCCTCTTGGCAACGGCATGACGAGTGTAGAAAGATTCACCTGCGTTTCTCTATGGTCCCTGAGTGCAATGTGGAGTGGAGACACGATAAAAGGAGTGGAGTACGGAGGTAGCTTTTGAGGCCTTTTGCCCCCATCTCTCTTTTTTGTCCTCCTTTCACTTGTGTTCCCCTCACCCCTTATCCCACCTGCCGACTGTCCCATCGACAACCTCGGTGGTGCAAAAAAGACCCGTGACTAGCGCTTGCTGCGAGGGTGAGGGACGGCGACCGGGTTAGACTTGGGACAATGAATACGACTCTGCTAGGTCGACAGTGGAAATGTCAAACGCCGATCCATGTCTCTCGACGACCGAGGAAGCAGAGGCCATGCCTTATCAGTCCTTGGCCGCAGCTGCTGTGTCATCAAGAGGGGCTCCTAATTTTGCTGTGCGGACGGCGGTTGGTCGGTCAGGGGAAAGGGGAGCTTTGACTGTGGATATCGCCGAGCCTGGGGACAGGAACAAGGACCTAAAAGACCAGGTATCTCAAACTAGCGGGACGAACCTCCTTCTCAACGCTCCCTAGCGCATGGCGCTAAGACGCCGCTTGCGTGCTCTTGGACATCGGCCTTATGAATCAAACAAGCTCTGCCCCTGCAGCTGTCGGGTCCTTCGGATGGAAGACATGCCGTCTGTGTCCCGACTCCCGACGAAATCCCCCAGAGGTGACAGTTCGGCAGCAAAATGCATATGGACGGCGCAGTATGCAGTGTTTGTCCTGTCAAATTGCTGCCAAATGCTGTAGCACCGGAGGAACCGACCCGGCTCCATGGGACTGGCAGCAGCATGAGCTGCGAAGGAATGTATGTTCCTGTACCACGCACGTAACATCGTTTAGGGGTACATGTGGTATTGTACAAAGCACCTGCATCATTGCATGTGGGCCAAATGACTCGCATCAACAGGAGAAGCAGAAAAGATGAAAAAGGACATGGAATGGAATGGCGAGAAGGGTCGACTACCACATCGCAAGGTACGCGAAGTGTCAGATATGCAGGCCTGGGGGTTGCGCGTTGCGTCTTCGAGGACGACAATTATGAAGCCTCGGCGCCCCCCTGATTAGCTGAGTGAACTTTCACCCCTTCGCCTCCGCTAGAATTTTTCCGCAGCCGGGTTGCCCTCGTGGCGACCCCGCAGCCCCGATTCTCCTGAACTTCGGTACGTGATTTGCCAAGCTTGGGACGACTGCCACAGAGCCTTCAAAGTGAGTGGCTCGAAGCTATCGTAGCAACAGCAGCGAAAGAAGGCGGGTCGAGCGAGGGCGACTCGATCCATAATCCATCAGGCCGAACACACTTCCAAAGATATCATCGTCCTATCCTCCCCACGCACTTCCACACGTGCATTGATTGCTTGTTGTTTTCCACCAGGCAGTGGCACGTTTATCCATAACTCGGAAATGAGAGTGTCGGTCTCTAAGCTCTGCCGTCCACCCCGTGCTCCGCTGTCGTATCTCAACGGAGGCTGGTTGCTCCACAGAAAGTCAATAAAACGTCGATAATGCTTTCTAGGGGCCCTCCTCAGCGCGAACCAGGATGGTGATTGGCCTCTCGGTAGATGCCGAGCAGGAATGGACGGCTATGCATCGCCTACATAACCTCCATGCCGTCGTCGCGTGGCAAAAACGTGGCTCGTGGGAGTCTTTCTTTTTATTCCCTACCCCGATCAGTTCGACAAGTCGCGCTCGTTAATCTTGTCGATCGATCATCATCCCGATCGCCATGACTGCCATTTCCTTCCAGCGGGCCCTGCTTTTCGCGGGTGCCGTGCTGCCCCTTGCCTTTGCACAGACGATCGTTGTTGACGACGGCAAGGTGGTCGGTACGTCCAGTCCATCCACACCCTGGGATAACCAGTGTGTTAAGAGAGATGGCCCAATATATAGCTAATACTCTTGCAAGCAGAGGCCAATGAGAGCACTGTTGCCCCTGCCGTGGAGCCGGCCACGGGCCAGCTGACTGACGCCGTCATCGCCAACTTGACGGCTCTTCAGCTGACCGACATTGAGCTCTTCACGTTCGACACTGCCGACAACGACACCTCGGCATCGGTGAAGCGCACTACCAGCGTCGGCCAGTGCAAGACGTTCCCCGGCGACAAGAAATGGCCCTCACGCCTGACCTGGACCGTCCTGGACCTGCTGACGGGCGGCGCCCTCATCGAGACGGTGCCCATTGGCGCCGTCTGCTACCCCAGCAACGGCGTCTACGATGCTGCCAAGTGCGCCGACCTCATTGCCAACTGGCAAAAGTCCATCACTCAGTAAGTTCAGAACCCTCCACTGGTTGGTAAAGTCCCAGGCGCTAACACAGGTGCAGCTCGAGCGATCCCACCTCCGTCATGTCTCCGCTCTACCAGGGCGAGACATGCATGCCCCAGGACGGCAACTCGTCCACCTGCACCTTGGGCGGCTTCCCCTCGTACGCCGTCAAGGCCACCAACGTCTTCCAGATCCAGCTGGCCATCAACTTTGCCCGTAACCTGAACCTGCGCCTCGTGGTCAAGAACACGGGCCATGACTTCCTCGGCAAGTCCTGCGGTGCCGGTGCCCTGTCCATCTGGACGCACAACCTCAAGGACATCCAGTTCATCTCGTCGTACAAGACGCCCTCGTACAAGGGCGCGGCTCTCAAGATCGGCGCCGGCGTGCAGGTCGGTGAGCTGTACGCAGCGGCCAACAAGTACGGCGTGACGGCCGTTGGCGGCGAGTGCGAGGGTGTCGGCGTTGCCGGCGGTTACACCACTGGTGGCGGCCATTCCCCCATGAGCGGCAAGCTCGGCCTCGGCTCGGACCAGGTGCTGAGCCTCGACGTGGTGCTGCCCAATGGGCGCTTCGTTACCGCCAGCGAGACGCAGAACACGGACCTGTTCTGGGCCATGCGTGGTGGCGGCGGTTCCACTTTCGGCGTCGTCGTCTCCATGACGGTGAAGGCGTACCCCAAGATGAACTTTGCCGGCCTCACCTGGACCATCATGAGCGGGCCCGACACCAATAACACCGACGCCGTCTTCTGGCAGGCCATGTACGCCTACTGGCGCAAGTTCCCCGAGTTCGCCGCCCAGGGCAACTACGGCTACTCCATGATCTTCCCGCGCGGCGCCGCTGGTTCCGGTTTCATGTGGACCATGAACCCCTGGCAGGTGCCTGGCATGACGCTGGCTCAGTTCCAGGCCATGGTGCAGCCGCTGTTTGACGAGTGGAACGCGCTTGGCTTCCAGTTCGAGCCCGTCTACTTTGAGCACGACAACTTCTACGACATGTGGACGCAGCATTTCCCCGCCGAGTCGGTCGCCAACAGCAACCTGCGCACCGCGTCGCGCCTGTACCCGCGCAGCAACTGGGCCGACAACGCCACGCGCGAGGCCATGTTTGACGCCGTGCGCTCCGTCGTCGAGGACGGCTCCGCCCTCATCCAGTACAACATGAACCCGGCGGCGCCCGCGGGCACCCCGGCCTCGGGCGCCAACTCGCACTGGCGCGACGCCGTTTGGTTCGGCATCATGGGCGCCGCCTGGGCCGACGGCATCTCGCAGGAGGAGCTCAAGGCGGTTAACGTCAAGATCACCCACACGTGGATGGACAAGCTGCGCCAGTACGGTCCCGGCGGCTACCTCAACGAGGGCGACGTCATGGAGCCCGACTTTGCCGACGCGTTTTATGGCACCAACTACAACCGCCTGCTGAAGATCAAGCGCCAGGTCGACCCCACTGATGTCTTCTGGGCCCCGACCGCTGTTGGGTCCGAGAGGTGGCAGGTCGAGGGCCAGGAGGACTGGCTCACGCTGCAGACTGGTCGTCTGTGCAAGGTGTCGGAGTAATCTCATTTCTGTCAGCTTGTTCGAGGTGTGAGTGCATGTGTTGAATGGTTCGCAGTTGTACATAGTTAGGTACCTTGGGTGCTAGACCACACTCTTGCCGTGCCAAGGCATGTTTCCTTGATACCTTGATCCTAATCGACTTTTGGCCATATATCCCGAATTCGCTGTTTATGGTGTTTGTCCATGTCGTTGGTGTTCCAGTAGCAGGTGACGGCAGAACATAAATTCGAACCACTGAGTTTCTGCTTGATTTGCATCTGGTGGTTTCTACCTCGCACTCGTTCACGGCAGGCACAGCACAGGTCACACCTGCCGTGGGAGCAGTCTTCCCCGCAGAGCCCTTGCAGCCCAGAACCACTTGACCGCATCGCACCTTCCTCCTTTCTGTCAAAGTGAAGAGACGGAGACGGGTTCCTGTCAGAGTCCGTCAATCGACGTTTGGCATGCCATCCCGGCGGGCAGTCGTACTACTGCATGCAGCTCCACTACCAGCGGTGCCCTGCCTCTGAAGTTCTGAAGATAGGGCCGCCAACCCGTGTAGCAGCAGCACGCTCATGGCATCATGAGTCGTCGTCGGTTGTATAGTGTAGCGGTTATCACTCCGGATTCTGATCGCTCAGAGCATTCCGGCAACCCCGGTTCGATTCCGGGTACGACCTTTTTTCTTCCGTCAAAGATGCGTGTGGAGTTCAGTTCAGTTTGCTCCGTGTCGGCAGTCGGTAACACTAACGGCGGATCCACGGCGGGTCAGAAAATCTTTCGCTTTGCGGTGTCCACTTGTAGCTCCCGCTGCTTGGTGCAAGCCACCTGCTCAAAAAGAAGCCCACTGAGATCGTGCCTGCCATTTTAAGTCAAAATCCATATTACAGCTCGGGAATTGGAAACCAGGTACATAAGCGCCGTGTGCCTCGGTATAATGTAGGTGGCAACCCGAGGTGAACGAGAAGTTGAACTTGACTGACTCGCCGGAAACACCAGTTTGGAGAGCGAAACCCAAGAAAAGGCCGAAAAAAACGGGCATGTTACACAGCCCTTGAAGTTTCGACCTCAAGATGATCAGTCTTGCAATTTGGGGAGGTGGAAAAGGTTATGGTCTTTTGTCCCCATTTCTAAACTTTCTCGGACCTTGCTAAGGTCTAACCTTAATTATAAAGGCTCACACCATCTAGACACCGACGGGTAGATCTACGCTTCAATCCCCGTCATCGTCTGTGGGGTTATCACCACTGAGGACTCAAAAGTCCTCCAGCTTGTACACCTCGTACGAGGGCTCTTCGTATGGGTGCGCCCTAACGACGCAACATTCAGTTAGTTATGATGAACAGCCCGCAATGTCACAACACCAATGTTTAATTGCCCTGATTGAGACACCACCTGCAATGGACAACATACTTCTTGAGCGCAGCAACCGCCTTCCTAGCCACATCCTCCCCGATACACAGCGTTTCGACTTTCGCCTCCTCGACGTGCTCGAGCGCGCCGACCGTGCCGATGGCCGGGTTTGCGCCGTCGCCGGGGCGGAACTGGCCCGTGCCGAGGCTTGTGAAACAGCACTCGGTGTACTTGCTTGACCGTGCGGGGTCCCGGCCTGCGCCGGCCGCGAAGATGGCCGCCTTGCACGCCTCGAGCGCGGATGGCGGCACGTGGAACACGAGCTTGTACCGGGTTATGGTGGAGGCCATGTTGGGACTTTTTTTGAACAGAGGTAAGAAAGGAATGGATTGTTTTTTATCTGATCAGGACAGGAGCTGGGAGCGGGCAGGTGGATAGCGGAGTCGCTGTTGCCGTTTATAACCTGGAAGATTTTGGGTCATGACGGGTCTAATGTTACACAACCCCAACCCTGTCTTGATATACCAGTAGAGTATTCGTAGCCCGGAATATCCACATTCCCTACCAACTACTACTAGTAGTGTGAGCTTGATTGGCATTGTGTACCGGATAGCACTCAGGCTCAGCGTCGAAAAGCCGCGTTACCCGCCATGAATCGATACTCCGCCTCCAATCCCTAGCACCACAAGATGGCCATTTAACCAAGAGAAACCAAGATTAGAAACCAATACTAACACAAACGCCTCCCTTCCCAAAATCACCATCCAACCTAGGAGGCTAAGTATAAACACTCTCAGTCCATTGGTTAATCTGCATTCCCTTCTCGGCCATATTGGCCTCCTCAAGGAACCGCAACGGCATCCAGACCAGATGCCCCTTGATCTTGTCCAGCTTCTGCCTGACCTCGTCCGGCGGGATCATGCGGTCAAAGATGTGCCCGGCCTTGACTCCCTTGTTGGGCATGTACCAGTTATACTGCTCAAAGTTCTTGACTGCATATCGCGTTAGCATATCTCTATACCAGCTACTTCCCCTTAGTCCCATGAACTTACCGTGATCGTCCGGATCAGCATGAAACAGCTGCCTAAACACCTCCGTGTTCGTCGTGGCCCGGGAGGTCCACATATCCCAGAGCTCGTCGCTGACGGGGTCCTCGACAATCTTCCAGCTCTCGTCGTTGTCGCGCACATCGTTGGGCGATTCTTCGCCCGGCGGCTGGGCGTTGGGGTCATTGCTGGCATCCAGGTCCTGCGGGGGCAGCAGGCCGAGATGTTCGCGCCAGAGGTACCGTCTGAGCGTGGCGGCGTGCCAGCCGGCCTCGAACGGCTGGCCGTCCATGGTCGAGGGAAAGCGCTTCGTGTCCTCCATGACAATGCTCAGCTCGCTGTCGTGGAACCCCAGCTGGCTGCGATCGTTCAGGTTGCTCGAGCCGCAAATGACAACCCTGTCGTCGGCAATAAGCACTTTGGCGTGGATGTAAAGCTCTTCCTGGATCCAGTGGTTGACTTCGTCCTCGGGATCGCCGCCCCACGGTACTTCGGACACGGGACCCTGGCCGGCCATGGCGTGGTGCGCGACGCTGGCAGCCGGGTCGGCTCTGCCGTTCTCACTTTCCCGCGCCGCCTCGAACCGTCGTTTGACGTCCGTGTCCTTCAGCCGGCCATCGGGCATGCGTTCTTCATCAACGTTCTCCGCCAGTTCGCCGTCTGCAGTTTGGCGGTGCGAGCTTTGGTGGAGCCGCTTGCCAATGTGTTGCTTGCCAATGTGTTTGTGGGGTTTCTTCTCAGATTCCATGGCTCCGTCGATGCCCTCGCCCATGATCTCCTCGGCATGCGCTCGCTGAACGTCCTTGTACTGAACGCCCGACTCCTGCTCTTGCTTCTGTACAGCCGATGTCCAGTTGAGGCGATCATAGCTGCGCAGATTGAAAAGGAAGATGTACTTGGTGGGGTCGACGCCCTCCTTCTTGATCTGTTCAAATATGCTATGCTCTCCCCTGCATATCGACTTGTACTGGTAATCCATGATGGCCCTGGTCCCAATCGCGCCATCCTCGCGGAGGTCTCCGGCGAAGCCCGGTACGGCGGGGATGAGGATAATGACGCGGAACTTGCGTCCCTCCTTTGCAGCGGCTACTACAGCATCCACTATTGCTCTGCCGACCGTGTTTTGGATTGGCTTCTGTTGCTCGCCAGTTGCTGTGATGAAGAATTGGTTCTCAAGGTAGATGTAGTGCTTCGCGTTGCGAATTATCTCGTGGTACGCATTCTGGATCGAGTGGTCGGTAAGGATCCCGCTCGACCAGTCGTCACTAGAGCGTACGACCTGCGCGCGGACAGTTCCTCGGTTATCCAAGTTCTTAGTCTCGAGGGGCGATAGCGGATGGAGCGAATATCCACCAACAGGATGCCTCGGTCTCTGGACGCCGACGAGATCCTCATCTTCACCTTGGCGGCCCCTCAACTCGAGCCACTCAAACCGCTCGTCCCGCTTGTACTTATCCCTCTTGATGAAGTTCCACCGGAGCACAAAGTGCTCGGCAATATCGTAAACGCAGGGGCCGATCACGCCCATGGCAACATCGTGCCAGGGCATGCGTCCTGAATCCGTCTTGCTCAGCTCATTCTGCTTCCAGTCCTGCACGTTCTTAAAATCCATAACACGGTTGTTATTGAAGTCTTGGCCCGGCCACAGTTCGTGGGCAACGCCCTCGGGGTGCATGTCAGAGAGTGCATGTTGATTGTTATCCCAGCGGCCGAAGCAGAGATCCAAGCCGCCGATGAACGCCATCTCGTAGTCAATGACAATCAGCTTTTCATGATGAGCCCAGTAAAAGGTCATATCAGCAGCATTTTCAAAGACGTTGTGGTCTGGATGGCGCATGACCCTGATGTTGCCGTAGCCGGGCGAGCCTTCCGGGCAGAGACCTTGGAGGGCGTGCTTGGTATGCTCCGAATTGCAGGTGAGAGCGGCTTCAACCTCTCGGTAGACGATGACGTAGATTTTGACTCCTGCCTCTGCTCGGCGTTTGAGCACCTGATCCAACCGCCATTCCTGGTTGTAGTAGGGAGGGCGCCGAAGAAACAGCTCTGGTGAGAGCCACCAGTCGGCGATGTAAATGGTCTCCTTGGCCCTCTCCAGAGCGACTGACACGGCCTATTGCTTCATCAGCCGATGTGGGGGCACAGGTAAGGGCCTGTTACAGATTGGTGCGTACCCAAAAGTAGTCTCGGCCGTCTACATACCACTTCACCAGATTCCCCTCACGCTCGGGGAAGTAAGACTGGAACCGATGGGATTCGGCAATCTTGCTTCGCTTCTCGTCGCAAGCCTTCTCATTCTCCTCGTCATGGCGGTGTCGGGGATTGAACTAGACGGCACGTGTCAGTGAAGCTAACGAGAGGCAGAGGGAAGCCAGATCCAAGGCAATGCCTCACCAAGTTTGCAAACTTGCCAATCTTGTGTCTGGGCGTGGTCAATGAGATATGATTCTCAACGAGGAAGGAGAACTTGGAGCTTACTTCTGGTGGATCAAGTGGACTTTGGCATTGTGTAAGGGTGTATTATGATGGGTCTTGTCCTTTAGCCCGTGGAAGGGGAGCTTGAGCTTGTCCCCTACGTGCTGCTGGTGGCTATGGTCACGGCCGTTCTCTTCAGAGAGGCCGACTGCCGGCGATGAAGCCATGTTGCCGACGAGGGGTCGAAAATAACAACGAATAGGGAGATTCTAGAACTCGACGATCAAGTGGAAAAAAGGGACACTAGAAATCAGAAATACAGGTACAAGTACCCTGGTGATAAGGACGTCAGGACAGATGTGGGCGAAGTCACTCTAGACTCTCGTCATTGGTCGTTGTCAGATACACGTATACATCGTTTGGGGAGAGGCCCAGCAAACTGGGAACCAGCTGCGAACGGCAGTTGAGGCAGCACACCGAGGTCGACATGACGTCATGAGACCGTGTCTGGGTTTGTCGGTGCGCATTGTGTCGGAGTAGATCGCTTCAGAAGCTATGTCAAAGCGACGGTTATAGTTCTGATGGGTCCTTAATCCTATTACCTCGAATTCAAAGATTCTTGAAGCCGGACCACTTGTATGATCCCACTGGGCTGGAGCTGGGCCAGCGTTGAGAGAGATCAGGAGGCCCAACGCCGTAAATGATTTGCCATTTTCTGTAGTATCTTGAAACGCTTGGGCCATTCTGAGGCCCACATAGGGAACCTGAGTAGATACGTACTGTACCTAGGTACTGCAAGGACGAGCCAAACCGGCTACGTTATTGCCTTCCATCTGTGACTGTTAAGTGCTCGCAGATGACTGAAGTAGACTCTATGATCGATCTGCTGAATGTAGAGGAAACGTGGTTCTAAGATCCTCTCTGCACACGTGCTCCCTTTTATCGGATCTTGGCCAGGTCCCAACAACTGCGGGGGCGGGGTAGGTGTGGCAACCGGCCCCTAGGCTCATGGAATCTCCACAAGGAGCTACGTTGACCCCTTTGACCGCTCCTCAATCCCAACCTCCAACATACAACCTCTCTCCTCATCACCAGATCGACATTTTGTTGTTACAATACACAATGGCTACCGCCAAGATTCCCGAAGGAGGCACCTACCTCGATACCTTCAAGGGATCCTTCACCAAGGTCCCAATTGACGCCGAGAAAGGCAATGCCATTTCCACCACCGAATTCCTGGACGCCGCCGAGTCCCTGACAACCATGTTTGGTAACTGAGTTTCCACACGCTGCGTCCTACATGCCACCGTCTTCTAACGCAGCATGAACAAGATCTTCTCGGCTCCGTCGCCTTCTCGCCGGTCAAGAAGGACATGATGGGCAACATCGAGGTGGGACTTCACCAAAAGCTTGGAGCTCGGGTCCCTTCAGCTAATACAGGTTTCATCCACGCATAGAAACTCCGGAAACGCCAACTCGCGGCTCCCCTCGAATCTCAGACCCTACAAGACCTCGTGCGGAACGAGCTCAAGACCAAGTCTCACACAGCGACTGAGGGGCTGCTCTGGCTCGTAAGGTGAGAAAGAAACACACTGCCCGCTCGGGTTGGGGAACAAACACACACTAATTTTCCGCGACAACCTTGCAGAGGCCTCGAGTTCACTTGCATAGCCCTTAGCAAGAACGTGGCGCAGGAGTCCGAGGAGCTCGCCGACTCGTTCCGCGGCGCCTACGGCGTGACGCTGAAGCCGCACCACAGCTTCCTGGTGAAGCCCGTCTTCAGTGCTGCCATGAGCGCCTGCCCGTACCGCAAGGACTTCTATGCCAAGCTCGGTTCTGACGAGGCCAAGGTCAAGGAGGAGCTGCGGGAGTACTTGGCTGCTCTGGATAAGATTGTGGCCATCCTCAAGGCTTTCCTCGACAGCAAGGACGCTAAGTGGTGAGCGGGGGAAGGGCATGGATATATTCAGGAGGTGATAGACAGCGGATGAGCTCTGATAAAATAATCAAGAGAAAGGGATGGATATGATATATACCTATATCTCATCGGACAGCGAACGGAATTTTTGGACATCCTCATTCTATGCCCCCTTCTCTCCCGCTGTTATAGCCCTCTCCCTGATGGCCAGCATATCTCCAGTCTAGCCGCCATGCCACACGCTTGGTTACTACGCACCCAGGGGCCAATGCGTGTTGCTGGCTTCAAATGCCGGACTAATAAGAACAGGGATGAACTAGGAGTCAAACGAAAGGTACTGTACTGTGGTGAGTGGAAAAACAAAGGGACAAGAATGTTGGCGTCCATCAAAGCCCTGTAATTCGGGGCTGACTGAGTCACACAATGTTTGTGTGGGCGCTGTGTCACTTGCGTAACCCGGCGTGCTGGTTGCATGCAGAGTTGCCCCGGTCGCTTTAGCTGGCCGGACATCAGGCGGTCGAGCCCCAAGCGGGCAGCCTTGCCGCCTGGAGGCTCCCTCACAGCAGTTCCCCACACTGTCCTAGCCGCCTGCGAGTTCCCGCCACTTACCGCCCTGTCATCCCGCCAGTGCTTGAGGTTGATTCCATCCATAAGAAGACGAAACCCCACTCCGCCAGGCCCAGCTGCACCTGGTGCTTCCTGACGCCCGACTCGAGTCCCACTGTTCATGACTCCTTGTTATACAAGTGTATCGTCGTCTGAATTACGCATGGCTTCGCAATTCAAGACGGGTTCTCTCAGGAAGTCGGGCGCCAAGTCGAAAGCGCGAAATTCGGAAGCCAAGTGGAAGTCCTCTAACGCAAAGTCAAAGGCGGCCGTGTCGGCGCCTATCCTGCAACTGCCGCCCGAGATCGTCCACCTGCTCGTCGAACTACTCGACCCCCAGGACCAGCTAGCCCTCAATAGGGCGAACCGCTGGTTCTACTCTATCATCAATCCCGTTATATACACGCACAATGTCAGACATGGCAACTCGACCTGCCTCTATTGGGGTGCCGAAAACGGCCTGCTTGGCACTCTTCAGCATGCCCTTGCTGCCGGTGCCGACCTGAATGCCCTAGGCCCGCTATCCTACAAGTCAGCCCACAGAGACACTGCCAGCGAGCCCGCCATCGAGATCGTGACGGTCGAGCCTACGGAAGATGATGCCAACCCTGGGACACGCTCTCGGGCCCCTTTCTGCGCACCCTTACACCTGGCCGCCAAGAAAGGTCACCGCGATGTCGTCAAGTGGCTGCTTGACAATGGCGCCGATATCGACGCTCCTTCTTACCGGGTTTGCGGTTGTCAGCCGCTCAAGGCCGGCAGGCAACACTCCCGCCGCCTCTCGGAATGGCCCCGGTGGCGTGCCCTTCACACCGCCATGTGCCACCAAGAGCGGTCGGTAGCCGAACTGCTGATCTTCCGCGGCGCATCGCTCGAGCTCGATCTGACACCCGGCCACAACCATACTGCCCTTCACTCGGCAGCAGCCCACGGTCTGGTCCCTATCATCAAGCTGTTAGCAATAAACGACGTCAACCTCGATGTCAACCAACGAGATGCATGGGATAATACGGCTTTACACTACGTGGGGGAACTGTGGAGACCCCGCGACTCGGCCGAGATCCGCGACACCATCACCAAACTCCTTGCTCTCGGCGCCGACCTGGAGGCTCACAACGAGAACGGCCATACCCCTTTGCTCAATGCATGCTACAGAGGCAACTTTGCCGTCGCCCACCGGCTGGTGAGCATCGGCGCCAACCCGGACCCCCACCAGTCCATTCCCAACTTTCGAGATTGCCGCCCGCTTTATTACTGCATGCTCCCACGAGCCGATTTCTTCGACGTGGACGACACCCGCGTCAAGCACGATGAGTTTGAGGGCAACCGCGTGACCTTAATCAAGGCGCTAGTCGACGCCGGGGCCGCGGTAAACGCTCGGTTTGACAAGCGCGGGTATCGCAATGTGACGCCGTTGATGCTTGCTTGCGAACTTGCCGAGGCGCGAGTCGTGGCTGCCCTCGTTCAATGCGGTGCCGAGATTAATGCACAAGACCGAAACGGGAGGACGCCCTTGTCGTACGCTTGCCGCGAGAGGCCCGTCCATCCGAGAGACATGGCAGAGATGGCTACGATCCTGCTGCGCAGGGGCGCTCGCATGGACCTGGAGGAGGACCCGGAATCCTGTCCACTTGATTGCGCCATCAAGCGGTCGAGGTGGCACAATGATGACGTTCTCAGGGCGATGCTCAAAGCGTCCGGCAGGGTGAACTTGACTAGGGACAAGCTGGAACGAGCCATGGAACGCTGCGCTTCCAGCGGCAACCACAGGGCCCTGAAGCTGCTGCTCGGCTTTGCTCGCCGGGTATACACCGTCACGAACTTTATGCTCAAAGACTACATTGACCGCGTCATCAACCAGCAGGACCCTTGGAACCAGACCGAAACCTTCAGGGTTGTTATGGAATTTGGTTCGCATGTGTACACCAACGAGATGCTGCTGTACAAGACCATCACCCAGGGCAACCGGGAACTAAGCCTTGAGACCCTGAAGCGCGGCGTCTCAGTCAGCGAATCCCGGTTCCAAGGCGGGCAGACATTTCTGCATCTCGCATGCCAATGGGGGTCGCTCGACGTGGTGCAGGCCCTGCTGGAGCGGGGAGCCGACGTCAACGTGTTTGACAACGAGCTGAGAACGCCCTTGTCCATCGTCGTCCCCAACCCCCTCGCCCACGACGTAGCAGTCGCGCTGATGCTCGAGGTGGCCGACCCGTTCCTCGTGCCCCCGGACGACCTGCTGCAGCAGCTCTATGGCGACGAGGACGAAGACGAGTGGCGCTACGTCAAGCGGCGGTACCTGACCGCGTTTGACCTCGCCATCATCGGCAACCGCGACACCCTGGTGCGGGAGATCCTCGCCCGTTACGCCCTGCCCGAGATCCCGCGGGGTTCCCGGTTCAGCTACGTCCACCGCGCCGCCCAGAACCCGGACCACATCATCCTGAAGATGCTCCTGGACAAGGGCGCCGACCCCCGCGGCGGAGAGGACTGCCCTAACCCGCCGGCCGTCAGCCTCATCCGTCGCGTGTGGGACCAGCCGAAGATGCCCGATGCCGGGGTGGTGTTGCTGAAGACAGCCAAGATCCTTCTTGACAAGTATCGCGATGCTTCAGAGCTTCCGTGGGAGCTTTTCGAGGAAATTGCCTTGTACAAAACCGAGGATTTCGACAAGAAAAAGCTTCAGCACACTGTCCAGACCGAGCTAGGGATTTTACGCCGGCCCAAAGATGTCGATGGTGGCAGGTTTGCGGCGGTGGGTATTACCAGGCCCGGGTTTTGTGTCGAGTGGCGCACAACCTCGCACAAATTGCTACCCGCCGGTCCCTGCCCCCCTCCCCCCGGATGCCCCGTACTACCCGCTGGCCCCCCTCCCCTCCCCCCGGATGCCCCGGTACTATCAAATACAATGGGTACACCTAGAGGCGGCCGGTGACCCTCAACATGCAGATTGATTTGATTGAACAGGGGGCTGGTCCGTCAAGATAGGTGTATCTTGATGTGGGACAACCTATGGGCAAGGTTTTGGGGCGTTGATCACGGGACATGGTTAGGGGAATACCATTAGGTAGCGATCTGTGCTTTTTGTTTTGCGGGATGGGGTCATGTATGGTTTTCATGCTATCCTTTGCTTGCTGGGGGTTAGGATTGGAGTTCAGGGCTGTTTTGGGTGGATATATGAGTATGAATTCATATTAATGATGGACACAGAACGGCAGCGAACAATGTTAACTGGGCTAAGACGCCTTCTATCTGGCTGTGAGCATTCCAACGAATAAACTGCTTCTGTTAGGGAACTTGGATGGCTACAAATTTGTTCCTGAATGCTTCCTGCTATGCCACTGCACGCCGAGTATGAACTGGCTACCAGACTTTCATCGGGAGGGCCATTGTCTGGGAGTGGTGGAGTGCTAGCTGAGGAGTGGGAGGTGAGAGGCGCACATTCGGCGCTCATTTTGTTCAGTCCACGACGTATCTCCCAACAATCGTTTCACTGCGTTTAGATCGGGAATTTGAGGCTAAAGGAATAACCTTCATCGACCGAGGATCAAGTGAGGATTATGGAAAACGAAGCAAGAACGAGAAAACTCAAAAAATCGAGTGGAAATTCCTTCCAAAGGAATGCCATTCGCCAACGGCGAGACTCGAACTCGCAACATTCAGATTAAAAGTCTGACGCGCTAACCAATTGCGCCACGCCGGCTTTTCGATGTGGTTTGCATGTCAAATTTTCAATCTATATGCGATTTGGCACACATTCTGTCCGATTTCCCCCTTTTCGTTGGACTGCCCCCATTTGTAGCATCACAGGATTAAGATCAAGGGTAGAAAGCTCCTATGTTATTGCTGCTCTGGATTCAAAGTGTAAACGCGGTTGTAGGCCTCAATCATCTGCGGTTTGGCTGAGTATTGTGGACCGAACCACTGTCTTCAGTTTGCTGCGTCGCGTTTGCTTGTGCGAGTTGGCAACCAATATGCTGTCTAGTCCCGCCTGCCTACCAACCACAATGCAGCCGCTACCGACAAATGGCTTGAATGAGCCCCGATCAGTTGTCTGATTCTGACCCGGGCCTCCGTGGCCTTGACGGAAGCCTCCTTCTCGACTTTGTCGCCCTTGCCGCTAGACCGCCCTCTCACCGTCGTGCTCCATCATCCGGGTCTCGGATCGCTTCCTGATCGACTGGCATATCTCGCGCAATCAGTGTATTAGCGAACAGATCCTCTTCTTCCTCGACAGGGAGTTTATTATTAACAGTCCTCACCATTTGTTCCCACCGGCTCCGAGCTTTCCTCTCTTCTGAACGACTCCAGCATGTTCCTGTTCGCCATTCGCCCACTGCTTCTTCTTCGATTGGCTCTGATTGGGCTTCTCTCCACGAACCCGCTGTCCGCGTGACTGCCATCCCTGGTGTCGTCATAAGGCTGGTCATTCTCTGAAACGCTTGCGGCATCGCCAGTAAACCTCCAACGCTGGCCTCTTCAAGTTCCTAAGACTCGCGCTTCGGGATCGTTATGCAGCAAGCAGAGCTTGGATCACCCTCGAGCGATGCTAGAATATCCACTGGAGCTTGGTCTTCAATGCCTCGCTCTGACAGTGGAACAAGGCGCGTAACTATGCTACGAATCACGGGCCGAGTCTGAAGAAGTGTTCTTGGTACAGCCAAGGTACCTTACCTACCTATGTGGGAGAGGGAATTCGGGAGGCGCCTGTCGCCTTAGATGGATACTCAAGTTAAGGAAGCATTTTCCAGTTAAGATGATAAGGCAAAGTAGCTCAGGACTATATAACCGAAACTTCTCGCTAACTGTCAACTTATTTTTTAACCTCTTTGGCGTTTGGAAAACTTCTTCCTTAGTACTAACCACAAGATGACAATCATGACATCCAATAGAATTTTCAAGACAACGTTCCATAAAAAGAAAGTCAGAGCCATCCGCACTTCATGTGGCCGTGAGTAGATGAAGTATACCAGTTGAGTCAAAAGTAATACGAGTAAAGTGGCAAGGAAAGACGCCGTACCGTAGCCAAGGAGTAGCAAACCAAGGTGGACGTCGTAGACCATCCCTACCCAAAAAGATGCTAACGCCATTGCAACAAACATGCAATCAAGAAAACGACGTACTGCTATGAATGAAAGCTGCGGCCTGTAGTGATGGAGGAACCGTAACCCTTCCCATAGAAATGATACAATCGGCCACCGAAGAGGTTGCCAATGCCCTTTCCAAGAGCTTGGGTATCTATCCCACCAACTCATCAATACGTAGAGGAGGAAAACTATTGAAAAGAGGGACAGGCTGATTCCAAAGTAGTCATACCATAGTACACCAAGATCGATGACTCTTGTGCTCATACTGAGGAGACTTGAGGCAAGGCTAAGGGGGAGAAATATTGTAGCAAGAGTCGTGAGTCGGGCAGTGCTCTCGGCCTGGGCTTCGTTGTACAATTGCGCTCTGACGGTTGCTTGTGCGTCCAGTCCACCGATAAAATCGTTGACCTGATTTTGAAGCATTTCGACTTTTGCTTCAAAGTCTAACTTCACTGCATTAAGTCTGGCCTCTGTAATTTCTGGTTGATGGCCGCGTTGTGGGGGGTACTGAGTAGCCTCTTCATCCGCCGCTGCTTTCCGGTCGTCTATATGCTCCTGTATATGAGCAAGAAGCAAGTCGTATGTATGTTGAAAAGCTTTTCTTGCGTCCCGAGGAATCTTTGCCAAAGTCTTTAGATGGGGAGAGTTGTGGAGCCGAAATTGGGGCACTTCCTCCCACCCTAGCTTTGTAGAGAATTCCTCCATTATCCCAGAAACAAATGCTGCGAAAGTCTCCACGACTGCCCGTATGATGTCGATAAGCACGGCCATCGATGACGCTTCTGCGGTGCATAATGGGATTGAGGAGGTGGACTTCGAAGAAAGGAGGAGTTTACGGAACTGTTCCTTTAGTGACTGGCACCTGCTTTCTGGTGGTAGGCCCGGTAGCTCGGGACACCGCAAAGTGACTATTATTAACTTAGCAAACATTCATGGTCGTTTGAATTGCGGGTTTATCAACCTTGTAACTTGTTGTCAGACTGGTGTTGTACATGGATGGACGAGACATATTCGAAGAACTTTAGGTGGTCGTCATCATCATGGCCGAATCTCATTCTCTGACGACTCATAAATTCTGAGCAGCCGGTTCGGTCTTGATTCTCAGGATCTTGACGGAATGCCTGTACGTTGGTCTGAACCAGGAATGGTTCGGTATTCTCGGGGGACCATAAATTGGTCAGATGCCATATATGGAATGCACGATTTTTGTTGCCAATGAACCTCTTTCTTCGTTCCGGCATCTGCGGTGGCGTTCTCATGAACCAGTTTTCGCGTTTGCGCTCCGTCTTGATGGATTCACTCAATTGTAAAGGCATGTTGACTATCAGAATTCGCAAATGCGAACTTCCCATAGGTGGTAAGCTGTCGGAGAATGACTTGACTGGGTCCACCGGGCTATTCTCGTCAGATTTGGCACACCTGCGTTCGGTTCGTTCGCCTGTAATGCTGATATCTACGGCGATAACGGATGTGTCGTCATCTGATAGTCCACTTCCAGGGGTGGAAACGTTGTTTGCTCCATTCTCAAGAGTAGCGGCTTCCTGGAAGCGGACAGAACTATCGGTATTGTTGGGCTCCTCCATCAAGCTAGTTGTATCTCCACGAGATCTTGGTTTCCTATGGGAATAACGGCGGGGTGGTAACGCAAGCGCAAATTTGCCAAGAATTGGAACTTGGGGGGGAAACTGCCTAGGGGATGCTTTTTGAGTTCTTTTGTACGTAGCTATCGAATACGGACAGGAACATTGATCGAGCAAGAGGCAGTTGACTGGTATCCACAGGCATATGTAAGGTAGGTAAAGGCCGCTTACCTGTTGGCTGGAGTTCGTATGCACTTAACGGGCCAACTCTTTTTGTCGGGTATTTGCGACATGAGAGGATACCGAAATGGGTTGGGCACCAATCCCCATTCTTAAAACACTGCCCGACGGTGGCTTCACGCAGCATAGCAAGATTAACCCCACAAAGTTCGCTGTTGTTCTCACCAACCCGATGTGCAGAACCCCTAACACATCTGCCGCGCCCTCTGTGGGCTGAGTCACTTCAATGAGTTGCGTTTCTGCGTGCAGGGCGCGATGGGGAGCATGCGGGTCGGCCCCCGGTCTCCGCATCCACTGGCCTGGCGACATATCACCATCCCGCGACAGCCCTTGCGCATTCAAAACTTCGGGTCGGCTTTGCGTTATCTGTCTCGCAACGGTGCTGTGTGAAGTAGACACAGCACTAAAAACAAATCCCGCCGAGACGAGGCGTTGCATACAAGACCCATTCGACTGTCCACCCTAGCCTGATTATCTTGGACGCCATCCCTTTTGTAAGGAAACTCGCTTTTACCCTTGAGATACTCGAGCTTACGGATGCGGTAGCACTGCCACAACAATCTTCCAGCCATCGACCATCAAACTAACTATCCATTATGGCTGAGATCGATGCAACCGCGTTGACCGCACTCATAATCTCGCTGGTTGCCCTCGTGGTAGCAGTGGGACAGATCCTCCAGCAGTATGTTGCAACTGCCGATGGCTATCGTCGATGCCTGCCTTCTGTCATGGGCCAATGGGGAACCAAGTCGGAGAGGAGGTGGAGGTTCATGGAGTTCCGCTTCGAGACAATCTACTACGTCCCTAGCATTTCGGTTGGCCCACCTGGCGTTGTTGTAGCAGATTCGAAATCCATATCCGAACTCCGACAAAAGGACTGGCGCAAAATAGACCTTTCGAACTCGACATACACATTGAAAAGTATAGAGCCTCTGATAAATGACACTGAAGGTATATCATCATATTTCGTCACGCCCCTGCTCGCAGTTTCGGATGTTTCCACATGCTGATGTTTAGATGCTTAGAGCATAAGCGGAAGTACGGAGACTACGGTGCGATGGTTTGTTGGGTGGCCTTCCTCGAACGACTGTATGAGCGCCAGAAGGAGATAGAGGACGCTTTCGAATGGTGGTGGCCTGCACCGGAGTCGAAGGATTTTCAACGCCACGTAAATACTATGCCGACGATTCCTTGCGTCAGGATCCTTCGAAGATCTTGGGACTTCATGGTGAGTGAAGATGATGCATTCTGACATGAAGCTAGGGTGATCATAGAGACTGAGTTTCGGTGAAGCCGCCCGAAGTTGTCCGTCCCTTGTGTGAGACTACCATCTCGGACATTGCCCTTCTCGTGTGAGTTATAATACCTGGGAGTTTATCGTCATGGCACCCGAATAGGCTGACGAGAGTTCAGGTTGCGCCTTGGTATGAGCTGGAAGGAGTTCAATCCGGCCAATAGAAAACTAAGAGCCGAAGGCCCCGGTAGTCTCATCACCTCCAGATACGTTCCGTCTGTCGGTCTCTGCCTGGAGTATATCACTACTGGCTACGCTAAAGTCTCCAAGGAACCAATCCGGCCCACCACGGACCGTCCCAAGGCCGCCGGGATCCAGGGAGATCCCGCACCAGACCAAGTCGGGCCAGTCATCGAGGTTACAGGGGCCTTCGAAATCCAAAGCGAGTCTACGGCTAACCCTACTGAGGTCCCTCAGGTCAACAGTAAGACCAACAAGAGCCGTGCTACAATCTCTAGCTACCAAAGCAAGTCCACCAGGGAATCCCCAAGCTTAGGGCCCGTACTGCTGAATTCTTTCCTGCCTGTAGACGGTGTCTCGTACTTTCTGTTCGGCATTGTTCCCGGAAATGATAGCCTTAGCTGCTTTAGTCGCCCTCTAGGGACTCTAAATGAGATCAAGGAATTCTTAGATTTCCTCGACAGCACCGCCGAGAAGTCATCCAATCTGCCAGGGTTGCTGGTGGAAGCGATGAAGCACAGAGAGGGTTGGATTCCCGGGTTCAACGACATCATTCCAATTACGGCCCCAAAACTCGGCAGAAAGTCGTCTCCGTTGTGCAACCTACCCATGCCTAACACTTACTCAGCTGGTGTGCTCCGAACAGAGGAAGGGTTATTCACTTTCTGCGAGAGATTGAAAGAATATGTTGAGGAACATCCCTCCAAGCAGCTCAAAAGTATCCAAGATTTTGTGGAGAAGCTGGAAAAACATATAGAGTGGAAAGCCAACGATAGCGTGTGGGCTAGTATTAGCCCCGCGGAGCACATCTCTCCCCAAGAAGCCTATAACGCCAGGAAGGGATTCCACGTCTTGGTTCACGACGCTTTAGATGAAGCAGAGAAACACCTCAGACTCATCAACGTGGACCCTCATGGCTCTATTCACAACCACAAGACGGAACTGAAGCATGGCTTCTGCTATGACACTCTCGTCGTGGAGCATCTCCGCATGAGTATCACCAGCTACAAAACAGCAATGTACAACATGGACAAAACCCCGATGCCCAAGCACTGGAAAGGCATGGACAAGGGACGTAGCTGGCTTTCCGCCTGTATGAACCAGTACTGGGACGAGCTAGAGGAACTCGCGAAATCGGTTGAGAAGATCACAGTGCCACCGGACCGCATAAGAGTGGAACCTGACTACAGACTCTTGGTTGTGGATGCCTGGGTCACCATGATATTTCGAGCTTTCTGCTGGCACCACTGTCATCGGCTGGTTGCGGTCAAGATTGTACTCCCGTCGGAATGGCACGGGAGTCGGATGCCGGTGTATATTGGATGATTCGGATTGTTTGCTTGGATGATATCGTAACTGCAACGGGACAAACGACAGTTCCCTTTGGGACCTTCCATGACTACACCTGGATCCTATTCTTTACAATACTCACTTACTCAATACTGACTGCTCACATCAGGTCTATCAGCAACGCCGCCAGTGACCACCAAAGTCCGGGACATATTGCCACCACAAAGCCTCTTAACACTCATCTCACATTTCCACGGGCATCACTGCAACTCAACCCAGGACCCAGGATAAGCCCTCCACCTCCACAAACTACCTACACATGGACTGATCACCCTAATCCTTCCGCTGCTTACTCGCCGCCCCTTCATGCTTCATGCCCTCGCAACCCGTGAGCTTGCCCGCAATCTCCTCGGCCCGGCCGTAGCCGGCCTTGGCAGGATCCCGCTGCTCGGCGGCGGCCTGCAGCGCCGCCCGCGCATGTGCCTTGTCCTGCTCGCCCGACGACGTCCAGGCGTGGGAGCCCGTAATGCTGCCGACGGCGGTCTATCCATTCCCTTCGGTTAGTATAAAGAATTACAAGCCGATGGGGGGCGGGGAGTGCTCGGAACGTGTTACATACCTCTGCTGCGCCCTTGATGTACTCGGCGTGGGCGGCTAGGAGACCAGGTTGTTGCTGCCTTTGTCCTGGGCTGGGGTTGTGAGGGTTTGATTGGGTCTGCGGGTTGTTGGAGGCCATTGTTGGTGATGTTATGACTTGATCTATCGTCTACTTTGGGTTGTTTTAATTGCTGAAGGTTTGCTGGTAGGTTTGAGACTGGGGACAGCTATCGTAGTATGGAAGTCGACATATACTGGAACAATAGTATCATGGATCGGAGGGAGGTACTCCCATATGTACGAAGTATAGCTCCTGGAACCGTTGTGTCGTGAAGGCCGAATAATGACGTCCAACTTGGTGACGTCATGGTAAAGGGTTGAGACTCTGCATGTTTATTTGTCCCCAACGCCGCTGGAACAAATTGCCCCAGGCGACGGTAATATGGAGAATCTTGGAAGATTGGGTTGTGATTCGTAGTTTTAACTAATACAACCGCTGGAAAACTTAAAAGGGAGTCCAGGCTATCTCTGTATTAGTCTTCGAGAATATATTAAGCCTGCCCCTCTGAGCAGATTTGGCGGGTCCCGGTCAGGCATCGTCTTGAGCTCCCTAGACTATTTCTCCATCCCCTGTTCTCTTGATCGTGAAAGAATTGGCACAAAGACCGAATCACTGTCTAGATCCATATCTTGTCCTCGACTCGAGGGCTCCTACTGGAAGTCGATGATCCGAGGACATACCTGAGCTTTCTAGGTACTGCCGAAATAAGGGGGACTGCAAAAAGGTCGAACCGCCAGTTTGGGCTTCGTTCTCTCTGATTGATGCTCATGTGTTAATCCCAGTTGAGTGGTTTGGGATGGCTTTCCTGAGGGACGTAGGGTCAGACACGGCTGACTTTTATCTCGAACTGCAAGTGACGGAGCGCGCACACGCTGAGCACTGCCCACGTTGACGCTCCTTCATCCCCATTGGCGGGTGCAAATGTAAGTGAAGATCCTATTCGTAGTTCCGTACAACCTATTTGCAATGTGTTCGAGGATACCTGCGGATCACGTCTTAACAACTTCCCCTCATGGCAAGCAACATGGTGGTTCGAGAGCTGATGGACAAGGCAGGATAAACCTCCAGTCGGTGCACCTTGTATGGTTAGGTGAGTGAATCCCGAGATCTGAGATCTGCGATCTCGACTTGGCGAATGTGGAATCTTGAAACGGCTGGATGGGATTGCAGAACTGAGGCGATGCCCCACGATATTTGTCCAGGGGTTTGAGAAACCCCAGATTACCAGAGATCACGGAGGACGACCTGCCGACTGGCTTTACAGGGGCTGCTTGGCAAAAAAATCTCTGAATTTGGATGGGGTTTGAAATTGCAGAGTTGCGGTGAGGGCTATGTAGCTTTGAGTTCCCGTGAAACCGCCGATGATGTGCTTGAGCTTGAAGGAGCCAACTCGGCATTAAATTCTTCGAAATGGTGCAACTCCGACAAGAAGGCGACGATTGATAAGCGTGGGGTACGACCAAGACATCGAGGTTAGGGAAGACTGGTCGCTGTACGAGTCAAATAGATTCTCCGCTGCCACCTCACCTTCCCCTGGAGCCGTTGGAAGCCGATCAGAGGCCCAAATCGGACATGACTTGGACAAATGCCAAATGCGGAACGGTTCTGGCCTAGACGAACACCAGAAGTTCAACAGATCTCGCCCCTTTCGGACGGCCTGGAAGTTGTGGATCCTAACCGGGATTGACTCCTGGAGTTCCGTCACCCGTTTGTGGGTGGCAAAGGGCGGCATGCTTTGGGGCTGAAGGGGCGTAGAACACAAGGTTGGCTGCGGCGTGGATCCGTGGCCCGTTGAGCGTCTCGGATTGCACCAGTTGTCTCTCGGCCCATGCCGTCTCACTGCACTCGTTGGCGCTCTGGCATGGGAGCTCTGATGTGTTAGGGCTTATCACGATGCTGAAGTAACACCTCCAACCGGATCAGTAAACTTGCAATGCTGAAAACATTGAGAGGATCGGGTCAGCCGCCGGGTCGTTGAATGACCCAGATCTGGACCTGAAGTCGCAAACGGACAACAGCAAGTGTCGAATGCTAGTTTACATAGATTAGCATTGACCAAACACCAAATCCTCGCAGCAAAGTACTTGGCGAGCCATCCAGGCTTGAACGCATCGAGCTGTGGTGGCTCAACGAAGGATGTTTGGGGCCAATATTAGGTATAACTATTTGTTATCGTCGGATACGCCGTACCCCGCGTTTCCACTCGGGGTTCTCTTCAAAGCACGAATACCTCTGTAGAGTCTTGGTCTTTTTCGCCACTTGTCAAACGAAGCATTAGCAACGCCCGTCTTCCAGAATTTTGATCATATTCGCTATTGAATCAACATCTCAAAGGTGGCAGTGACTGGAGGGATGAAGGAACCCTGGAAACCCTGGTTGGTGAGGGTCAGGGAGAAGCGGGAAAGGCAGCGGAAAATGTGGTTCTCGAGAATTTTTTTGCATAAAGCTCCGCCTCACCGCCCTCCGACACAGCCGTATTGGGGATAGCGGTGTAAGTGATAAAGCGATAAGCAGACTCCTTGCAGATAGGCAGGGGTGCTGAGTCGGCAGCGGCTTGCCGCAGACCAATCAAAGGGAGACAGGAACAAATCAGGGTGACGGGGCCGTTGAAAGGCGATTTTCGAAGGGACGGATGGATTTGTTGGGAGGTTGAAACTGGTTGCCCCGGGGCTGCTAAGGCGAGAAGGCGAAAAAAGTTTTCGACGCCGCCGCCTAACTTACCCCTCCATCTGGGTCCATGTGGGTCCCTCACTGGCCGTGCTGGTCCCTTTCATTGAAATCTTTAAATATCGTGCCTGGGACGCCCTCTTCCCACACCACTTTCTTTCTGCCCCTTCAGGTCTCCCTCCTCTTTTCTCTTTCTTTTCTGGGCTGTCTCGGTTCCTCGAGCACTCTCTCCACCCAGTCTTTACTTTCTTGCGAGCTCTTCACCGAAGAGCCAAGATAGAGTAGATTTTTCGACCCTCCATCGAAAATCTACGGGCTCCGCGCAAACCAGCCGCTGCCACTACTGGATACCCGATAGACGGCGCGAAAGACTGCTTTTCCGGATAGACGGCGGGATTAGATTCCTTGTTTTCTCGGACTCGCGACGCTGATAGACTTCTCGTCTTCCATTGTTTTCGACTTTTTATCCCTTTCCAATAACGACAAAATCGACTACCATGCCTTCCCAGGTCGCCGCTGAGAACGCCAAGAGCGTCAAGGTTCTTGACGAGCTGATGCAAAAGCTTACCATCTCCAAGGAGGCCGATGCCATCAAGGAGGCTTCCGCTGCGATTGCCTCGTTCATCAACGGCCGCATCGAGGACCTCGACACCCCGACTAGGTAAGACTGATCCCCCCACTGAACAAACCAAGCCCCGCTCTAGACCCCTCCAACGCACCGCTTTGTGCGTTGAAAATAACCGGACCGCGTGGGCTGCATCTGCCACCTGATAAAAGGAAGCGGTCTGGCTGGGCTGTCAGCTCAGCGAATCAGATGGCTGCTTTTCGGGGGTCGAAAATTTTTCAATCAGGGGCATTTTCTTCGTCGCACCAAAATTTGGGGAAATTGGGGCTGACATGTGAATCCCTAAATCCAGGACTGTCGAGGCTCTCAAGAAGCAGCTTGCCAACAAGAAGGACGCCACCGTCCGCGAGAAGGCCCTTCTGGCCATCCAGGCCATTGCCCAGCACTCTGAAATCTCCGCCAATGTCGAACCCTACCTCGTTGCCCTTCTTCCAAATGTTCTTGCCGGCGCCGGCGACAAGATCACCGCCGTGAAGAATGCCGCGGTCGCGGCTGCTATGGCCATCGCCGAGGGGATGAACCCCAACGCGGTCAAGGCTACCCTTCCGGCCCTGATCGACTCCCTGCGGAACGCCCAGAAGTGGCCTGAGAAGATGACTGCTCTTGATTTCATCGACTCCATCATCCGCACCGCTCCTACGCAGACCGCTCTCCGTGTCCCTGACCTCATTCCTGTCGTTTCCGAGGCCATGTGGGATACCAAGAAGGAAGTCAAGGATCGCGCCTACAAGACCATGGAGAAAGTTTGCCAGCTGATTGTCAACCGCGATATCGAGCGCTTCATTCCTGAGCTTATCAAGTGTATCGCCAAGCCCGAGAATGTTCCCGAGACTGTGCACTTGCTCGGTGCCACCACCTTCGTCACCGAGGTCCAGGAGCCTACTCTTGCCCTCATGGTTCCCCTGCTCGACCGTGGTCTTGCCGAGCGCGAGACCGCGATCAAGCGAAAGTCTGCTGTCATTGTCGACAACATGTGCAAGCTCGTCGATGACCCCAATGTTGTCGCTCCTTTCTTGCCCAAGATGATGCCCGGCCTGCAGAAGAACTACGAGAACCTCGCTGACCCCGAGGCTCGTGAGAAGACCAAGCAGGCTTTGGACACTCTCATCCGCGTTGGCAACGTTGTTGACGGCAAGATTCCCGAGGTCCGCAACCACGGCGATGTCGTCACTATTATGGGCCACCTGAAGGACATTCTCTCTGGCAAGCACGCCGCTGCCTTTGAGAAGTTCACTCCTGTTCTCGAGTACGCTGCTGCCATCGCCGGCCAGCTCGTTGACGAGAAGGTGACCGATTCCGCTACCTGGGCTGAGAGCGTCAAGCCTTATATCACAGTGGTTGTTGGTGATGCTGAGTCCCAAGGTGTCGTGGATGCCCTCCGGAAGCGTGCCAGCCCTGGTATCGCTGACGAGGAGGAAGTTGAGGACGATGAGGAGGAGGGCGAGGACCTTTGCAACTGCACTTTCTCCCTCGCCTACGGTGCCAAGATTCTGCTCAATCAGACGAGCTTGCGGCTCAAACGTGGCCAGCGCTACGGTCTGTGCGGCCCCAACGGTTCCGGCAAGTCCACTCTGATGCGCGCCATCAACAACGAGCAAGTCGAGGGCTTCCCCAAGCAGAGCGAAGTCAAGACCGTCTTCGTTGAGCACGACCTCGACTCTGCCGACACTGAAATGACTACCATTGACTGGACCATGAAGAAGCTTGGCGAGGCTGGTGTCAACGTCACTCAGGAGGATGTCGAGAAGCGTCTTGCCGAGTTCGGCTTCTCCCCGGAGATGATCAAGGGCGAGATTACCGCTCTGTCTGGTGGTTGGAAGATGAAGCTGGCCCTGTGCCGTGCCGTCTTCGAGGCTCCCGATATCCTGCTCCTTGACGAGCCCACTAACCATCTTGATGTCAAGAACGTGAAGTGGCTCGAGGATTACCTCATCAACTCCCCCTGCACTTCCATCATCGTGTCTCACGACAGCGGTTTCCTCGACAACGTTTGCCAGCACATCATCCACTACGAGCGCTTCAAGCTCAAGCGCTACAAGGGTAACCTCAAGGAGTTTGTCCGCCGTGTCCCTTCGGCCAAGTCTTACTACGAGCTCGGTGCTTCGGAGCTCGAGTTCAGCTTCCCCGAGCCCGGTTTCCTTGAGGGTGTCAAGACCAAGGCCAAGGCCATCCTGCGCGCCAACAAGATGAGCTTCCAGTACCCGGGCACTGCCAAACCTCAACTCACAGACATCACCTTCCAATGCTCGTTGGGCTCCCGTATTGCCGTGATTGGTCCCAACGGTGCTGGCAAGTCCACGCTGATCAACGTCCTGACCGGCGAACTCATCCCCACTGGCGGTGAGATCTACCAGCACGAGAACATCCGTATCGCCTACATCAAGCAGCACGCTTTCGCCCACATCGATAACCATCTCGACAAGACCCCGTCTGAGTACATCCAATGGCGTTTCCAGACTGGCGAGGATCGCGAGACCATGGATCGTGCCAACAAGATTATCACCGAGGCCGATGAGGAGGCCATGAACAAAATCTTCAAGATCGAGGGTACTCAACGCCGTGTCATTGGTATCCACGGCCGCAGGAAGTTCAAGAACAGCTACGAGTACGAGTGCTCCTTCGCCCTCGGCGAGAACGTCGGCCAGAAGAACGAGCGCTGGGTGCCCATGATGACGGCTGACAACGCTTGGTTGCCCCGTAACGAGCTGCTCGCTTCCCACCAGAAGATGGTTGCTGAGGTTGATATGAAGGAGGCCCTCGCTTCCGGTCAGTTCAGGCCTCTGGTCCGCAAAGAGATTGAGGCTCACTGCGCCAATTTTGGCCTGGATGCCGAGTTGGTTTCTCACTCGCGCATGCGCGGTCTCTCGGGTGGCCAGCGTGTCAAGGTTGTGCTCGCCGCTTGCTCGTGGCAACGCCCTCACTTGATCGTCCTCGACGAGCCTACCAACTACCTCGATCGTGACTCGCTTGGTGCCCTGTCCAAGGCTCTCAAGAAGTTCGAAGGTGGTGTGATCATCATCACTCACAGCGCCGAGTTCACCAAGGATCTCACGGAGGAAGTCTGGGCTGTCATGGACGGCAAGATGACTCCTTCCGGCCACAATTGGGTCCAGGGTCAAGGCAGCGGTCCCCGCTTGAAGCAGGACGACGATGAGGAGGAGGAGAAGTTCGATGCCATGGGCAACAAGATTGTGTCGACCAAGAAGAAGGCTAAGCTTACCAGCTCTGAGGCACGGAAGAAGAAGAAGGAGCGTATGGCCCGCCGGAAGCGCGGTGAGGAGGTATGTCGATCACTTTTAGTGAAGAGTTTCAAGCGGATGCTAATATATTCCATAGGTCTTCAGCGACGAGGACGAGTAAACGTCACCAAAGCTTCCCATGATGCGTTTAGCGATACGATTTGGGTTATAAAAGTTGATTTTCTTTCGTGGTTTCGGGTTGCATGGTTCGGCCTCATTGGGTTTGCGTTTTATGTATGCTATGATCTTAATGTCTCTGATACCCGGCGTGGGTATCTGCGGCTGGCAGTGGGCAAGGATCTGTCATCTCAGGACTGGAGACCCTGAGATGGCTCGCCTGTGGGCTGCACGGGCCGATTGGGGGGAAGATACCAACACGATCGGTGGCAAGAGTTCTCTCATAGAGGAGACTATAGATCAAATTCTATGATGACATGTCATGGCCGTCGCTCTTGTCAGTGATAGGATTTGGCAATCGCAGCGGGTCCGGGTCGCGTCCCCGGTGCATTTCGTAGGGACAGCAAGTTGTGAACCGCAATTCTAGCGTCAAGTTCCCTTACGACCGCGATCGACGCAGGAGATTGAAATGTACCCAGAATTTGATTGAGGTCTCCCAGGTAAGTCGATTGACCGCGCAGTGATCAAGGAGTTACGATGTAGTCAAGACATTATCATGGGAATCGTTTGTCTCAATCGCAGCGTAAGCTAATGTAGTTCATACCTGCCATGGGTATATATCCGTTTCCCGCCCCGTGCTGCCCGTCAAACCTAACCTGCCCTCAACGCCGGAATAAAACGCGTACTGCATTGGCCCCCTACGAAATCTGACCATCCTGCTGCCCCGCGCTCAATCATTCCCATGCCTCTGCTTCTTGCCTGTGTGGCCCATATCGGACGGATCGGAAGTCGGGGCGCTCGGCAGTTCGCTGGCGACAGCTTCAGCTTCGGCCTCGAGCTCAGCCTCGTTCTCTTGTTGTTCGGCAGTCTCGGTTGTCTGCTCGGCCGCGAACTCGTTCTCGGCGACAGGGGGGAAATACAGCCTACGAATGACCGTCAGCAACCTGGATTCCTTATGGACCCTTCAATCCAGCCCAACAAAAAGCGAGGGGCGAGGAAACAACTTACGGCAGAAACTCATGATACGCCTCCACATCCTTCCTCTCAAACGTAACAATCACCACCTGGTCAATCTTGTCCCCCTCCGGCCCAACCAGGAACTTGCGCACTGCACTCAACGCCACAGGCGCCGCCTCCCGGCTGGGATAGCCATAAACCCCCGTGCTGATGGCGCTGAAGGCAACACTCCGACAGCCGTGCTGCGCCGCCAGCTCCAGACTGCGCGTGTAGCAACCCGCCAACAGCCGCTCGCTCTCCGTCGGGTCCAGCGGGTCGTACACGGGCCCCACGGCGTGGATGACCCGCCGGCAGGGGAGGTTATAGGCGTCTGTGATGACGGCGGAGCCCGTCGCACACCCGCCTAGCTTCTGACACTCGGCTAGCAGCCGGGGCCCAGCGGCCCGGTGGATTGCACCGTCCACCCCGCCCCCGCCGAGAAGGGATTTGTTGGCTGCGTTGACGATGGCGTCGACTGAGAGGGTCGTGATGTCGCACCGTAAGAGGCAGAGGCGGTCGTTGAGGGATTTGGATGGGGCCGGGCGCGTGGACGGTCCGTGGAGAGTGGCCGGGAGTCGGGCGTGGGGTGGTGCTGGGGAGAGTTTCCGGAGTTTGTAGAGGAGGGAGAGGGAGGGGATGTCGGATGGGGTGAGGACCGTCATTCTGGTGATTAAGTGCCGAAGAGGCATGCGAAGCGCGGGAGGACCGGAGGTTGGATCTGTGATCTCCAGGAGCGAATGTAGTTGTGCGTTTAATTAGAAATTCTGATTGAGAAACCTCGTGAGTTGATGCGAGTGGTCGTAAAGTTTGGTAATGTAGTGGGTAGTTACGGATAGAGGTAGGTGGTTGATTTGAATGGTGATCGGATCGGTGCCTGGTGAGAAACTTCGGGAACGATGACGACGTGCGCCAGGGTTGAGAGCTGCAACCTTGCGCGATGGCGGGGTATCGTCGAAACCCTATTAGAAGGGGAATAAGCTTTGAGTAACTCTCAAGGTCTGCCACTCTGGACCGCCCGCCAATCGTGAACGTAAACTAAAGATCCTGCACAACCAGATAGTAATCGCTTAGCGACCTCGGAATACTCCAAATCAATGCAGTTGATGCCCATTCCCGTTCTCGTTCCATGGGCTGGCTTCCGTGAAAGAACCCCGCGGTGGCTCTTATCTTATCGATAAGTGAGACGGGACAAGCCCCTGTCGCCCCTCCATCAATTTTCGAGACCCAACGGATGGAATCGACTGACTCACACGGAAAGACCAACCTCCGATAACAACACCCTGCGAACTCATCAACTTGATGATACCCCTTGACACTGTCTCATCCTTGAAATAAGAGCATAGAAGTGCATTAGACTCCTGGCCGCCTCAACTCACAGACTCGGCGCCCCCCTCTGATCCATTCTACGCCAAACTTCGACACCTCGACGTCCTTTGACAATTGCGAATCCGCCGCGCAACATGGCCGACACTGTAGCCGACGCTGCTGCCAAGTTGCAGCTCGGCGAGGGCTCGCCAGACAATGGGGCGAAACTGCAGCTAGATGAAGAAACGGGAGATTGGGTTTCCAAGGGCGAACTGAAGAAACGCCTGGCAAAGCGCGCGAAAAAGGCGCTGAAGGAGAAGAATAAGGACTCGAATGACACGGCAGCGGCACTCAAGACCGCCCAGGATGCTGTCGCGACAAAGAAGCCTAAAGAGAAGACGGAGGAGGCGCCCATTGATCCCGATGCAATGTTCAAGCAGGGCTTTCTCAACGACGTCTACAACGAGCGCCCAGAGAAACAAGTGTTTACACGGTTCCCGCCCGAGCCCAATGGCTTCCTCCATATCGGCCACGCCAAAGCCATTGCTGTAAATTTTGGCTTTGCTCGGTATCATGGCGGAAAGTGGTACGTAGAACTCTGGCGGTTCATCAGTAGGACGAGAGCTAAGACGATTGTCCATCCACAGTTACCTGAGATACGACGATACCAACCCTGAGGCCGAAGAAGAGATCTACTTTACCGCAATTGAGGAGATGGTTCGCTGGTTAGGATTTGAGCCTTACAAGATCACCTATTCGAGCGACAACTTTGGCAGGCTGTACGAGCTGGCTGAGAAGCTCATCACGCTTGGCAAGGCCTATGTCTGCCACTGTGGAGGTAAGCCACTCATTTCACCAGACACATTGTCTTACTGACGTCCGGCATCACAGATGAGGAGCTCAAGATGCAGCGCGGCGGGGAAAAGGGAACCAGTCCCCGCTATCGCTGCGAGCACGCCGAGCAGTCAGTAGAGGAGAACCTAAGAAAGTTCCGGGATATGCGTGACGGGAAGTACAGGCCAAGGGAAGCGTTCTTACGCATGAAGCAGGACGTATGTTATCGAACTTGAGGTTTCGCACCCAGAAGACTGACGGATCTAGATCACATCCGGTAACCCCCAAATGTGGGATCTCGCGGCTTACCGTGTGCTCGACAAGCCCCATCATAGGACTGGGACCCAGTGGAAGATTTACCCATCCTATGACTTTACTCGCATGTCTCCCCATATCCAGCAGAATAAGACAGCAGTAACTGACTCCTGATGCAGACTGCCTGTGCGATAGTTTTGAGGGCATCACCCACTCACTCTGCACCACAGAGTTCTTCCTCAGTAGGACCTCTTACGAATGGCTGAACCAGCAGCTTGTTGAGTTCCAGCCCATGCAGAGAGAATATGGCCGTCTCAGCATTTCGGGGACTATCCTATCGAAGCGCAAGTTGAAGGAGATGGTGGACAAGAAGATCGTCCGGGGGTGGGACGATCCACGTCTTTACACCCTGATCGCAGTTCGCCGCAGAGGTGTCCCTCCCGGCGCTATCCTCGAATTCGTCAACGAGTTGGGCGTCACGACGTCGAATAGCATTATCCAGATTGCCCGATTCGAGCAGAGCATCCGACGGTACCTCGAGCGGACAGTACCCAGGTTGATGCTTGTTCTAGACCCGGTACCGGTCGTTATCGAAGACGCAGACGAGTTCGACGGTACTGAGCTCACAATACCCTTCTCACCAAAGAACCCCGCGATGGGCGACCACAAGATCAAGTTCACCAAGACTGTGTACATTGACCGGTCAGATTTCCGTGCGGTTGATAGCAAGGATTACTTCCGTCTGGCGCCCGGCAAGACGGTAGGCCTGCTCCAGGCCCCGTTCCCCATCAAAGCCACAAGCTTCACCAAGGACGAGGCTACGGGCAAGGTCACCGAGATTCGTGCCGTCTTTGACCGGGAAACGAAGAAGCCCAAGACATTTATCCAGTGGGTGCCGGCCGAGGGCTCAGGCTCCCGGAGATGCGAAGTGCGCGTCTACAACCCGCTCTTCAAGTCGGAGAACCCGGCAGCTGCTGAAGGCGGGTATCTCAACGATATCAACCCGGATAGTGAGGTAGTGTACCCGAACGCGATGATCGAATCGGGCTTTGACGAAGTCAAGGCGCGGGCACCCTGGCCCGAGGCGGCCGGCGAGGACAAGCTCGGCAAGGGCGGCCCCGAATCGGTGCGGTTCCAGGCCATGCGGGTTGCGTACTTTGTGAGTTCCCATGAGACAATTCAATACGGATGGGAGTGTGCTAACGGATTTGCAGTGTGTGGATTCGGATAGCACAGAGGATAAGATTGTTCTCAACAGGATTGTCTCTCTGAAAGAGGACAAGGAAAAGAGCTGATTTAGTTTTTCATCTGTGTGGCGATAACTGAAACTAGCGGTATTGTTTTTCGTAGGTAGATAGCCTGAACTCGAAGAAGGCTTGGTCATTGCAGCAGTTCTGCCTATATCGGCCGTTTGCTACCGATTGCTAACGCTTTTGCTCTTCTCCCCTGCTATACTGGTCCTGCCGCCTCAACTTACGTCTTCATACTTACGGTTCAGTGATCACATTTACAGTTTATTGACACTTGTCGCCCGTGAAGTGGTTGGCTGCGGTTTGTTGGTGATCTCGCGGAGGAGTGGATTCAGGTTCTAGGTAGGTTTCACAGGGCCCATGAGGCAGGGCGTTACGGCAGGACATTCTCTTCTCGCCTTGAGTAAGGTAAAGTAGTTTCACTTTTCTGTCGCTCCTTTTTCGGTGGGAGGATACGGTTGACTGGATACAAATGATGATATAGCGTGGACACGGCTCCTCCGAGTCCGACCATGTCATGAACTCCTACCGACCGTTCGACCGTTCACTCAGAGTAAGGTGCTCACTAGGTATTCACGTTTCCTTCTTTATCCATAATGTATTTGAAAGTTCAGGCCAATTCTGTAGCCCTACAGATCGGGAAGGCGGTGCGGTGGTGACTGGGACGGAGCTTACGAATATCGGCACTTGCTGAAGTTGGTGCGGATGGGAGAGAAGGCAGCCTGTGCTATGGAGATGATTGGACCGGAGCGGGTTCCGTTGGTGCTTAGTGGCGGGTTGGTTGATTATCAGCACTTTCAACACTCCTGTACCGGACCTATCGTCACCTACTATGCATGCAGTGGCGCGTGACCTTTTGTGCTGGAGTTTCATAAGGTATTGCAGCTGAGCCGGGATCCCTAGGGACTGAAACCGTGGTTGGATGTAAGGATAGGTGCAGTGCAGTGCAGGTGGGAGTCCAGGTGTGGGTGCAGGTGTGAGTGCAGGTGTGAGTACAGGTGTGAGTGCAGCCTGAGGTGTGAGTGCAGGTGCGAGTGCAGGCGTGAGTGCAGGTGGAACGGTAAGGTAGGGCTGGATAGGGCTGACGGGAAGGGAGGAGCTTAGACTTGGGGGTGGGTGGGGGTTGGGAGGGGATGTGGATGTATTCGCCGGTTCTCCTCTGTTTGATGTCGTTGGTGTGTTCGCTTACTCCAATGTTTTAGGGGTCCTGGACGGTGTCCACTTGCTCAGACTGTAGTCAGTGTAGTGTGTACAAGGCATTCGTTCCAAAGGCATTGTCCAGGGGCTGGCGATTTGGAAGGCACCGGAGCCCCTACCTAAGGAGTCTATTTGTGCAACTTCCAGTGTCATGGCGAGCAGTTCCTTGCTGTATTGCTTGCTGTTTTGCGATCTATGCCCATGTGAATCTTTCGGACTTTCCCTGCGCCTCTTCCTAATCGATCCATGATGCCTTCACCCTCCTCCCAGACAGAATACCTACCTACCTAGTCTAGCAAGCCTCGTTCTGAGGTGCCACGTTTTACCTGTTAGCCATCTCACGGTGAGGATCCATTGGGCAGGATGCTTGTGCTGTTTCGATGTCGTCCTCAGGAATCGGACTGTGGCGTCGTGGGGTGCCTAATACTGGTCCGGATATCGGACTTCATAGGTAGCCAACAACGGCTAGAATAAACGAGCACCCATACAGTACTCCTAGGAAAGGCTGCAGTGTTTGTCTTGATCATGTCCAATGCAGAAGTTAACTTCGTTGACATCGGGAAATTACGGAACAGGCTACAATATAGGGCGTTAGAAACAGGATGCAACGAACCACTGAGATCCTCATCTCTCCTAGTATGGCGCCTTCCCTGATCTGTGATTGCCAGTGGTCCCGTGAGAGATTGGTGCATCTTCACATGCGAGTCATCCATGACGGAATATGCCTACCGTGATACCGATCTCGGATACGCGCTGACATGACTGGACATTGGTTTCCTATCCAGGACATTGACTGCTCTCTCGCTGTTCCACGTAGCCCGGCAATGGAAGAAGCCGGCTTGAGGCTAACTCTTCGAATCGGAGGTGGCCGTTTGCCTTAAGAGGACCTACTAACAGCTGTGATTTTCGTTCTGACCGCATAGTTTGTGTCACGATTCTTCAGTCGCCTCGCATGAGGTGGAGGTCATGGGAGAGAAAGTGCTGATCACCTCGTTCGCTTCATGGCTGACTGGCTGGGGGTTAGCGAAGCTGCGTTGCTATCGGCCGGATATCCTGGCATCAACATCTCGAATGGAATCATGACTTATGAGACCTCATCTGCCGTTTCAATGAAGTATAAGTCGATAGAGTCTCAGCTGTCAGTTCTACCGTGACGTCTTGCTCTCTTCCACCCCCAAACATTCTCTATCCTTGATCTTTCAAGTTGCTTCCGAGACCTCACTACTATCCATCACAAATAAAACCTGTCTTGGCTAGATTGGACTCACGGTACCTAATACCTACCGGTCCCCTCTCTCCCATAGACCCACGCCCTCAGAACCATGTCATCAAGTCACCACATGAGCGTCACGGTGAACAACAAACTCAAGGACAAGAACGTTACTTCGGGCTACATGAACAGAAACATGAACAGCAACACGAACAACAACATGAACATGAACAAGAACAATAACCCAAACACTCCAAGTCAACAAGCCCTTCCCGATGAGGATATCCGCCTCACCAGTAGCACTAGCAATAGCACCGAGTGCTGTTCGACTCATGCTGTCTATATATCAAAGACTCTGTCCGAACCCTTAAGCATCGCTGGCGACGGCGATGGGGCCATGGCCGGGTCGGTCACTGACCCAGACCCGGATGAGGCGTGGGTTCTCGTGCCGATACCACTGGATTTGAGCGGTGTCTTGGCAGGAGTAGGGGCGCGGTTCTCCGGGTGACAGAGACCTTGGAGAATACAATACCTACCAGTACCTTATATTTAGCTTGATTGACTTGGTTGGAGTTATGGCTGTGAGATGATTTCATGTAGGGACCATGGAGGATTTGGGTACGGGTCGGGTTAGCAGTATCAATGACTGGGCGTGCGGTGCTACTTGCTAAGGAGAAAGTTGTATATACGAGACAGTTGGATTATGAGCTGGTTGATCATGTTCGTGTCTGCGTACCTCTGTGGACTGAACAGCTGACAAGTTCCAATCCGAGTCCTTCGCCATTGCGCCTACTATGGTACTCGATACTAATATAAACCCGACTCTTTCCTCCAACCTTTCGAGTCTTTCATTAAGATTCGAACCCCTAGTCGCTTACTACTTGAAAAGAAGTGGCATAATGACCATCGACAAAATGGATATGGACAAAATGGACATAGACATTGAGGAGGGCGAAATCATAGAGAGCGACCTGGAGGAAGACGAAATCGTGGAAAGCGACCTTGAGGAGGGCGAAATCGTGGAGACCACTAGCAAAAACGATAGCGGGAGTAGAGGCGCCTTCCCCTATTCCCAGCCTCCCGTGCCTGCCCTTTCTTGCGGCTCGCTCCTGCTCCAGATCAATCAGATCCGACGCCAGATGCGCCGTGTCCCTAAACAGAGACGGCGACGCAGACGTAGGGGCGCATTCCACCACTACGGGCCCCGCCCCCCAATTTCCCCCCTTTCTTGCCGCTCGCTCGCGCTTCAGATCGAACATATCCGCCGCCAGCAGCACCGTACCCTTGAACGAAGGGACGACTCCCTTGGCACCAGAGGACCCCAGCCATACACAGCGAATCTAAATGGGGTAAGTGAGAAGACGGACATCGACATGGCTATTCCAGAGCTCAGCGACGAGCCTGCTAACACTGGTGAGAACTTTGACACTGCCCTGGATGAAATGATCCAGACTGAGAGTGGTAAGACTGATTTGCTACTGCTGACCCCCAGGGATTCCGGACTCGTTCCTTCTTGCGACCCTTTCATTCAGGAGCTGTTCAAGGGCGCGAAAGAGATCTGCTTCAAGCCTAGGACTGTTCGCCCCCGTGCCTGGGACTACTCTGATACCCCTGCAGACAGGAGCAGCTCTCCATCGCCCACTAACACTCATGCTGCAAGCCTCGAAAGGGGGCAGCTTGACTCGGATGACACCTTGCCAGTCCAAGAGGTCTCGATCTCTTGGAGACCTGGCTGGCAGTCAATGCCTCTGCCCCATCTGGAAGACGAGTAAGTAGGTACTCACCTGAGTTTGGGTGATGTCAATCCTCCGCATGGCCCAGCGTATTGTACTTCAAGGTAGGTCATTCTAATACCATTACCCTATCATTCCATCTACCTTATCATTATTACTTGTGGACCCGTATCTGTGGAATTCTACTAGTATGACGATAACACTTGCAGTCGTTCGTTTGTGAGATCTGTCTGGGAAGTGCTAAGCAGATCGAGTCGAGGATGTGCACGCCTTCAGCTCAGGGGTAACGGTACAACCTCCAAGCAGGAGGAGAGGCGAACAACCATCGTAGTCCTGATTTTCCCATACAATGACAATACAACTGTATCATACCATGCTATAATATCCTGTTGCCAACCCAATTCTTTCTTTCATCATCGTATCGTGAGTCATCATTCATAACATAATTCCCAGCTAGCGGACGGGCGCTTCAGCTAGTCCACACCAGAACTCTCCACCTCCACCCCTTCAGCAACTTCAGGTCATCCTCGGTAATCTCTTCGCTGCCAGCCTCGACCTTGGTAAGCAGCCTTTTCACTCTCTTCTGAACAGCCCGGCCCACGCGCAATGACACCTCGTTTTGAAATATGTAGAGCACAGCGAAGACAAAGAATGCAACCGTCGCAATGCCCGGTCGGCGGGTTGCGGCCAGGATCCTGGAAATGAGGCGCTTGCTCTTCTTGAAGGCATACTCTGTGTCGTTGGAGCTCTCTTCGTCGTGCCTCGGTCGGCGGAACAGCGCTTTGACGATGGGGATGATGGATGCGCTTTTGAGTTTTAGATGTTAGAAGCGCTGCATGTAAATGTAGCGTTTGATATCCCACTCAAAGGCAACTGGAGCCGTTTCGAAAGAAGCAGGCCGTACAAACCCGTGCCAGAATAGAAGGGACAAACAGGAAACACAGGAACACTTACAAAACCCCCCCGACCAAAACCCTCCTCCACCTCTGCCCCTCCGCCTCACCAACAACCTCGCCAACATCCCCCGCCAACCCTCGCAAGCGACCCAATACAATCCCGGACTGCTCCCGCAACCGCTCCCCAACCCGCGCAGCTTCCCCTCCTCCTCCTCCTCCTCTCCCACCATACCCGTCCCCTGCCTCTAGCCCCGCCCCGTTGTGCCCATTCACCATGCCGACCTTGTCCACCATGGCCCGCTGGCGCTGCAGGTTCATGTACTCGCGCAGAGCGGCCTCGGCGGCTGAGCGCGCGTCGCTGAGACTGCTAGTGCTGGTGCTGCTGCGGATGGGTGCTGTTGGCGCTGCGGTCTGGGTGCCGTTGACAGCAACAGCGAAGGAGGGGGCTGTGGGCTGCTGGATGATTGGTTGTTGTTGTTGTTGTTGTTGCGGGCTGGGATCGGGCATTGGGATTGGGGACGCGTGGGCTAGTGTATTGGATTGTTGCTGTTGCTGGTGTGGTTGATATTGTTGAGGGAGCGGGTTATACGAGGGATGAGCCGGCGGCGGGGGTTTGGAGGAGGACAGAGTCGGTGCGAGAGATGAGGCTGTGTGATATGGGGTGATCCCTTCTGATGGGGGAGGGACCGGGTAGGTGGTACCGTTTTGGTTGTCTGGAGGGGGACGGTAAGGAAGGCTGGAGGTGTTGAGTGGCCCTTGATTCTGAGGAAGGACGTTCCAGGTGTCTGGAGGGTTCCAGGTCGACCCATTCGGCGATGCATCAGGGGGCGGTCGAGGTTGGGAATCCATGATGAGATCAAGCCTCAAGGGGTATGAGATGGATGATAAGATAGGGCGATGATGAAGACGGCCTGAAAACGGTGGAGACTGGTATGGATTTGGAGATGGCCTGAATCGAGGCTGGAGAGCAAAATGTCACGAAGAGATCATGAGTCTGTAATCGCATCAAGATACATTGATGTGCTTTGAGAATGTAGGAGCAAAAAGGATCCCGATCTAGTTGAGATGGTTGTACAAACACATCATCGCCATAGCTGTTGAGCGGGCTCAAATTGGGTGCGAGCTGAGGTGGCAGCAGATCTGTGGGAAGGGTCGGATGGGCGCCACGTTCCTGGAAGCGTGGGTGGGTCCGCGAATTCCAATCAGCCCAGGTGCTTACCTAACCCTCGACCCGTGTTGGCCTTAAATTGTAGGGCTCGTGAGGAGGTACGTGTGGACATGCGCATTCACGTGCCCTCAGTCCAACATACAAAGAAGTCGCAAGGCAGATTTCTTGATTGATAAGGCTTGCAAGTGAAACGTTTGCACAGTTGAGCACATTCAAGACGGAGCTGTCAGCGCCACTCATTTGCACCCTTTTGAGCTGAGAAGTGGGGCTCTTTGTCAGCCGCCGGGTTTCTGAGTCACTTTTGCCTGAAAAATCACCCAACATCGATCGAATTTATTGTAGTACACGAAGTCCCATGCTGATTGGCGAGGCCGCCTTGAATTTGTGGATTGTGGCAGAGTTCCTGCCTTCGTGCCGTTAGCTCGTCCAAGCACGGGCAGTCACCTGTCTCGCATTCTTTAGGTTGATGCAGTCATGTCGAGCTCGGGTCATCTCCCGGGCTCCAGGTATAAGTATATCTGTGCTTGCTACCTTTTCTGCTCCTTCCTGCTCGCTCTCCATCAACCTCCCCTCTAACCAAGCAGCCTTGGTTGGTAACATATTGCACCTCTCCCTGCCCCCGCATCCTCTTGTGCCCACCAAGAATCCATTGCAAGGACAATGGACGGCCCTCAGAAGCAAGAGTTTCACGTCCGCGATCTGCCCACCCGTTCTGTCACTCTTTTCCCCACCCGAGCCCAGATTGTCCGTGAGATCAAAGACATTGCCCTGAAGGTAAGCCTATCCCCCCTCCCTAGCCTTCCGGTGCTAATACCGTCATCAGCCAGGTGCAAACGAGATTACCGTCATTGGAGTAACCCCCACTGCTGATGAGCACTCCATCAAGGTCGAGGGAACAGGCTCGGCTATCATCACTGATATCACCGTCGAGCTTCTGCCGAACCGGGACATCTTTGAAGAGATCTATCCTGATTCGGACTCGGACTCTGACAAGGACGAATCTGAAGAGGATGACGACGACGAGGACAGGGTCAATTCGGCGCTGGAAGATGTTCGGGACAAGTTGGTGGCCCTGACTGACGAGCAAAAGAAGGCCAAGGAGGTGATCGCTAGCGCCGAGACCCGGCTGAAGCTGCTTGATGCCTACGGCAAGTCCCTGGACAAAAAGCGTGGCGTTGACATTGAGGGCTGCCTAGAAATCTACCGCACCGAGCGCGAGAAGGTCTTCCTGGACCACATGCATGGCACTGCCCGCGATCGCGAGCTGGCGAAGGAGATCAGTAAGCTGCAACGTGAGGAGCGGCGTCTGGAGAAGCTCGAGGCGAAGGAGGAAGAAAAAGCTGCAAAAGCAAAGGCCAAGGTCCAGAGGGCCAAGTCCAAGCTGAAGGAGAAGCAGCGGCGCCGCGAGGAGGAACGGCGCAAGGAGAAGACCCGCATCCGCAGAGAACGCGAGCAGTTCTGGCCCCGCTGCTGCTACAGTGTTCGCATCACTCTCGATGCCACCAACTTCACCCCAGGTTCATCTCGTCGGAGCTCCATCGCCAGCCTCGCCGATGTAAAGATGATCTCCGAAAAGGATTGCAGCAGCCCGGCCGACGACGGCGCCACCTTGACTTGCGACCTGTCGTTGTCTTACGTGACTTCGTCGGCTTTCTGGTCACCTAGTTATGATTTAGCCCTGTCCACCACGACAAACACGGCTACGCTCTGCTTCGACGCGCAGCTGACCAATATGACCTCAGAGACGTGGTCCAACAGCAAGGTGATTCTAAGCACGTCGCAAGCTACCTTCTCGGGCTTGCAGGATGACGTCCCGAGTCTGGTGCCCTGGCGTCTCAAGCTGGTAGGCCGGGGGGCACCATGGGACGGAGTTGACATTGTTCACAGTCGAGAGGAACGAAATCAGAAAGAGGTCTACAATGCCGCACAGAATGCCCTGGGTCTGCAGAAGCCCCGGGCGGCTCTGTTCGGGGTCGGCAACTCGCTTTTGCAATATTATGACCCTCAGTTCAACCAGACTCAACAGCAGATGTTGAGTAAGCTTTCGATGAATATGACCTCTGCACCAATAATGCTGCTGCAGCAAAGTATGCAACGGCAGATGGCACCGCAAGCACCGCAAGCACAGCAAGCACCGCAAGCACAGCAAGCACAGCAAGGCGCCCTGCTGGGCTCTAATACCGGATTTGGTAACCCCGGCTTCGGCCAGCAACATTCCTCCAATATCGGATTCAGTAACGTTGTTGGTGGCGGCGGCTTATTCGGCCAGCAACAAGTCCAAATGCAGAGTACGAACCCTCAACCCTCTCTCTTTGGGACTTTGCATGGGGGCGCCGCGAGCAATGTAAACGTGCCATCTGCTGGGGGCTTGTTTGGCAACAGCTCTAGCAATGCGAACACGTCTTCTGGCAGTGGCTTGTTTGGGAGCCGTGTAAGCAATGCGAACACGGCACCCGCCGGAGCCTTGTTTGGCAGTAGCACAAGCAATGCAAACGTAGGAACTGGCGGGAGTCTGTTTGGCGGCAACACGAGCAACGCAGACAGGGCGCGTTCCGGAGGTCTCTTTGCTGGACTCGCGGCAAACGCACGTACTGACGAGGCAGCAGAAGCAGCGAAACCAGCCCCGCCGTCCATGTCCACGGCGGTCAAGAAATCCAGAGCCAGCGGCGTCTCCGGTGAACAGCTCAGGGCGAACTACGAATCCGAACCCGCCGGAGAGGACGAAGACGATGAGGAAAACGACGGCCAGACGATGCTCGAGCCTACACCCGAGGTAGCGTTCCAGGAATCCTCCTTCGAGGAGACCGGCCTGACGGCAACCTACGACGTGCCCAACCTCAAGACGCTCAAGCCGAGCTCGACAGCATCTAAGCAGCGCGTCGCGCGCATCTCGTTCGCCAACGTTGTCTTCTCCCGCACCGTCGTGGCCAAATACAAGCCGGCGGCGTACCTCAAGGCGCGCCTTCGCAACACGAGCAAGCTCACCCTCCTCCGTGGCCCCACGGGACTCACGCTGGACGGCACCTTCATGGGCCGCTCCACCCTCCCCCGCTGCAGCGCAGGCGACAGCTTCAACATGCCGCTGGGCGTGGACCCGGCCATCAAGGTGGCGTACCCGAAGCCCGACGTCACGCGCAGCACCACGGGCGTGTTCTCCAAGGGCGAGAACTCGGTCTATACGCGGAGCGTGACGCTGGTCAACACGCGCGCGGCGGCCGGCAAGCCCGTGACCATCACGGTGCTGGACCAGGTGCCCGTGTCCGAGGACGAGAAGCTGCGGGTCGAGGTGCTCCACCCGCCGGGCTTGTCCTCTACCTTGGCCTCGGGCAAGCCCGTCGCTACGGGCGTGCCGGGCAAGGACACGGACAAGGACTGGGGTAAGGCGACGGCCGTGCTGAAGAAGGCCGGCGAGGTGTCTTGGGACGTGGTGCTCAATGCTGGCAAGAGCGTGAAGCTGTTGCTGCAGTATGAGGTTGCTTTTCCGACCGGGGAGAGGGTTGCGCAGTGTTAGAGGCTGCCTAAGCAATCAGGGGGCGTGGGTAATTGGATGGAAGGGTCACGGTCAATTAGGCTGTGTGCTATACGAGTAGTGGTAGGGGGGTTGGGTTTGTGTTGGGTTTTGGGTTAGGATCTGACCAGCAAGGCAGAGGTTGCGCGGATACTGGTTTGGACTTTGGGCCCTTGGGGCAATAAGTAATCAGGAGCCAGCTGTTATGATACCATGTATGGCTTGGACAAATCACAACAGTTGCAGGAAGAGCATTCAGCTTGGCAATGAGAGTGTGCAAGTCACTTGTCAGATTCTCGATGGAGGCCTTCTCTCTTGGCTTTGCTTTGAGGTGATATGGGCTTCTTCCCTTACAGATCTTGTTTGAAGGCCCTGAGAACTTTCGCCAAGACAGAATCGTATTTCCACGCAAGATGGCGAGGTTCGACCGATGGATTTAGCAGTGGCTTTGCACCGGGATATCACAGGAGGCTGACTTGGGCAGAATAAATGGACCGGGTGGAACTGGGTGATTTGGAAGGCAGAATGCCTGAAGATTCCGGGTGTTGTTCTGCAGGGCGATGGTTGGGACCAGACTGTATGTAAACAGGAGGATAGCAACCTACTTGTTACTGCTCCAGTATCAGTGTATCACGGTCAACTCAAGAATTAGTACCTTAGATAGAAGAGACTCAAGTGGAATGAATCACGAGAATGTCAGAGCCTATGTTGAGAATATCTTAGTCTAGCAATCCCAATTGATTCACTTCATATTGCTTGAGTAATTTCACAGCATCAGACCACACACATTGCTTAGGGGTAGTTATGAATGGACTTACTAGAGATGTATAAGACAGCACCCGAAGCTCATCGGGTGACGTCACAGCAAACTCCAAATTAACATTTGGAAGTTCACTTGGATTGGAGAAGCCATCTGAACAAGAACTTCAGAAGCCAAATCTGCCCTCACTCATGCCTGAACAAATGGATCGTGGGATAAGTCCACCGCCTACAAAACGCAGAAAGCTGCATCTCCCCGCGGCCGGATCGAATCCGGACCCGATGCGCATTCCAGGTCCGCGATCAATACGCATCTTCTCCTGGAACATCAATGGCATCGAGCCCTACCTCCCTTCCTCTTTTTCATCCTCGTCTCACAAAATAACCTCCTTCTTCAAACCCTCCTCCCGACAAGACACCAAGCCAAAGCAACCCAGAAAAACAACCTCGGCTGCAGGACCAAACGAGGCCAACGCAAGCACAAGCAGTAGCCTCCGCGCATTCCTCGCCCGACACAACTGGCCCGAGGTCCTCTTCCTGCAGGAACTCAAGATTGCACCAGCCAATGCCTCCAAGGCCATGTCTGCTTTGCTCTCGGCGCTCAATACCCCGCTGCCTACCGAGAATGGAGGCAACAATACGACGACGACGACGACTCCTGATGATGATGATTGTCGAGCCTACCAGGTGGACGCCGTGCTCCCGCGGGACCGGTACAACGCGCGGGGGTTTGGCGGGCGGCTCTATGGTGTTGCGACTATCCTGCGCAAGGATTTTGCTAGGGAGCAGGTGGCGTGTGTGAGAGGGGTGGAGTGGGATTTGGAAGGAAGGGTTAGTGTCGTTGAGCTGAGTCCGACGGATCATACCACCACCACTACTACCTCCAGTAGTGGCATCCCGAATGGAGGTCAAGAACCTGAAGGGAAGCCAAAGCCGCTGGCGCTGATCAACCTGTACGCCGTCAACGGCACGTCAGCCCCCTACCGCGACCCGATGACAGGCGCCGTCATAGGTACGCGGCATGACCATAAGCTGGCGTTTCATACCAGGCTAAGGGATGAGTGTCTGGAGCTGGAGGAAAAGGGGTTTAGGGTGGTGGTGGCGGGGGATGTGAATGTTGCGAGGGGGTGGAGGGATGGGTGGCCGGGTTTGAGGAGTTTTCCGAGGCAGCATTGTGTCAATCGGGCGGATTTTAATAGGAAGTTCTTTGGGGGGGAGGATAATAGGCGTGCGGAGGCTTATGTGGAGGTGGAGCAAAAAGGGGATAGGGAGGGGGAGGGGAAATTGGGAAGGGAGGAGGAGCGGGAGAGGTGTCTGGATGCGGTGGATGTGTTTAGGGCGATGCATGGTGGTGAGAGGAGGTATACTTATTATCCCAGGACGAGGGAGTGGGGGAGCAGCTGTGACAGGGTGGATCTGATCCTGGTGTCCAAGGCGCTTTGGGAGGAGGGGAGGGTTTTGAATACGGGGATACTGGATACGCCGCAGGAAAGGGGTTTGAGTGATCATGTGCCGTTGTGGGTTGAGATAGCGCTGGAAAAGCCGTCTGATGGGGCAAAGACTGTGAAGTAGAGTCTGGACTTTTGTCATTGCCTCGATTGCGGCAGGAGATATCACTTTGCTGGTTGCTCAGTTCGCAATGCCCCTGTAATTTGAAAGTATTGTTCAGTTCTCGATCAGGTGGGACAATAGCATAGACTAGAGACGGCAATGCAGTTCCTGCCTCAACTGAATACGAGTCCGGCCAGGCATAATGAGATATCAACGTCCTCGGATTCTCGATTCTTGCTCTGTCTAGGTATGTTGCTTCCTTTCCCCAATAAAGAAGGGGGGGAAGAGGATAAATGGAGTTGGGGAGGGGTTGAAGGCAAGAACGGATGGGACGAAAAAAAAAGGGGCAAGGGGAAAAGGAGCAAGTGAAAAGCCGTTCATATTCTCTTCAACAGGACCAGCCCATCTTACCTGCCTGATCAGAAGCCCACGAGTCTGCTGCCCATCATATCCTTCCAGTGCCCTTGGACCATCCCATCTTTGCCAATCTTTTTGGGGCTATAAGACAAAGAGTATGAGCTCCAGGGCCTATCACCCGCTCACTCGGAGTTGACACTTCTTGCACATGTGTGTTTTCGCGTTATCCATGGTAATCAATAGTTCACAAGCAAGAACACCAGATCTGTTATCGCCTATCTCATCCCCCCGATCTTCGGACGATAAGCAGGATAGAAAGTCTCTCTTCCTTTTTAGGGTACCGTGACCCATTGCCCACCAATTCTTTGTTCCCCTCAAACCTGGAGCCTGGAAGTATTTCTTCCCTCACTCCCAACAGGGAGCTACCGTTTAGTGTGGTGCCTTTACACTCTACCAAGCTCCATACTTGAAGCTGCAGGTGCTTCTAATCTTGGAGACCATCGCGTCAACTCACTTTTCATCTTTCGTTTGAAACACTACCCATCGCGTCTCATATCCATCGCGTCTTCAGCTATCTGAAGCAGTCGGTGTAAGTGTTCACACGAATAACATACCTTACTTGGCACGGCAGACTCACGCACAACAGTTCCTAGGACTTGTCCATCACCGCGCCCGGGAGACGGTCCGAGAGTAGTTAAAATGGGTCGCTCAGCTCCGACCATCCAGTTCAATAAGCCCGATCTTCGGAGCTGGCTCGAGGAAGCCATCATGGCCAGCAACGCAACTTTGCCCTCCTTGCCCACGAAGGCACAAGAAGTTGACTCTCCAGCCACCAAGGCAGCCTCGAGCTCCTTGCCCACCAATGGCACCAAGGCTCAAGAAGTTGAGTCTCCAGCGAAAAAAGACGGTCCCCAGAACGTTCAACGCCGCTTGGTCACGGTGCGCCGTGTTACCTCCTCGACCTATCTTAACAGCAACTACGATCTCATCACCATTGACGGCTGGAAAGTGGTTGTCAAGAGAACAAAGGGAATCGTCGAGGGCGACTGGATCGTCTTTCTGGAAGCAGACTGTTTTGTCCCGGCGCACGGCAGATTCGCCAAATTCGAGCGCCTTTTTGCTGAGATTGGCGAGTTGAGTACATATGACGGCGTAGAGGGATATCGCGTGGGCATGTCGACATGGAGAGACCACCAGGGCAAGCAGGTCGTCTCTCAGGGCCACGTCTTTGCTCTCCGGGAGTTTCCACACATCGAAGACAAGGTCTTTGAACTCCGCTGGGAACGATCCAGAACCCACACGGACGAGCAGTTCCTGAACTACCTCCGCACCCTCGATTTCAGGAACGGCCTTGATGTCATGAAGTGGGAAAGCCCCGACGACAAGTTCGGACTCGGTATCCCACCCCACTTGGAGTTGGAGCTCAAGGGCACAGGCACCGAGGGCACCGCCAGCAGCAATGACAACACCCAGCAGCAGCAACTCACCGTGACCACCTTCCCCAAATACCCCCACTTCATCCTCAAACCGGACATGGAGCGCGTGCAAAACTGCCCCAACCTCTTCCTCAAACCCAAATACCGCACCTACCTCTTCCAAGAATCCGTCAAGCTCGACGGCGCCAGCATGACAGTCTACTTCCTCCTGCCCACCAACCCATCCTACTCTCACCTCCCCACCCTACCGGCCCTCAGCCCTGCATCCATCCTCACCCATCCCTTACTGCAACACGCCGTGCAGCAACTGGGCCGCTTCGGTGTCTGCTCCCGCAAGCACGACCTCGTTCCACACCTAATCTCCCAGGCAACAACCCCCGCACAACACATCTACTGGGCCGCCGCCCTCGCTGCCAAGCTGCACGTCTCCCTCCCCGCCGGCGCGGCCGCGGGTGAGCATGGGTCTGGGTCGATTGCCGTGCAGGGCGAGCTTGTGGGCGCCGGCATCCGGGGAAATCCGTACGGCTATGCCAAGGGGGAGCATGAGTTTGTGATCTATGCGGTGTATGATGTTGATCGGCGTAAGCGGTGGGATCCGAGGAAGGTGGTGGAGTTTGCGGAGCGGATTGGGGTGAGGCATGTGCCGGTGAGGGGGTACCATAGGATCTGGGATGTGGCGAGGAACCATGAGGATTTGGTTGTTAGGGCCGAGTTGAGGAATGCGGAAGGGTTGGTGTGGAAGAATGTGCTCGATGGGAGGTGGTTCAAGGTTCTTTCGAGCAGGTGGGTGTTGGAGAAGGAGAAGGCACGGGCGAGGGAGGGTAAAAGCTCGAAGGGTCAGGTGCAGGGCAAAGAGGGACGGGTCACCACCCTGATGGAGAAGGGTGAAGACAGGAACAAGGTCGTCGCGGATTGGGAGATACTTAACAAGCAGGATGGGCAAGTCTTGATGGAGATCTTTAGGGACTTGGAAAACTGGATGAAGAGGGATGATGGGCTGAGGAAGTGGATGGAGGACTGGAAGAGGGAGTATTACGGCGATGACTATGTGGTTGGGAAGGGAATGAGAAAGGTGACGGCGATTTATGGCAGTGAGAAGAACGGGCTGGTCGATGGGAATGGAGTGGCCAAGGAGGAGGGCAAAGTTGAAGTTCACATGCAGGGTATCAAGCAGGAGGTTGACGGTGGTGAGAGCACTGACTCGGACAACACCATCACTCCAGCTTACAAGAAACAAGGCGAAACCGGCAAGAAGGTTGAGACTGCAGCCCTCAAGCAAAAGACGAGCAAGCTGGCTGAATGGCTCGGCATCGAGGGCTTTGGGCTCTAAGAAAGGGGCTTTACCAGACGGCAATTTGGTGCTGCCCGTTCATGCAGGGGACTTTGAAGTTTGAACGTTTTCAAGAGGGAGCTTGAGAGGACCTCAAGGCTGAAAAGGGATATCAGAGACTCTAAGGAGGGAGTGTTACAGTTCCTCTCATTCTAAGGATTTGGGATCTTTCCACGAAGCCAGGATTTTCATTCCGATGGAGCCGTTTCTAGTCAGTACTTAGATAGGTACCTGAGCAGACCTAGAATAGAGCAATACGACGCGGAGGCTACTAGACGTCCGCACCGTGACATCGGACCAAACACACAGAGGGCGGGGACTGACACTCTGAGTATCATCGGACCGCCGACACTTGAGATTGAAAGAAAATAGAATGCTGCGGTCTGATCAAATTATCTATAATTTGTTCCTAGCATAGGTCCGACGGAGAATTACGGTGGCCGGGTGGCACTGGCACTTTGCAGCGAGTCCAAGAATCCTCATGTCAACAGCCATCCTACTACTAGGACACACCATGTCACAAAACGACTCGGTAGGCGTAACTCTCCTGAGAAGGTGATCAAGAACGGCGAATTGGGGACATGGGTTGTACTTGCATGTACTGTACATGCAGCACATACTTCAGTGTCCAGAGTTAAACAACATCAGTCTGATATATCGCACCGATACAGGATGCATACATGTATTATTCGTACGGTAGCCCCTATTCACTTGCTCTGTCTGGTCGGGTGGCCCTGTTGCTGATCTACCACGCTGCAGATACCGGAGGAGCCAGAACCGCTCCCCGAGAGAGCTACCTCCTAGCCAGAACGATACCTTTCATGAAAAGGTCTCCGCACATGTCGCCAAAGAGGCGTTTCTATACGTAACTCATAACCTCAAACATTCAAGTCAAAACAAACTGGGCGGGGTCGCACCCCAAAAAAGGGGGGAAAATTAAACAAGGGGGGATCATCAACATCAACATCAACCAGCAACCCCATGTCCATCGATCCAACCAATCATGCCCCCTCACAACCAAAACCAACACCATACCTTAGGTATCCATTCCATTCCAGTGTCATTCAGTTCTCCTTTGCAAACCCATCCGAAACACCAGCCAGCCATCCAACCAGTGAACACCCACCCCAAATCGCAGCAGTGTTGTGATACTATAATCTGAACCAGGCCAGGCCATGCCAGTCCAACCGGTATATGCTCCCGCCCCAAGTTCCAGCAGCATAAGACAAGCCGTAAGAGAAAAACAATTGCAACTCCGAAGTGCAAGGTATAGCGTCATACTCGTCTTGTACCTCGTTACGGATAAAGCCAAGCCAACCCCGGAAACGCACCATACACCACACCACCCCTGAGAAAGAAAAAATGGGGTATAGTACTGTACCTACCGAAACCGCGCCGCCAAAACTACCTTATCCAGCTTACCCTACCCACCGCACCTTACCCAACCTACCCTACCTTACCTCCCCTACCCACCCTAACGGCCTAACCTGTATACCCCCCACCACCACCACCACTGTTACCATTCAAGTTCCCCACTGGCAGTTCCATCTCCATACCAATCCCGCCCACACCCATACCCATGCTCAAGAACCCTTCAATATCCTGCATGCCCTCCGTCTCCAGGACATCCATCAGCTCCAGCTGCTGTTCATGGCTGAGACTGCCATGTCGCTGGCCCAACAGACCGCCACCGCCACCAAAGTCCGCGAGGGCAGCAGCAGACGACGCTGACGCCGACGCTGACGACGGGGGGAATCCAAACCCGTTATACACGCCAAACCCACTGCCACCATTCCCACCCGGATGATGTTGTTGTTGCTGCTGCTGTGATTGTGCTTGCCAGGGGATATTCCAACCCCCCTGTCCCTGTCCCTGTCCTTGGCCCTGTGCCTGTCCCTGTGCATGCCCTTGGGTTTGAGTCTGGGTTTGTGTTTGTGCGGATGGTGGCTGGCTGCCGGTCCCGGTCTCGTTCCCGCCCAAGCCGAGGCCAATGAAGGGATTTGGGGCTGCCGCGTCCACGTCCCAGGGGGAGAGGAACGAGGGCGGGGGGGGGGCCGTCATCCTGGCTCCGGCTCCGGCTCCGCCACCCGAAAAAGCATGCGGTGAGATGAAGGGCGGTGGGGGGTTGAACCAGTCGGTTACAGTCACCGTTGCCGCTGAGGCTGCTGACGGGAGTGGTCGCTGGTGAGGCGGGGGCGGTATGGTGAAGGCTGGAGGTGTTGACGTTGGTGCCGCCGTTCTCTGAGTAGTTCGAGGAAGGGGTATGCATGATTGCTGCTGCTGTTGTTGTTGGTGGTAGTGCTGTGGGAGCCGTTTGAACTCGGGTGGAAAGGTTAAAGGTTCTTGCTTTACCATTACAATTGGCCGCGCTGCTGGGCTGGGATGTTGAGACGGCGCAGCCGGACTGACGGGCCGCAGAGTGGGTGTTGGGTTTGGAGTGGCTGTCTGTGTGGCCGGGGTCAGCCTCGGGGATGGTGTGGTGTTGGTACCACGAACGGAGGGCGGCGGAGCAAGTGATTCTGGCGGTGTGGGCAAGGAGGCTACTGATATGGGGGTAGCAGGCGGGGCGGGTGACGGGTTGTTCCGGTGCATCATCATCGGAGGAGGCGGGGTGGTTCCGAGGCGCTCAGGTGCGGAACCCTCGTGTGACTGGGAAGAGTCGGGCGCAAGATTGGATAGCCTGCGGCCATTCGAATCTGATGACGGGCTCATGAAAATGGAATTTGAACGGAAAGTGGGCTGATTCTGGATATGGCCACCGTCGAAGCCATACTCAGCAGGGAGCTCTGGTGTCGCTTCGAAAACATATCCAAAGGGCGACCTGTTGAACAATGACGATGCCACCTGTGACTGCGCTTGTGTATGCGTGCTTCCCGACATGTCGGATTCGGGTGATAAGGGGTCAGCGTACGATACTGGAGTGTCGAGCTGACTGCTTGAAACAGGCGACGGGGTTTCCTCTTTGACCTGATAGCTCTGTAGGCAGGCGTTGGCAAATACGGTGTATAGTTGAATCGCAGAGGATGATCCAGGCCACCGATCGGAACAGTTCGTGATGGTCTCTAAAGCCGTCCTTGCAAGATCCTCTACTTCAGTCTGTGGATGCTCTGCCCTGACCTCGGGATAGGAAATGGACCAGAGAAGGGCATTCAGAGCCGAGTAGATGGTCAGCAGGAACACCCAAGTGACATCTACTGCACCCTGCTGTACCTGCCGAGACGTCAAGCCGATGATGTACCGCGACCCCACAAAGCATTTCGCTGCGGCCTGGCTAGTCGGCCGTGGCACCTGAGGGGAAGGCCGATAGATGGAAATGATCATGTTGTGATATCGACCAGTAAACCTGCGAGTGTGGTCAGCTACAGAATCGGAGCAGGATCACTCTTGGGCTAAACCTACCAGGGCTTGCACCATGGAGGCTGTTCGGGGCAATCTTCAAGCCAATCCTTGAGTTTCTGCTCCACTTGAGCGAACCACGGATGACTCTCGTGCGTCGGCCCCGGTCGGCTCTTTTCGTAGAGCATCCGGCGGATTTCTGCCTGCAGTAGCCTCATCTTGCAGAAGTAAATAGCAACCGCCTTCCGCTCGCAGGGGCGGCCCGGGTGAATGCCTTCAGGGGTGATGTCCCCGTCCGCAACGGCCTCAAAGAACTCAACGTTCATAAGGTCATCGCTCTTTGCGAACCCGTTCGGACGCCCCATAATATGCGAAAGGCCAAACTCCTGCGTGGTGACAATCCAGCTCAACCTCCGCCTCATGTCAAGAGTCTGGGGGTCCGGCGAGCCCACTGCGATGGTTCGCTCGTCCCCTAGGCCGAGCTGCTGGCATATCCTTACTGCGAGCCCAATTATGTAATATGTTGCGGTCCTTGTAGGCGTCAGAAGCGAGTACTGGCCGATAAGACACAGACATTGTAGCGTTTTGAGATCCTTGGGGCGCACCACGTCCTCAAAGTGTTGCATGGCGCTGAGATAGTAGCTCGCAGCGAGGCCCGGATACCCGTCCATCTTCTGCAGACTGATCGCAACTACCATGTTCACGATAAAATGTCTATACGGGTCCTTGTCGCCAGCGAACACGGCTTCCAAGTCCTCTCGGAATACCTTTTCGTGCAGGATGGGTGTAAAGACCTGGACTGTCGTTGTGGTTAGCATGTTCCCACTTGCTGCAGAGTGCTGACAATAGGGTCAATGAGCCGTACCTCTCTCGTTGAAAATGCGCACTAGGCCGTCAACAGTCTCCCTGCTAGGCAGGGATGGCGCGGGAATAACGCTGTTTGCAGGAAAGCTCCTTTTCCTGCTGGAAGGACCGCTGATACTTCCTCCTGTCACTATGCTCTGCATGCGGTCCCTCCTGTCAATCCTCCGGGCTCGCAGTTCGGGGATCAGATCGGCTATCCTCTGAGACTCGGTGTACCTCTTGGCTTCCTCCATAAGCAGTCGTGTCATGGCGATGCCGCTGCTGGGCCCGAGATAGCGGGCGCTCTCGCCCGTCTCGCCCAGGCGGACCATTCCGCCGGGACGAACCATGTCGTCATAGCTGTGTGGGTAGTCGCTCTCCTCATCCGTGTACTGGGATAGGTCGGCCTCGAGCTGGCGCACCCTCTTTTGGAGGTTGACAACGTAGGAGCGGTTGATCCTCTTCCCCTTGGTGCTGTCATAGTACTCGCACGTCGAGCCAGACCGTTCGCAGGGTAGACACCGCGGGAGGGTGGGGTCACATCTCGTCTTCCTCTAAACAATCTCCAATCAGCATCGTATAGAAGGTTTTGAGACCTGGATCCGCTCACCTGCCGGCATCTGCAACACGCCGTGAGAGTATGCGCGATGCGATTGGGCGCTTCGCTCTCCTGACTGTCCCATGGATACGGATACGGCGCCGGAACTGGAGGTTTTCCGGGGTAGAAATGCTGCGGCTGCGGAGGGATCACGGGGAGTAGGTGATAAAACTCGGCGTTGTCCATTTGATAATTAGGGGGGGTTTGGGAAGGTGGTGGTTGGACTGGCGCAATTTAGAGCAGAGTCTCGTCCGAGTGCAACGCAAACATTCGGAGACAAGGAACAGCAATGGAGACTGGCAGCATTATGGAAAAACTCTCAGGAACCTGTTGTCTCAGAGCATTGGAGCTACGGATGCTGGACGAGGTATTTGGAGCCAGGGAGGTCTGGATTCAGTTGTGCCAGGCAGTGGGTGTTCTTCATTCGCTGGAGCCTCCGCCAACGAGTCAAATGGCGTCGCCAAGCACCTGTCACTGGAACACGGGGCACGAAACAAGACGAAACAAGGCAGCCTTAAGGAAATTACGGTAATTTACGCTAAGCAATTCTTGAGTGGTTA